AGCCCACTGCAGAGCCACAAAGATGCTCATGCGGCTTAGATGTGTCAAGTAGAGACGACACGAAGTTGTTGGCTGCTTGGTCTTCGCTTACTGTATCAAAGACTATGGATACAAGCAACGTTCGGTATGAAAACTTCAGAGGTACGGACTAGAGGCGAGTCTCATCTGGACCTTGAACCTCTTCGATAAAGTTGCCAAGGAGGAGCATGTATACTAGCCAAATCGCCAGCAAAACTTGGCTTTCGACAGGCCGCTTCACCGGCAAAGTCATGAGTATGCGGCGAAGCAAACGTACCCGGCGAACCCTCGCCGGCTGCACGCCGACCATGGCTCGCCACTACCTGCCAATGTAACCTCTTACTCAGCCCGCTCCAGCGAGGGCTTCCAGCTTTTCGTCGGCACAGCAAAAAGTAGAGAAGAAAGGAATTCAAGGTGCTGGCTGTGACCCCTTTCTCTCCAAAACTCGACGCGCAATGAGACGACGGCTACGGACGCCACCTCTTTCGGCCGACTTCAAGCTTGGGTGCAAAGTACTACATAGTATTGCTACCAAGAAAAAATTGCAACGGCGTCAAAAGCTAGGGCTTTCATTCAATGCACGGTGCATCGTCGAGTCCATCCTGCCCTACCTATGTGCTGGCATGCCCAACACTTGGGCTTAGTACTACTGCACAGACAGAGGGAACTGCCCTTGGGTAGTAGTAGTAGTAGCGCACTGACAAAACGGATAAACGACGAGGTGCTGGATCGCGGAAGCTAGAGCCACAGAGAGCGGAGAGGAAGAAAATTGAAAAAAAAAAATAAAAAGGGCAAAGGACACAGTCCACTCGCTTTGCACTTAGCCGGGAGGACCCTGGATTTCCGGTACATGTCACCTCGTCCACCTTTCGTCCGCCGTTGGTGTGTTCTTGACTCACAGGCTCATCTCCATGCAAGCCATGCAAGCCATGCAAGCCATGCAAGCCATGCAAGCCATGCAAGCATTCGGATCCGATGCGAAACGGAGAGGAGTTAATAAGTCGGCAGCGTTCCGTGCTGATGTGATACGGCACTAACACGGTTACTCTTTCCAGGGTCCAGGGCGCTTTGTCAGGCTTCTGGAAGGAAGGAATGATCGCTCCGACGCCGGGGGCTGGGAACGTGGCTTATCTGCTCTCTCGATTGTTGTTTTTCTTTCTTCATCCCGGCCCAGCTGAACGATATGGCGCGCACAGGCGAAAGATGAATGAAGCGTGGACAAAAGGAAAAACAAAAAAAAAAAGAAAGAAAGGAGCAAGCCACCAACGCTAGACAGGGGCAGCACCGTCCGCTTTTTTTGTTATTTCATTGTGCAAAGGCCAAGGGTTTAGCTTGTTGCATAACTTACTTGGTCGCAGGTCGAGCTTCGTACTACGATACCTAGCGCCGGGCACTTTCTTGCTTCACTCTCTTCTTTGCCTTGTTTACAGGTGCTTCGTTCATTGCCGATTCGTTTAGCGCGCGGCGTGCCTGACACTTCTCCAGCTGAGCCCATCTCTCCTGTGGGAATGGGCGAGGCTTGGTAAGGCGGCACGTCTGCTGCGTCATCCAGGCGGTTGTATGGTGTTTTTGTTGCTTTGCTCGTCCGAGTCCTCTCTCCACTTGTGGCGCAAGTGCGGGAAGAGCAAGGCCCAATAAGGGCAACAAAAATCAGCACGTGTACCTGTACGGCTGACAACGCCTGCGGCAGCCGTGGCCATGCGGCCATATGCAACGCCATCGCCGCCCCCCCCGCCCGTCCTGCTTGCTCATCACCATTGCTGCAACCGTCCAGAAATTACCCAAGCTATGGTGGCCAGCCACACGCCGGAGCAAGGTCCTCGCTGATGGCACCGTCGCCGTCGGAGAGGCCGTGGCCGTTGGCCGAGCGTCCGTGTGCAGCAAAGCAGTGTGGCTATGCTGGCACAGAGCTGGGAAAGGGGCGCCATCGCTCTCGTCTCGCATCGCGAGCCTCCGCTCCTCTCTCTCTCTCTCTCTCTCTCTCTCTCTCTCTTCTGCCCAAGCATCTTGGCGGCGACGAGAGCCTGCCAAGCTGATGTAGACGCCGGTTCCCTCTCAGCGCCCAGGGTGCCTATGAATCACAAGAAGGGATCGTCGCCGGGCATCGAAAGCCGCCTCGCTGCTGATCAACACCGAGCGCTTCGTGGACCGGCTGACTCGTAGGGGACGGGATGCAGAGCTGATGATCCTTGGTTCGAGAGGCGACGATGAGAAAAGCCTACAAGCCGCGCCCCCGCAGACAGCTGGTCAGCGTGCCACTCTCCTCTTCCTGCATGCACGCGTCCCAGTGCAGCCTAGCCGCTCGCTTGCTCCCGTCAGAAGGAGGAGGAGAGGGTGCGGAAACGGTCGTTGTTGCAGAATCAATTATATTCCCGGCTCAGGTTGCCAGCCGTGAGAGTAGATGGAGAGCGAGGGAGAGCGTCCATGTACCTGCAGGAAATACGAGTACGCATATCGGTCGGATTCGCACAACCAACTCGACCCCACTGCCCCATTGCCCAATCACCGAAGCTCCTACCCAAAAATACGAAAACCGAACCCCGCTCGCACCAACCCAAGCGGGCCACGGACAAGGGAAGGCGAAAAGAGAACCATCCTTTTGTAATTGTTGCGCGTCGACGAAGCCATAGACAAGGGCTTGCGAGGCATCGAAACTCGCGCGTCTTTTCCCATCAGGTGTTTCTCAGCTGCACAGCCGGCCAGGCACAAGGCACCAGGCACCGAAGATGATGAAAAGAAGCGAAGAGGGCAGTGAAAGAGGCAACCGCTCTGCTGGGACGGAGAGGACGGTCGAGTCTGACTACCCTCCTACTCTCCCATTTCCAACACCGCCCTGACTGCGCCTCTCACCAGCCTCCCCTTCCACGTATGCTTTTTGTGCAGCGAAGAGCGAGAAGAAGTGAATGCACGAGACACACAGGTATTCAGGTACCGGGGGCGGAGACGGAGACCGAACGACCGACACCAACAGCATGTGAAAATGACGCCACATTTGGAAAACATGTGGAGAGATTGAGGCACGGCCGTTGTGCCAACAATAACAACAACAATGGCAACAAGAATCAACAGTTTTTCTCTCCCCAACTGTAGAGCTTTTGAAGAAGACAAGAAACGGGAGATCATGTTGGCTGACAACAACTGGAAAATTCCGATCTTAAAAAAAAAAAATACACGCACACACACACACACACACACACACACACACACACACACACACACACACACACACACACACACCGACGAACCACGTGCCCCCCAGCAAATCCCCAAGGTCCCATGGGCGGAGCCCCTCCGGCGACTAGTGGAAGATCCAAAGGGCTCTTGGCAGATGGCTCGAGGACTTGCCTAGGTATGCGCCGAGAAACATACGTGAAGAACGAAAAATAATTGGAGGTGGAGATGCGTGGGTCCCCAAGGAGCCGACCAATGTTTACTACTGCGGAGGCCATGTACATACATACATACATACATACCCAGTAGTGCTGAGAGCATGCTCAACAAGCGCGCGCGCCTTCCATCGCCTTCCTCTTTGCTCCTCCTCCCCACCATCTGAATCAAAAGGGAAGACCCAAAAAATTTAAAAAAAAAAAAAAAATAAGAACCGAACAGGAACCCCGATGCATGCTGAGACACAGGCCTGGCATGGGAAGGCCCGCAAGCCGAACCAACCGTGTTTCGCCTCCCCCCCCCGCGCCCATTATCCCGTCGGCATATGGAAAGTTTAAAATAAAAAAAAAGAAGGGAAAAGTTAAGGGTATACGCGGCACAAGCATTTTGCATGCACGATGTGCCCGTGGGAAAAGTATGATGGGACGACGGGGGTGTGGGTCCGCGGCACTTCGTCGTGAGAAAGGTTTCGGCTTCTTCAGCTCATTCAAGGGATGATCCATATCAAGACGGACGGACGGACGAGGACAAGAAGACGTAGACTTTCGTACTTTCTCGACTTTGGGGCGAGCACTTTCATTCACCATATACGCTAATGTGTGTGTGTGTGTGTGTGTGTGTGTGTGTGTGTGTGTGTGGGGCCAAGTGTCCACTCATGCGATATTGCGCCGGGGAAATCATGGTTTCTGAGGCCATACCATATGGTACGATAATGTCAGGACGGGGGGGGGGAGGGAAAGCGCCTCTATCCCTGCAACCTCTCGGTGCCAGCTCGTTTCAAATATTCAACCCCTCACGCTTCAACCATTGGGGATGCGTGATGTGGCCAGAAGGGATTCAGCTATAACGGGGCGTTGCCACAAAAAAGGAAAGATGATCGTTTTTGGCCATGAGTCTTGGGCGAGCGTGTGACCTGATCCGATCGGCTCCATCTGCCCTCACATCACATGTTCTGAGGGAAAGGGGGCGGGAAAAGGCATACCTGCCACACACTCACCTTCCCAGCAACTCGAAGAACTCGAGACACTCTACTGCAATGCAAGGCGGCCGAGCGGGGCGGGGGCGGTGAACGGGCCTAACTCGATCCCGATGCTGCTTCTGCTGCTGCTGCTGCTGCCCGTGTCCTTCTGACAATTCATCGGGCTTGACTCATGAACGTGCAGCAACAAGCCTATCAGGGGCAAGGCTGGTCCCAGCACCGTGGTTCGACGGGTGTCTGTCCTGGGGGTGGGGGGCCGGATCTTGCCCAAAAACGAGGTATGTACCTAGTGCTCAAATGGTCTATCAAGTAGTCGCTAATGTGCATTATTGTAATCCCTTTTTGGAGACAGCCGGTGACCAGCGATTTGAGTCAGGCTGCAGTGGACGGGTATGTTGTTTGGAGCCAAGGAGTGTGGTGTGTGAAGAGATGCTTTTTTCCCATTCATGTCTGCGATAATGGTACTAGCATTGGTGCCGAGAGTTAATCGGCTGGCCGGCACTTGGGCTGCTCTGCACAACCAACCCTCCAAACAGACTCCGAGACGCGCAGGGGAAAAACGACAACGGTTGACCACGCTATCGGATATCGCCCTCGTTCTAGAACCTACCGCTTTTCACGGTCCATCGGTATGGATGATGCTTGAAAACCTCCTTCGCCTAATCTCGGTTTGCGGACTTACCTGCGGACTCGCCTCCCTGCCTCTGAAGGCGCCCGCTAGCCCGTGTCCGTTGCCCCAAGCGATGTCCTCGTCAATCTCGTCTTGTTGGACAATGTCCTCCAGTATGCTCTTCGGTACCTCCGTCTCGAAGCAAGCCTGGATGTCCCCATGCACGCTGAAGCGCGACCAGTTCCAGATGGTAAACTTCCGCCTCTTGTTAATTGCCCCGAGCGAGCGCCTCTTTGACCTCCATAGATTACGGCGCTCGTAGAGCGTGATGGCGAGCAATATGGGCGCGTTGAGGATACGCACCGCGGCGACGTTGATCTTGTGGAACCACCTCGCCGACACGACGAACTTGAGCGGCACCAGGATAAGGAGCGCAAGTACGTTGAATGGCGGCCGGTAGGCAAACAGAGCGTCGCTCTTGACTCCCTCAAACGTCAGCACTGCGCGTCTGAATTGAATCTCGGCGTTCGCGTCGTTTGCAACTTTTGAGAAAGTGTCGCTGAGGATGGCGACGAGGATGGTCAAGAAGAGCGTGTTTCCAAGGAAGGCAAAGGCAACCATCAAAGCAGGTCCCAGGATCAAGTGGAACGTCGGGGCTTCCTGAACCCCCGTGGCGTCGAGTCCGAACCAAATGTACAGCATCCACTTCGCTATGGTAATCGGATCGGGTTGGTCAGCCGGGTTACCGTCAGGGCCGACTTGTCCGAAACTGAGCCATCTCAATGCCAAAAGGAAGCCAGCAAAGAGCCAGACGGCGATGAGTGTGAGTAGCACAAAGTGGCCCATCATGGCTCGGAGGGAGATCATAAGCATGTTCTCCGGCATCATGTTGAAGGCCAGCCGTGGCAAGAGGATGGGCGCCGCCACGGAGAGTATGTCCAGGGCCTGCCGCCCGAGCCCAAGGTCATCGTGCATCCAGCCATGCATGCGGAGGGAAATGTAGGCCACGTAGATGATGACAAATGTGATGTCCAGGAAAGACCACAGGTTTTGCGAGTATACCTTCCAGCCGTGCTCTAGAATGGTTGCCGATTCATCCAGGCACCAGCCGGCTGCATAGATGGCGAATATCAGTTCGTAATAGGTCCATTGGGTATGGTCCCGGTTGGTCATCGTCACGGCGTAGAGGGCAATGAGGAGAAGGAACTGGCAAATGTCGATGACGTTCCTGGTGCGTGGGACTATCAAGCGGTAGTGGTTGAGAATGGGTGCGCGGCGTGGATTGTACAGCCGGACGGGCTTGTGTTTGTAGTGGTCCGGGATGATGTCGATGAAGGCAATGGGCGTATAGACGACCCGTCCACGGTACACAGCGTCAACGACCTTGGAGCAAGCCGCGCCGCTCAAGAAGTGCTTGCTCTCGGAAAGGATGGCGATCTCCAAGGCGGTGAACTTGCCCTCGTAGCCTCCACGCTCTTGTAGAAGCCAGTCAAAGACATTCCCACTCTCCTCCATGACCTCGTCAGGGGCATTTTGGAATGGATCGAATCCCGCGACGAGGATGTTGGAGAGCAACAACAGGCCGGGGCGACCAGGGTGCTCTTCATCGAAACGGCGCAGGATCTTGCTAGCCACGATCTCGCAGAGAATAGCACGTGTCCCGTTGACGGTTTGATGGAGGTGTTTGTGATAGTTTTGTTCGTGAAGGAACTGCACTCGGTTGACGAGCAGACAGTAGACTGCGGGTCGTTATCAGTAACCGTGTTCCGGCGACGCCAACAGTGCGGCCGACGAACTTGGCAGCACCACGGAGCTAGAGCTAGCGGGCCGCTCATTGGCCGCCAAGAGAAGAGACAGAAGTGCGAACAAAGCTGGAAAATGCTCCGGGGTTCTGGCCAGAGAGGTGTGGCTTGCAACAATAGACTATGAAGGCGAGACTGGGAAAAGGCAGACGTACCGACAGAGCAGTCCTTGGGGTCGTAGAGGCGCTCGACGAGAGGTCGCACAATGAGGGCATTCATGCGGGGGTCACGCAGGGCGGACGAGGTGTAGGGATCATCTTATCAAAGTCAGCGGGGGGTTTGGCCACGGGCGACGCAGAGGCGACGCACCTATGCTCGCAAGGATCAATCGGCGGATGCTGGACGGGCGCAGTCAGCTTCAGCTTCCCGGCCGCGGACGACGTGTTGCAAGGCGCAGGCATACCGATGGATGGTGCGGTAGACGGGCAGGTCCTTGTGCGGGTCGGCGGCAAAAATCTCCTCCTGGGCGTCGGCGTAGGCGCGCTCCTGGGGGCCGAAGCACTCCTCCTCGTCCTCGCCGCCCAGCAGGCTCTCCTGCTCCTCCTGCTGGCGCAGGGCGGCGAGGGCGGTGCTCAGGCGGCTCGCGGTGCGCGGCTGGGGCTGCGGGCGCGAGACGGGCATGGTGAAGTGGCGGGTCAGGGCAGAAGGCATGGCGGGCGGCGGCGGGCGACCCTGGCTCGTCAAGGTGCTGAGGTGACGCGCTAGCCCAAGGCGGCAGCACGACGTTGTACGGCAAGGTGGTGCAGAGCAGTCACTGCGTCCTGGATGCGGGTCGAGGTGCAGCGCAGAGACGCGGTGAAGGGGAAGCCGCCCAGGTCGCCAGGTCGCAGGTCGCAGGTCGCGCGTTCCTGACTGGAGAAACGGCGGCCGTTTCGCTCCCGTCCAGCGCCCTTGATACCGACGGCCTCCCGTCCGCGCCGCCGCCGCCGCCCAGATCGCCCTGCCCTGCCGCTGCTTGTCGTGCTTGTCGTGCTTGTCGTGACCGCCGCCAATCCGGAAACATGGCCACGATCCGCGCCATGGGACTGCTCGCCTCATTGACCTTATCGCCCCACAGCCATGGATACGCCACCGATGCCGCTGCTTCAAGCACATGTCTCAGGACAGCACAACACACAGTGGAGACGCTGACCAGTGACGCGATGCCCTCGTGTCAGCTGGCCGGTCAACCCAATTCAATCAGCCCGTATTCTGTCTTGTGTGAGGTTTTTTGTTTATTTTATCTCTCTCTCTGCTGCTACACACCACCGAAGACCGCCGTACTCCTTGGTATCCATTTCCCTCCATTGCTATACTGCTGTCCCTCCTGCAATCTGTCTTTCTTGGCATTTGTCGCACGAGAACGGCTGAAAAGCCTCTCCCTCTCTCCCTCTCTCCCTCTCTCCTTCTCTCCCTCTCTCCATGAAGTGGCCTACTACCGAGGCCAGAAATGAAAATCCAATCATCTTCCCAATACACAATCTGAATTGACTCGCACCAATGAGCGGAGACCAAGATCAGAGAAAAAGTGCCTGACTTGGCTGCGCAAGATAATCCGTGACCCAAGAATATGAATTGAACGAAAGGGAAAGAAAAAGAAACCCCTCCATCCTGGCTCAGGGTCCTGATGTGAAGGAAGCCAACATTTCAGCGTCCAACTCGAGGAACGGAAAATGGGAAGGGGTATGAAAAGCGGGAGGGGATTTGATTACTCGCGCCCGCATCGTTGAAGAGAAAAGCAACGGAAGGATACATCGGGTTGTACACTGTGTCTTGCAGCAAGTGAAACGAATCGTGTGTAATAAGGCCTGGGCATGCATTGCACCGTGCCCCAAACTCGATGGTAGAGAGCATGAGGGCGGAAAGAAACTAGTATTATCGGGAAAGAAGAAATGAGAAGCCGGCCACGCTTGAGGAGGGGAAAACGCCGGGTATCAATAAAGCAGCAGAGAGGTGTAGCTAAACATCGACGAGAACGTGAAGAAGCCATTGAGCGTACCGTAGAAGCCGACTGCCGTCTTTTTCCGAGGCACAACCAGGGAGCGTCTGGCCTAGAGGTGGAAGAATGAAAGAAATCCTTCTATGAAAACTTTCCTCTCGAGCCTTGGCTCGTAGCATCTCTCGCATCATAAGAATAACCATACTGATAGTCGTTGAAACGTAAAACCCTTTCCCCCTTCAATCTAGCATGATGACTTCGGGATCGGGTTTGATGGCTGGCGGCTGATTCGGCAGCTTCGCCTGACCTTGCGTCTGCGGCTTGATCTGCTGGCTAGGCCCCGTCACTTGCTGTGCCGGGCCAGCACCACCGACTGGCCTGTCCACAACCGGCTTTTGGTGTTTCTTGACCACTTCATCCAGTTTCTTCAGTGCACCTTCCACACCTTCGATCTTCGCGACGATGCCAGTCCTCACGCCTATCCACTTGTCGCCGCTTTGCTTGAGAACGTCCTTCATTGCCGCAACAAATTCCGGGGAGCGGGGGTGAGCCTGCTGATTCGTCGAATCGTGAATGTGCCATTCCATGCTGTCATGTCGTGTTCGTAACCGGATATCAAACGTAGTCATGGGGTTTTCATAGCAGATTCGATACCAATCCAAGCTGCGAGGGTTGATGTACGGCTGAGGCATAGAGGCAGGAGCAGGTGCGCTGCTTTCCATCGCCTCAAACCCTCTAAGCAGCGGCAAGGTTTGAGAAAGGATTTTCATGAAATAAGGAAATGCCTTGCTGCTATCCCGGTGGTTCAGCACATTTTTGAGGAATGCTGCAACTCGGCGATGGGGATTGTTCGGGGAGATGTGAAGCTCAACCGGCGAGCCCTCGGGGAAGCGAATGTCGGCCTTGTAGTTGCCACAGTAGCGGAATACAACGCGGGACAGGCTGATCTCCGAGCAGGGCAGCTTTTGGTCTTTGGCAACATCAACGATCCTACCAAGACGCTCGATGCGCTTCAGGCGGTTGATGATCTTTTCGAGGAAGGGCTCGCCAAAAGGCGTTCTCAACCTGACCTCAAAGGTGCCATCGCTGTTGAAGGAAACATCTCCCGCCTGTGATGATACCAGGTTGAAGTCAACGTGCCCTTGTGACATCTGACCCTTGACGGCATGAACAACGCATCCGGTATTTGTGTCTAGTCCCTTGTGGTGGAGCCTTAGTATCTCGCCAGCCCAACTGTTGTGGCCCTCCTTCTCGCCAAGGAGAGGGCCGCTCTTGATGAATAGTGCTGGCGTAACTTGTGGGACAGGGCGATCTGTAGGGTTCTTTTTCCTCTTCTGATCGCGGACGATGCGGAGTACATTCGGCACATGCATCCGTCTGAGCTCTTTGATGGCAATCGCAAATGTGAATTGAGCACTGGCAATCTCCTCCACGGCGCGGAGAAATTTGTAGGACAACGGCTGTTTCCTTCCAGAAGGGGCGGTTCCCAAAAGCGGAATCACCTCCTGGATACCGTTGCCGATGCTTTCGTTAGATCTGGGATTTTGGGTCAGTCTTTGGGTAGCTCGCCCCTTCCCTAGTACTATACTTACAGCTCTAAAATCCACCAGTTCTCTCCGTCGAGATTCACGGTTAAACCCAGCACCCATCTCGACAGCCAGTTTGGACAGCGATAAAAACTCTGAGCAACTACCTTCTGCTGTACTGATGCGCTCGTAGCTTCGGGTCGAATATTGATGTGTGTGAGTTTTGTCCAGCCCACGTTGTAGGCCTCCTTGTCAACACGATTCTGGAGATCGTTACAAATCAATGTCTCAATCTTTGAAGCGGCATCCATAGCAATGTCTTTCATGGTCCTTTCCAGGTGCAATGAGAACGGAGTTACTGGCCGTAGAGATAGTCCTCCCGAAATCGGGTCTATCCTCACTTCCGTCGCCTTGGACGTGCGGCCTGGTCGTAAGTGCAAGCAACAGTCAGCCGGTTCGGCAGGAGAAGTGATGGTTTCCATAGACAAGCCAGATCGCTTCTCGGATAGGGTGGATAACTGGTTGCGAATCGACTCCAAGATGAAGCTGATATGCAAGGCGATGATAGCTTTCAATATGTTCTCCAAAGACAGCTCGGTCCAATCGATCTTGAGAGGAATGGTTTCCACCGGCACACCTTTACGCGTCCATCGAAGGGTGAGCTGCGGCGGACTGGGACCACGCCAGGATACTTTGCCGTCCTTGGATTTGCCGCTGGAAATGCCAATTTCAATCCAACTCTTTGCCCCAGAGGTACCGGTCCAGTATTGCACCGTCAATGAGCGATGGACCTGTTGCACATGGATGGAATTGGCCCATGATGTATGCGCAAGCTCGTAGGCTTGCATCTTGAGCGTTGTGAGCTTATGGGTGAGCACAAAGCCATGTAACCAGTCGTAGATCCCGCTCAGGCCCGTGTTAGCTAAAACAAGGTTCGCTTGCGGTTCCACCCAGTCTCGGAACCATCCATCGGGAACTTCTGGCTTCGGGGAGAAAAGGAATTGTAGGTCGACAATGAAGAACGAGGATGAGGGGTCTTCATCCGCTATCGAGACGTCGAGCTGGAATTCAGACGGGACACGAAATGTGGCGCGGCCGCTCGCAATGGACCAGTCTTTCATTTGCCGCGGAAGCTCTTCATGCAGATTGATGCGGATGGCCAAAAGCGCATTTAGATTGGTGACGGTCTTGAGCATTTGCTGTGGAGTCAGTGGTTCGGCGGGAAGGTAGCCCAACTGATCCCGTCAGTCTACGCATCACTTTTGCAGGAGAACAAACATACATCTGGCATCCAAGGGGCCTTTCCGGTGCTGAGCACCTCGAGCGCAGTCTTGAGATCCGGGTTAGGAGCCTTTGCAAGGTCCATGTTGAGCTTCAATTGGCCGATCCATTTAGGCGCCTCTTCATAATGGTTCATTTGCTCCGTCAACCACGCGTTCAGGTCTATCATCTTGCTCACGTCTTCACAGCTGCGACTCCACTTCGACAACACTAGAAGCTTGATGAACTTTTCCCTCTCTCCCCATGCCCAGTTCAACATCAACGTCTTCTTTTCCTCGTTATCCCGGGACTGGGGTGCCGCCCCATTGACGGCGTGTCCATTGACGCCATTTATCGCAGGAGTGGATGATATTTGCAGGTTACTCATTTTATCCAGGAGCTCACTGAGCGACACGTTTGTCTCTTGCGCGACGCGCTCCACGAGCTTGCCGAAGGGCATGTAGAATTCGGTGAAGTGAACCAGCTCCGGTGGCAGTTGCGAGAGGTCGGCAGGCGGAGATTGCGACTGCGAGGCTGCGCCGTTGGTGGTGGCTTTGCCGTTCATGTCGGAAGGACGGTCGACGTGCGGCAGAGGAACGTCGCCATTGAGCTTGGAGTGCGCCGCCGCGGATGCGGCCAGCGCTCTGTCGTCCAGCTTGCCCAAGCTGGCGCCCTGCGCGCCATTTCGATCCATCGAGACGATGCCGGGCATACTCCTCCCCTTCGCTCCGTCGGCGCCGTCGCCGTAACTCCCCTGCACCCCCTCAAGCCCGTCCTCCGCCTTGCGCTCGGCCAACGGTATTTTGGAAAATTGCGGGAGGTGCTGCGTGGAGGCTGCGATGGTCTGGGGGCGGGGACGCGGGGCCGGGGCGCTCGAGTGCGGCAGCCAGGCGGCGGAGGCAACGCGCAACGGCGCAGGCAGGTGCAATCCGCGGAGCGGCTTTGTTCGTCGGCCAGCGGGGTGGGGCGAGGCAGCGAGGGCGCGCTGTGCGTCGACAGGGTGCGGAGAGAGCGTCTGGGCGGTCGGTGGCGAGGGGTGGGTGTGGTCGGCGTGCGCGCCTTGGGGTGATGTTGAGGGAAAGAAGGCGAGCGATGATGCAGCAGGTGGTGAGGGCCGCTCGCCGCCAATCCGCCCAGCCTTCTCGCTCCCAGTCTTGGCCGCCGACGACCGTTCTTCACCACCGCGCGTTGTCCTGACAATCAAACTGCGCCCTGCGTGCCGCAAAGCAAGCACGCGAAATTGCTACTTCCACGTCGCGCGCCTTCACTTGCGCAACATGCGCCCTCGCAGCTGGCGGGCGCGACACATGGCCTGGCGGCCTTTGCTGCGGTCGAAATAGACGAGGCGCGGCCGTCGCGCGTGCCAGCGCTGCCCGTGTGTTCCGTGCAACAGCGCAAACCCGGCACGGCATCGCTCTCCTGAGCACGCCTGCAGCCGCTCCTGAGCCCGCCGGCCACGGGGCTGGGCTCGCACGCCCGCACCCATGCCGAACATTTGTGAAACGCGGCCAAACAGCCCAACCATGGCACCTCTGCCGTAGTCTCATTAAAGTCGGCTGCCGAGCTGATGACGGCGGAGCGCTACTCCGGTGGCCGGCTCCCGCTCCGCGTGAACGCCATGCACGATGCTAGCCGAGACGTGTGGCAGGCAGGCGGATCGCCAGAGCGCAAGCAATCGAGGCGTCGCGGGAGACCCTGCCCGGAAACGCCTTTTCCGCAGCCTGCGTCCATCCACCAATGCCCCGCAGCTGCTCCCGCCTGTGCAAGCGTCCAACTGGCCGCCATTGTTTCTTGAAACATGGTGGGTTGCACGATGCGACTCTCGCACGCTGCCTTGGCTGCCGCCGAGATAGGAAATCAATGGCTCCCGTTGCTTCCCAGGGCACCATTTTCAGGCAGAGAGACGCGTTCGGACGGGCAGCGAGGTTTTTGGCAGCAATTACTCGCAGAGCCGCATAATGCGCGCAGAAAAGGCGACCCAATAGGCTTTGAAACAACAAATGTCAAGACGATGAACCAATCACTGGGGACCTGCAGAGCAAAGACACCAGGTACTCAGGCCGGCTGTGAGGACGTCTGCCGACAGCCGGTCCAGGCGCAGGAGGTGCAGGCGGAGTGCAGCCCGTGGTCCAGCGGTCCAGCGGGCTATTTCCGGCGGAGGGTGGGGTTGCAGGGTCGGCGCGACTTGTGACTTCGCGTTCGCCTCACGCTCACGTCCCTCATGTCGTCGTCGCGCTGTGGTGGTGCGCCTGTCAGCAACGGAACGACTGCTCGCCCTCCGCTTATCTGCTTGGCAAACCAGCACACCGCATCGGGAGGCAGCGCGAGTAATACGTGGGGCGTGCCGGGCAGTTGAGGTTTGAGGAGTGAGCGTGACGATAGACAGGACTTAAGGACTACCTACCTAACCTGCGCTCATGTGCACTTTTCTTTTTTTTTTTGACCGGCGCGATGTCCGGGCGGAAGGCAGTCGCATTGTCTGGTTGAGCTCAGCCCGCATGCGCTTCGCCGTGTCTGCGGCGGCATGCACGTCTGGCACATCTGCTATCGCCGGCTGGGCTTTGGCGCTGGCTGGCTCGATCACGCGGGAAGATCGCATCACGGTCACGGAGATCCACAGCCTGACAGCGGCCTGTACCAGACAGTGTCCTCCTGCCTCTCCTCTCTCCCGTCGTCGCGACGGCCCATGATGGACGCAAGAGGCCCTCAGAGAGCGTAATGCTCTGCAGCGCAGGCCGGTAGCACGCTCGAATCACAGCGACGCCCCTCGTTCAGCTCCCACCAACCCTGTGCTCGCACGTACCCCAGGCGGTCCGACTCGTAATGGTTCCGCGCCAACAGCACAACCCGCCTCCGCAAGTACCTCCACAACACTCGCCGCCTTTCCGCCCGGACCTCTTTCGCCAGCCGTCCGCCACCTCCAAGCGCTCCTTCCAGACCTCCTACAGCGCCGACGATGAACGCTCAATAGCCGCCGACACCATGGGTCCTGACCGCGAGCGCAACATCCCTGCCCGCCCGCCGCAGTATGATGGCGAGGACACCTCTCTGACCTCGCGCACGGAGTTGTGGGGCTTCTACGGTTACGGATGGGCTGCCGAGGTACACAAGATCCCTGGGACACTGTGGAGAGCATGCGCGCTGACCAGTTCGTAGGTGTTTGTTGTTTGCGGTGTTGGTAAGCTTCCCTGTCTATGGCTTGCCGCAACCTCCGTCGCGGCTGCGATGCGCTCCCGGTTTGCCTGGCGGACATGTCTGCGAATGCGATACAAGGCTCCGTGCTCTGTCCCAGACCGCCTCGATGTCGTTTCGTCACAAGGGTGTCCGGTCCTGCCGACAGCTTCTAGAGCGCAAGCATAGTGCCGATTCAACTTGGCTGACCATGGCTTCAAGGATCCTTCATACCAATCACCCTCGAGCAGCTTGCTCGAGAACGCGGTGTCCTGCAGTCGGACGGCAAAACTCCGTGCACCACTCCCTTCGATAACCCACTGCCGCCGAACGCAACGTCTAACCATGTTCCAAACTCGGATGCCGCACAATGCGTAGTCTATATCCTGGGCGCCGAGGTCAATACGGCCAGCTTTGCCATGTATACCTTCTCTATCAGCGTTCTGGTTCAGGCTCTGTTGATCATATCCATGTCTGGAGCCGCCGACCATGGCATGCATCGGAAGACGTTCCTTCTAAACTTCGCCTTTGTGGGCGCCGTTGCAACAATGTTCTTCCTTCCGGTCACGCCCCAAGTGTTCGTACTTGGAGCTTTGCTCGCAATCATTGCAAACACCTGCTTTGGTGCCTCGTTTGTCTTGCTCAACTCATTCCTTCCACTGCTCGTCAGAAATCACCCGCGCGTTGCGGAATATCACCATGAACCTGAAGACTCTTATGGCGAGGAAGACGATGGCTATCATGAGCATGACAGATCTGGAACTGAGGATGAGGAAGATTTAGACTACGATGAAGTGCCACATCAAAGGTCTGCACTGCTGCGGCATTCTTCATACGTGGACCATACGACACCATTTCCTAAATCGCCCGCTGTGAGTAACCTGTGTTTTACAAATCTTTTCGACCATGGCTTGCTCCACTCTTGCACAAGTCTCGGCAGTACCCGCGTCCAGACGTGTGGAGCTATAAATGCCCCTAAAGGAAACCATTCTTGCAACTGCTTGCAAGTCGAGGCCGAAATGGCTTTTCGCCGCACAGTCAAGCGGGTCAGTGCTAACGTCGACTTAGACTTCGTCACATGAGCTAGCCCTCTCCACACGAATCAGCTCGTACGGAATCGGCATCGGCTACATAGCGGCCCTACTGGTTCAGGCCATTGCCATCATCATTGTCATGCAAGTCGCTACAGAGTCGACCAACTTCTCGCTCCGACTCGTGCTATTCTTCGTTGGGGCTTGGTGGTTCGTCTTCACCATACCGGCCGGCCTTTGGCTGAAGTCTCGACCTGGGCCTCAGCTACATATCGGCGGAAGGGAGGGCAGGTTGCAGACTGGCTTGGAATATTTCAAGTATTCCTGGAAGTCTCTTGGAAAGACTGTCATGCACGCGCGGAAATTGAAAGACGTCCTTCTCTTCCTCGGCGCATGGTTTCTCCTCAGCGATGCCATCGCGACGGTGAGCGGAACGGCAGTCCTTTTCGCAAAGACTTCGCTGGCAATGAAACCCGGCGATGTTGCCTTCATCAACGTCGTGGTTACGGTGACGGGTATAATCGGGGCATTTTCGTGGAGTCGGCTGTCCATTATGATGGGTCTCAAGCCCACTCAAACGATATTGTCTTGTATCTGTCTGTTTGAGCTGATTCCCATCTACGGACTTCTTGGATACATCCCAGCGATCCGCAAACTAGGGGTGTTTGGGCTCCAGCAACCGTGGGAGATGTATCCCTTGGGTGCAGTCTACGGCTTTGTCATGGGCGGCCTGTCCTCGTATTGCCGCAGCCTCTTTGGAGAGCTCATTCCCCCAGGATTCGAGGCGGCCTTCTACGCACTGTACGCTATCACAGACAAGGGCTCGAGCATTTTCGGACCAGCAGTGGTCGGCGCGATCACGGATGCCACGGGGGAGATCCGCCCAGTAAGTTCACTCCGGTGCACGCCATGACTCCTACTAACGCCTCCAGGCGTTCTGGTTCCTTGCGGTCCTGGTCGGACTGCCGTTCCCGCTAATGGCAATGGTGGATGTTGACAGAGGGAGAGCGGACGGGGCTGCACTGGCTATGGCGTTGAGCGAAGGTAGAGGCAAGAGCCCGGAGCGGGGCAGTCGCCGTCTCAGCAGCCCGGAGTCGTTTCGCGAGGGAGAGGAGGACACAGAGGGTCTGCTGGGAGAGTCAGGACGGTGACATAGCCTCGCCCGCAAGGCGACAGTGCTAAATTGGAATACGATAAGAACACGTGCATAAAGCGATATAGTTTGGTGAGCGTGGCTGGTTGGCTGTTGGTTGGTGCGCGGGTCGGTGGAGCCTGTTCAGGCTAAGCGGATGCAATACCGTGTCCTCATCGCCAGAAGCCCCGGGCGCTCGTGCTGCCACGGTGCGGCGACGCTGGGCTGAGCGTCCGGTAAGGGCAGGCGGAAGGCGAATTCGCCCCCGAGACGGGCGGCAGTGGAATTATACAGCTGAGGCGGAAAGGCAGGGCCGTGGAAGCGGGCGAATGGTTCCATGGCTGGTGCACATCGCTGTGGACCCTCGGACCGGCCCAAGCTCCCACGCCAAGCCAGCTGTGCAGGGCTCTCCGCGCGCGCGAACTAAAGGCCAGCTTGCACGTCTATCCGCCCCGGCACTTGCCTTATAAATCACAGCTGGCAAGCGGGCCCTTTACAAGAGCTCCGAGCAGCCTCTCCACGACCCTCCTTCCACACACTCTCCGCCCGAGTCAATTGCACATCCCTCCACCATGAAGACTTTCAGGAACGCCGTCCTCGGCCTTGTGGGCGCCGCCGCGCTCGCCTCGGCCTCTGATGTCGAGGAGCTCACCAAGGACTCGTTCAACGACTTCGTGGGCGCCAACGACCTCGTTCTCGCTGAGTGTACGTCCCGCCTTCCCGTCCGCCTTTGCACCTGAACCGACACTGACCTCTGTGACACAGTCTTCGCTCCGTGGTGCGGCCACTGCAAGGCCCTCGCCCCCGAGTACGAGGAAGCCGCCACCCAGCTGAAGGAGAAGAACATCAAGCTCGCCAAGGTCGACTGCACTGCGCACCAGGACCTGTGCCAGGAGTACGGTGTCGAGGGCTACCCCACCCTCAAGGTCTTCCGTGGCCTTGACTCCATCGCTCCCTACGCCGGCCAGAGGAAGGCGGATGCGTGAGTTGCCGAACTGTCGTCCTGAGGACCAGCCGTTTGTCCTAATCGCAGCTACAGTATCGTGTCGTACATGACAAAGCAGTCCCTTCCCGCCGTTTCGACCCTCGCAAAGGACAGCCTCGAGGAGTTCAAGACCGCCGATAAGGTGGTTCTCGTCGCCTACTTCGACAAGGACGACAAGGCTACCAACGAGACCTTCACCGCCGTCGCCAAGGACCTCCGTGATGAGTACCTCTTCGGTGCCACCAACGACGCCGCCGTCGCCGAGGCTGAGGGCGTCAAGCAGCCCGCCATCGTCCTGTACAAGTCTTTCGACGATGGCAAGGACGTCTACACTGAGGCCGTCGAGAAGGAGGCTCTCGAGAAGTTCATCAAGACCGCTGCCACTCCTCTGGTTGGCGAGGTCGGCCCTGAGACTTACTCCGGTTACATGAGCGTAAGTCACTGTGTATCCTGGAGCTGAAATTCTGAATCTAACATGCACAGGCCGGCATTCCCTTGGCCTACATCTTCGCCGAGACCCCCGAGGAGCGTGAACAGCTCGCCAAGGAGCTCAAGCCCATTGCCGAGAAGCAGAAGGGCAAGATCAACTTCGCCACCATTGATGCTAAGACTTTCGGTCAGCACGGTGCCAACCTGAACCTTGAGGTCGGCAAGTGGCCCGCCTTCGCCATTCAGGACACGGCCAAGAACCAGAAGTTCCCCTTCAGCCAGGACGAGAAGATCACCGAGAAGGCCATTGGCAAATACGTTGACGAGTACCTTGCCGGCAAGGTCGACCCCAGCATCAAGTCGGAGCCCGTTCCCGAGAAGCAGGAGGGCCCCGTCACCGTTGTCGTTGCCAACAACTACCAGCAGGAGGTCATTGACGGCGACAAGGATGTTCTCCTCGAGTTCTACGCTCCTTGGTGCGGTCACTGCAAGGCGTAGGTTCTCCGATTCCCCACGTTGTCGGTCCCAAAATGCTAACAGTGATTTAGTCTCGCCCCCAAGTACGATGAGCTCGCTACCCTCTACGCCAAGAACCCCGACTTCGCCTCCAAGGTTACCATCGCCAAGGTCGACGCTACTGCCAACGATGTTCCCGATGAGATCCAGGGTTTCCCCACCATCAAGCTCTTCCGTGCTGGCAAGAAGGACGAGCCTCTTGAGTACAGCGGCACTCGCTCGGTCGAGGATCTCGCCAAGTTCATCGCCGAGAACGGCAGCCACAACATTGACGCCTACAGCGCGAAGCCCGCGGAGAAGGCCGATGAGGACAAGCCCAGCCAGGCTCCTGCCGCTACCGAGGAGGCCAAGGAGGGTATCAAGGAGAAGGTCAAGGACGCCGCCGAGGCCGTCAAGTCCGCCGTTGTCGACGAGGAGGACATTGAGGGTCACGATGAGTTGTAAATTATGATCCCGACTTGACTTTGCACTCGGTTTGGGTAGTTGCTTCACGCAACGCGAGAAAATGATTTTGCGGGTTTTTGTTTTGCCACCTCGAATACCAACAAAAAGGAGGGGCTTCTGTAGCATGGTTTCTAGGACTACGTCGGGTTTAAAGGGTCACGGTTATGCCGCTCGATCACGAGCACGCACTTGGGGTTTTTTCTTAATGGGTTATTCTTGCAATGAGATCGACATGTACAACTGCCTTCGTTCCTGTGGAGTGCTTTCGATGTGACCAGATGTCCTTTCATGAATCGCATCTTGAGGGGAAAGCAACCAAGCGCTGACCACTCAACGGAGAGCGTCGAGGACAGGGGCTCCGTCTCCGTCCCGTCACTCCAGTGAATCCTGGTAAGGAAAGGTGGCTACGAGACGATCTGGTGAGGGTCGCGTGTCCTTTCACAACTGCCGAACGATGGATCGTGCTTCTAGACTTCGTGTTTCATTTGTTACCGGTCCCCCGGGCCGTAGGTTGTGGGGTGCCATATGGAGAGAGTAGTAAGTGTACTCTGCTATTCGCTTGGAGTTTTTGTTTGGAGAAAAAAAAAAGAAAATGGGTTTGTTCTTGAGAACACATCGTACAATCTTTGCCAAGCGGTTCAACAAGGCAAGCGAGCGTATGTCTCTCTCTTTCAGGGTGACGGCACGTGCTGAACGAGGCCAGTGAAGATTCCGATTTCGCATCATATTATCAGAGTTCCATACCTAACCTTTCTAGGCCCAACCCGTCTTTCGTCCCTTGCTTAACATCATACGGTTCGCTGGTCTGCAATTCTTGGGTATGTTGGGGGACCGTCACAATCTTATACACTGGGAAGGGAGTACGCGACGAGATCACTGCGGGGCAGCAATCTACCAATATTCCCGTGCCGTGAAGTGAAATGTGATGGACTGCATCGGTGACGGAAAACGCTGAAGATTGGTGAATAGTTTTGATGGAGTGCTTCATGGAGCTGCGTGCTGCGGTACAGAGGCTGCTCGTGGTTGTTCTTTCTTTGTAAGAACCAAGCACGCAAAAGCTCCGAGTTAGGCTAAAGATGATAAAACCCGTTGGTTGTGACATTTCCAAGTGTGGAAATTTCACCCTGATAGCGAACGTAGGTAGTCATGTATACCTCCTCGAACGAGGAAAAGGCACGGACCTTCCCCATGGGCCTTTGGAAAAGTCTACGTGATCTGTCAGGTGTTCGTTTCGGACGTTGAGGAGTTGAACTTGTGTACAGAGGTATGTTGTTTAGAGTCGGGTAGCTGGGATTCGCGAGGATGGTTGGTTTCTGAGTAGCACTCGTGCTCCAAGCATCAACCCGACTGCACACGCGACCATATCACACTCATCAACTTCAACAAAGGGCAGAAACGCATAAGACCATTACCGCATCTACACACATGCCTACATTAAGACAGAAAAGGTCCATCAACCGCTCCCCTTAGCTGTTCGTCCATTGTACATCCCCTCCCACGGCCCACCCCATCACGTCGCCCACCACATCCTCCCTTCCTTCTTCTTCGCGCTCCCATTAGCATTTCTACCGTAGCTCTTCGCATACCCATTTATCTCCCCTCCTTTTCCCTTCTTGCTATTCTTCTCCTCTTCCTTCGCCGGTGTCGTTAGCCGCGCCCATAGCTCTAGTATCCCCGCCCGCCGCGCCGGCAGCATGCTGTACTGTAAGGAGTACAAGTTCTTGCGGTGGATGGGCGGCACGAATCGGCCCGTGACCAGGCACAGGAAGACGCCGGGCGAGATGTAGTGCTTGCGGATGCGGTTGCCGAGCTGGCAGTATTGGTTGAACATGTCCCAGAAGCCAAGGGGGACGGACTGTGCAGTGAAACAAAGGTCGATCAGCACCGAGGAACCAATGGATGGCGGCAACAGGCCTGATTTACCTTGAGGATAATGTAGGATGTCGGCGCAGAGAGCGGTTGTTGTTCCGGTAAGCGCGCGGAACGGGTATCTTGAAGATCGAAACGAATGCCACCTACGCAGCAGTCAGTGGCCGTCGGTATCAGTGTGGGATTCAATAGAGCCATACCAGGCAAACGCCGGGAATCCTTGATTCGGAGCATTAGTGCAAAAATGGGGAAATGGTTTAACAACATTAGCAGGGTATCCAGAACGGCTTTGAGGACGATGATGGCCATCCTCGCCGACGCAAAAGTGAGGTAGAAAACGAAGACGGTGGGAAGCAAGAAGAATAGCAAGGTGAACAGAATCGTCCCCAGCAACAGCTGATCTAGATCGTAGTCGCATGAATCTATCCGGTTGCGCAGCACGTTGCGCTTCTTGCCGCGGAAGAGGTGGAAGAGCGAGAGAATGATGCTGAGTTGCCAGTTGAAGATACGTGCGGACGCGACGTAGAACGAATAGATGTGCAGCGTCAGCACGGAAACGAGATCGGAAAAGAGCGAGATGGGCATCGTGGCGCCCGCGAAGCTAGAGAAGCCGATGAACTGGATGACCTCTGGCAGAAGAGGCCGAAGAGTTTCAATGCATCCTAAACGTTAGTTAGTACAGGCATAGTGAGATATCCGAGTGGGAGACTTACCAGCCCAATAGTCAATGACCCATAGGAAAAGGTCTCCAAGAAACTGGGCCAGTTCATTATTCAGCTTCAAACCAGCGGGCCAATCCATGAGCCAAGATATCATCCCACGCAATCCATCTATTGACCACTCGGTAAGGATCCTGTTCACCTGAAGCGCCACGAAATCCGCGTTCTCAATTATGTATGAGCCAAGGGCAATGCCAATGATCACGTCATTTGCAACAAGCCATAGACTGTTGTAGAAACGAATGTACTCCGGGTGGCTGTTTGTGATGCTCTGCCAGTTGACCTTCCGCTCCTGCAGTGTAAGGAACTGAATGGGCCAATAGCAAAACTGTTGCAGTCGTATGTCGACTTGCTGAAACGTAGCCGAGACGTCCTTCAAGGCTGCCGAATGCGGTAAAAGGCGCCAGTCCAGGACACGAAGTATCACCTCGCCGGCAATGCGATGTGCTATGAGTCCCAAGATGAAGAGCCTTGCGATGACCGGGTACACGTAGCAGCTCAAAATGTGCCAGAGCAATAGGAGGATCTGGTGCCATGCTGTCGTGGCCGATTCAACCACTCTTTCGCCCATAGATAACGCTCGTCTCGACCGAGTGCCGACCAGACCGGCATTTTTCTGGCACAGGGCAGCAATCTCGTACGAGCAGTTGACCTGATCGATGATGTCCGAGAGCGATTCTTCCTTCTGGCTGGGCGTGTGCCGGATGACGGTATGCAGCCTCAGCTTCTGCGCAAGTTTCTGTTTTCGCTCTTTCTCCTGCTCCTCTTCTGCGTCTATTCCATCCAACGGCGGTATTCCCTTCCCTGCTTGAACTTGTTTGTCTGACAATGCCAAGGAGATGGGCATGAGCGAGAGATATTGCATGCGTCCTGGGTCCGGTCGGTCGAAGAGGATGACTTGAACGTTGAACTCGTCGGGTGAGTAGATGCGCGGGTATTTGGACGAGGGGGTTGTGTAGGCGACAAGCGATTTCGGATCGAACGATGTCGGAGAGGTACTGGGATTCAGGGCCCCAAGGACCTGCAGCGACGTGTGCCCGCATCGTTCGAGGATGTCGTTGATGGGGTAGGGCGCGTTGCGGAACAGCGTGCCAACGCGCAGGGCGTTATCGACTGCCCTTAGCTGTAAAAGAGTGAGCGTGAAATCTGGCGAGGCCACCGCGCGCCGGCCTTACCTCGACATCGCGAAGCACTGTCACGACGAATATGTCCAGCTCTGAGTTCCTCCATCCCACGAGCACGCCAGCGCTAGGCTTGGTGGGCGTGTCTGACGGCCAGAAAATGCGCATCAACCCATTGTTCGTGACCATGTCAACATTCCGCACTCCGGTCAAAAGGAACCTCTGCGCCTTAGTTGTTCGCGGGCGGAAATGCCTCCTCCGCTGGTGCGAGGGTGCTGGCGGTGGTGTCAGCCTGGGGCAGGTGGCAGGTGGACGGCGGAGAGACTGACCTCGGCGGCCTCGTGCGCGGCGATGCGCTCAATGGGCACGATGATGAGGAAGAAGGCGATTGACAAGACGAGAAAGCCCTTGGCGGCGCGCGTCTGCAGCGGGAAAGTCAGGCTTCCGGAGTAGCAAACGATTGGGTGGACCTACCACAACCCCGTGGTCCCAGGCGAAGATTGCAAGCTCATACAGACGCGTGACGAGGTCCCAGCGCGCGGTGATGTAACCAGCAACGAATATGCCCGCAGTTAGGACCGAGAAAGGGTGCATGGAGCGGAGTGTTCTTCGTCGAGGCCGCAGGGAGAGGGCTCTGCTGAACGGCGCAAGCGCTAGCGGAGGCGCAGGGTGCTGGAGGCTCAGGAGGCGGCGTGCTGTGCAGCGAGGGCTGGGGCAGGCTCGGTGGTGGGCGCGCAAGTCGCCGGCAGCATGGCGAGCGTGATGCGACTTGAGACCGTGGTCAGTGATGCGGAGCTCCTCGTGGCTGCGTGGGTCATCGTCCGCCAGTGCTCGCCTTGGCGCGCCGGGACCTGACCAGCGCGTCGCCCGCCCTCTAGCTCCACCAAGATGCACCCGGCCTGACCCAGACGCCGTGACGCGCCCGCCGCCTCCACGCCAACGCTTCTCTCTGCGGTGCGCCCGCCATGTCGTCCAGGTACGCTCTGGCCCCGCGCAGCACCGTGCCACCCAGCTCCGCCCCTGCATGCAGCGCGCGTTCGCGTCGGCCGCTGCTGTGCCAAAAGGCGCGTCGCCCAAGAAGAGCCGCCGCCTTCTCCGCCTCGGGCCGCCAATCCAGTCTCGGCTCGCTGACAATGGCCGCCAGCCGCCTTCACCTGCGCACCCCCAGCCGGCAACCCGACTCCCCGTGACCGCCGCCCGCTATTCTTATCGCTGCAAGAATTACTGACTCCCGACACCCAGTCGTTGGTGACCGCCAGACTCCACGACGCTCCTCCGCGGCGTGCCATGGCCGTGTGCAAGTTCTTCCTCCAGGGCAACTGCAAGTTCGGCGGTACTTCACTCCGCTGCCTTCTCTCCGCCCACCCACGCGCTGACCCCCAGTCCAGACAGGTGCAAGTTTGACCATCCCGGCGCCCAGAACCAGCACCGTGGCAATCAACAGACTCAGAACCGCTTCGCCCCCTTGAACAATGCCAACACCGGCGGTCAAGGCGGCAGAGGCCCCCAGCGAGGTCAGTACGCTTCTTTTCCCGCATAGCGTCCTCTTTCACCTCAGTGCTCTCGTCAACTCTCTTTTTTTTCTTTTCTTTTCTTTTCCTGCTCAATCGCATGCCTACGGCTTGGATCTCTTTCTCGCCTCATATTCCAAGCTTTCTCTTTCATGTTCTAGATTGGAATGATAATACTGACTGTCTAAGCAGGCCCTAGACAAGATTTCAAGTGAGTGTCATCGGGAAAACTTACCAACGTTACATCACTTTTGATGCTTGCGCTCAGGTACAATCTGGACCCCGACATCGTTCATGTCGACCTGACGTCCGATCGCCCAATATGGCCGTTCTCGGTTTACGCGCCAGGGAGGACTGCCCCTCGGCACCTGATTGAAGGTCCGATCATGGAGCAGAGTCCGGAGGAAATGCGTCTGCGCTATTATGGTGCAGCACAATCAGGCAATCCTCAAGAAGCTGTGAGTTGAGCGTGATTGGTGCCAAGCAAACCTTCTAATCATCAAAACAGGCCCAACAGGAGACTCAGCTGCTAGGCGAAATGAACCAGCAAATCCAAAATATCCTGGGCGATTTGACTGGTGCCTGCAGATACGTCCAGGAGGGCGAAAATGTCCACCCCAACAGACTAGACAATACGAGCGGAGCACCGGGCCAACAGCAACAGCAACAAGCCGGCACTTTCGCACGTGGTAATGCAGGTGTGGGCCAACCCTCGGCATTTGGCGCAGCAAAACCAGCCTTTGGGCAGCCGGGCGGATTTAGTAGTGTTCCTAGTCAACAGCAGAGTGCATTTGGTGCTCCTTCTCAGCCGCAAGGCGCATTCGGAAGGCCATCGGCATTCGGCGCGTCAGCAAATCAGCCGTCAGCATTCGGCGCGCCATCTGCTCTTGGTGGTGGTGCCGCAAACCCGGCGTTTGGCAAGCCGGCATTTGGTGCTCCCTCAGCATTTGGACAAGCTGCGAATGCGGGATCTACAGCAGGCGCAGCGCCGGCCTTCGGTCAGCCATCTCAGCCTAGTGCATTTGGTCAACCTGGAGGTGGAGCTTTCGGGGCAAAACCGGGATTCGGTCAACCGGCGGGCGGTAGTGCTTTTGGTCAGCCCTCACAACCTGGCGGAACAGGAGCATTTGGAAGGCCAACAGGGACACCAGGATTCGGGCAGTCGGGCTTTGGACAAGCAGCTCAGCAGACCGGAGCTAATGGCTTCGCTCAGCTGGGCCAACAGCAACAACAGAACCAACAGGCAGGAGGGTTTGGACAGGCATCGAATCAACAATCCGGAGTCGGAGCATTCGGGCAGCAGCAGCAGCAGCAGCAGCAGCAGCCTGCAGCTAATGCTTTTGGTCAACCAGCCGCAAAACCTTCTCCTTTCGGCGCACCGGCCCAGCAAGCAGCACCCAGTGCATTCGGAGCTCCCGCCCAGCAGGCAGCACCCAGCGCATTCGGAGCTCCTGTACAGCAAGCAGCACCCTCCGCGTTTGGAGCTCCTGCACAACAAGCAGCACCAAGCGCTTTCGGCCAATCCTCTATGAATGGCCTTTCCGCACCACAAGCGAATGGTTTCGGCCAACGGCCGCCTCAATCCAACCCCACGCCTAATGTCGCTGCTGGCGCCGATGTGTCATCTTACACCACGCGTGGTAACAATAACCAGCTCCTCAGCTGGAAGGGCCAGCCAGTCCAATACATAGACGGCAACCCTTACTATCGCCGACCTGATAACGGTGCATGGGAGCGCATATGGCTGCCGGATGGACCTCCGGCGGAGAACCCGTACTGCTACGCAAAACCAGAGGTATATGGAGAGGTGCTGAAGGAGGCGTATGAGTATTTGAACAGGACAGGAAGCTTCAAGGATGGGGTTATGCCGGAGGAACCACCGATTCATGCAGCTGTCAGGTGGGACGTTTGAGTAAGGAGAGGTTCAATTGGTCACGGGGTACTCGAAGGAAGCCACTCGGCGAGTGAGATGCACACACGGTGCGGAAAAGGCGTTGGGATTCTTCTTTCGGCTCGCCACGCTGGACTGGCGTTCTTGCGCAAACGGACGCTCTTGAAGAGCATACGGCGGCTTACGCCTTCTACTGAAAATCGCGTTCATCTGTTTCGTTGTAGGGTTAGATGAATGGCTCTGATTATCACCGCCCATCATTGCGTGAACATCAACGACCCCCGATGCTCGAAAGAAGATATAGATAAATTGTCGCGCCCATTGCTAACACGGAATGACGCTGTTGCTAAGAAAGATTGACCTCATGCAGTGCCCACCAGTCAATCCGTGCATGAAGCACGATCTTTTCTCATGGAAGAGACGGAGAAAAACACTTCAGACATTCCAAACCCCACTCCTACCGCATGACGACGCCGCCGCCGCTCATCGTCCCATTGGTGCAAACATTCGCATTCGTATCACACGTCACCGTCTCCGTCGGACAGGTGACCCTTTGATCGAACGGAAAATTGGCACCGGCGTTACAATCGCAGTGCTGATCTGCTCAAGTCCTTTGGCACGGTGACGAAGCTAAGTGCTATCTCAAAGCTTGATAGTGCATTTGACATGGCTGAAAGGCCGCGTCAGGACTACAGTAACCGAAGTCAGCGGCGCAGTTGTCTGGAGCGCAGTATCCGTGGATGCTGCAGCAATGACCAAACTGCAAACCCAGACAGAATTCCTGGTTCTGTTGGCCGCATAGACCGTTGCCGCTGGTGTTTGCCCCGGTCTGGGCATAGAAACCGAATCCTATTTCACACGCATCGTCCGTACTCAAACTGGGCGGGGTCAGTCAAGTCAAAGAACAAAGGTTCAACATGCCAGCGACCGTTGACGCTACAACAAACGCCAGACGATAATCCCTGGAAGGTGAAGCCACCGCTGGCCGGTCCGCAGCTTCCATCCGGGGAGACGTTGCTCGGGACTGAAATGCTGACTGCTTGAAGCGTTTGCACTAGCGATGCCGGGAGACAGCGGCAACGACCGGGCAGTACTCGAGACCACTTCTGACGGGCCGCTAGGTATGTTCACTAAGCAGTGGGGTAAGTAATTTGTCATGGCTAATAATAAGTCTACTTACAAGACCTTGCCCAAAGGATGATTGGCGTCCGGCCACGGCCGGGCTCTGGGGGACCGTAGTATTCCCCAAGAATTTGGGCCTTGCCAAGCACCCCCACAGGAAGCTGGTAGAACTGTGCAGTATTGCCTGAGAAGGCCGAATTGTGTCAATTGAGCGTGTTGTTGCTGTCTCGTACACGGTTATTATCTTCGCTTTGCCACCTGCTGAGAGCAACTCAAGACCGCCCAATAGGCCAACAGCCAAGGTGCTAGACAGCATAGTCAAATAGTAGTAACCCAAGTCAACGACGTGAAAAGACAACGGCAGAAACGAGTGGCAACGCCGGGCAATGGTTGAGAAGTAATTAATCTTCAAGGTAGCGGGCTTTGAAGGGCTACCCTCGTGGCCAAACTATGAGGGAGTGGCTCTGTTTGCACTCTCTTCTAGAATGAACAACATTCGTAGGAGCGCCGAGCTTCCCTTGGTGGCTGCACATATAATCGTCCTTGATGGTGATGCATACGACGTTACCCACCTTAGGGCTCGGTCTCCCGCAGCTGCTGCTTAGATATTCAGACCCATCGGTCACAACTCCATGGGAACCTCACTTGAAGTACGTGACTCGCTTGTGTGAGACAATCCAAACCAACCGCCGCTGTTGGGCTTTGACAACAAGTAAGGGACTACTGGGACTTGGAGCGTGAGGCCAAGGGTACTGCAACTGTCCCATTGGCATCTGCCAAGTTTTCGAAACTTGTGCTCCGGTTTCAATTTCGACAAAAACACCGTGGTAAGGACTAGGCCGCCTACGAAAGATGAAATGTTTTCAATGCACGCGCCGCAAGGTGCGATGCAAGCATTCAATTAGGCAATATGTATGTATATATATATGTAATGCAAACACTGACATGTACAGGTACTCTTGGCAAAAGGAAGGCATAATCAGTACAAATCATGGAAGACAAAAAGCATTGATTGAAGTGCACGAAACCGCACGATACAGGTATATCTCCAGACGAGCTCTCCGCCCCGAACTCTCATCCAGCAAACCGACGTTGACTACCCAAATGCAAGACGCTTATCGAACCCGCTAAGCGCCATAATGCTCCACTACCATTACGCTGGCTGACTAATTTACAGAAGGATCATGCCAGCGCCGGTGAGGACGGCACCGAAGACGTAGACACCCATCTGGACGAGACCGCCAACCTGGAAGCTGGGAGCCTGGATGGCCATGGCAGCGCCAGTGGAGGTGCCCGAAGAGCTGGAGCCGCTGCTGGAGCCGGTGCCGGTGGGGGTAGAGGTGATGGTGTTGGTGCCGGCGGTACCAGCCTCCTTGATCAGGCTGGAGCACTGGCCAGTGGGGGTGACGGCAGACTTCAGGGTAGCAGAGCCAGAGAAAGCACAGGCGCTGGAGCTGCTGTCGGCAAGCTCGTAGTAGCGGTTGAGGACGAAAGCCATCTGCTCGGTGGTGTTGCACATGCCGTACGCACCGTAGGTGCCGGTGGTGGCGTTGTGGGTGATACCGGCGCAAGCCTCGTCGTTGAGACCGCAGACGACGCCGAACAGGTCACCGTAGTCGTCAGAGTCGACATCGTCAGCGACAACGCAGCTCAGCGAGTTGTACATGCACTGGCAGAGCTCCTGGTTGGGGGTCGGGGGAAGAGGAGTAGCCTTGGCCTGCCAAGCAGTGCCGACAGACGGGCAGTCGGCGGCCTTGGTGTTGGCGGGGGTGTAGCTGGCAGAGTTGACACCGGTGGCAGTGGCCTTCTGGATCTGGCTGGAGTAGTAGCTGAAGTCCTTGAGGGTGCTGACCGAGTCGCCATCGACGCTGACGAGACCGTAGTCGTTCTCCTCCTGGAAGTACATGTAGACGATACCACCGGACCAGATGTCGTTCATCTGGTCACCGAAGAGGACAGGAGTGTCGCTGAAGGTGCGGGGAGAGACCTCGTTGCAACCGTACTCAGCGAAGAAGACGGGCACGTTGTAGGACTCGAACTCCTCGGTGCGAACGTCGTAGCCAGACTTGGTGTACGAAGAGTCGCCGCACCACGAGTAGATGTTGTAGCCCCAGAAGTCGATCGAAGAGTCAGAATCACCGCAGTCGAAGTAGTCAGCCATGTCGACACGGATGTCGGCATCGTCGTTGGTGGCGTAGCCGACACCAATCTCACGGTAACCCTTGCTCTTGATGTAGGCCTTGCTGTCGCGGACGGCAGCCTTGACGAAGGCCGAGGCGTCGGTGTTGTTGGCCTGGTTGGAGACCTCGTTACCGGCGAAGAAACCCAGGGTGTTGTTGTACTGGGCCAGGTTGTCGATGACGGCAGTGTAGCGGGCGTACAGCTTGTCGTTCCAGGAGGCATCGTTGCGGTTGATCGAGGTGCCGGGGGACGACAGATCGGCAACGACGTAGATGCCGGCGTCCTGGAGCGCCGTCATGCACTCGCTGTGGTCCTCATCGGGGTTGACGGCGTAGACACGGATGGTGTTGGTGCGCAGCTCGGTGAGGTAGGGGATGTCGCGCTTGCAGCCGTCGGCGTCGGCGAGCGGGTCCTTGTAGTTGTCGGCGCTGTCGTCGGACGAGGTGCTGTTGGTCGAGTACTCCTGCTGGTAGGCGACACCGCGGATGTAGAACTGGGTGCCGTTGTTGGAGTAGAAGAACTTGGAGCCCTGCGACAAGACGTGTTAGCGGCGTGGCATGGGGTTGGCGGCGCATGGCAATGCAGCCAAGGCACGGCACGGCCGTCGCGTACCTTGATGACAATCGGCGCGACGTCCGCCAGGGCAGCGCGCGCGAAAAGCGCCGCCGCGGCAGCGGCAATGCCAAAGGACTTCATTGTGGATATCTCAAGGTCGGAAACGGACGGCTTGGGTGGGCTAGAAGGTTGGAATGGTGTGGGGACGAGCGAGGGATATTCGCACCGTGGGGACGGTGTGAGGAACGAGAGACGGAGCGCGAGTCCGGATAAGGAGCGTGAGAAGAGCCTGCTGGGCAGGAATTAAGAAGTCTTGGAGGGTGAGAGAGAAAATAAGGGTGGCTAGGCAGAGCTGGAGTTGAAGAACCAGCGAGGAGTTGCGCTCAGGGGACCCGCACATTGTCCGCCCTGCCGCCCATGCTAAATGACCGAAACGAGCTAAGTGGAGGGGGCGCTCAGCCCGCGAGCTGTCTCGGACGCGCAATCGAGCTGCTAGAAGCTTTCGCCGGCCTTGTTGCACGCCGCGAATCCGGCTGCAGCGCATCCACCGCGTCCCCACTGCTGACGGCGAGCCGACGCAAACAGCCTGCCAGCGCATGTTCTTACGCGCAGTGCGGGTCGCGCTGCTGAGAGCTCCCCAGCGGCCGTCGTCGCCGCCGTGTCATTTCCCCAGCCCAGCGCGAGCACTGCCCCAAGCCAAACCAATCCTGGCACTGCCACACGCGCGCCCATGCAATAATACGAGCAGACGCCCCAGCAAATGGCGTGAAAATGCGATGTGCACCCGGTCCACTCGCGTGCACGCCTAATGTCCGGGCTGATTTGCTCGGACACGCACGCCCGAGCATGCGGTTCTGTCCCCAGCCCTCCTGATGCTCCATCGCACGCTGGCCAGCGCCCAATAACGCCGCGCCAGGATACGAAGCGGCCAGGGTGAAGAGCATGGCAGGCTAGCCATAAGTATTCCACCATCAGCTCCTTCCGAACACCTGCTACTGCTGTCGCCTCCCGCCAACTCCCGCCAGGTGCGGCCGCGGCCGCTGGCAAGCGGTGACACGACGCAGGCCTACGAGCATGAGGACCCCCGATACCGTTCATGCTAAACCCAAGACACACCACCCTGCCGCCGGCCAGCCTGGGAAATGAAGGATGCGGTAGGTCAGTGTTAGCAAGCAACTGCTGGGGGGGCTCTCACCGCGTCGGCGTCGGCGTTGGCGTTGGTGTTGGAACAGGCGGCCGAGAGCGCCCACGCTTGTGGCCATGCGTCTGCAGCCCAGCAGAGCCTCTGAATAAAAAAGCCATCGAGAGCGAGCCTCAACGGCGGCGACTGCCTCTCGCGAGCTGTCGGCGCTCAATTGGCCTGTGAGGCCGGCCTTATGTAAAACGGCGGACGGCGTAGCCCCTTTTCTCTCGGAGCGCAGCGCAGCCGGGCGTGCCAGTGTGAGACAACCGTTTCGGAGGAGACAGGGGCTCCACGCAAGCGCGCCCGCCACTTCATCATCCGGCGATAAGTTGCCTCCTTATCGCTCGCTCGTCCGCTCGCAAATTGGGCGGAGCGTCGCGGCGGGCGGCCAACGGATTTTGGGAAATTTAGATCGAGACGGCTGCTCCGTGCTGGTGGCCAGGAGTGACGTCGCACGCCGCCTCCTGGAGGCGCCCCGCTGCGACATCTCAGGAGGCAGAAAATGGCGCAGAGGCGCAGCGGATGCGGCGGGCGGGCAGCGGGTAGTGGGAAACGGTCGCTGCGACGGGCGCGGGATCGTGGGAGCATCAGCGATTTAACAGCCCTGCAGTGGTCGAAAGGGAATGGCGCTGGGCGGGCGGGACGCATTCATGGAAGCGTCACGCAGCTTTCCCGGCAGATCGCAGCGTGGTGCATATTTGGAACATTTTTAGAACGGCGCGGCGCCGATTGCAGTTCGCCACCTCGCGGAAATCGCTGAAAATCGCTATGGGTTCGGCGGCCCTACTCGCTGGATGTGCAGCGGCGGGGAAGCGCTGGTGATCCCATCGCATGCGAAGCGGCGAGCGCGCGCGAGGTGGGCGCGTCCCTGCTGAGGATCCCAGAGGCTTGGCCCCTATCGCGCGCGGCGGCGCTGCAAAGCAGGAAAGCGGCCAGCGACGGTGCCTGGGAGCACCGCACGTCGCGCAGGCATTCGCGCAGGCAAGCTGATAGACTCATTCGCCGTCGTCGTGCGACGATTCGCCAGCGCGCGCGGCGGGCGTTAGGGCGGCTTGCCGTGCTTGCTTCAATCCCTGTCGCGTACCCACCCGCGCTCGCCCGGCCCAGCGAGGAAGGCACGCCCCGTGCGCAGGCCTGACAGCCGCCGCCCGCTGCCTCAAAAGTGTTGCCCATTCCAGATCCCCTTTTCCCTTTCTCTCTTGTACCGACCACCGTCACCTCACATTCGTTCTCTCACCCACACTGTCACCGGTCCGGACCCCGTCGTCGACGCCCCGCCGCCTGCTACGTCTCGCGCGGGACTCCGAGGACGCCAGCTGCGCAGCTGCGACGACCGCTAGCAGCGCGAACCGGCCACACTTATCATCCGCCAATCACATCGCCAAGTTGCGGGCTTGCACCCGGCCGCGCGTCTGTCGACACAGCAACAGCGACTCCCTTTACCAGTACTGCTCCGCCATCGACTCTCGTTCAATCCCACACCGCCAGCCTGCTGACGCCGCCTCGCCGTTACCCAGAGCGACGTGCCGATTTTCAGCAGCCCACCTTCACTTGAGCGTTAGCGGTGTTTCCCGTTCCAAGGTTACAGCCCCCTTCATAGTAATAGGTGCGTTACAACCCACTGCCAGACTCTCCAGCCTCCACGGTTAGGGGTTCCATCATACCGGGGCAACAAGTCCCACTAACCGTCGGTCCCGCAGACGATCGGCTTTCCCGTTCGTTGTTCATAACAATCCTATCGCTCGCTCTTCCCGACACACCGGTCGCAACCCCCCAACATAAACCCGACCCCGGAACGTAGTGCTATCGTTTCCGATCGCATTGAAGCTTGATAGCTTGAGGTACGCTTGCCCCACTTTCCCCTTGTCCCGCTCTCGTTCTGTGACATCGTTCTGACAGACGCAGTGTTCCGTAACGGTCTTCAGGATGTCGGGACATCCGCAGGGAGGCCATTACGACGATGGCTACGGCCATCAAGGCCAGGACGGCTATTATCAAGACGATCAACAAGGCTACTACGACCAGGGCCATGCTGGCGCCTACGGCCAGCACGGCGACTCCTATTACGACCAGGACGGCTACTATGACCAGGAAGGCCAAGGCCAGTACGCGCAGGACGGTTATTACGACCAGGGCCATGGCTATCAAGACGAGTACTACAATGATCAATACTACGACCAGTCAGGTCAAGGAGGGTACGCGTTGGCCCCCAGCCATGCAACCCCTCCTGAGTGCACAGTGCTAACGATTCTGTAGTGCACGAGCCCGCGGCCCCGGTGGTTCCGAGGACGATTCCGAGACTTTCAGCGATTTCACAATGAGGTCGGATATGGCACGCGCTGCGGACATGGACTATTACGGCCGCGCTGATGGACGTTACGACAGCTACGCCGAAGGTGGACGTGGATACCGCCCTCCGTCATCACAGGTTTCGTACGGTGGCAACCGCAGCTCTGGCGCTTCCACCCCCATCTACGGCATGGACTACACCAATGCTCTCCCCGCCGGCCAACGTTCGCGCGAGCCCTTCCCTGCCTGGAGCGCCGACTCCCAGATCCCGCTTTCAAAGGAGGAAATTGAGGATATCTTCATGGATTTGACGGCCAAGTTCGGTTTCCAGAGGGACAGCATGCGCAACATGTACGACCACCTCATGACGCAGCTCGACTCTCGTGCCTCTCGCATGAGCCCTAACCAGGCTCTTCTTTCCCTTCACGCCGACTACATTGGTGGTGACAACGCAAACTATCGCCGTTGGTACTTCGCTGCCCACCTCGATATGGACGATGCGGTCGGTTTCGCGAACATGAAGCTTGGTGGTGGAAGCCGGAAGACCCGCAAGGCACGCAAGGCGGCTCAGAAGAAGGCCAGCCAGGATCCCGGGAATGAGGAGCAGGCTCTCGAGGCCTACGAGGGTGACAACAGCTTGGAAGCTGCCGAGTACAGGTGGAAGAGCAGGATGAACAAGATGTCTCAGCACGACCGTGCCAGACAGCTTGCTCTCTATCTTCTGTGCTGGGGTGAGGCCAACCAGGTCCGCTTCATGCCCGAGATCATTTGCTTCATTTTCAAGTGCTGCGATGACTTCTACAACTCGCCCGCCTGCCAGAACCGTGTGGAGCCTGTTGAGGAGTTCACTTATCTCAACACCATCATCACGCCCCTGTACACGTTCTGCAGAGACCAAGGCTACGAAATCCAGGAAGGTAAATACGTGCGTCGTGAGCGTGATCACGACCAGATCATTGGTTACGACGACATGAACCAGCTTTTCTGGTACCCCGAGGGTATTGAGCGCATCGTGCTCGAGGACAAGTCTCGCCTGGTCGATTTGCAGCCTGGTGAGCGTTACGAGAAGCTCAAGGATGTCAACTGGAAGAAGGTGTTCTTCAAGACCTACAGGGAGACTCGTTCCTGGTGGCATCTGCTCACCAACTTCAACCGCATTTGGGTCATTCACTTGACATTCTTCTGGTTCTACACGGCTTACAACTCTCCGACTTTCTACACCAAGAACTACCAGCAGCAACTGAACAACAAGCCCAACCCCGCTGCTCAGTGGTCCGCGGTCGCTCTCGGTGGTACTCTCGCTTCTCTTATCATGATCGGTGCTACTCTCTGCGAGTGGGCTTACGTTCCTCGCAAGTGGGCTGGTGCTCAGCATCTTACCAAGCGTCTGTTCTTCCTGCTCGGTGTTTTCGCTGTCAACGTGGGCCCTGCGGTCTACATTTTCGGTGTCAACCAAAAGGGTAAGATCGCGCTTGTTCTGGGTATCGTCGAGTTCCTGATCGCCGTTGCCACGTTGATCTTCTTCTCCTTCATGCCGCTTGGTGGTCTTTTCGGAAGCTACCTGAGAAAGAACTCCCGCCAGTATGTCGCCAGCGCAACTTTCACCGCCAGCTACCCGCGTCTGTCGGGCAACGACATGTGGATGTCGTATGGTCTGTGGGTTGTTGTTTTCGGTGCCAAGCTCGCTGAGTCGTACTTCTTCTTGACGCTCTCGTTCAGAGATCCCATTCGGGTTCTATCCACGATGAAGCTCAGCAAGTGTCTTGGCGACCAGCTTCTGGGTTCGTCGGCCGACATCCTCTGCAAGAGGCAGCCGCAGATTCTCCTTGGCCTGATGTTCTTCACCGATCTCTGCCTGTTCTTCTTGGATACTTACCTTTGGTACATCATCTGGAACATGTTGTTCTCCGTCGCCAGGTCTTTCTACCTTGGTATCTCTATCTGGACGCCTTGGAGGAACATTTTCTCGCGCCTTCCCAAGCGTATTTACTCCAAGGTCCTGGCCACGACTGACATGGAAATCAAGTACAAGCCCAAGGTCCTGATCTCTCAGATCTGGAATGCCATCGTCATTTCCATGTACCGTGAGCACTTGCTCGCCATTGATCACGTCCAGAAGTTGCTCTACCACCAGGTTCCTTCCGAGCAGGAGGGCAAGAGGACTCTGCGTGCGCCTACCTTCTTCGTCTCGCAGGAAGATCACTCTTTCAAGACCGAGTTCTTCCCTGCTGCTAGCGAGGCTGAGCGCCGTATCTCTTTCTTCGCGCAGTCCCTGTCCACCCCCATTCCCGAGCCTCTCCCGGTTGACAACATGCCGACCTTCACTGTTATGATTCCCCACTACGGTGAGAAGATTCTTCTTTCGCTCAGGGAAATCATTCGTGAGGATGAGCCGTACTCTCGCGTTACCCTTCTGGAATACCTCAAGCAGCTTCACCCGGTTGAGTGGGACTGCTTCGTCAAGGACACCAAGATTTTGGCGGACGAGACCTCCCAATTCAACGGCGACTCCGAGAAGACTGAGAAGGACACCCAAAAGGCCAAGATCGACGACCTTCCGTTCTACTGCATTGGTTTCAAGTCGGCAGCTCCGGAGTACACTCTCCGCACTCGTATCTGGGCTTCCCTTCGCTCGCAGACCCTGTACCGTACCATCTCCGGTTTCATGAACTACAGCCGTGCGATCAAGCTTCTCTACCGTGTCGAAAACCCTGAGGTCGTCCAGATGTTCGGTGGCAACTCCGACAAGCTCGAGCGTGAGCTTGAGCGTATGGCTCGCCGCAAGTTCAAGATCTGCGTTTCTATGCAGCGTTACGCCAAGTTCACCAAGGAGGAGAGAGAGAACACCGAGTTCCTTCTCCGTGCTTACCCCGACCTTCAAATTGCCTACCTTGACGAGGAGCCGCCGGCGAACGAGGGCGAGGACCCCCGCATCTACTCTGCTCTCATCGACGGTCACTGCGAGATTATGGAGAACTCCATGCGTCGTCCCAAGTTCCGGGTTCAGCTCTCTGGCAACCCCATTCTTGGTGACGGCAAGTCCGACAACCAGAACCACGCTATCATCTTCTACCGTGGCGAGTACATCCAGCTGGTCGACGCTAACCAGGACAACTACCTGGAGGAGTGTCTGAAGATCCGTTCCGTCCTGGCCGAGTTCGAGGAGATGACCACCGACAACGTTTCGCCTTACACTCCCGGTCTTCCTCCCACGAACTTCAACCCTGTTGCCATTCTCGGTGCTCGCGAGTACATTTTCTCTGAGAACATCGGTATTCTTGGTGACGTCGCTGCCGGAAAGGAACAGACGTTCGGTACTATGTTCGCTCGTACGCTGGCTCAGATTGGTGGCAAGCTCCATTATGGTCACCCCGATTTCTTGAACGGTATCTTCATGTGTACCCGTGGTGGTGTCTCGAACGCTCAGAAGGGTCTCCATCTGAACGAGGATATTTACGCCGGTATGCGTGCCCTTCTCCGTGGTGGTAGGATCAAGCATTGCGAGTACTACCAGTGCGGTAAGGGTCGTGATTTGGGTTTCGGTTCCGTCTTGAACTTCACCACCAAGATTGGTACTGGTATGGGTGAGCAGATGCTTTCTCGCGAGTACTACTACTTGGGAACTCAGCTGCCTCTCGACCGTTTCCTCTCGTTCTACTACGCTCATCCGGGTTTCCACATCAACAACTTGTTCATTATGTTGTCGGTGCAGTTCTTCATGTTCACGGTCCTCCACTTGGGTGCTCTGAACCACGAGACCATCGTCTGCAAGTATGACAAGAACAAGCCCATCACGGACCCTCTCTACCCCACCGGTTGCGCCAACCTCGAGCCCATCTTCGACTGGGTTACTCGTTGCGTCGTTTCCATTTTCATCGTCATCATCATTGCCTTCATTCCTCTTACCGTCCAGGAGCTTACTGAGCGTGGCGCTTGGCGTGCGGCTACTCGTCTGGCGAAGCACTTCTCGTCGCTCTCGCCCATGTTCGAGGTGTTCGTCTGTCAGATCTACGCCAACGCTCTGTACTCCAACTTGTCGTTCGGTGGTGCCCGTTACATCGGTACCGGTCGTGGTTTCGCCACTGCGCGTATCCCCTTCGGTATCCTGTACTCCAGATTTGCGGGTCCGTCCATCTACCTGGGTGCTAGGTCTCTGATGATGCTGCTTTTCGCTACGATGACCATTTGGGACGCATGGTGTGTGTACTTCTGGGTCTCCCTGCTGGCACTCTGCATTTCGCCGTTCCTGTTCAACCCTCACCAGTTCTCCTGGGACGACTTCTTCATCGACTACCGCGAGTACCTCAGGTGGCTGTCTCGTGGCAACACCCGTTCGCACAGCGCGTCCTGGATCGGCTTCTGCCGTCTGTCCAGAACTCGTATCACTGGTTTCAAGAGGAAGGCTCTTGGTGACCCGTCTTCCAAGCTCTCCGGCGACATCCCCCGTGCCAAGTTCACCAACATGTTCTGGAGTGAGATGGTCGGTCCTCTGGTTCTGGTCGCTATTACTGCCATTCCCTACCTCTTCATCAACGCCCAGACTGGTGTCAGTGATGCGGAACAGAAGGACGGCGCCGACGACCCGAAGGCTACCAACTCGATCATTCGTCTGTGCCTGTGCGCCTTTGGACCCGTCGCCCTCAACGCTGGTGTCGCCGGTATGTTCTTCGGTATGGCCTGTTGTATGGGTCCCGTCTTGAGCATGTGCTGCAAGAAGTTTGGTGCCGTTCTGGCTGCTATTGCTCACGCTTTTGCTGTCGTCGGCATCATCATCTTCTTTGAGGTGATGTTCTTCTTGGAGGGCTGGAGCTTCTCCAAGGCGCTGTCCGGTCTCATCGCGATGGCAGCCATCCAGCGCTGGTTCTACAAGCTCATCGTCGCTCTTGCACTCACTCGTGAGTTCAAGTCGGACACTGCCAACATCGCCTGGTGGACTGGTAAGTGGTACGCCATGGGCTGGCACACTCTGTCGCAGCCCGGCCGTGAGTTCCTCTGCAAGATCACCGAGTTGGGCATGTTCGCCGGCGACTTCTGTCTCGGCCACCTTCTGCTCTTCATCATGCTGCCTCCTCTCTGCATTCCGTACGTCGACAAGCTGCACTCGATTATGCTCTTCTGGCTCCGCCCCAGGTATGTTACACTCCGGATTCCACTTTGACATGACCATGCTAACGATATCCCAGTCGTCAAATCCGTCCGCCTATCTACTCGTTGAAGCAGAGCAAGCTTCGCAAGCGCCGTGTCATCCGTTACTCGATCCTTTACTTCTTCCTGCTCTTGATCTTCGTCCTGCTCATCGCCGGACCGTTGGTGGCCAGCAAGTTCCTTACGTCGCTGCCTGATATTCCCATGGACCTTGTCCAGCCGACGGGCCTCAACAACAACGATACCAAGGGCACTTCGGAGACGGGTACCGGTGCGGCCGGAGGCGCAGCTGCAACGGGTGCCGCCGACTCGACGGCGGCGTCAACGGCCAAGCGTCTTATGTTCGCGCGGGCGTACTAAGGTGGACTCGACACGTTTTGGAAATGCAATTCTTGCAGTGGCGTTTTTCAGTTTTCAACGACGCCCCCTCCTGTACAACAATTCGAAGCATGACGCTGCATCACAGCTAACGTAATGACTGTAATCTTCTGCTTTGGCAATCATGCATTTCCTTACAAAGTTAGGCGGCCCAGCTGGGATAGAAACACTCTTTTCTTTTTCGATGGTTCGGCCTTTGCAAGGCAGAACGCTTTGCACATAACAACAAAGCATAGGGAGCGGATTTGGCTTAAGGTTTTATTCTAGATAGTGAAGTTATGCTGTTGGGTTGCTTGACCGAATACCATATGTGATGTGTGAAATGGGCATGTAATAAGGGAGCCGCCAGTGGACTCGGCGGCACAGGCGCTCGAACGGGGGCATAACATCACGTGCACGCCCGATAAGGGCACGGGCGGGCGTACCTGACTCCCTGAGTAAATTGCCCATTGATCCGCTGCCTCTGACGTTCCCACCAACGCAGCGACTCCTACACGTTATGGATTTACACGAGCTGCAACAGTCGGCCCTCGGGCTGATCAGCGACGCGCAGACGCAATTCCACAGGCTCCCGGGCTCGGCCATCATCCTGCGGTACATCAAATCGTCGTACCAGAACGACCCGGTGCGATCCGCCGTCGAGCTCTTCCTGTTCCTGTTCGCGGTCCGCTACCTCCTTGCGCCCAAATACTCGACGCAGAAGCAGAAAGTCGTCCTGACAGAAGATGTGCGTGCTCTCTCGCGCAAGCGGTGCAGGCAGGCGGAATTGACAAGAGAAATGGGTAGGAAATCGACGAGTTAGTGGAGGACTGGTCGCCGGAACCCCTGGTGGCTCCGCAAACCGCACTCGAGGAGCTGGAGAACGAGAAGCGGCCGGTGATCGTAGGGTACGTCTTACACATGGCTCTCCTCGCGCGATGTGGCCACTCACACCTACCTCTCTGCAGGCCTTCAGGCCCCAAGACGAAACTGTCGAACGGCCGGACGGTCACGAACCTCGCGTCGTACAACTTCCACAACTTCCTCGCCAACGAAACGCTCAAGGAGAAGGCCGTCACCACGCTCCGCACGTACGGCGTAGGGCCATGCGGACCGCCCGGCTTCTACGGCACGCAGGATGTGCACATGAAGACGGAGGCGGACATCGCAGCGCACTTGGGGGTGCCGGCGTGCATCGTCTACGCGCAGGCCTTCTCGACCATCTCGAGCGTCATCCCGGCCTTCTCCAAGCGCGGCGACATCATCGTGGCGGACAAGGGCGTCAACTTTGCGATCCGGAAGGGCATCCAGATCTCGCGCAGCACGGTGCGCTGGTTCGAGCACAACGACATGGAAGACTTGCAGAAGGTGCTCGCCAAGACGGTCAAGGAGCAGGCGCGCAAGCCGCTCACGAGGCGATTCATCATCACGGAGGGCCTGTTTGAGAACTTTGGAGACATGGCGGATCTGCCTAAGCTGGTACGGGCGTGTGCGGGCTCGGGTTCTTCAACAAGAGTGCACGTTGGCTAATGTGGAGGCTGCAGATCGAGCTCAAGCTCAGGTACAAGTTCCGCCTGATCCTCGACGAGACGTGGTCGTACGGCGTGCTCGGGCGCACGGGTCGCGGGCTCACGGAAGCGCAGAATGTGGACGGCACCGAGGTCGACATGATCATCGGGTCGCTCGCCGGGCCGCTGTGCGCGGGCGGCGGGTTCTGCGCGGGGTCGGACGAGGTGGTGGAGCACCAGCGCATCTCGGCGGCGGCGTACACGTTCTCGGCGGCGTTGCCGGCGGTGCTGTCGACGACGGCCAGCGAGACGATCGGGCTGCTGCAGGAGCACCCGGAGCTGCTGACGCAGCTGCGCGAGAACATCAAGTCGATGCGGGCGCAGCTCGACCCGCGCAGCGACTGGGTGCTGTGCTCGAGCGCGCCCGAGAACCCGATGATGCTGCTGGGGCTGAAGCCGGAGCACGTCGTGGCGAGGCAGCTGAGCCCGGAGGACCAGGAGTTTCTGCTCCAGGAGGTGGTCGACGAGGTAAGTGTGGTTGAGCTGTCGAGTGCGGTGCAAGCGGGCGTGTCAGCTAACTCGAAGTGCGTCGGCAGTGCCTGTCCAACGGAGTGCTGATCACGCGGCTCAAGGCGATGCCGGCGGCGGTGGGGTCGGGCGAGAAGGCATGGCTGCCGCAGCCGGCGCTCAAGGTGTGCGTGACGGCCGGGCTGTCCAAGAAGGAGATCGAGAAGGCGGGCGTCGTCATCCGGCACGCAGTCACTAAGGTCATGACGAAGAAGCGATGAGTGTCAGTCACCCACATCACGATGTATTGAATGGAAATTTAGCTCGGTATAGACGATTGTAATAGCTAATGGAGGCGGGATTGCTCTTCTTCACGAACGTGCCTGGCAGGCGGTAGGTGATCGGCAGAAGCTTGGCCGCGGAGCTGCGGGGACCAGCCAAGCAGATCGCCAACGGCCGCTGCACGCCGGCTGGACGAAGCCGCTGATGCAGGCTTCGCCGTGCCTAGCTATCTCGATTATTGCAGGGATGTCCAACCCCGGTGGGCGGGCCTTAGCTAGTGGGAGTCTTCATTGCTTGCTTGCCCAGCCTGCCGCCAGCCACCACTTGCCGCGCAGCTTCCGCCCACGTTTCCCGGCCATTGCAACCCGGGACGAAGCCGCCTCTACGTCACTGTTTTTACCTGTCTACTGCTGCGACCCCAGCGACACCAGCGACACCACTGACACTGTGCCCGTCCCGTTCAATTCCTACTCTCCTTCGCAACTTGCTGGAAGGCTCCAACTCCAACCCGGCCGCCAAGTCAACACGCCTAGGCTGCCTGCTTTCGCGCTGCCTGCCTGCCTGCCTGCCTTCCTGCCTGCCTGGTTCCGCTCGCTCGCTTCCCCGACCAATTCGCATAAAACGGACAAGGAGCCTGTAGGTCCGGGTGTGCAACTCTCTGGCAAGGCACCCAACCAACCGCGTACTTCCCTCCGAGCACTTGCTTGCTTCCCGCCGCAGCCCGGGCGCTTCCGCACACCACCTCGTCGCAGCGCTTTTACTTCGTAGCCAAATCGAATACTCCTCATCGCCGCGATCCGAAACTGCCTGCCTGCCGGCGATTCGACGCTTTTCCCTTGCGCGCGCAATCCCCGTCTGCCAAAGGCGCGCGCACGCATCTCCAGACACGAGGCTGAGCGCCATTCACTGCTGCGACTTCTCACACACCGCGGCGACACACCCCCCGCTCTCTCTCTCTCTCTCGCGGAGTACTACAAATCGACGAGGACGGAAACTGGCGCCAATCGCTGCTAAGCTTGTACAAGCAGAGCGCGCCGACGAGAAAAGGCGAGAGCGTAGTAGACGCACAAAAGGCAGACGCAGGCGGCGCGAAGAGGCTACTACTGTGGCGGTGGGGGCGATTTCCACACGGGCGACAAGACACATTGGGTGGACGGATTATAGGGTAAGGAAAGAGGGAAGAATATATTCGCAAGGCAAGCAGGAGAATTGCCCGCTTTAAGCCTGCGGCGGCGGGACTTACTGGAAGGAGAGGGGGAAAGAAGAAAACATACAAGGCAGCAGGGTGTCGTAGTGAGCGTCGTCGAGACGAGGGAATTGTCGACAACGATCCAACAACCAGATGGCTCGGTCGGTCATGTCGCGGGCCGTCGTGGTGCGCGAGAAGTACTACTGGCCGGATGCACAGCTCAACCTATGGACCATCATCATGCTGGCGACGGCGGGCACGCTAATCGGCATTTGCGCCATGTTCATCACCATCCAGCAGCGGTTCCGCACGGGGATCCCGTGGCTCTTTCCCTACGGAATCACCGTGGGCGCGCTGACGGTCGTCTTCATCATCATTGAGATCGCGCTCGTCGCCAAGCGGAGGCTGATGCCCGGCATCATGATGGTCGGCAGCTTCATCCTCCTCGTCCTGTTCCTCACGGGCATCATCGAGACGGGCATTCAGCTCTTCGGATCGGGAGCCGATGTCAATGGCGTGTGTCAGCGATACGTCACCAACAACGAGCAGTTCGGCCCTAGCGTCAACACGCTGGCTTGGTTGGAGCAGAATAGCATTTGTAAGCTTTGTTCTGACGGTAGCCTTCTGGGTGTGGAATACTGACCATCGCGTAGGTCAACAGTGGCAGGCAATGTTTGCGTTCTGGATCATCGGCACCGTCTTCTGGGTCTGGATGATGATCATGGCGTCCATGGTTAACCAGAGGCAGTTCGAATATTGAGAGTGGCCTACCCTCGAATACCATGGGATGGCCGATTCGGTGTGTTTCCATTCTTGCAAACAGATTTTCCCCTACTCTTTCTCGTTGGTGCTTGCCGAGCTACCGCACCTTGTCTTTTCTTCTCTTGTTTGATACGCATAATTTCCGCTCCAAGAGGTGATGTATGATGGATGTCTGGGGCTTTTTGCGTTGATGTGTTCCATAGGGTGGTGGTCCCCCCCAGTTTTTCTTTTTCTTTGGTTTTTTTCTAAGCGACTTTACGCAGCGATGGATTCACACAGGAGGTGAACGACACAAGGAGATTGTGCGGGGAAACGGGTACTTGGGGAGGAGAGAGACAAGGAAAAAGACCGGGGAGGCGTTCTGCATGCTTTTTCCATGGTTGATGGTATACCAGTCAGTATTACGGTAGCAAGACATGAGGGGCAAGACTCCTTCAATAAAGATGACGCCACTATCAAAGCATCTTTCTTGCTTTAATAACTTTGCGGCTGGTTCTCCTGGTAGAGCAGTGGGATGGGTCAGGAGACTGTCGACGTCATAGGCTGCCCTGTGGTTAGGAATAGAGTGGGTGCCGGGTGGTAGTGTTTGGAAACACTTAGAATTCGTCCCACATTGAGCAAACGATGTCATAATTTACGTGAGAGATTTCGGCTCTGAGCTAGGCGTCGTCTAGATTTTCTCGCTATGCAGACGGATCCTTGTCATGAGGGTCTTGCCCATATGGGAGGGGGGGAGGGGTGGTGCCCGTGGTTGCGGCCTTGGCAAGTAGATGAAGTTGTATGTGAGCAGCGAGGTTAATCTCTATACGCTGCTTCTATGGATCATGATACACGTTTCGGATCACTTGGTGCTTGATCGTGGTTTTGTTTAACCCCCGGGATAGAGGCCCGACTACCCAGTCAATTTCGGGATATAGTGTAGAAGATCTGACATCCAGTCTTACTCGGGATGAAAAGAAGAGTAATTTTCATGAGCAGTTAGCAGCGTGGGGTATTGGCAGGCCCTTTCCGTGGCAGCTGTATATTAAGCGTCCATCAGCACCCACACTCAACCGTCTGGAGAACCAGTAAAGACTGTACAGTAGACCACAGGCCATGCTCGAATAGCTTCATAGTCCCGTGTCTGTATCTAAGTACCTTCTTTTTGAGCCTATGTAGCAAGAGCATCAATCTCTATCTCTACATCTTGAAGTGTTTTTAAACCGCCCATGTAGTAAGAAGCTTAAAATCAGCATCTATCCCCGGATGAGTTGCTTGGAAAGAGTGTACGGGCCCGGTACACATTTATGATCAATACCATGAAACTTTGTTTCTTTCCCTGGCGCATCACAGTGGCTTGTTGGATGGGGCGGGGGGTGTGGGCTTGCCTTTTCGAATCCAGACTGCATGATATACCACACGAAGCTTGCTCCCACTTCAAGTGATGCATCATGGCTCGGCATCTCTACCGAACCCCGTGCTAAGCGAAGTACCCGAGCTTCACGACTCCAGTAATAGCGAGTCGATCTTAAAGCTCGGCAAAACAGTAGAAGAACGAAAGAGACCGTATTCGGACATAAGAGCAGTGAGAGGATCATAATATAAGCGGTACCTTGGATGGGATCGCGACGCACGGAGTAAAGCAGGCAAGAAGGAGCGAAAAGCGTGGTGAAGGCTGGAGGAGCTCCATGGCCGCCAAGGGTGATCTCTTGTGGCAAACGGTTTCCAAATACCATACAAGCAGCCGCAGATCGAATCAACCGATCAGCACATGGCAACGCACGTGTGTCGCCAGCCGAGGCCTCCATCTTCAGGAGCGAACGGTCACAATCTCGACTGCTTGGCCGCTCTCGCCGAGCGGTTGCGATGATGATGACGATGTCAAAGGTGTCTACATGTGTGGCAAGGGAGGGGAAATCTCTTACCCCGTGTACCACGTCGACGATGCCAATGCCAGCCCGCTCAGCCGCAATTCGAATCGACGTTGCTGCGGTGTTGCACGAAAGTAACGTTGCAAAGTAGGTAGCGGCGAACCCTGCATGCGTATGTGATCTGGTAACCGGCCTGCACTGACAGGGGTTCACTTAACTTTTTAGAAAAAAGAAATAAACAAAACTTCTGCCGTGTGGTTGCGCTGCGTCGGTCAGCCGGACAAGGCCTACAGCATCCTTCCCGCGTGTCCGCATAGCATAGGCTCTGTTGTTCACGGAGATAACGGGCGGGCAGGGCGAATGAGAAGGGAGCAGCCGCGGCGAGTACCATCGTCTCGGAGCGGACACAGCTGCATATGCTACTGCAATAAGCTTGCATGCTATCTCTGGGATGAGGCGTCTCATGCTGCTACCATACGGTGACGTGATCTCGAGGAAGCGAAGGGGAGAAATGAGATGAATCTAAATGAGAGCGCGGTAGCGTGGGCAGAGCGGCGCAAAGGCCCGTATATGAAGGGCCGCGACAGCGACTCCGCCCGCCTGCGTCGTGGGAGCCCGACCAACAAGTCAGTCAAGCAAGTCGAGCAAGTCGAGCAAGCCTCCGTCCGGATGCATGGTCCGCCGATCTTCACGCCGTCAGTCAGGAGGCGCGCAAGGCGGTGCGACAGAGGACAAAGGGCCTGGTGTACAACAAAGGAGCAGCAGTTGGCCGCACACGAAATGAAGGCGCCCGGACGGGCCGCCAAGCCACAACTGCCACATGCGACTCGCGAGTGCCGGACGGTTTCTAAAAACCGCTGCCGGAAAACGAGATGAGCGACGAGTCCTGAATCGCCGATGTGCCAGCCCGCCAGCCCGCCAGCCATCGCAGCACTCAAGCTCAACCAAGACGGCCCTGTTATCGCTCTCCTCCCACCGACCGCCCACCCGTGGCTGGCGCTCGCCCCGCCGTCATCTCGTCGGGCGGGTCCGGCGACGACAGCCAGGAGAGAGAGAGAGAGGATGCGGTGACGCCACACACTGAGCCAGCGCTGCCATGGCCAGCGTCGCCAGCATCGCCGGCATCGTCCCCATGGCCTGACGCGCATCCACCCAGGTAAATCCGGGCATTTTTGGTCGAAACAGGCTGAAGGAGCATCGAGTTTGCGCGGCTTGTGGCTGGGATCGCCATCCGCCGGCCGGAGACAGCCCCCCGTTTTCATCATTGCCAACCCACCCTTCTCCCTGCTCGGGCCTGTCGGGCACGTCGATTTGCTGCCAAGGAAGACCGGCAATCCGAGCGTCTGGCGGGAAGGACGCAGATGCCGTGCTGCGTCAGCCCTGACTGATGCCGTAATCGCCCAATACGCCGCATACGCCGCATACGCCGCCCCGGCCCTGCCTCCCCCTTCCCCACCCCGGTCGGCTCCCCTCCTGGGCAGGTACGAAGGCGTGCCCCGCCATTGGCTGGGTGACGCGCGACAGCCTTGCATAACCTCAGCGCCAGCCCCCGGTCCGTCGACGCGTAGCTGGGGCCGACGACGCGCCCGCGCCCCCCAGCTTGCCTGCTTGTGCAGCCTCCGCGCGCTCTCGCAGCTGGCCACTTGGCTCAGGAACAGGACTACTGATGAAAGCGCGCGCGTCAGATCAGCCAGCCCGCAGTCAAGGGATTCAACATTGCGGGGCTTAGGGCCACGCTTCTGCCCTCGCCCTTGCCCGTCCACGCTATGCACCACGATTCACGGGGCCAGAGTTGATGACTCCATGCAACCAATAATGGCGGACCCCTCGTTTTACCCTTTCCGACCGTCCGGATGACGTCTCCTCCCCACATGGCCTGCCTGAGAGGCGTGACTGTCGCGCGCGCTTGTGCGTGACGTGACTATCATTTCACTCGTTCGTCGCAGCTCTCTTTGTTTACATGCTCTTTTGATTTTTTTGGTGTTTCGCAACCTTCTCTCATTTCCCAAGGTTGTTATTCGTCCTGCGTTGGCGGGAATGACAAGAAAAAAAGAGAGCGGCTCAGGTTGCACGACAGCTGCTGCTCGGCGGCTGGGCTCAGAACCGAACAAAGCGAGCAAGCAAGCTCTGTCAGCGAAACGAACCGACGCACCTCGGCACAGGGGCAAAATAACGACCAACCGCGCGGTGCCGGGCCGCCGCACAGAGAGAGCTGAGAGACGGACAGAGAGAGCTGAGAGAAGAGCACCTAGGCAGCTAGGGTGGCGGCGGCGGGAGTAGTTAGCATGCTCCGGTCCGGTGGTGGCTGTCGCTCACTATCTGCATGCATCAGGCTGTTCCGCGTGTCAGCTAACCTTCGATCTGAGCTGGAGCCTCCGCTTGCGACCGGAATTCCACGAATTGGCTGTTCGATTGCCACTCAGGAAAACCAACAACAGTAGCGGCCAGGCACAAATCCGGCAAATGCGCCTATCAAACCTGCGTTGCCCGGCCAAACCACTCCGCGCGTTTTCTAGGTATGCAGCCTCGACCGGTCCACCACCAAAAGAGATGTGCAGGCCCGCTGGCTGTTTGCACAATGGCCTGAGGCTCCGTGCTTCGCCGCCCTCTCGCTTGGCGCCAGGTCTTGACTAAAAAGCACGCGATAGGTCTGATTGATTGGCATTGTTCCTGATCACTATCTACTACTACATAACTCCCGAGATTACTTGGCGGAATCAGCCACGCTGTTCCTTTCCTGGTGCCTTGCGGCCCATGCCTCTCGGTAAAATGGCATGCCGCCCTTGTTCTTTTGTCCCATAAAATCAATGCTAACTGTCGCTCGCTGTGCGTGGTATCCTAAAAAGAAGAAGAAGCGAGGTGGTGCTGACTAATAAGAAAGAGGAGCAACACGGTTTTTGGATTGTTGCAGACGATGAATAGAAAGAGAGCCGCCAGCAAGTGACCGACAACATGAAGGCACTATCAAACAAGCAGAGCAGCTGCGGACAGAAGTGCAAATGTGGTAGAGAGCAGTGGTACGGGTGTGCTTGTCCGTGTGCAGCACAGCGCACGCCGCTCAACGTATCAGCTCGTCATTCGTGAGGCGTTCGTCACTCTAGGAGACCAGCTCCCCACCGAGGTCCATGCCAAGGCCCGCCTCCATCTTGCTGATCCTCGCGCGCTCAAGGGAGCCGACCGTGGGACTGTGGCTCGTCGGAGGGAGAAGATTGTCAAAGTTGAGGCGCCTGCGGGCATCCCGGGCCGTAAGAGGCGTCTTTCCAGCCACAGGTGTACGGTTCCAGCTGCTCGTGATCTGGGCAGGACTAGGCGTCATGTTGAGGAAGTCGGCAAAGTTTAGGTTGTTCCCGGGTGTGTGCAGGCCAAAGCCAGAGAAGGGGCCGCCGCCGCCAGGCGTGGACATCATTGAAGACGGGAGAGGAGTCGTCTTCTGCGGCGGCGTAGAAGGGGCAACCAGACGAGTCTTGTTGTTGCCAGGATTGGCCGGGGATGGCGAGGTGGCCAAGTACATAAGCAAGTTTGCATCCTCCTCCCCATTCTGATTGTTCCGAGGTGTGGCCGTGAAAGTGTCGTTTCGTAGGCGGCCTGAACGGGCCATTCCAGGAGGGGGGGTGCGTGGACTATGGAGCGGCGGGGGCGAGGAACGCATGTGGGAGGCATTGACCTGGAAGGAAGACAACGGAAGGTCTGCATCGTCATCCTCGGAGAGCAATGGCGAGAGAGGTTCGTCTGCCACGGTGGAACCTTCCGAAACGAACGAGAGGCTCGGCACCTGGGGCAGCGAGAAGTTCCTGCTCTTGCGATAGGCAGGAGAGGACTCTGGCAGCCGGTACGAGCTCTTCCACGTCCTAGCACTCGAAGGCCTGACCCTTGTGCGAGAATGGCTGCTGGAAACGGGCCGCCTGTAGAAGTCGGGCTGGTACCTCATCCTCTTTGCCGACCCGTATCCACCTCCGGACCTTCCGACATCGTCGGAGAATATGGGGGCCGCGAGCGGCGACGAGTCGAAGGCACAGAGAGGGTGGAAGCGATCGGAAGTGCTGGAGGAGGTGTCGGAGAGGGTGGTGTTGGTGGACTCCGGGCGCTTACGCTTCAGCTGAACATCAATCTGGGCCTCCATGGTGTCAATGTTGAGGTTCTCCCAGCCGTGCTTCACCTTGACGTTGGCAAGCGCCAGGCGGTTCTGCAGAGCCCTGGTCATCTAGAGCAGTGGTTAGTTGGGCGGGGCAAGACGATCCGTGATGTCGAGGGTACCTTCGACACCTGAGCTCTCCTCAGGACCCTGCTCGCAACCTCAGCTGGCTGATCAAGCCGCTCGGACGACACTGCCGACGCCATGGCTGCGGTGGAGAGAACAAAGCCCGGGCGGAGTCGGCCAGAGGGTGCGGGTGCTTCGGGCGGGTTGCAGCCGTTGAGAGAGAGAGGCTGGAAGGCGGCAGGCTGGTTGCAGAGTTCAGATTTTGTGCAAGAAGAGGCCGAAGCTGGCTGAATTCCGGGAAGCCTTGCGGAGCAATCGTGAAGATCGCCGGGCCCGGTAGTGGATGGGGCAGAGGGAGGCACAGGCGCCGTCGACACACGAGAGCAGGCGAGCCTGTGCGCATTAATGAACGGCGGGCGCACAAGGGGGCGGGTAACGAAGGGCGCGTAGTCAGCGGGTGGGAGGGCGGGTTACGGAACGCGCTTGGCTGTTACCAACGGCGGGGCGTGGGTGGTGTGGCAGGGCTTGGGCGGCGCTAGCAGGCAACGCGCGGGCCGGCGCTGCTATTCCTGTGGCTGCGGCTTGGCAGCTCGCACGATTCAGGCGATCGCAGCTCGGGGCAGCCGCCAGCGTCATTGGCTTGAAACGGGCAGCGTTTGAAGCGCGTGAAACACGCCTGCCCGCGGCCTCAGCGGCGCGCGCGATAGCACGGCGGCGCACGGCGGCGCACTGCGGTCGCCTGCGCCGGTGCTGCAAAAATCGGCGGGTCGGCTGTGCGCTGCAGCCGCCTGAAGGGTGAGTGCTGCGGCCCGCTCGCGCGCAAGGTCCCCGCCTGGCGAGTATTGCACCGGCGCAGATCGGCGCGGCCTGCAGGTTGCAGTGATAGCTTGCCTGCTTGATAGAGAACAGAGCTCGTAATCCCCTTAGCGGCCTCTGGACACCGTCACCTCCGCTCCCTTTGCTCCCGCCCGCCGTCTGCTCGACCTCTCTCGCTCAGCCATTGCTGCTTACATGCCCGTCATTGTCGTTCGCTGAGTGCGGCTCTCCTGCGGGCGCAGACCACCACGACCCATCCGCGTCATCCTCGCACCTCGACACGCTTGCTCCTCCGCCCTAGCGGCTCCGCTCCACCGCGCTGCTGCGCCCGACACAGTACTTCTGCTGCTGCTCCCTCGTTCCTGCCGCCGCCTTCACATTCCAGGCAAAGCCTGTAGCCTGTCGCCATGCCTTCGTTCCTCAAGGACTTCCGCCGGAGGTCCATCAGAAGCTTCCGCACCGATACTTCGTCCTCGGAACCAGCCAACACCGGCTCCAACGGTTCCGGCACCTCCATTCCTACCAGCAAAAGCTCGTCCACCCTTAGCTCCGTCTACCAGCAAACCACGCCGCCCCCTTCGCTTCCCGGCGAGAGCTCCTTCACCAACTCCAAAGCCGTGAATGGTGGCCCTACCCCAATTCCTCCCGTCCCCCACCTACCTTCCAGGCCCAACACAACCGCCACAAAGCGCATGAGTTCAGTCGTGGGTACCCCTATCTGTTTCTTCTCGAGCCGCTCTTATCTCTCTAACTCAATGCACAGGGTCTCAATGGCTTGGCGACCCCGCCGCCGAAGAATCCGCCCACGTCGCCTTATGCGCCGCGCGTCCTCTCGATCGACAATCGGGCAATGGTATGAATGCCGCTAACCACGCGTCCTGTCGGCCACTAATCAGTGTGCAGGTCTATCAAAAGGTTCTGCTGATATCAGGCGTCATCGGCGAATCCGACACAAAGACGTTGGACGGCTCCATCACCGTCAATCATGACAAGGATAATTTCCCACAAACCACCTGGCCCGTGTCAGACTCGCACTTCAAGGCTCTGGTAGTCTTGCAGCCCGGTGCCAACACTCTCCGCCTCGACTTTAGCTCGCCCAAGCTGTCCAGCAGCGGCACCTCCATCCCTGCCCATTCCTCATGGATCGACATCACGTACCTCCCCTTGAACTCCTCTCCGCCCCTCCACTTGGCTATAATTCTCGGTAAGGACTCTCCCGGTACATACGACGCGGTGCCCGACCGTGTGCAGAATGAGGGCAACGGACTGGAGACGGCCATACGCAAGTTCCGCATGTCTGCCTATCTATGGCAAGCCTTTACCGGAGAGCAAATGTTCCGCAACGGCTTTGGCCGTCGCTGCTGGAGATATGAAGAGGAGTGGCAGCCTGGTACTCTCACATACAACGACCAACTGACTGGCCAATACCGCAACGAGGCCAAGATCCACATCATCAGGAGTGACAAGACTGTGGCGGAGCTCCGTGACCTGAACATTGCCCAACAATATGAGAAGGCTACAGACAAGGGAAAGCTTTTCGGAATCGCCATGGATGCTGTCAAGGGATACTTCAGACCGAAGGCCGGCCAAAAGCAGTACGTTTCCTGCATGTTCCTCGACACCCACTGGGATTCTCAAGAAAAGGTTGTCCGTGGCCACGCGGCGCTCGGCGGTGGAGACGGTGAGGTTGGCTTGGCCATCTTTGGCTCCCATGCTCTGCAGACCTACCCTGCAAGTATCGAGGAAGTTGTCCCGACTTTCACCGACTGCACCAAGACTGATACCAACTTTGTTGCCAATGACTGCAACGAATCCGGTAGTGTTTGGGAAGCCGCGAACATTGGAATCGGTGCCCACCTCCATGAGACCGGCCATTTGTTTGGCTGCCCCCATCAGGAGTCTGGTGTCATGCTCAGGGACTATGTCCGCCTGAACCGAACCTTCACCACCCGTGAACCCTTTTCCACCCGAACTCAATCCCCCGGCCAGAGTCTCTGCACCCGTGAGGATGAATGCGGATGGCACCGACTTGACACTCTGCGATTCCGTTTCCACCCCTGCTTCCGTCTCCCTCAGGATAGCCCTCTTCCCCCTGACGATAGCGTTCAGGTTTGGACCGTTGATAACTCTAACATCCTGATCACTGCCGAGTCTGGGATAGCTTGGATCGAGCTCTACCCTGAAGGCGACGACGTCTGCCACACTTGGATCGAGTATCTGCAGAACGACGGCAACATGGGTGGCCCGCGCCTGCTTACTGTGACGGAGGCCGACCTTCGCGCCAAGCTCCCCTCGAACAAGCGTAAGAAGCCTCTTAAAATGGAGGTGTTTTCTTATGGTGGCTCGAAGCATGTAGTGGACGATGTCAGCAAACTTTCTGCAAAATCCAACAGGACTAAGCTCCCTGACGGTCGAAAGGGGTTCATTGGCTCTAAGCTTGGCTTCTCGCAACTTGAGGGTTCTCAGCCGCAAGAGGTGCTTCTGTCGAGCTCCTACATCACAAAGAAGCGGATTGTGTTGATGTCGATCAAAGTCTACCACGGTTTTGCCATCGACGGTATTGAGTTTTTCTATGACGACGATACCAGCCAACTTTTCGGAAAGCGTGGTGGTAAGCCTGGTGGCGATGAGTTCAAGCTGGACACGGTGAAGGGCGAGATCCTAATGGGCTTCTATCTTCGCGCTGGACTGTGGATCGACGGACTCCAAATTTTGACCAACCGGAACAGAAAGAGCGAGATCTACGGCAATGCAACCGGGGGCAGTGGGTAAGTCTTGGTCTTTTCCCTTGCTCTGCTGTTTCAATACTAACGGACGCCCAGTCATACCCTAATTCCTCCCCGCGGCTACGGCATTGCCGGCATCTCCGGCTCTTGTGGGCAATGGATGGACGGCTTCTCCTTAATCATTGCGCGTTGAGATACCCCACATGATAGGATTCCCTGTCAATGGGGTATTGGCAACTTCTCGGCCAAAGACATTACGCTCTCATCGGGAGGCTTTCTCACACTGCGCATCGGCATGCATGCATCGAGCGCCATAATGAACGCGAACAAACCCACCACCTGGCGCCAACCTATCCTGCTATAATAATCTGAAAAGATCCTAGAGCGGTCACTGCCGTACACACGCGGTCGCCGGCGAAGCGTTTGGATTGGTACTGTTCTGGGCACTGCCTCTCTTTCCAAAAAATCACCTTTTCCTTCCTCTTATAAGAAACAATTGCATAGCGGAAAACGTATAGGGCCGAGTATGATCAAAGTCCGTCAATACCCCTTCTTTGCTACAACGGCAGCAAAACCTCGGACACGTCTTTTTTTTCTTTCTTCGTTTATCTTGGATCTTTAGTGAGGCACGGGGGTGCTTACGGCGATTGCTGCGACCTGCTTTTTCCTTTTTTTCTTTTCCTATTGCAGCAATTGATCGATATCATCGGCACCTCGGCGTTGATGCTCGAGTCATGGGAGCAGTAACAACGACTGCCTGTTCTGGTACTCGTTTCTCTTGGCCTCACATGGGTTCAGGGCTGCTGCTGCTACCCAACGTCGAGAATTGATGGTTTGCGGAACGTCTTTTTGTCTCGGACTTTCCGCATCTCCGCTCCTTTCCCTTTTCTTTTTGTCATCGCTCATCGCCGGAGTTGCGTGTATCTGTATATCATCTTCGGGAAGCAAGGAAGTAGAAGACAGGGCCTACTGGGGGGCCTTGAATGGTCACGGAAAGCTGTTTTTCTTCTTCTCAGTCTGCAGCTTTGTTGTCCCTGCCCCTTCTGCCCTAATGCGGCGGCGAGGGATTCGATGATGAGGGGTATCGGCATGGAGGAGGGAGAGGACGGGAGCATAAGTGGATAGAAAGTGGATAATTGGTTGGGGTGAGAGAGGATGGAAACGATGAATCTTTTTGCCAAAGCCTGATACTACTCACGTCCGTGTTCGCTCTGTCGTTTTCATGTGATGACGGCGATGGTAGTGGTGCTACGCCTTTGCCTTGATAGTTCCCCGGGGAAGCTTCATCGTTGGCCGGACTGCCCTACGGGCGCCAGGATTTCTTGTGGCCACGCAAAGTTAGTCTTGGTGGGTGAGCGGGAGGTTGTGTCATTGGAGAATAGCAGGCAGAGCTTTCTGTTTTGCCTTCTTGTTTTCGTCTGACACTGCTGATATGCTGTGCTGACCAGTGACTAATGACATCACCTCAGGAAGCCCTCCAGAGCGAGTTTCACGGAGTGTAGTCAAGGGGGAAGGCAAAAAGGAAAGCCGGATATGGATGTGGCAGCAAGGTAAGAATAGCTGTTTTCGACCGTCACCGTGTTATTGGAGTGACTGGACTGTTTATAGATGGAATAACATGGTAGGAGTTCGGGAGCTAGATGACTGTAATCCTATATCCATCATCTCCACCCTTGACCCCACGATTTTTGTATCCCGTAGATCAATCAACCACCTTTGCGCCCTCCCGATGTCTCAAAGAAAATCCAGAAGCCATGGTCCTTCAACCATTCGCCGTGCCTACCATCTTCTACCAAACTAAAGCCGTTACTTTCGGAGGGATGGCACCACAGGCCACACCTCTTCCGCGCTCGTCTCTTCGAACCTCTGCTTGCAACTGCTCAAGCCAGCGGGTGTATGGACGTGATATTTGCAAAGGTTTGAAACGCCAAAGAAGCTGGACTTTTCGTGATTGTCCGTGCTATCTGACGTGGAAACGTTGTCGCTTTCTTCATCATTGCAGTCCTTCGCCGGCCGGCCCCGCTTCTTTGGAGGCTTTGGCTTCGTCAACTTTCCGCCTACGAGCGCGCGCAGAACTCCGGACAGCAGTAGTATTTTACTAACCAAGTCGCTTTTTGGAAGAGCTCCAAGTGCTACTCCCTCATCTGTCGAGGCTGTAGTTGTTGTGTTAACATGGTGGCTAGAGGGGCCGAGAAGGGTGTCTTCGTCATCATCACTATCAATGATGTGAACAACGGTGACTACCTTATCGTCGATTGTCGCGACCGTGGCCGTGCTCGGGGTAGGCAAGTCGGGTACGTGTCGAGCCAGGGCATTTTCGAGAGCGCAAAGAACGTGCCAGAGGAAGGGGTTGGGCAAGTCGGAAATGAGGCTCTCTTCGAGCAAAGGCGCCGTCTGCAAGACGAAGAACGCAAAGAAGTCTATTACGAACTTGTAGAGCCTTGAGTTGTCCTGGTGAGTTTTTTGGTGGTTAATGACCGAGCGAGTGGTTTGTTTCCAACTTAAAATAACATTGTCGACCAGGCTTTTGTTACGCTTGTTTGTTCTCTTGAGCCGCGAGACTGATTGCTGCACCTTCAAATAAAGGCAGTTGATGCAAGCGTTCTCCAGCGCCCAAGCTCCAATGCGATTAGCGAAGTAGTAGAGTTGCGCCAAGTCATACGGCTTTTTCCTCTCCACTTCGGCGGGGATAGTGAAGAAGCGCGGGTTTTCCATGTACTCCCTGAATAGCGAAAAGTCGGCAGGCTGTTCGTTTGGGAGATATTGAATCGAGATGGGGTAGCTGGGGACATCAAGGCCAGCCTCGACTTTTATGTCTCCCAGCTGGGTCTTGAAGTGATGGGAGTATCGCTTTAGAAGAGGGGCGAAGCAGTGGAATGTCTCTGCCTCGGAACCTGTGCCTACCCGGACGTCCACGGGTTGCTTGTGGTCGTCACTAAACAATGAGTCATCAGATGTATGCGCAGGTGCAAGTGAGCGGGTAGGTATACGCACTCGAAGCTCTGCCGCTTGGGCTTCCTGTCGCTTCTCTCACTTGGCGCCAGCGGCCTCTTGAGTCTTGAATGGCTAGATTCGCCTGACATGGTCGGAGGTTATGTGTGGTAGAGGCGACGCCGCTCTAGACTGACGGTTGTAGCTGAAGGTAGAGTAGATAGCAAGTCAGGGTCGGCAGCTAAAGATGAAGTTAGGGGTGGCGGTTGAAGGCGAGGCACCTGTGCGCAAGGCTGTCACGCGGCGACTCCAAGACTGCGTGCCTGCCACATACTGCAAAGCGGGAAAGAAAGAGCCCTGGCATGAACAGAAGGAACCAAAACAGGAAGCAGCAGGCACATGCTGCAAAGCGGGAAAGAAAGAATCCGGGAATAAATAGAAGGAACCAAACTAGGAAGTAGTACGAGGTAGACCGGGCGTACCCGTCCCATGTCAATGTCGACATCGGGGACCTCCGGTTTTGTGGCCTCGGCTTCTTCAGATGGGTCTGCAGAACTGACTGTAACGTTGTGGCCCTTCGACGAGTATGTGAGGCGCTCTCTCTCTTTTTTCTTTCTTTCTTTTTGGCACGCTCCTCTAGCATTATTCAACGAATAGTAGTCAATGCGAGAACGGATACGGCAAGGTGACCTCGGCTGATAATGCAGTTTGGTACAAGACATGAACAGATTTGCGAGGGGTTGAGTGGGTATGATCACAATGAGAATGATGCACGGAAAGACAAGGCAAGCATGTCTCTTGCGAGTTTCAGAGTTCTATGTTCATGGCTTCAACCACATCCGGACCGCATGTCTTTCCCATGCCGCTCTCGACCAGGTTCTCCTGAGCTGCCCTTCACTCGTGCTCCAGCCGGCGGGAGACAAATCTCGTTTGCAGATAGTGCTGTTTCATCGAGACGGGAGGCAGCAGAAACCCAAGAGCGACGAACGGGAGGAGAAGCACCGGGGAGACAGACGTTCACCTGGCGGTTGGGTCGGCAGCTGTGCAGTGCGTATCCGAGCAATCGCGGATAGAGCCATCTCCACAAAGCGATCAGCTCCTGTGGCGTCGGTGCGCCACGCGTCTAGCACTCAATCTTGGGGAGCCTCATCTCGGAGACACGGTGGCCTGTCAGCACAGACCCTTGCCGGGCCCAGCAGGGGCAGTTCATAAATTTCCATCAACACGGAGATCAGCTGTAGAGGCCCATGACGTGCGATGGATGGGGCAATGAGAGACGGCGGCGAGGGCGATGCGCGGGGGCAGGGCGGCCAGGAGAGCGACGCGCGGGCGGTGTGGCTGGGCTGGGCTGGGCTGGGCTAGGGCGGCACAGGAGTAGGCCGCAAGATAGGAGAGAGCGGTAGAGAGAGAGACGCTGGGCCGTCTGGCGGTGACGGGTGGGTGAGGGCGGAGAGACGGGCAGGCGTGTGATTCGGGGCGGAGGGTGCACGTGTGCTAGCCGGCGGCGGGCCCCTTGCTCTGACAGGCCGACGAGTCCCCGCCATGGATGCTCCTCTCCTCCCTATTTTGCAACACCATTTCTTCCCCTCCAATCCCCGACCAACTCTCCTTCTCTACCACCCCAGCTCGCTCCAGACCCGTCCGACTTCTATTTCATCCCCCCGCCGCCCGCTTCGTTTGCTCCCGCCCATCCTCCCCGCCCGCAACCCGTCACCATGGCCGAGAAGACGCTCAAGCTCAACCCCAAGTACGACGACTATGACTTTCCCACCATCCCCCCGGACCCGCTGTCCGGCCACCCCGGCAACCTCTCTGCCGACCAGGAGAAGGCCGTCGACGACCTGCGCGCCGCCCTGGAGAAGGAGGGCGTCACCGAGCGCCTGGACACGTTGACCATGGTGCCTACTCCCCGCTCCGCACCGCACCACGACAAAGACTGACTGCGACCCAGCTCCGCTTCCTGCGCGCCCGCAAGTTCAACATCGACCTCGCCAAGCAGATGTAAGCACCGCCCCGCCCATGGTCCCGCCCACTGCGCCCTGACATCTCAACAGGTTCCTTGACTGCGAGAAGTGGAGGAAAGAGTTTGGCGGCGGCGTCGACAACCTCGTCAACACCTTCGAGTACACCGAGCGCGCCAAGGTCTTCGAGTACTACCCGCAATACTACCACAAGACCGACAAGGTACGCATCCCCGTGGCTGCCCGACTCCGGGAACAATGCGCTGACCCCGCTTCTAGGATGGCCGCCCTCTGTACATTGAGCAGCTTGGAAAGGTCGACCTGAATGCCCTGTACAAGATCACCAGCCAGGAGCGTATGCTGCAGAACCTCGTCGTCGAGTACGAGAAGGTTGCCGACCCCCGTCTGCCTGCCTGCTCGCGCAAGTCCGGCCACCTGCTGGAGACGTGCTGCACCATCATGGACCTGAAGGGCGTTGGTATCTCCAAGGCTAGCTCCGTCTACGGCTACGTCCAGGCCGCCTCCAACGTCTCGCAGAACTACTACCCCGAGCGTCTCGGCAAGCTGTACATCATCAACGCGCCCTGGGGCTTCTCCGGCATCTTCAGCGTCATCAAGCGCTTCCTCGACCCCGTCACCGTCAACAAGATCCACGTCCTCGGCAGCGGCTACGAGAAGGAGCTGATCGCTCAAGTTCCCAAGGAGAACCTGCCCAAGCAGTTTGGTGGTTCCTGCGAGTGCCAGGGCGGTTGCGAGCTCAGCGACATGGGCCCGTGGCAGGACCCCGCCTTCACCAAGCCTCCCAAGTGGCTGGCCAAGAAGGACGACGCTGCCATCCAGAACCCCGAGTCGCTCTCGGGCAGCGCTGGCGTCCCCGAGGGTGGCGCCGCCGCCGCCGCCGTCCCCGCCGCCGCCGAGGCCCCCGCTGCTGACGCTGCCAAGGACGCCGCACCGGCTGCGCAGTAAGAAAATCCAAAAGGCTTCGTTTAAAGCTTTTTCTACGTGTCATTTTCGGGCGGTTGGGCAGTTCTCATAGAAAGAGAGGAGCGTGGATGTTTTTTCCTTTATTACCCTGTTGATAAATATACAATTGGCTGCGGCGTGCGTGGTACGGTGAGGGATCCTAGGGTTGAGGTAGGAGCACGTGTGGACAAAGGAATGGGGAAACTCTTGGATTTCCTAAAATGCATTAGTAAAACAACGAAGGGAGGAGGAAACACCCGAGACGCAGGTGTTTTGACTGCTCAGAGGACCTAGCACAGAGGCAGAGGCATTCAATCAAGGTAGATGTTCAAGCCTGTTCGACAGATTTGGAATTGAGAGTGATTCGATGTTGGTCTTGCAGTCTCGCACGTTCGCGGAAGATTTACATAATCGTCCGGATTGGTGAATCACGTCACATCAGGCCTCAATAATGTCTCGAAATTCCTGTCATTCCCGACCTTTGCTTGACCTCACACTTTATCCTCGGGCCGCTCAACAAAAGACAGCGCGAGCCTCTCGCCCGTTTTCCCCAAACGCCTCCCACTGTGTTGAGAGACAAGCCCGCCGACCGCATACCGACCCTATCCAGTAAGATAAACTGTATCAAGATCGTTTGCAGGCGATCGAGCCACCCAATCCAACGGGACAGCCACGAGTAGAGCAGAACCGCTTGAGTACCTAAACAACGAACGACACTCCACGACTCCATGCCAATACGTGAAACAACAACATCCTCATGACAAACTCGACAACCCGCTACATCGATGCCGGCTGCACCAAAACAAAGACCTTCCTCCCTCATCCATCACTCCCCACAACCATACAAACCTGTCCATGTCTTACCACACCACTTACCTCACCTCACCCCACCCGTCTCCAAGCCCCCCAGCCCCCAGTCCCCACCTTACCTCCTCAACCTCCTCAACCTCGCCGCGACGAAGCACTCGTCATACGCGTGCCCGCACCCGCGGCACACCAGTCCCCGCCCGTCCCCCGCGCCGTTCCTCGTGCCGCAGCGGCAGCACCGCCACGAGAGCGAAGGCTCTGCACGAGAAGCCGACCCTACTGAGAGATTAGAAGAAGAAGAAGAAGAAGCGATGCTCGAGCTGCTGCTGCTGCTGCTGCTGCTGGCGATGTCTGCCTCGTCGTAGTGCAGTGTGGCGGTGCAGGTGTAGGCGCTGCTGCGGCGGAAGATGATGCGGAAGGTGCGGAGGATGGTGAAGAGGATGGGCATGGTTGACGTTTTTTATTTTTATTTTTGTTTTACACTTTTTTTTCTTTGATGGCTGGGTTCGTTGAGGATGTGTTGCTGCTGTTTAGATTTATCCTTGTGTTCGACTTGTTCAAGGGCACGGTGCTTTTCAGAGAGAGATGGATGATGGGTGTGGGCTGGCACACGTTTGGTTAGTGGGGGGGATGCGGCTTGGGGGACTTACCTTTTCTTCTTTTTGGCTGACTGGCTACCGGAGCCGTGGTGTTGATTGTGAACTTTGCATATGGGGAACGACACCGATGTCTTATGTAGATGACGGGAGCAGGATGGGCTTTGTGGAAGGGGCGGGAGACAAGACCATTGTCCGGTGGGAAGACAAAGAAGTCACAAAAACCTCGGTCTTTGATTTACTCTGGACAATGAACGGCCAAGGATCGTATAATTAGGAACAGTGGGACGGGAGGTTGAAGGACACCATCGAGTCGAACGGCCAAGATCTTGAAGCAGGCTTCAAGGCGAATACCGGTCCTAGCAACTGCCCACGCGACTGCGCCATTTGGTCCCGTGCACTTACTAGTCAATAGGCTGTTGTCATGGACATCCCGATGGAAAACGATTCTGACCCCCCATTGGGAAAGGGTTCCGACACCCCGATGGATATGGGCGACGATTTCGACATCCCAATGCGCGACCGCTCCTCCTCCACTATTAGCAACTCCAGCAGCTCCGCCAACATTAGCGACGCCTCCTTCACGCCTTCCATAGCTAGCAACAATAGCGGCTGCACGACCCCTCCCCATGCCACCGGCCGGTCGGATGACGTGCCCCAGCGCCCCGGGCGTCGAGCCGTCGTCACACAGGTAGGTCCCATTCGACCTCTCTTCCTCACAGAGCCTTCGGTCCCACTACCACTGACCGTAGGCATAGAACTCGAGATGCTCCTCGTATACGACCTCAAGGCCACGAATATGGACTATGGCGATCATGACGCCATACTGATGATGGTCATCAAAGCGCTATCGAGTGCGGGGGTCAACGCGTGCCATGAGTGGGACACTTTAGACCTCCATGAGGGCGACTCGGCCAAATACGCGCGCTGGGGGGTCGGGGTGGACATGTCTGCAGGTGACGCGCATCCCGCGTATGATTCGGATCAAGGGTGCCTCTGCAGGTCGGAAAAGCGAGCATGGGGCTGCACGGATTTCATGGATTACCACCGGCGTAGGGACGAGTACGGCTTTCTCGGGTTGGAGCTGAAGAGCCCGAAGTACGCGTTGGATGGCGGCGACGATTGGCGGGATGACGTGCGGCGCACGTTGAAAGTGCTGCATGGGCATTTCGACGACCGCGCGTCCGGCGACTGTTTCCGACTGTACCAGCACGACACGACGGGGGTCCACGTCCACGTGGGGGTGGGGACGCAGACAGAGAGGCACAGGCTGCCGCTGGAGTCAGTCAAGAGCTTCATGCAGCTGGTGACGGGCTTCGAGCGCATCACCGACGAGCTACATGCAACCACGCGTTTCGACTCTCGCGCTCAGTATTGCGCGCCGCCATCGCAGCACTACAGGTGGATAATCCCGCAGTGGTTGAGAGGCAGAGACCACGTGGAAGCCGTCGACGACGCCAATGCTGTGGTTCGTGCCCGCTACGATAACGGAGAAACGTGCGAAATGGACAATTCTGTGGTCCGTTGGTGTCAGGAGATCGAAAAGATTGGGGAGTTGAATGATATCGAGGGATACGAGAACCGCGAGACTGCATACAACCTCCAGAACCTGGACGTTGACGCTGATGGCAACTTCTGCGGAGACTGCAAGGGGACCATCGAGTTCAGACAACATCGCGGCACGACGGATGCCGATGAGATCTTCGCGTGGGTCGAGGTGGTGACAAGTATGGTACGCTTCGCACACACGACGGCCTTGACGGGCAGCATGCTGTCGATTGTCAAGCAGCATGTGTATGATCCGGCCATGGGCCTCGGCGGGTTCCTGCACATGATTGGGGTGGCTGACAAGACAGTCGACTACTACAGCAAGCACGTGGAGAAGCCGGCGGCGAGTGAACTGCCCGGGTCGCGGCTAACGCCGCTGACAAGCGATCTCGCGCGGCGGCGGCAGCAGCAGAAGGACCCGGCCCAAGTCATGCGGGCCATCCTGCTACGCCTCGCCTCAGGCGATTACGGAGTGCCAATTGAGGTGAGCAGACAGCTTGTACGGGAGAAGTACCCGCCGGTCGACGCAGCACCGCCGGACTACAAGTGGAAGTGTGAACCGCCCGAAATGTTTCCTTTGAAGTACTAGAGTCAAATTTCCTTTTCAGGACTAGAGCCAAATAGATGGACATGTACTCACAGTTGTGGTTGTCGTTGATTGCAGTGAGATAAAGTCGTTGCCGGTGTGGGAGTGGAAGCAGGATCAGCGCGGGCGCAGGCGGCGCACGGGTGACGTGTGAAGCCAGTGGGCTGGGGACATGGCGTGGAGAAAGCTGGCACGGAAGTGAGAGCGGGCTGAGGGTGTGTCGAGGAAGAGGCGGGCGGGCGGCGGCTTTGTTGACGTTCGGGCGCGAGAAAGGAAGCTGCCAAGTGGCTGCACACATTCCCGCGCGTCACCTCCTGGCGCCGCTGCCCTGTCGTCCTGTCGCCCTGCCGTCGCTCCTGTGCCCGCGCTCTTCAGCCCACGAACAAACTCCCTCGAGCTTCGTCCCAAACACCCTGCGTCACCCATGCAGCCCTGTTGGTGGCGCCGTCAGCACACCTAAGCACCAATCATGGCGCCCTCCCGCTTCCAGCAGAAGCGCCTGCTGCCCTACATCCTCATCACCGCCGTTATTCTTGTGCTCTTCTACTTCCTCCGCCAACCCCCCCAGCCAGACCTCCCCGTCTTCTACGCCGGCGACAGTCCGCCGCAGCCGCTCCAGAAGTTCAATTGGGCCAAGCGCAAGCAGCATTATCCCGTCAAAAAGTTCCGCCAGCTCCCCGACGGCAAGCCGAAGAAGCTGCCGCCCGTCCAGTTCGACTTTGGCAAGGAAGACGCCACTGCCCAGACCCTGCGCGAGAAGCGCCGCGGCGAGGTCAAGAAGGCCTTTGAGCGGTCGTGGAAATCCTACCGCGAGAATGCTTGGCTGCAGGACGAGCTCGCCCCCATCTCCGGGAGCTCCAAGTCGACCTTTGGCGGCTGGGCCGCCACGCTTGTCGACTCCCTCGACACCCTCTGGATCATGGGCATGAAGACGGAATTCAAAGAGGCCGTTGCTGCTGTTGCTCATATCGATTTCTCGTCCACCAGCGTCGACCAGATCAACGTCTTTGAAACAACCATCCGATACCTGGGCGGCTTCCTCAGCGCCTACGACCTCAGCGGCGACAAGCGGCTGCTGAAGAAGGCCGTCGAGGTGGCCGACATGCTCTACGTTGCCTTCGACACCCCGAACCGCATGCCCATCACCCGCTGGAACCCCGTCAAGGCCCTTGACGACATGCCTCAAGAAGCCGACCAGAGCGTGCTGGTTGCAGAGATCGGCTCACTGACCATGGAGTTCACTCGTCTGTCCCAAATCACCAAGGACCCAAAGTGGTATGACGCTGTCGCTCGCATCATGGATATCTTCAAGGACCAACAGTCCCATACCGACTTGCCCGGCATGTGGCCCGTCATGGTCAATGCTAGAGATACCGATTTCACCAAGGATCGTTCTTTCACCCTCGGTGGCATGGCCGATTCGCTGTACGAGTACTTTCCCAAGACTTACGCGCTGCTTGGTGGCCTTGCCCCTCTCTACCGTACCCTCTATGAGGGTTCGATGAACACCGCCATCCAGCACCTTTTGTTCAAGCCAATGGTCCCTGAGAGCGCCGACCTTCTTGCTGTCGGCTCCGTCCGCACGGACGGCAAAGGCTTCGCCATGTTGCATGCAGAATGGCAGCATTTGGTCTGCTTCGCCGGGGGTATGTTCGCCCTGGGTGGCAGACTTTTTGAAATACCAGACCATGTCACCATCGGCCAGAGGCTGACGGATGCTTGCGTCTGGACATATAAGACTTTCCCTCTTGGCATCATGCCCGAGATTTCCCATCTTGTTCCCTGTCCAGACACTCCCTCGATCACCTCTACGGCTGACCTCCTCTCCCAGTCTTGTTCGTGGGATGAGGCTCATTGGAAGAAGAAAATCAAAGAGCGACTAGGCCGCACGGCAAATGTCGACCAGTCGATCGCGCTGGACCGCTTGCAGCCGGGCATTACCGCCGTCACTGACCGGCGCTACATCTTGCGCCCCGAAGCAATCGAAAGTGTGTTCGTACTGTACCGCATCACGGGCGCCCAGTCACTGCAAGCGGCTGCGTGGGACATGTTTACGGCGATACAGCAATCGACACAAACAGATCTGGCAAATGCGGCGTTGGCGGATTGCACAGTGACAGATGGTAATCCGCCCAAAATGGACAGCATGGAGGTGAGTGCTACTTTCCCCATCAAGTCGAGAATAGACGTACTGACGGCGAGCCCACTACAGAGCTTCTGGACAGCCGAAACGCTCAAGTATTTCTACCTTGTCTTCTCCGAACCAGACCTCGTCAGCTTGGACGACTATGTCTTCAACACCGAGGCCCATCCCTTCAAGATTCCCAAATGAACCATGCGTATTTTAAAAAGCCAATTGATCGAGTTTCCAATTCCTTTTGCAGTGACTGGCCCAATTTTTCCACCATTATTCTCGCTGCGATGATATTCAAGTAAGCTCGCGCTAGTTTGCCGTGCATGTCGGGGCCAAATTTAGACGCAGCGGGCAGGGATACCGATCCTTGCTGCGCCACCAACGCGCTCGTCAAACATAAAAGCCTGCTCACCGTTGTGCCGCATCTTGATCGCAACCCACATCTCCACCGGTACCCGTCCTCGCCATGGCTGGAACTACTTACAGCAGGGTTAAACAAAAGTTGGCGGAAGACACGATTGATGGGGGCAGAAGGCGGGAAGCAAGGGGGGCAATGACTAGTGTCAAGAGACATGCGGCCGCTGTGGCTATCCTCGTCGCCTTTGGGCTTCTTCCTCTCGCGGTGTATTTCAGCCTTGTGCATCACCCGTTTACGCCCAGGCAAGTAGTGTGCGGATCTCGGCAGGTCGGGGTACAGGCGTGGCAGGACTACGGCGCGAAAGCTAGCGGCGCCCAGAGCATTTTCACCATCGACCGTGTGTCGTCACAATCCTTCCCCTTCTGGCTAGCCAAGCTTGTCGACACCATCTGGGACTTGTTCGTCGCTCGCGGCATGCAATTCGTCGCCAGCGCTCTCAGCTACGTCGTCCTTTCCAACGCCCTCCTCGCCACCATCCGCTCGTCGCCCGTGCCCTACCGCACCTTCTCGGGCATCTCCATCAACGGCGCTTCTGCCGTCACTGTCGTCGCCTTAGTCCGCGACCTGCGCCGCCATTCGCGTCGCCGAGCTGTGTTTCTCTCCGTCTACAGCGCTCTTGCCATCGTCTACGTCTTGGCCTTGCCGACTCTCCTCTCCACCATGGCCGGCTACGTCAGCACCGCCTCCGCCTACGTGCAGGTTCCTGAAACGAGCCAATATGTCCCCAATAGCGCCTTCGTGCCCGGCTTCTCCTACGACGGTCTTCCCGGCGTGGATAATGGAACTTGCATGTCATACAAGGACGCCGCCGCCATCGACCAGCGCGCCGAAGCACAGCTGTACACATGTAATGCCATCCGTGCCGATTTTCTCAACATTGTGCTAAAGCGATTCAAGGCAACTCGACTTGCTGGACAACCGACCCAAATGCTGAGACTTACGACACCGGCTACCCGCTTTACAGAAATGGCAATCACTCCATCAAAGGCTGTAAGCACACCCACCCCGACAAACGATCACCCGCATCTGCCCGCTGTGTTTAACGACATCTTGCTCAGGCACCTTTTTCCGCAATGAGACGTACGCCGTAGCCGACGTGACGTTTGACGCATTCGGCTTCTCCCGGAACGCGACAACAGAAAGGACGACCTACAACTGTGAGCGTTCTGATTCCTCTGCCTCAAGCCTCCTATAGGCCCAGCTAGCACCTCCTCGTCCCTTTCCTCCTTCCCAGAAAACATAAAGAAAAAAAGAAAAAAAAAACCACTGACTGACACCTCCCCTCCCAGGCAACGACACCGTCACCATCTCCATCGCCGGCAAACCCTACCCCTACCTCAGCTCCATCGCGTACTCGACCAGGCAGATACTCGGCGGGTACATGTCGGGCACCTACTGCTACGCCGGCCGTGCATACGACGAGCTACAGATCGACGCCAACACGACGTGTCTACCCGGCGTCGGCGTCGGCGTCGGCGGCGGCGATGAGGCGGGCTATCGGTGGGGGTTTTCGAGCACGTTGAGCTCGATCGTGCTGATTGTGCATGTCGTTTGGTGCTTGGGCATGTATGCGGTGTGGGTGGTTGCTGCGGCGGCGGCGGGGAGGGGTGGTGGTGGTGAGAGGGAGGGTGAGTTGGATCAGTTGAGGGCGGTTTTTGCGGTGACGGCGGCGGCGGCGGAAGCGACGGGGTTGAGTGCGGTGGAGCTGGTTCGGGCGCCGAGGGGGGTGGTGGAGGAGGTGTTGGATGGGAGGAGTGGTGGTGGTGGACGTGGTGGTGGTGCGATGGTCGGGGCTGAACTGTTTGTGGGGGAGAAGGGAGGAGAGAGTCGTGGCAAGGGAGTGTGAGTGGCGGCTATTTAAGTGAGAGATGAGATACCCTTTTGTGCAGTGCTATGCTAGGCTTTGTATTTTGTCCATATATTTGCTTCAAAGACCCACGTTGGGAGAGTGGTGGACCTCCTCGAGTTTATGCCTGGATGTTTGCTTTAGGTACCAACGTCGAAAGAGTTGTAGGTCCCGCATCGCTGTCCAGATGCTTTGTCTCGACTGGCCACGTCGAAAGAGTGTAGCGTTCTGTGTAGCATCAATGCGTGTGAACTTCACCAACAGGCTTGTTCTCCTGTCTAAGGGCCTCACAAAACGCGCCTGTGACGGAAATCGTAGCCTGGGCACAGCGATGAAAGTCACATATCCCGCGGGCTCCGCCAAGCTTTCAGCTGAGGTGAAAAAGTGGTTTGTGTTGAAAGTGTGTGATTGGTACGGTGAGTCGCTCCTTCACTTTCGGGTGATTCCCGTCCTGCGCGCCTGCCGCGCGCGCGCCCTCCCCACGCACCCATACTCCGATTAAGGAAGTCGCCCACCCACCCAGATAGCAATCCCCCAAGCAACCCAAGTGACGCGCACGAGGCCGTTCGCGCACAGACCACCCAAAAAACACATATAAACCCCCGGGGCCCCCCCAACCTGAACCTCTTTTTTTCCTTCAAGCTTCTTGTGCCAGGGATGCACTTGGGGCACCTTCTTCCTTCAATCCCGGGTGGGTGGGACCTCCTCCTCTTCGTGAGGGGGAGGCCTCCAAGTCACACCGTTTGAGGAGCTTTCAATGCCTCCTCCGGTCCCTGCTGGAGGGGTCAACCAGACCAGATGTCAGACGCGGCATCTCTAAACAACGCGTGGTCAGTGGTCCCCAAGCGCTTGTGGCGAGAGCCTGGCCTGCCTTGGGGAGCCCAGTTGTGATGGTCTTCACTATACTGGGTAGGGGAAAGACCGCTCCGGTCTTTCTAGTAGATAGCTCTTTTAATTCAATCCTGCTCATTGCCTCACTTGGTCTTCTTTCGCTTTCGTCGTGACTTTGCGCTTGTCTGTTCAGCTTTGCCTCCCCGACGCTTGTCTCACTTGTGGTGCCTGTGCGAGCCCTTCATGCCCATATGCCGTACGCCTTCACGCCTTCACGCCTTCACCAACATCGCGGCTTGGTGTTGCACTGAGCTGCGCCGGAGACATGCGGCTACCGGGAAGACGAAGCCGCGACCGGCCCATCCAAGTGCTTCACTTCATCGCCGCCGCCACACTCGTCCGACTCGCACCATTTTCCCATGTTACATGAAGCCGGGCCCGTAGCTTGCGTCGCGACGCCCTGACACCACCACCAACACCACCTTTATTAAGCCGCCACGCCTCTGTGCTCCCACCCGGTCGCATCTGCCACACGCCTTCCTCACCGTTTGACGCGTACCCAACAGGCGGTGTCGCCAGGAGCTACTACGCACGTTTGAGAACGCAACTTTTTGCGGGGCAGATATATGAGCGTGTGGATGGCAAAGTGTGGTGATGGAGGGCTTGGTCAGGCACGCGAACGCTTGGGTCCTCTGTCTGTACTACTGCGCTATCTGCCATGAATCCTCTCCCGTGGCTCTCGTGGAGCGCCGCCAACTTTCCAAGTCCGTTTGGTAGCAAGCTCGGTAACGCCTTATACATCGCACGACACTTCAAAAGGACATTGATGATATGTAGCAGTTTCTCTGGATGCCGGAGTGGTCAGTCACCCATCATTACTGCTTGAAGGATAGCTTCCAGATCGAGTTCGTATGCACTGTCTAGTGACACGATTCAGCGTCAACCGATCCTTTGTCAGTAAGAGATGGCGATGCCCTTTGCGGTCTGACACGACACCAAATCGGGCCAAGCATCTTAACCAAAGCGACAGTACTATGTAAGAGGCCGGTGAGGCTCGGATCGGGGACATGACGATTGGCGGTCCAACGTCACCCACGTTCCACCGGTAAGGTCGATCTTCACCAGGCTGCGGCGAACTGACGTTTCGGCAGGGCCTGAAACCAACGATCCTTCGACCCGCCTGAGCGGTTTCTGCGCGACGCACCCGTTACCCGGCCTCGCGGTTCCTCGTACCGAATAGCAGCAGTAGCTTCCAACTGAAGCTTAAAAGAGAGGTCGAGATTGAGATGATGATCTACAAAAGCAGCGATCGGGGTTCCACAGCGTAAGAATCTCCGGGAATCTGCGTCTTGGGTGGACTTCGTACCCCGCTCCGGGAGACGCGTCAGGAAGGTGAAATGGCGCAGCATTTGCACCATGGCCACCGAAGGAAAAAACGTGTCTGATCGAATGCTTCTGGTCGAGGCCTTGGACGAGCAGATCAGGCCCAACACTCGTCGGACATGTTATGCTTGTAACTCCGATACGACCGTACGGTGTTTGGAGAGGCGAGGTTGGCCGATCATAGAGGTGACTATAGGGCAGGGAACAAGAGGCTGTTAAAAAAGGAGAGATGGCACAACCACGAACAGCGAACAGACACGTCAGCATCCGACTTCCGGTTTCGATCTGGCGGTGTGAGGGCAGAGATTAGGGAGTCGCCAACACGCAGCATCTCTGCTACCTGCATGATGGTGGTGGTGGCAGAGTGCAGCCTTCCTTGGTGTCAGTGCGGCGGTCGATGAACAACAACGGAACCGTGGCGAGGACAAGGACAAGTCTGAGGCAGAGGGGCTGTCGGCAGATGGAACAACACCGAGAGGCAACGGGTGTCACGGGAGCGCGACGGCGACGCAAGGCCCCTAGGTGCGCGCGAGACTCGGACGAGAGACTCGGACGAGTGACACGGCGGATGGCGCCGGTGGCGAGCATCGCAATCTGATGATGGATCGGAGGGAGTTGAGAGAGAGAGAGAGAGAGGGAGCGGCATGGAGTATAGCCGAGCGGTGAGAGAGAGCCGCACGCCGCACGAGCAGCACGGGCAGGCACGAGCTGGCGCTCTGGCCAGCTACTCGGCTAAAGAGACGACGGTTGCTCGTTGCGGCAAGGCCAGGCGCACGACCGTCGTGTCTATTTGTAGCCGCGTGCGCAGCCACCAGTAGTCATGTTGAAGAGGGCTGGCTGCAACAATGGAAATGACGCTGCCTGCTTCGAGCGCTTGGGCAATGCCAGATCACCCTCGTACCGTCGGGTGCTTAGCGAGCTCGCCGATTGAAACCTCGTCGACGGGTTGCGTGCTCGGGCGTGGAGGATCAACAAGGTGTTGCCTCAGCTTGATCACTGCCGCCAGCCAGCTCGACTGCCAGCGCCCACGACGACGCCAGCGCCCCGCCGGCCGCAAAGCGCGCCCCGCGACGCTCCGGCCGCCGCAGACATCCGCTCCGTGCGTTGGAGATAGCCGGTTTCACATGGCGTCAAGCGCGTGTGCTGGCGTATCCGCGTGTCAAGCTTTCAGCCAGCCAAGCAGGCGAAGATTGCCCTTGGTGTTGAGAGACGTTAGCATGAAACACCGCGTCCGATCTTATGCCGGCTGCATTCCGCCTGCCTTGCTTTTGGATGCAAAGCGCAATAAGGTTGGCCGCGCAAATTGGGGCGTGTTATCGTGCGTAGCCCTTTGGCTCAGCTCTGGCTCGTATCTGCCGCCGCAGCTGGGACCTGCACGCCCGACAGATCGCCCGGCTCGTCTCTGAGTGGCGGCGGCGGCGGCGGCGGCGGCGGCGGCAGCGATGCCCGGGCGACTCCTGGTGAGGGCCAATATTGAAATTGAGAGAGAGGCACGAACTGCGTGGCATGCTGCTCGTTCTCGCTCCGCAGCGCGACCCGGCGACCCGGCGGCGCGGACGGCGGGCTTATATCCTACCTAGCTCGGCGGGCTGGGCGGGCTCGGCGGCGGCATTCTGCTGGGCGGGCTCTGCGGCGGGGCGGCGGGTCGAGGTGCAATTGCAGCAATTATTCGCAGGCGCGATGAAGATTGCAACGGTGCGGCCGTTGTGGTGGGCGTCAGGTAGCAATGGACCAGTCGCGGGCTAGCGCAGCCGGGGGGAGCGGGCGTGATCCCTGACGCTGCACGCAAGGCCCAGCACAGACGCCCTGGCGGCCCGTCGATATTGGAGGCCGATCGCTTCATTTCACCGCGCTCGTTCTGGCTCAGCCTGTGCTGGCCAGGGTCCGCGCGAGAGAGACTGAAAGACTGTCAAAATCCCACATCACCACGCCGCTCCACGCCTGTCCACGCCCGTCCATCCCTCCGCCGCCAGACAGAGACCCCGCCCTCCCTCGCCTCCCCTCCTTCCGCCCCGGCCAGCTGCGACACGACGACAACATCACCGACACCCGCCGCCGAGCCTCTCCACACCCGCCTGCAGGCTCACCCCGGCCCTCGAAAGCCACCCACGCCTCTCACTCGCTGCCCTGCCCACCCCGACCGCCCATTGGCCACGCCTGCGCCACTGCGAAGCCGACACAACCTGCGCCCACGCTGTTCCTGCGCCGGAACTGATCGGCGCTCTCGAGGCCAGCTTTCACCCCACAACCACCACCGCGATGGAGGATGACAACAGGATATCAATCACCGTCTGCGGTGACGGCGGCTGCGGTACGTCTCCCGTGACGCCAGTCGCAGCAGTGCCGCCCCACGAGCAGGCGCGACCCCGCCGGATGCACCTTCAATGGCAGCTAATACGTGGTGCGTGGTACAGGTAAATCCTCGATAACCCTGCGCCTGGTCCGCAGCGCATGGACGAACGACTACGACCCCACCATTGAGGACTCGTACAGCGTGACGCGAACCATTGACGGCCAGACGTACTATCTGGCGCTGACGGACACGGCCGGCCAAGAGGAGTACCGCGGCCTATGGGCCGCCAGCAACCTGCGCAGCGATGCCTTCCTGCTGGTCTATGACATCACCAGCGCCCCGAGCCTCGAGGCCCTCGAGTACTTTATGGAGATGATCGACATGGAGACGGACCAGCGCCTGGACAACGGCGCCGTGCCGCCCGTCAAGATTGCCGCCGGCAACAAGTGTGACTTGCAGGGTAACCGCCAGGTCACCAGCCAGCAGGGCCTGGAATGGGCCCGCAACCACAAGTGCGGCTTCATGGAGACAAGTGCACGCGAGATGGTAAACATTGAGGAGACATTTGCCCGTAAGCCTCCCTCCGCACTTGGAGACAGGACGACCGTCAGACTCTAACTCTAGCTTTGCAGTGCTGGTACGCCGCGTCATCGAGGCTCGTCGCATTCACGCCATGGGCACCGGAACCTCGGCCGCACAAACCGCCCCGCTACCCCCCAAGGAGAAGCGCATGCCTGATCACGACGACGACGAAGCAAGCGTGCGTGGCAAGAAGCGCTTTTGGTCAAAGCTCAAGTGTTGGTGAACAGCCATCTCTGAGAGGATCGGATCCGAATGGAACAGCCAGAAAGACGGAATGCCTAGATGCTTTTTACGGTCGAAGACGGTCGACACATGCGCCAGTAAAGAAGAGAGATACCCGAACATTATCACACCGACCATCGCGGCTTCCCGCTAACCTCCGACGGCCCGCCGCCCGCGTCTTTCTTTCGCCGGAGACTAATCATACACACGGGGACTTCCCCTTTCCGTCAACACTTTCTTTCTCCTTTTTTTCCCTACTCTATTCTCTCTGTATTACCATGATATCCACTGAGAGCTGCCATGAATACGTTGCTGGCGGGGCTGGACTCTTTTACTGCGTATGTCTTTGCTTTACTACTCTGTAGTCGATTGTTGTTTTCACACCAGCCCGCATTTCCCTTCACAGTTGTTCGCGGGGTGTTTCGGTATGCGCTTTGTTTTCTCTACTAGCGTATAGACGGTGCGGATACCGGAGCCTTTTTTCCCCCTTCCTTACCGCACATCTGTCTTTTTTTTTTCTTGCTTGAAAGCATGGAAGCTGGCGTAATGTTGTTAAGGTGTAAGGATGGATGGCATGGCAAAAGGCCTGGCATGCATGTGGAACTGGGAGAGGCGTCCATTATCGAAACTGTATTTCGAATGGTGGTGGGACGTACAAGAGAGAAGGCCAATAAAGGCTAACGGCAGCGTACATACACACAAAGGGTCTGAGGAGGTATAATATTGCAATCATCCTCCATCTACTGTTTCCCTGAAGGAATAGTCATGTGGAGATGCGCGCATGGGGAGTATCAGTACAGCTGCTGCTGCTGTCAAGCTCTAAAGGCCATAGGAATGGGGAGGAGGAACCCAACGAAGCGGAAGCAGGGCCAAAGCAGAGAATTGCGCAGAATGGAAGCTTGTGAAGATGCTCCCCCCACATCATCGTCATCATCGTCGCATTGATCCTTCATGCCATGCATGTGTATGTGTACCTGCTAATCGCCGCCGCCATCCGAGCCTGGAAACTTTCGTCCACGCCGGTCTCTCTGCCGCCATTTGAACCGTACAGCATTTACATGTGGCACATGAACGCGGCTACGATCTACTTATTTTAAGCCAACTAGCTAGAATTGGCCCCAATATCGTTTGAAACAGCACCATCCCAAGACCAAGTTTATCACAGTTCCTCGCACCGATCATTTGAAGGTGGCGACAGACACATCAAAGCATAAAGGCTCCCCCCAACCTTATCCCGTTTAGGCAGCTACTCTTACTCGCGGATCTCGCCGAATTACGAGAACGAAAGTCCATCGTTCGGAAGAGTCATAGCAGAGACGGTATGAACCGGGATCGGATCGCCGCGCCACAATGATGGATGAGCGTCATGCATGAGACATGGGTGGGAAGATCTCTTCGCATAAGCTGTTGAAAAGTTTATCGCGGGCAAGGTCGAGCAAGCGAGCGAGCAATTTAGACTTTTCGATGAAGAAGCAGGTCATGAGTCAGTTCCCTGGCGCAGGGTAGGTAGGCCATCAACATGCTCATGATAAACAGCATTCGCAGTTCACACAGAAACGGGGGGCATGACCAAAGCACGGATGGACGAACGAATCAAGTGCCATATTTACCTCCGTTATGCCTTGGATGATGATAGACTGATGCTATCTACACCGAAGGCGAGAATAATGTGGCCAAAGGTCCGTCATCCCGAATCCAGACTGTGGCTGACCAATCACTCGTGTGAATGAAGCCATGTACGCAAAAAAGAAAAAAAAGGAGAGCGTCCGCCGGCCATAGTCCGTCATGAAAGCCGTAAGCAGCTGGGCTGCGTGAGCAAGAGAAAAATAGCGCCCAGCGTTTGCGGTCGTGAGGGACCAGAAGGTTTCAAGGATGAAAACAGAAAGGAAAAAGGCGCGACTGCGCGACTGGCATAAGAATATGCCGACTTTCGAACACAGTTAGTTAAGGATTCCCCAGTAATGCTCAACACCCATCGTCTGGGCCGTGTCCTTCTTCCAGAGATCGTCGAACGCGGAGAAGATTATCAGGTCCTGCGGATGATCGGCGTACACCTTCTTCAGGGAATCAATGGCGGCGATGTGATTCTCGAGACTGGGAACAGGCAGATTCTCGTTGATGAAATAGTCTGAGCCCAAGTCGGAGGAACGAGGCCAACCCGACTCAGTGATGACGGTGCGCTCATGACCGCAGTCATTGAGAAGGTTCCTCATAAGCTCGGTGAACTCGCCAGCACGGCTGGGATCCGTCCACGACCCGGACTTGTCGAAGAAAGGATGGGCATTGATGGCGGTGTAATCAGATGCCTGGCAAAGCGCCTTGCCCTCACCTTCGAATACGTCGGGAGTATCAACCGTAACTATCGGGACACCATATTGACGAAGCTTGTTCTGGACTGCTTTGAGAGTGGCAAGGAGGTATTCAACGCTTGTCTCCCCACGAGAGATGACCTCGTTGCCAACACTAACAGCTTCAATCAAGCTCCAGTCGCCACTGAGGTTTTCATTGACCGCATCAACAATGGCCTGGGCCTCAGCCATAGCGGTATCAGTAGATTCGCAGTGCCAGATACCAAGGAATAGCTTCATGCCGAGCTCTTTAGCGGCCGGCATGGCGGCGTCGAGTTGATTGCAGTCGGTACCGTAGAGACGGACCATGCCGTAGCCTTTGAGAGAGCTGATATCTTCAGTAATGGAACCACTGTCTTTGCAACTGCTATCCGCGTTGTATGGATTGTAGCCAATACCAAAGCCATCCCCATCACTGGCGGAGGAGCTCGGGGAAGGGTCCGGTGTCTGAGAGGAGACCGGCCCATTGTACGCGCGTGAAGACAGCGCATGAAGTGTAGTAGGGAGGTCCGAAGTCGACGTGGGGCTCTCAGAACTGGCCTCGCTGAATGAGGAAGCGCTCAAGTGAGAAATGACCGTCGGACTCTCGCTAGAGGCAACTCCAGACGACGAACTCGTGACCTGGGAGCCAATGGCCGAAGAAGTCTCGCTCGTCACAGTGAGGGTGGTCAGAGGGGCAAAAGTCTCGGTCCAAGCAGTCCTGGTACCGTGGATATGGACGACGACGGCCGGACGAGTGACGACAACAACATTAGTAGTCGTGACATAGGCACGTGGCTCGAGAGCGTTGCGGGCATCTTATATCTGCATCAGAACGTAACTGCCTTGCTGGATAAAAGAGGAAGTTGAGCTTACACTGGGGCAGTCCGGCAACCAGGCCGAACAGGATCGCCAAAGCGAGCTGGACGAAGAAACTGGTCTTCATCTCAGTGGGCAAGCAAGTGATGGTGGTGACAATTCAGTTTGTGAAAGGACTACAGGCGCCGGCCAGCGGCGTCAGTGGGTGAACCGAAAACAATGAGAGACGAGTGAGCGACGAGTGCCAAGGAAAGGAGGAGTAGAGGTAGAAGATCTGAAAGACGCAACCGTCCTCGACGACCACTTCGGTGGGTATTTGATGCAGACGAGCACACTCGGGCGAGTAAAGGCATACCTAGCCGTTTCCAAGGTGACTTGGGTGTCGGAATGTGGAATGTTGTGCTACAAACAGTGCCCAGCACGAAGAAAATGAGTCTCAGCTCACTCGCACAGCCACGTCCCTTGAGGAGTACGTGGCAGTGACGCGAAAGCCAAGTGAGCGAGGCCGATTCAGGTGGTACCAAACCGCAACAAGGAGCGTGAGAAAGGCAAAGGAAAAGCGTCCGAAGACGTAGAAGTAGGAAAAGGTGTTCGGAAAGACCGGCGAACTGAAGGAGTGACGATGAAGGAAGACGGGTGTGGGTCAAAAGGTCGAAAAGAGGGTGTGGAAGGGAAGAAGATGGTAGATAGTCCAGCGCGACAGATTATTGGCACGCAGTGCTAAGCGAGAGCAATGGCAGCCACAACGGGAAAGAGCGAGGAGGTGACGTACGGCGCGCCTGCCCGAGCAGGGAAAGAATCGAATCTGCCACTCGTCGCCTAGCGCACCGTTGGAGAGCCGCATTCTGCTCGCACATCAGCACCACCAACCACGGCATGCTCCATCTCAACGCCATCATCTGCCATGCAAAGGTTGCTGTGTCACTTGCCAGGGCTCAACAAGCCTGCTGCTTTGTCTGTGTCAGTGCGCTCTGCCCGTGGGACCCTTTCAGTGAGCATGGCAATGGCGTCGCCAATGAGGAGCCCATTGCCCATTCCTAAGACCATCAAGGGCAGTTTGACGCTACTGTTGCAGAGGGCTCAAGGTATTCTCCGCAGAACAGTCTCGAGATGGCTGTCAGGCGTACTGGTCACGCTCAGGAACGATGCCGGTGGAAACGTAGCATGACGCTGAAGAGTTGAGGTCGGCAAGGGCGCCACCGCGCCGCCGTTGGAGGCGCTTGGACCCACCGTTCACCCGCATTGGACGACGGCCTTTGACTGGCCACGGCTGCTTGCCCCACATCTGCCGTTGTTCCTGAAACTGCGCACAGAGGATCACCCTGAAACGACGCACGGCCGGGATTCTGCTTCGCTGATGACCGTGGCCTGCAAGGATAGCTTCGTTTACAGCATCCTTACCTGCTCCCTGCAGTACCAAGTAAAGGACAAATGCACCCACGTTTCATCTCATCGCGGACACAGTCTTGCACTCCCAGCTGACCATCAGAAACAGAAGCACGATAAAGTAGGAAAGAACAGTCTCCGCAATTTTTGACTACGGCGTTGATCAAACAGCTGTCTGTAAAGAGGGGGGAGCTTAAGACATCGTTATGGGCGGCTGCTACCATCCAAAGGGGATTCTGATTCTTTTCCTTTCCTCCAAGTAATTGCTTCAAGTGACCAGATTAGAACTTTTCTGGGCTTGCTCCTCAGCCCAACGTTCTTACAAGTCTTGTTCTTCGCCCGTTGCTTCGACACTAGTCGGAGTGACCTTGCGGTTCAAAACGAAGCCTGGGTTACGAGTGCTTTGGTGCATCTGTCAAAGGCACGTACTGCACGCCATACAGCTTCTTCCTCTCCACGCTGCCGTCTTCCTTCTTGTCGACAACATAGATGTGCTGCATGTATCCCTCTTCCACCGGGACGAACAGCCTAGCACGGTGAAGTCAGTACCGTTTTTCGGATTGCCTTGTTCACCCTGGATACCACATGTCACCAGCGCTTACCTTCCAGGCGCCTTCAGTTGGTCCACAAGGGTTTGATGATGTTCCGCCGCCGCAGCCCCGACATGGATGGCGTCGTAAGGCGCGCCTTCCGGCCAGCCCTTCCGGCCGTCCGCAGTAATGTACTTCACCGCGCCGCTCTCCATTAGCTCCCTGCCTTCTGGGCTCTTGGCCGTGTTCCTCTTCGCAAGGTCCACCAGCTCCTGAATATGATCCACACCGATGACGGTCCCGTTGGGCTTCACCAGCTCCGCCATAACGTGTGAGAGGTATCCAGAACCGCTGCCAATATCGAGGACTTTCGCGCCAGGGTTGAGGAACTCAAGCAGCGATTCGCAGGCAGACGCGTGCATGTGTGGAGCGGAGATGGTGGCCGCATGGCCAATCGGCTGAGGCGAGTCCTCGTAGGCGCGCGAGGGTGAATAATGAGCGCGGTTAACCTGGGAGAGAATCGCAATTTAGATTTTTGCTCAAGGTTGGCGATAGTGAAGGTGTAGCTGGATTTCCGTGGCGGAGCTCGAAGTAAAATGGGACGACTTACGCCTAGCATGGCCTTTTTGACGCGGTCGGAGTTGATCAGGCCGTTGGCGGCCATGTTGTTGATCAACTCCGAGTTGGAGGTTCCCGAGCAAGCCCACGCCATCGTGATGCCTCTGCGGGGGATCGAGCTGCGGGAGAAGCCGCGGAAGAGGGGCCTGATGCACGGAATTGTGGCTGTGAGGATAAGCGCGAAGACCAAGAGCCTTCTGTCGATAGCCGTGATGGGTATGAGACGCCAGTCCAGGCGGGGTTGCAGAGGAATAGGGAGGTCAGGCCATAATGGTAACGGGTGCGGATGCGGAGGAGGCAGAGCTCCCCGTGCCCCCACCAAACAGCTCACACGCAGTCAATCGACGCCAAGGCGACGTCATAGCGGCAACGGAAACCTAGCTGTCCCGCACTGTCGCGGAACGAAGCTCCCCACATGCGCCGGCAGCGGATCCTCGCGCCGATCTGCAGCTGCCCAAGCTCTCAAGCGCGAAAACAAAACTACCTAACGGCCACAGCTCCACGCGACGCCCGCGCCCCAGCCCCTTGATCGCAGGACTGCCAGAAAATGGACGACAGCGCTCTCGGCGACGCTCTGTTCTCGCCCTCCAAAGCCGCCCAGCAGCGCGCTCAAGCCCAAGACTGGCAGCATGTCGAAGCCTGGCTATCATCCCTGTACCCGGGCCGCGCCTTGCCGACGTTCGAGCGCAACGAGGAGACGCTGAAGGCGCTACTGGAACTAGCTGCCGCAAACGAACGTGCGGATGAAGAGGCGACAATGCTGGTGGCATTAGAAGAGGAGGTCCGCCACGAGATGAGTGAGGTGAGGGCAATGGTAACGTCGAGCAGCGTTGCGTACCGGATTTAAAGACTGACGCGCCTTCTGATCGGACAAGGCAGGTGTAGGGACAGCGGATGAAGAAGCGGACAAACAGCTGCTGCATTTCATCGAGGAAAACCTCACAAGCGATGGCAAGCACAGTCTCGACGCTTTGGCCCAACTCTCCACAATCCTCAACACGCCATCCGCAGACCCGGAGCTGTGAGCCACTACACCAACTTCCCCCCGCCATAAACACATACATATCTCATCAATCAACCTCACAGACTCGCCCACGAACTCTTAGCCACCACCACCCACACCCACACCCTCACCACCCACATCGCCACCCTCTCCCACCTCCACGACCTCCTCACCACCGACCTCGCCAACCTCAACCAAACCCTCCACACCATCACCACCCTCCCAGCCTTCGCCCCGCCCCCGCCCTCCCTCTCCCGCCAAACCGCCGACTACGCCCGCCAAACCAAAGCGCTCCTCCCCAAGCTCCAAGAATACGCCGACCGCCTCGCCGCGCTGCCCCTCCCCGGCGGCGCAGCCACCACGCTCGACGACGTCTACCCGCCGCCCTCGCCGGCGCACTCCCCCACGAAGAAGCTCACCCACGCCCGCACCCGCTCCATCCCCCGCCCCGCCAACGCCAACCCCTTCGACGCCCCCGGCGCCGCGGCCAGGTGCTTGGCCACCGGTGGCGGCGGCGGCGGGGGGCCGCTGTCGTCCGAGGCGCTGGCCGCGCTGGCGGCGGCGGAGCGCGAGGTCGCCGACGTGCGGGCGGCGGTGGCGCGGCTGGAGGCGCGGGTGCGCGCGTACAAGGACCTGCCGGCGGACAGGGACGAGGCGAGGCGGGTGGTGAGGGAGAGGGAGGGGGTGTTGGCGGAGATGAGGGAGAGGAGGGATGGCGGGTTTGAGGCGTTGGTTGGTTGAATTTGTTGGTCGATCGATTGGTTTAGGAGATGGGGGAGGGGGGAGGGGCGTGGATAATGGTGGTGGCAACGGCAGAGTTTACGGAGGTGCCTACCTAGGCTTTCGAGAGAACTGCATTACATACTGTGCTCTCGGCAACCATCGACAAGCATGCATGCGTGCGCTTAATGAGAATAGAATGGTTTCTTACCATCTTTTGCATGGGTACATAAGTGTGCTAATTCTACGCTACGCTAAACAACAAGCCCAACATCCTCGGGCTACCCTGTGTACACGACACTTTGCCCGATTTCCCATCCTTCCCATCCTCTCCACATTCATGAGTTTGTTTTGTGATAATTTTTGACCACCCCTCACCCATACCGTTTTTGTTTTGTTTTTTTTACCCTTCCAACCAACCTTCCTCCCGTCCTCCTTGTCTCCATACCTTCATCCCTACATCCTACCGACCTTCCGCAAACTTCTCATCTTCTCAAGAATCGAAGCGCAATGGAAACCAAAGCAGGAAAGAGAACTTGAATCGATAAAAGCAGCGGGTCTCGGGGGAATTCATAACGGATCGTAAGCAAAACAAAGAAATAAGACAAAGGAAATCTCCCATTCCCTAATCACGTCCATCGCGACTCTGCCCTTGGGACACAGTGTCAAGGGAGAGAATGCGCTGGACCATGTACGTGTATGTGCGCTACTGCGACATCGGGGTCCTTGGGTATTCACCAGGCACGTGCAACTGGCTCACACTGACATCGGTGTGGTTGCGCCCAGCGCCCGAGGGCCGTTTAGCGTTGCCGTTTGTGGCTCCGTTGGCTGCCGCTGCATTCGCAAAAATCGTAGCTGGGTGACCGCTGTCGGCCGCTACGGTCGTCGCCATTGCTGGCGCTTCGGAGTCGAGGGTATCTGCGTAGGAGGAGGTCCTTGTGCTGCTTGGGAATGACACTGCTGATGCAGCGGTCATCCCAGGTGCAGGTTCCAAGGGACTCGAGGGTTCTTCCTGGGTATCCTTGGGGGCTTCGCTTGGACCTGGGTTCTCCTTTGGTTTCATGTATGCCTCTGCTCCCAGAGCACCAGCCGCGGCACCGCCCGCGGCGGGCGTGAGCCAGTTACTATATGTAGTTGTACTGTTGTGCCTTCTCAGGTCAGGCTCGTTCGCTGGGTTGAGGGATGCTTGGGCGGGGTATACCTGCTGGGGCTGAGGCTGATGGATGTGCTGCGCCTCGTACGGGGCCTGAGTCTGCGCCGGCGGGTATTGATGCTGGTAGCTCGCTTGGCCTTGGCCAGGAGCAGGGGCAAAGTATTGCTCCTGGGGTTGGTACGATTCGTGGGAACCGTAATACGCGGAAGTTTCGGGCTGCTCGTGTCGCAAGCCTCCGGCGGCGGTCGTCAGGTCATGATGATCGGCTTCAGAGCTTCCACTAGATGGCGAAAGTGGAGCTTGTAAGTCACGGTTGACCGTAAGGTCCGAAGGAAATCGCCCACCTGGTTGCGGTCGCGGAGCCGCCGGATGCTGTTTGATGGCCACGTCCGAGTTCTGCGCCGAGTATGGAACCTCGTCCGCTTCGTTGTCGTCCAGGCCATCGCTGCTAACCGACCGCGCGCTTCCCGCACTGATGCTCCGGGAATGGTTCCTCACAAATGCGTTGCGTTCCTCCCCACTCTTTTCCGTCAAACTCTTGATATCCTCATACCATGCCTTCATCGTATCGTAGGACTCGGCACGGAAGACCCAAGTATGACCGCGATGCATGGAACCAGCTTGACGACCTTTAAGAATGAACTTGTGCGAAGAGGAGCCAGGTTGAGAGTGCGTGCCGAGTTTCTGGTCGGGGAGGTACAGAGACATGACGGGCGGTTGGGTGTAGATGCGGTCCGCTGACTTGAACTCGTGCAAGTGGGTCGGCGACAGAACATACCTGGGAAGAGTGAGTGGGGACGTAGCAGGGGGAGGGTAGGAAGCACGTACCATCCAGGGGTATAGCTTTTCAGATACTTGCTCTTGCGCTCCAACATGCCAGCTCTAATCTCGGCTGCCGCCGGATGATGTTTACCGGGATACTCAATATCCTCGATGCGTCGCAGGGGTGTCCGCGGGTTGACAAAGTGCGGGTCATGCTCGACGAACTGGGTCCATTCCCGGTCTTTGGGCATTGAAATCGGTCCAGCACGAAGCCTTTCGACTGTGTCGTAGACCTCATCCGCATCCCGCTTCAGAACACCAGCCAGTGCATTGTAGGCCTTTTGGATCTCGCCAACCACGATAGACTCGAGTTCCCGGCCGGATCCCTCAAGGTTGAGGTAAGCCTTGCGCAAGACTGTCAGCAAACAGGTTCGTGGCATCCCTAGCGCCTGTACTCACCCTATGGAGGTAATTTTCCTCGTCGATCTGCCTTTCAATTTGGCGATCCACCGCCAATCTTACCACGAACGGATCTCCTTTGCCCACAACAGCTGAGGGATCAACGTCCACGGCCGCAAGGGCGTCCTCGAGGTGTGCCACCGCCTTGCGAGTAACCTCCTTCTCTTTCTCGACTGAATTCTTGAAATCGCCCGACAGTGACTTGATCTCTTTGATTTTGCTTCCCAGATCGGCCCTCAGTCCGCTCAGTTGCGTGATAACGTCGCTCTCAATATCGCGTGCCTTGTTTGATTCAACGACGGACTGCTTGTGATAGTCACGCAGGATTCTGTTCGCGTCGTTGATGCCGCCGTCGGCCAGGAAAAGCGAAGGCGCATTGGTGTTGTTGATGGCGTTGGAGACCTTCATCAAAGCTTTGGAGCGCGCCTCGTACGATGACTGGACCTCGCGGAAGTAGGTGATGAGATCTTTCAGCAGCTTGCGCCATGCTTCTCGCGGGTTAGTTCAATCCCAAACTGTCACGCGATTGGGACGCACCTTGGAAGCGGTTGACCAAAATATCGGTCGGAGTACCAGAGGTCGGCACAGGTGTGTTGAAGATGTTGTTGAAGCTTTCCGGATCGGTGGTCTCATCGCCCATGGGCATGCCCTTGATGCTGCCGGCGCGTATGCTGCGCCGACTGCCGCTGCGCTTGAGGCTGCCCTTGCGGCTCACGGAGCCCTTCTTCTTGAGGGTGCCGCTGCGGGAGACGACGGCGCCGCCAAGGGAGCGCTGCGATGCGCGCGAGGACGAGCGGTGGATGGTGTCGCCGTCGAGAATGGAGGAGCCGCGGACACTGGCATCGAAGTCCTCGTTGAAGCGACCCACATGGTGCTGGCCCGGTGGGGACAGGTCTGTGGGGTGGGCTGGCGGGTTCGCAAAGTCGGATGCAGCCGAGGGGCCGTAGCCGCGGGCCACATGGCCGGCCTGAGGCACAGGCACCGCGTTGAAGGCCATTGAGGCGGGCGCGACGCGGGATCAGGCGGTGGGATTCGACGAAGCTAGAGTTGCGACTCGGGGCGCGGGTTATAGCAGCAGCAGCAGCAGCAGCAGGGTCGGGCTAGAAGCGCGGCGATGACGTCTTGCGGGCGGGCGGTCGGGGCGGCCGGAGTCTTGAGCTGGTCGGTGGTGCGAGTTCAGCTGAGAACCTGGGGGCGCAGCTTCCGGATGCTGGGCGGGGGCAAGATACACGCGACGGCGGCGGCAGGACTCGGCAGGCAGCTTCGCGGTTTAAGAGAGCTCTTGCCGCGGCGACAGGAGAGGTGACGAGGCGCAGCAGGGAGGAGGCATGACAGTAATTTGATATGGCGATCTGCTTGCGCTACCGCGGCCCCAGCAGTCGCGGCGCTCACGACGCGCGCCCGTGCATCCGACGCAATGACGTAGATTTGGCCGTGGCGCCTCTCTCCACAGCCGCCCGCGCTCTTTAAGTCGCCCAATGCGGCGGCTGATCGTCGACCGCGCTGCACGATCCCAAGCTCCCAGTCCCAGCACGTCGTCGCCCAGCGCCAGACCTCCATCTGACCCCGACAGCGCCCGCGGCAGCGATGCGCGCAAAGGCCCAGCGCGCCTCTAAATTGCGCCAGCGCCCAAGCGCATTGGCTGTTCGGCTGCTCATCTCCGCGTGCGACGCCTGAACGCCGTCTTTAGTACCACCACCACGCCTCCTGCCGACCCAACTGTGCCCAAACCGGTTGCGCTATCGCTGTGTGACCTTTGAGTGACGCCCTGGCGCAGGCCCCGAAGCTTGCTTGACAGCCGCTGAGGCAACACGATGACGACAGCGACGAGATAGCAGACGATCCCGCAAGCGGGCGGCGAGGCCAGGAAATCCGAGCGGCAGAGCGGCAGCGACCGTCATGGGCAAACGCCTGCTGCACCGTGCCGTATACCACAGGGGGGACCTATCGATTCTTTATACCAGCTAGTCGGCATGGCATCTCGCTTGCCTTACGGTCTGGACCTCCTGGACCTTCTGGCCCTTCTGGCCCTTCTGGACCCTTCAGCCATTCCTTCGACTCGGCTGGCGGGCCGTCGGTCGAATTCAGCGGACGGCCCGCGCCTGTCATCCACCCGCGCTGAAACAGCCCGCATGCCATCATGCGCTTCCCATTCGCTCGAGGCTCGACCTTCAGCTAACACGCCTCTTAAGCTTAATATTAAGAATCAGTGTGGACCCTGTCAGAGAGCTCCTGCATACCGGCAAAAGAAACCACCCAGCTCGTCTTCTCCACCCTGAGTGGATCATGGCTGCCATCGCGATGCAGGGCACTTTCCTATTTGGGCCCGGCATACGCTCCCAGCACTGCCCATTCAAAAATCCACCGACATGTCCAAACAGAGGACCGGTGGCGTTGATTCGACCTTGGCACCTTCCAAGGTATGCTCAGGTGTCCCGAATACATGATAATCGGGATGCCGCCGGGTAAAGAGGAGGGTTCTGGCCGGATACCAAGTGGGAAAGTTGCCCCATATAAATAACTAAGCTGCGTGCCTCACAGTGACCGGTTGAGCGTGAGTTGTGTTGATTACCTCCCTCTGGTGAGCATGAAATTGTCGACTTTTCTTCCCGGAGCCCTGGCTGCTGTTGCCAATGCACACGCAATCTTTCAGCGCGTGTCTGTCAACGGCCAGGACCAGGGCTTGATGACTGGTGTGCGTACGCCGACCTCGAACAATCCTATCCAGAATGTGCAGGATTCCAACTTTGCCTGCAACTCCGGATTCTCCTCTCCCGTCTCCTCTACTGTCATCAGCGTCCCCGCCGGCGCAGAAGTTGGTGCCCAGTACCAGCACCTCATAGGCGGTCCTCAAGGGCCAAACGACGCGGACAACCCGATAGCTGCAAGCCACAAGGGACCTGTCATTGTTTATCTGTGCGGATGCCCTTACACGCGAACTGAGCCTCGACTGACCATGTTTTCCTTGTAGTGCCAAAGTAGACAACGCGGCAACGGCTGGCCCAAACGGCCTCGAGTGGTTCAAGATCTACGAGGAAGGTTTGAGCAATGGCCACTGGGGCGTGGACACGCTGCTCGAGAACAACGGATGGACCACCTTCACTATGCCAGCATGTGTCCCCTCTGGCCAATACCTCATGCGCGTCGAGGTGATTGGTGAGTGATCCCTACGCGGCGGATGCTTCCCGTCCCGCTCTTCCATCGAGAATTCCGGATCTGTTTACTGATGGCGATCCCTCTTTCAACCCACTGCAGCCCTGCACAGTGCCTATAGCCAAGGCCAGGCCCAATTCTACGTAAGTCCGCACCGACTCCCGCTGGACGTCTCCACAAGTCTGGGATCCTCTTAAGATGGCTGCTTTTATGACAATCATCGCATGCTGACATGGCCGCTATTGAAGATGTCGTGCGCCCAGATCAACGTTACCGGTGGCGGCTCTAAGACTAGCCAAACAGTCGCCTTCCCTGGCGGCTACAGTGCCAGTGACCCGTACGTACCTCCTAGCACAGCTTCTGGGCGGTTTATTGGCACCATTCATCTCCACTCATCAAAGCGTTTTTTTTTTCTTGATCAATATTTCCCAGAGAGTGCTGTCCCTGCTCTCAATCGACCCTTGCAGCCCCCCCCTTTTGCCCCTTATGCCCCCTGTCCTCCTTTCCCACCCCGCAACCTTTCTTCCCACGTGTTTTTATTATGGTCTCTCCCCGTACTGGCCTGATCTCAGCTAGCGAGATTGACCTTGCTAACCAAGTTCGTCCCTAGCGGCATCCTCATCAACATCTACGGCAGCACTAGCCAGCCCGACAACGACGGAAAGGCGTACCAGATCCCTGGGCCACCTGTTTTGACCTGCTAGACAGAGCATGGATGGGAACACTGGCGATGTGGCTGATATTGCTGCTTTTCAAGCCCAAGAGCTGGCGACGCGGGGCTTGGCGTCTATGTATGTATGTACATAGGTATCAGTTGCTCAGAAGACTTTGACAGAGCGTACATGACGTGGTTATGCCCTTTATCCGTCTCGTTTGTGTAGCCGCAAGTCGTGTGTGATGTGGACAAAGTGCGGGAGTTTGCGGGGTATTACAGCACCATTGGTGAAGTTGCAGCGTTGAGGTAGCAGTGACTGTTCCGACTCGGTCGTTGATATACATCCCAAACAGCGCTCCCGTCAGTCGTAGCAATGTTGAGATGATAGAAACCTTCACCCTAGGAAACGAGCGGTCGGTCGAGATCACGGATCCAGCGACGAGTGGATACCTCTCCATAATCCAAACAGAGGCCAGGAAAAGTGACAGCGTTCATGTCTGGATAGTCACGTCGAGGCATTTGCACAAGCTATGTTGGCATCGGCACAGCGCGTAACAAAATTTCGCCGTGGGAGCCATAGAAGCACATGTGATGGTCGCACCGACTTACACAACGTGTGGAAGAAATCAAAAATAGTACGCGTCCGCTTTGCACAACGCGGTGATAGGCTGGGCCCAAGTGGGACTGCTGATGGTGGCGGCGCGGAGAAGGGCCAAAACGGGTTGGGCGCGGAGTGCCTGGGGAGAAGAGCCCGAGCGATGCTGCAAAGGACGCAAACGCGGAGGAGACGAGATGGCGCAGATGGCGCAGATGGCGGGGGCAGAGAGGGGAGGAGATGGGCGAGACGGCCGAGCCAATGGCGCCTTGAGCAATGCGAGGCAGCGAGCGCGCGCAGGGAAAGCGCGCGTCCATGTGATTTTTGCGGGCGCGACAAGCGATAATGATGCGGGACGGGTGCAGGATGCCGGGCGTGATGCGGGCAGCCGCACCTCACATCCACCTGCCCAGCGCCCCAGCCACTGCCTAGAAAGCCGACCAAGCCGGTCCATCGCGACTCCCACCCCGCCCGCCGCTCCCTTGACCGCGCAAGTCCACCGTCCGCCCTGGTCCAAAGCGAGGGAGCCGTCGCGCGCAAACAAGGGACGCCCGCACTGACGCCGTGCCCCGCCCAGCGATTGGCAGACCGCCCTCTCACCCTACCACGCCAGAAGTCACCCGAGAGCCAGCAGAACCAGCACGCCGCTGCTGCTTGCGTGCACCTCAAAGCATGGCGAACCCAGGGCCGCGCTCGCCGCAGCTGGTCCCCTCCAACTCCTCCAGCCCCAGCGTCTCGCACCGCCAGAGCTTCGCCGACAACCTGCGCGGAATGCCCACTTCCCCGCGCGCCTCGCGCCAGCCCTCTCTGTCGCAACAGGCTCTGCAAGACCTGCTCAACAACCCGCCTGTCGGCAAGAACCACCAGAACTCTGCCTTCTCCGGCCGTGACTGGCGCTCCATCAAGGTCGGCGAGATCATTGACCCGGACCTAGTCCGCTTCGTCGAGATCGACACCAGCGTCGAGGAGGCCACAAACGTGAGTGCTTTGCGGGGCCCCGCCTTCCCCATGGACCCCTCCTTCGCTCCACCCTCACGCGCCTGGCGCTGACGATCAAACAGGTCTTGATCTCCTCCGGCTCTCCCAACGTCGTCCTTCTCCGCGAAAGCAAGGAGTCCCACGCCGCCATCGGCACCTTCGATTACACCGACCTGAACGCCTATCTCCTCCTGGTTGTTGGCCTTGCGCGTCCCGAGGCTTCGGAGATACACTCCTTCAACGAGCTCGCTCAGAAGGGTCGAGAGGGCAAGCCGATCCCGTTAAAGGATGTCAAGGACCTTGGGAAAAAGGAACCCCTCATCACTCTTCCCCACACCGCCAGCCTCACCAAGGCTGTCGAGGTTTTCGGCAGTGGCATCCACAGGATCATCATCGTCAAGGAACACTCCTCGGATGTTATCGGTATTTTGACACAACTGCGGTTGACGGGATTCTTCTGGCAGAACGGGCGCAGCTTCCCCTCGATTGACAATCTCTACCCATCTTCCTTGAGAGAGCTCAATCTCGGCTCTCAGCAAATCATTGCGATCAAGTAAGCTTCGCAAGTCCGTGCTGATTTCGCATCATGCTGACCCATACGACAGCGGTGACAAGCCTGTTACGGATGCACTCGAGCTCATGCACAACGAGGGGATCACCTCTCTGCCGGTTCTGGATAATTCAAACAACGTTATCGGCAACATATCGCACGTCGATGTTAGGGTACGTTGCCATCACTATTGGGCTGAGGGCCTGGCTCACACTGTTATTTTAGTTACTTACCAAGACAACCGCTCTTCCTCTCCTCCGCTCGTCCTGCATTCACTTCATCTCTGTGATTCTTTCAGAGCGCGGCATGAATGACGGGAAAGACTCCTTCCCAGTATTCCATGTTACTCCGCAATCCACTCTCGCCCACACCGTGGCGAAGCTGGTTGCCACCAAGTCACACAGGTGAGCAAAGTTGTGCGAACGAGTCTTTCGCGGCGACTGATTGTAATTTCTGCAGAATGTGGATAACTACGCCTCCTTCCCCGGCTTCGTCTGGGCCTCCGACACCTGCAGTCACACCCGCGCAACCAGCATTCTCCCCGTCATCCTCGGCGATCCTTTCCCCTCCGCCAAGCGCTAATTCCAACCATAACCCCACTATCAACATACCCCCACCTATCGATACAAACCCCTCATCCGGAAACCCCTCCGGTAACACACCGTGGTCGCCATCCCCGCTCCATTCTCTCCCGTCGCCAATTTCTACACCGTCGATCAGCGCCTCAGCCATGCCTGGCGCCAGTCTGTCTGGGCATCTCAATGGAGTCGTCAGTCTGACGGATATTCTGAACTTGTTTGCCCGAGCAAGTGGACTTAGCCCGCACGACCCGAACGAGACCAGGCGTGCCAGGCGACGGAGTTCTAGTGTGAGTGTGAGAAGCAGCTTCGATGGGATAAGAGATATTGCGGGCAAGAGATAGAGAAGGTCGGTTATCCGGTTTCCAAAAGGTTGGTATCAGCATTTGCACAGGAGAGGTTATCTGCATGGGACTGTTTGCACGATGACGGACAAATGACAAGGCACATTCCCCTCTCTTTTTTCTTTTTCTTCCTTTTTGAAACGTCAGCCCCACCAAGGTTGCGATGGCGGGGAAAACTGCGGAGGGGCAGTTGAAGCACCGTTACGGACGCATTTGCACTACAAACACAACGTGTCCGAAACGGCCTGCACTCTTTGGTATCGCCGCAAAAGCTTGCGAATTGATCCCGTGCCTTTTCCTTTCTGCTTCAAAGCATTCTCAAGCTAATGCTTTAAATGGAAAAATGGCACGATGAGACGTACGGTCGATTTCCTTTTCTTATTTCCTGTCGACACATGCGATGGAAAGTGTGGGTAGTGGTTTTCCTTTTGCTTCGTTTGTCAGATGAAGGTCGCTCACTTGAGACTGCTTCTTTCCGATATCAATGATAGCGAGCTTCACTGTGGGGGCGGTTGGGTTTACTTCTTTCCATCTGATTTTTGCGCTTTAGCCTTTCATATATCTTCGCAGTTCAGTTTTCTGCTACCTTCGCTCAAATCAAGACAGTTGTTGCTTTTCTTTTCCTTTTCTCCCTCTTGCTTTGCTTCTGTCTCTTCTCTGCTCTGTTCCGGAAACGAATGCGGTTGGAAGAAAACGAACTCAAGGAACACCAGAATGGGAAAATGATGGAGTGCGAAAGTTATTACACACAGCAGGGGACACATGAAGTTTATTGTTGCATTAGACCAAAGGTTGATCTGTGATGTGCTTCAGCGCGTGAAGTGAATAATGGCTTTGGCCATCGGCTTGACACACATGCCCATTGAACCCTGAAGTCTCCCCATGCTACAACTCCACATCAACTCGCGTATAGTAGGTATTGCAGATCATATACATACCTGTTGGTCAACACCATCACGTACACGTTGTGGATGATAATCGTCATCATCCACCCAACAGGGTCTTCTTCAGCAACGTGTTATCATGAACAACACCCTTGTTGGGTACCCCTTTCTTCATTCACTTATATAAACACCATATAGTAGCAGCGTTTAATAGATCATCCAGTCATTCAGCTTCTCTTCTGCACCCGGCTGTGATCACCGACTGACAATACTTCAGACTCAATCGTGCTTCCACCCTCATCTTCTCACAAAGCTGAACTATCAAAACTTCTTCACTCCTTTGCTTGTGATATATGTCTTATCTCATTTCAATGACCCGAACCTTCCATACGCGCTTGGTGATCTCCCCTCATCCCTACGATGAATTGAGTGAACAGGTATCATCTCACCATCCATCCTCTCTAACAGTACCTTCTTAAGTCCCCTGCCATTTCCCTCCCCTTTTCCTTGTTATTACAAGAGCGGTAACGATGCAGCTCCTTTTCTAAATGTGTGGAAAAAGATCAAGGAAGTAAGTCGGTAGTAAAAAAAACAAGATAGCGAAATTCAGAATCGCTGTGTCCACAGCGTCCTCTCTCCTCACCCTCACTTCTTGTAGAAATCCAGCTTCCCCGTCGGACCGAGATCGCCGTTGCGATCGTACAGTGTCCTCGCCCGGAGGTACGGATCCATTTTCCAGTAGTTCTCGCGCAGCTTCTCCGTCAGCTCTTCCCTTTCCCTCTTGCACTGCGCCTCGTCTTCACTGCTTCCTCTGACCCACGTCGCCGTCGCTCGCTCGTAATTTGCGACGACGTCGTCGCGCTCGCGCTGCAGCTGGTCCTGCGCGGCAGCGTCCTTCATGGCCGCGTTCTCACCCTCCTTGGGCTCGACGTAACTGTACGTCCACTGCTCGTCGCCGCCCATTTCCGTCGGGATGTTGCTGCGCGGGACGAATTCGGAGAGCTCGTCGGCCGTCTTGACGAAGTGTACCTTGCTAGCGACGACGGGGTCGAGCCAGCCGCGGATGATGGACCAGATGCCTGATTGTGCAGCCATGTGAATAAGAGCCTTGTGTGGAGAGATGGGAGGAGGCAGAATTGGACTGCTTACCTTGGAAGACCCAGGGTGCCTTGTAGACCATGACGGCGCCGAGGGATTCGGGGTAATTCGCTTCGAAGCACTTGATCATGAACTTGACGGGAGTGTAGTCCATGTTTGCAAGGGCGAATTCAGACATGTCGAAGACGATCACCTGAAGCACGCACGTGCAAAGTTAGCATGGTCGAGCACCCAGTCGACGACAATCCGCCGGGATCATCCCTGTGGGCTGTGTTATCAACTCACTGCAGTGTCTACCGGCGGGCTCAGCATCATGCGCGTCGTCTCGATCAGGTAGACGGTAAAACGCTCCAGGCTCTGCTCGCTCTGCTCGCCCGGCTTGTGCAGCCGGACGCGCACGTAGCACATGGGCCGACCCTCCTTGTCCACGCCGTGCACGAAGCTCTTGCCGATGCGCAGCTGCGTCATGAAGTCCTCGCCCTCCTTCTTGGCCGCGGCATCCGCGCTCTTGGCCTGCTCGAAGGCATGACCCTCGCCCTTGCGGATGATGTCGTCGTCGACGTGCATCTCGGTCGCGCGCCAGCGGAGGGCCGAGATCAGCATGATCAGCGCGGCCTGCACGTCCCACTTGCGTGCGCGCAGGAAGCGCAGCAGCAGCGCGTCCGGGTTGTCGTGCTTGACCATGGACCACAGCGAGGCGCGCAGCTCCTCCGGCGTCGTCTCGGCCAGCGCCGTCTGGAACGCCTTGGTCATGCCGTGCTTGTCGTCTTCCAGCGACAGGTTCCCCACGTCCACCTCGCCGCCGGCCGGGGCCGATGACGACGAAGACTGGTCCTTTGCCTTTTCGCCGTCCTTGTCGCCCTTCTTGTGCTTGAAGATGTGCAGCCGCTTGCTCTTCTTCTTGTCGCCCTTTCCGCCGCTCTCCGACTCGGCGATGGATGCCGCGGGCGTCGTGCCCGTCGTGCCGGTTGTCCCATTGACGCTCTCCGCGTCGCCGTTGCCCGCCAGCTCGTCGAACGGCATGCCCGTGATCTTGGCAAGCGCGTTCCAGAGCTCCTTCAGCTTCACTTCCTGCTCGGCGGTGAGGTTGCCCGGCCTTCCGGGCGGCATTTGGGCGCTTTTGTCGTTGGACATGTCGACGGCGGGGTCTTCGGGATCTGCGGTGTTTTCGGGCGGGTGGTGGATGTTCTGAGCCTTCGAGTCTCCGGGCTCGGTGGTGACGACGAGGACGCTGCCGGCCGCGATTCCGAGGGCAACGACGCAGAGGGTGTATCCGAGACCGCTCTGAGCAACGGCTGGTCGACTGGGAACGCGCGCTCTGGCTGAGCCTGCGACAGGACTGGCTTGCGAGTACGCTGTCCGGGCTGATGCTAGAGTCTTGCGGAAGCAGAGGTGCGAGTGCGGGGCAGGACAGCGACTGGCGGGCGAAGCGTGTAACACGGCAGAAGCGCAGAAGGCAGATGCTCGAGGGCTGACGGTGGGGGCGAATGGTCGGAAGCAGGTGCTGGTGGCTCGAATAGAGAGCGGTCGTGGAAACATGAAAAAGGTCAGCGGGAAATGGGCGGTGGGGATGGCAATGCGGTCTCAGCAGGATGGGCAAGCTTCGGCAGGACAGTGAAACGGGACGCCGCGGCGTGGCTGTGGCGATGCGGTCTCGTGGCTTGTCCGCCGGCCGGGTTGCGAAGTGAAGGCCAAAGCCCGGGAGCGAGAGCGAGGGCTGGCGCTGCTGACGGACTGCTCTGCGAACTGACAGCCAGGCGGCAGCGGACGGATCGCAATTAAACGCCGGCCCATTTCATCTAGTGGGCAGCCGATGACGCGCGAATGCGGCGCTCCGTTGGGAGCACCTAGGTCCGTCCAATTCTTGGCTTGTCCGTGGCACGCGGCACACGGCACTACGGCTATGGCGCAAAAGTGGTGGCCACCTCCACAGCGCCACCGCCCTGGCGCTGCGGGGGCGCAACGAGCTGCGCGATGCGGCCGCCTGGCACCGCAAGCCGCTCGCGCCCGCGACACTGCGCGCAAGCTCGGCGCAGTTGCGCGGCCTCCGCGTCGTCACTGTTGCAGGGGGTCAACGGTGCGCACGCGAGATGCATCTGGCCAGGTATAAACGCGGCCGAGGATCCGGGCTCCGAGACGAGGGGACGTCCGGGCGTCAATAATGGACCCCGCGGCCAAGCCCGGTCCAAGCAAGTAAACAACCCAAACCAACACACCACCCTCGCAATGTCCACCCCCCAGGCCGGCGAGTCCACCTCTGCCCACCGCCGCTCCATCCCGTCCCGACCCACCACGCCCCTCCGCCCGACCTCGCGCTCCTCCTTCCGCGGCAGCGGCCACCATCACGACGCAGCCTCCTCCTCCCACCACAACCGCGCCTCGGCCACCGGCCATGCACCCACCGCCCTCGAGGCCCTTGAGCCCGCGTTCGCGGAGCTGAGCGACGGCATGGCGGATCTGGAAGCCAACTTCATGCACCTGCAGCTGATGCACGAGTCGCTCGCGCGCTTCTCCGAGAGCTTCGCCGCCTTCCTGTACGGCCTGAACATGAACGCCTTCTGCGTCGACTTCCCCGAGGCGCCCCTGCCGGAAAGCTTCCACCGCCAGCGCCTGCAGGAGCAGGCCCGCGAGGCCGCGGCGCGCATGAGCGGCTTCGGCCTTGGCGGCGGCGGCGCGGCGGCTTCGCGCGCCCGCGGCGGGGGGTTGGATGGCAATGAGGCGGATACGGAGGCGACTTTCATGTAAGTGGGAAGAGGAGAAGAGACGGCGAGAGGATGGACTTTTTCGGCTGACCATTGGAATTGCAGGACCACCGACACGTCGTTCGTGGAGAACCCGCCGTCGTCTAGAAAGCCCAGCAAGTTCTCGACCCCGGCTCCATCGCGAGTATCGAGGGGTGGCATGCGCGGTGGCTCTTCCGGTATCGCGAGAGGCAGAGGTCGAGGCGGCATTCCGCGCGCTGGAGGCATTCCGCGCGGAGTTGGAAGGGCGCGCGGCGGAAGAGGTTGATCGCGTGATGGAAAGGCGCAAAAAAGGAGAACAGGCGCGCTTCGTCTGCACGATATATGGCGGGCCGACTGAGCAGGAAATGAAGCTTGGAGTGTCTCGAAGATGGGCAGGTGCAGCATTCGCTGTGGCGTTTGCATTCCACCTACGACTATCAACCCATGGGGCCACGGGTGAATCCCTCAACATACCAGGGGTTGGAGCAGTTGTCCCGACGCGAACGAGCAAGGAATGTGCTCATTTGGGTAGTGGTCCAACTGCCCAAGCAATGCATTTATCGCCATTGCCGAATCTTTTCAGGCCGATCGCGCACCGGCGCCACAACAGTGTTTGGTCGAGCATGTGTAAGGCTCAAGTCGTTTTTATTTTCTTCACGCACATTAGCATTAATTACATTGCAGCGTGAATGTGGCGTGCGCATGTCACGAAAAGGCAAGGACTGAATACCCAAGAAGATGGGAGTTTGCATGTATTGCGGTTTTCTAAACGATCCATTGGTTCAAAATATCCACAAGCTGCAGCTACTCACTTCTATGCGGATTAAGGGGAATTAAAGCTAGGCGTCCAGCAGGCAGCTTCCAAACCGAAATGTTCAGAGTGCCAGAAGAAAACAAATGGGTTCCTGCAGCGCCGAGACTTCCCATGCTCAAATGCAGTTACGCTATAAGTGGTATCGTAGGGGGGTTCATCAACAGCTCGTCGGCAAGCTAACATTGCCGGTATCCAAAGAAAGTAGCGAATGGGAAATAAATAACGCGCTTCAGAGGTTTTCCTCATGACGAACTCGCCGCAAGGCGATTGGTTCGGTGCGGAAACGTGGGAGAGGCTGATCCAAGAGGTACCCGAGAACGTCGGTCTCATAGTCCACCGAGGTCGGTAATGGGCGTAGGCTTCATTCTTCTCGTTCTAAACTGTCGTAACTGGGTATCATTCGAGATGGGTATCAATCGCAAGGGTTGATCAGAGGGTGAGGGAGGGGAGCAGCTTGTCTTCTCGTTCGGCTCATGCCAGAGAAGCGCCGGCGCTCTGTCTCGGGAAGGAGGACGCGTGCTCACGGCGGAAGGCCCAGCCCTTGAGCGCGATGTTGATGACGGTCCAGGCCAAGATCAGCGCCGTCAAGCCGACGGTGAGGACAAAGGTGAACATGGCGTCCAGGTCAAACGACTCCAGGGCGCTGACGGTGTCCTTGTTGCTGACCATGAAGGTGATGCCACCCGCGACGAGGCAGAAGGAGGAGACAATCTCGGTCGGCGGGCGCGCGGGGAGGAAGGAGGTCGGGGGAGACAGGTAGAGCAGCAGGTAGGTGGCGGCGCGTGCCAAAGCGAAGCCCACAAACATGTTGCCCCACTGCTTGTGGACCATGCTGGAGAGCATCGACGCCTGGTGATGCGATCCCATCATCATGCCGAGGAGCAGGATGACCATGGCAGGCATCGGGTTCAGGGAAACGCGGTAGGTCTTGGGCTGCTCCCACTTCTCATCGGCCGAGTGCGAGATGGGGTCGCGGCTGCTCAGCATGGCGGAGTTGAGAAGTTCGCGAACCCTCTTGGACTCGATGAGCATACCGAGAGCACCGCCGCCGAAGAACATGACGGAAATGGAAACGTGCTCGAGGTCCTGCGCAGTCCAGGCGCCGCCCCAAGCTGCCAAATGCTCCATAAAGACGTTCGAAGAGCCGTACAGGAAGATGACGAAGGACTCGGTGAACTCGGCGGTGGGGATGCGCGCCTTCCAGCGACCGACAAGATGCTCGCCGGGCTTGACGTTCCAGGCCCACCCAAAGTCGGCGAAGCATCCCATCCAGCGGCCCAGAGTCAACAGGCCGTACCAGAAGAAAATTGCGCCCTTGACATAATGAGCCAAAATGTTGAAGACGGCGTCGCCCCGCTAAAAGAGCATGTCAGCTATGTCCGCAGCGAATGGAGTTGACCAGTACTTACGGCGATGCCGCCAAGGGTGACTGTGCCCATCAAAAGGAGAACGAAGCCGAGAAGGAGGATGGTCCTCTCGATCAGGACGTAGAAAAAGCGCACGAGCCGAAGCGAGCGGCCTGTAGAGACACGGGGGATGAAGCGCGAGATCCAACGATCGGCCCGGCCGTTCTGCTGGAAGCCAGGCTTCTCCTCGAAGTCGTCAACGTCGTCGAGGTAAGGACTAGGAAGGTTGTCTGACTCGGCACTCGGCGAGCGCGAATGCCCGTAGAGGGAAGCCGAGTTCCTCTCGGTGCCCTGGCCGGAGTCGTGGGAGAACCTGGGGTGCTCCGAGGAGACCTGCTGAAGGCGCGAGTACCGTGCCATGGCTGCAGCGGAGAGCGGCTGGCCAACCTCTCCAGAAGCATTGGCGCGGTCTGCGTAGAAGTTGATGAGGCCCAGAAAAGTCCAGATGCCAGTGATGAAGAACAGTGGCCACCTGAGCTTGCTGTATGCGCCGTTCTCGTACAGGACGGGCGTCTTGGCGTCGTAGGCGATGCCGACGAAGAGTGTGAGCGCCTGCAGGGCGAGGAAGAGGAATTGGGCGGGCACCGCGAGGCGTGAGCGCGCGGCGCTGAGCATCACGACTGCAGCAACGTTAGTCGAACCGGCGCAATCAATTGATGTATAAAGCCATGTGGTGGCGCACCCGGTGGAGCAACCAGTAGCCAAGTGATCACCGTAAGGGCGACACAGGTCCACAGCAAGCCAACGTGCTCGGGATAGCTGAAGTAGCTCATCGGCCAGCCGTCGTCTCCGACAGCATCATGCACGGCCACGGGCGCGTTGCCCTTGGCGCCGTGCTCGGCCATGCCGCCCATGTCCATGCCGTGGTCATCTCCATGCGCGAGAGCCAGCGGAAGCGCGGCGAAAAGCGCAGCCGCGGCGGTTGACGGGAGGGCGCGTGCCTGCATCCAGAGAAGGGGATCCGTGGGGTGGGGCAGGATGTCAGGGCCAGAGGGCGGCAAAGAGACTCGAGGAGCTGGGGGAGGAGTGCGATGCGAGAGGAAGAGGGCCTTCTTTGTCTGCGCGCCGGAGACTATTATAAAGCGGCGGCGCTGACAAAATACAGCGGGGACCGGGAAGGCGCGCAGGGAGACTTAAGGGAGGGACCCGTGGGACCGCGATCTCGACGAGGCGGCAACATCGGCATCGGGCATGTGTCAGCACTGAGCAACATGCAATTCGTGGAGCGAGGTTCCTCAGCGATGACGTGGGACGCGGTCGGCGTCGACTGGCGGCCGCTAGGCTCCGAGGTATCCGACACCAGCGACTCCAGCCCTGTCGGCACGCCGGCCAGTCCAACAACCTCGAACCAAGACCCCGCAGGACATGGCCGCCCGCGCCTGACGGTCGTGCCACCGCGCTGCCCGTTGCGTGATGCGGCCCCGAGCGGCAGCCGCAAGCGACGGCGCCTGCTGCTCCGCAACCAGCAGCCAGCGCCCACCAAGCACCCAGCAACAAAGCACCCAGCATCAAGCACCCGCCCACAGCCCATCAGCGGCAGCCGCCTGCCGGACACGGCCTCCGGGAGTCCGGCGATCGGCACCGCCCATGCCCGCGCGGGAGAGCGTCGCTGACTTATGCAGTGCCCATTGTCCTAACGCCCACCCAAAGCTTGGCACCGCCAGCCGCCGCCGCAAGCCAACACGCGCACAGGCAGCCGTCGGCGGCCAGCGGTGGGACAGCGACATACTGTGTGCATGGCGGCGCCGGGTGTGCCTGCAAGTGCTCGGTGCTGCGCGCGAACAACAGCGCGGCGGCCGAGTCTCGCACGAAAGCGTCGTCTGCGAGCTCTCCGATGCAAGTCCGACGACGTGGGGTAGAGCAGTGGCAGTAAGCATTTGTGAGTCATGTGGCGCGCTGTCGTGCTCGGTGCGCGCTGCACTCGGGTCGTTGTCGGTCATGATGGAGTGAAGATCGGAGGCGGCACCCAGGCGGCACCCAGGCGGCACCCATGGGCCATATGTAGCGGGCTCGTTAATGGCTACGCGCCCCGGTCAGCAGCAGCCCCGAAGCTTAAACCGTCGTCGCGCAGCCAGCAAGCCACCGCTCACCGTGCCTACGCGCCAAGAGCGAGGCTTTCTGACCCCGTCGTCGCCTGCGCCAATGCTGGCCATGTCCGGCGGTGTTGTATGTTGGCTGTGCCCGCAAGCCGCCATACAAGCCCGGCCGCCAAACCGCGTGCGACTTTCTGGGCGAGGCGTGCATCGCGCGGCAGCTGCTACCTGAAATGGCAGCTTCGGCGCTGGTGCCCGCCTCCGCCGCTCCAGCACCTCTTCATATATCGACCTGCCCGCCCGGCTGACCCGGATGCTGTCGCGCCTGACGCCGGCATCCGTGGTCCCCGACGTTCCGGCCACGCATCCTTCGGAGCACCTCTGCTTATCGTCATCACTTTCTACCTATTCACGTGGAGCATTTTACCTTTGGCACCCACTTTTCCTTTGCCTGCGCGCCCCAGCGGGCAGTCCGATCGGGTATAGTTACCGCTTTTTTCTCTCCGATTTTTTCTCACCACGGCAGCGCCCGGACTTAAGCAAACAGCACCAGCATCTTCCCGATCTCGATCCGCCTACCTGCGAGGTCCTGTGACTGACTCTCATCCTTGCTGTCACATTCGGCAGCTTGGCGCTCTAGACGATCTTCTCCAACTCACGCCTCTCTCCATGCCTCTTCACTCATCTGTCTAAACCAACCGCATGTTTCCTTTCCATGTCCACATGATAAAAAAAACAGCCGCTCTCGCTCTTGGCGATCACCAGTCCCGCCCTGCGCTCGGCTGTTGCCAATTTTCCCACAACTCTCCACCATTAACACGGGCCTTGACCCTATCCCAACTCCACACCAATTCAACACGACACGACGGCAAAAAGAACGGCATGACACTGGGGTTTCAACCGATTCTCTTGACCCGATCTTCGGGTCCAGCCGGCTGCCAATCGATCCAGGCAAAAAAAAAGATATAATACCGGGATTGAACCAGTTGCTAATGGATCCGTGGGGACTCTATCTTGATGTCAGATCAATGCTGAAAGAATTCGAACACAGAGACTACTTACCGAACCCCGGGCCACTCCCATATCGACAAAAAAGAATATGCTGTCGATGGTGTTTTTGCTAAGGGAGTATTATTGTTCACATGCCCCTGCCGATTTTCACGTGAAAGGGAAGCATTAAGCGGCTACATCATGGTGCCGTCCAAACTCTTCGATTGTGCTGACAAATAGTAGCGGAGGACATTAGTACATGTGCGAGGTAGCTTTCCGGCTGCACGTGGCTAAGACCCTGACGGCTTATTAATTCTGCGTCTTACTACTAGCGCACTTAGTTCGAGATCCAGATTCATCATGCTTCGCATCTGGCGCTAAGTGCGGGGCGTTTGTCCGGCATACTAGGTTCCCGAACCCGTTCTCTCGAAGCTCCAGTTGATTTGAGTTTGCTTCACCTGTGGTCATGGCGAGTTCCATTGATGTTGTCGATGACGTCGTCGATGGCGGTCAAGCATGCGCAGGGCCCATCTACTCTCATACGTCAGGTCAAGACCATGTTATACTGCATGTGGTAAGTGATGGTGCTTGTCCATTCGACATGCACTGCCAAGTACACGTGTAGAAGTGTCGATTTGCGAGTGAATACCTTTTACCTCACCCTGACCTCAAGGTTTCCCAGACGATGGGCACGGTATGTACATCGTACCCACGTGAACTCCTACCCCACACGTGCTCTGCACGGCGGGGGATCTGAGCTTCTTTTACCCCGCAATGTACTTTATACTAGCTTTACTCCCGTTTCCGGTAACTAACAGACTTGCGCGACATGTGTTCCGAAATCACGGTCGAGGCGCTGCGACCATTTTGAACGACCCGAGCACACCGATGAATATAACTCCTGCAGTAATACCATGATACCATAGCGCGCATACAAGACCGGTGGTGCGTGATCTGCGTGTACGTCACAATAGGTCCCGCTGTTGCCCCGCATGTGACTGGCTATTGGCCCGTAGCCACGACAGGCAATAGAGCGAAAACTGATCCCTCGCAGGATATCGATGACACCCAAGGACATTTCAAGTTCTTCGTCTGTGTTCCACCGTTGGAATATTCTGATTCCGATTCCGCCCGAGATCCATCTTTTGATGGCTGCAAACGTGCCAGTGATGCCACGTGCCCGGGTCTGGAAGATGTAGCAGCGAGCGAGAAAATGTCCAGCTGGGTCTGGGTATGGTCGGACAGAAAAGCTTCACACTCAACATCCCCTGAAGTTTCTCGTTGTAGCCCTCCGTGTCCGAGTCACGAAGAGCTTCGGAAGAGCATTCAGTCGTCTTATGTGTGATCAGCCTGCTGCCTAGCCCATGCATCCACAACTATCATGCACAGATGGCAGACATGGCAAGATGCGGATCAAGTTGGAGTGACACACACAGTTGCAAGCGGATCATCCCATGCGCAAACGAGCAACAAGGAGAAATCATGCGCGTGAGTGGCTGAACCCCAAGCGCTCGGAGACGGAATTCAAGGATTATTACTGACCGAGACAAAATTTCAGAGGCCGTTTGGTGTCAGATTTTTGACCAATGCGCCGTGACCCGTGATGGTTGATTTGTAGTCCGTGACAGGCATTAGCCTTGCACGTGGCTGTATTGCAGCCAAACTATAACACCCTGCCTGATACAGAAAATATCCATGCTAGGGCAGATGGTCGTACGACATGTGATACCTATACTGACGATGACGCCTGTGTACGCTTGTACTGGTGTCTTGACTGGCTACATACGAACCCTTTAGGATCTTCATTCACTCGCCGGTTGACGCGGCGTGTATTGTTCATCGGCTTGTTGCCAAGCTATACAAGAACCTCGGGATCCACATGGGCTATTTATTGCGGTCACTTTATGAAATTTTTTTCTCTCGTCTATGTCTTCCACTTCTTGCTGTACCGGTACAAATCCCAATGGTGAAAACCCGCTTGAACATGATAACCAGCTCTGGATAGGTATCTGTTGAAACAAAAAGCGAGGGCAAAGATGTACAATGGCCCAAATCATATTTCATTTATTCATCCCTTTCTCATGCGAGCCAAGCCCCAAAATAGACTAACCCCTATACCGCCGTGCAAGATAATAGGATGTCGTGAATTTGCACGTACGCATTAGAAGTTCTCCTTGCCCCAAACGTACTGGAAGTCCTTGTCCGTGTACATGTTGCACTTGATGTGCAGCTGGCTGCCCAGACCCTTGGGACCACAGAAGAAAACCCCGGCTTCTGCAGGGGTATGAATCTTGCGGATGGACTTGAAGATCATGTCCCAGTTGGGGCGCCCGAAATTGGTGGGCGCGCGCAGACCGGTGATGGCGTCTTGCTCTGCGTTGGCATCGTTGATCATGATGTTGGCTGCGTCATCGACCTTGACCTTGGCGGTGAGGTACTAATGCATGTCAGTCGGAGCACTGAGCCGAGAGCCTTGGTGGGTACTTACGGTGTGGATCTCGATGTGGTCCTCCAGGTCCTGGGCTTCGATGGCCAGCAACAGGGACCTGAACCACTCCAGAGAACCGAAGTCCCTGCAAACCCAGAAGAAGTAGACCTTCCTCAACCTCGTCTTTCCTTGCGGGTAGTTCATCCGGTACCAGATACTCTTCAGGATAGAGGCAAATGGCGTAACGCCAATCCCAGCTCCGACCAGAACGGCAATCTCAAACTTAAAAACATCCTCCGAAGCACTGCCAAAGGGGCCATCGATGTAGACTCGGGGTAAGATCCGGCGCAAGCTAGGATCGACGCTGTCATCATCTGCCGAAGCGCTGACAACAGCAGTATCCTTCTCTTTGGTTTCCTTCCTGTCAAAGTCGCAGCCCAGCGACTTTGCTAACGCTCTCGTAAAGTTTCCAACACAACGAACATGAATGGAGATGTAGTCTTCCTCGGGGGCGCTCGTGAGCGTGAAGGGGTGATATTGCCAGACCGAAATCTCCGGGCAGCACAAGAAAATATACTGCACCACGTCAGCATTAGTTCAACTTTAGGGGAGACATGAGTGCTTACCTGTCCAGCCTGGGTCTTGGTGTTCTCTTTCTTGATCTGAATCTCGCAGACGTTGCTGGGGTGCTGGATGACCTTGGAAACATATGTCTTGTGCTTTCCGCGCACTTCACGGGCAGTCCTCTCAGCAAGATAAAGAAAGCCGCTGTACATCCAGTACTGCCAAAAGACACCGACAGTGTTGCAATAAGGCGCGAAGTCCGGGCGAATCATACAAAAGGCTCCATGGATGGACCACATGACGAAGAAGATGATGAAGAAATGGTGAGTGTACCAGAAGCGCTCGTAGTTTGCGCGGCGCGGCTTCTCGACCGACGTGAAGACCATGGCCATCAACGCAATGAGCATCACATAGCCGGTCCATCCGGGGCCGGTGACCAAGTTGGCCAGGAGGAAACCCACGAAGCCCAGGTTGTTGGCGGCGGAAAAACGGCCCAGATTGACCCAGTGGGCAACGGTGTGCACCCAGGAGAAGAACACGATGGACCAGGCGACAAGGATGTGGAAGGTGATGTTCTTGTCGAATTGGATGATGCCGTTCAGCGAGGTTTTGCGCATCAGCGAGATCAGGTTCCGGCAGACGGGGAGCAGGATGAGGGCGACGTCAAAGTGGAGGACCAGTGCAGCGGCACGGGCAATGACGAAGGTGGCACCGAACTGGTCTCGCGACTGGGTCATATTGTCCTTGAGGCCGTAGTGAACCATGCCGAAGCTGAAGATCATGGCGTGGGACAACATGAAGGCGAAGACGAACAGGCGGCGCCATCCCTCGTTCACCATCCACCGATCCAGGCGTTCGAACAACGTCTCCGGGCGGATGGGGGCGTCGCTGACTTCGCCGGAAAGCAGCATGCGGGTCAAGGGCGGCCATCTTGAGCGCTCCTTGCCAGTCAGGCTCGACGACGACGACATTTCGGGGGCGAATTAGGCACCGACGAGGCCAGCTCGAGATCCGTGGGAATTAAAAGATGGTATGTTTCTCTGCGCAAGGGTTCAGCGCAGCGCTCTCTGGGCGACGACGGGCAGGCAGGGCGTACCAAAGTGCCAGCACTACAGGTTAGTGAAGCGAAGGAAAAAACACGCGGTGCAGCTTGGGGATCAGCAGCCGGCTGGAGGAACGAAGGAGCAGCGGCGAAGAAACACAGAGTTAACAGGGCCTGCGGACGAGGGACAGCCGGCATTTGAAGCTTGGCAGGCGAGGGCAATCGGACCACAATGCATGGGGACGGACACCGAAGACGTCGAGGAAGTGTCTTGAGTTTGTCTCCTGACTAGCGCCAGGCACGCCTGTGTCATGCATGGCCGGGGTGGGGCAGATCCAACAGCGGCTGCGACAGCAGCGTCGAAGGCGGCGCTCGGTCGCGGGCGCAGCCTTGGCCGCGTCGCAGGTCTGCGTGATCTCCTCCAGTCGGCGTTTGGGCCCGGCTCGCGTGGGGCACTGGACGGGCAGTAGCCGCCGGCACAGGCCTCAGCACGCCGCCGCAGCCTGACAGCCGCCGCTCGCCGCTGCTCCACCCCCAGCACAGAGCAGCGCCAAAACGGACCTGCTCACTCGTTTGATTGAGACCTGCGAGACCTGCGAGACCTGCGAGACCTGCGAGACCTGCGAACCACCCTCCTCCGCGCCTAGGTCATCAGATAGCCCCCCGACGCCGATATGCACTGTCCTGTCATCCACCCGCTCTGCGCCTCGGCCACCATGGCCGTGAGCAGCGCCACGTCCTCCGGCTCGCCCATCCGATGCTCCAGCGGCGTCGTCTTCTTCTGCTGCTCCACAATCTCCTGCGGCACCTTCGCTATCATGTCCGACCTGGTCGGCCCGGGCTGGATGGCGTTCACAGTGTGACCCTGCGCCCCGAGCTCCGCCGCCAGAGCACGCGTGAAGCCTTCCAGCCCCGCCTTGGACGTGAGGTACACGCACCCGGCCGTCAGCCCGACCCGGGCCCCAACCGAAGACATGTTGATGATGCGGCCCGGCTTCCGGAGGTGCGGCAGCACCGCTTGGCTCATGAACATGGCTCCGCGGACGTTGAGGTCCATGCAGTGCGCGTAGTCGGCCGCCGTGACCTCGCTCAGCGGTTTGATCAGCTCACACCCTGCGTTGTTCACGAGGATGTCGATCGAGTCGCCAAACGCTGCTGTCGCCGCCGCCACGATCTGCGTTGGCGCTTCGAGTTGGCGCAGGTCTGCCTGCACCATGGCCGCTGCAGCCCCGTTGCCTAGGCCGTTTATCTTAGTCACCGCCTCCTCCGTGGCCTTTTTGCTGCCAGCAGACGTGAAGGTAAGGACGACCTGTTTTTTTTCCTGTCAGCCGTGAGTTGTTCACCTTTGGTTTTGCACTCACTTTGGCGCCGCGGTTCGCAAGCTCCAGAGCGACAGCCGCGCCTATGCCTCGTGACGCGCCCGTCACGATGGCTACTTTGCCGGCGAGAGTCAGAGGCTGGGCGTGAGTCGTGGATGTCATTTCGCTGTGGGTTCGTGGCTTGAGGGACTGCGAAGAGAAGCAGGCTGTGGCTACTCAATCTACCCCGCGTCGTGGCTGCTTATATCACATACATTATGACCGGAGAAGACAAGTTAAACTCCGATGACTGTGAAGCACTTACGTTAAGTCCGTGTGATATGCGAACACCGATGTCGATGGACCCACCCAAGGCACATGCGATAATTGCTGTGCTGTGTGGAAGCATGTAGTTATCCCTTTAGCTCCGCATATAGTAGCAAGGCTAGTGTTCTCCATGAACAAAGCATGAGACTTACAAATGGCGTGTCTTCCAACAGACCAAAAAAGCCCATGTTCATTATTACCGAACTATCATCGATGCTTGCAGTACTACCTACATAATATAGGCTTCGGTAGCGGCCCGTGCTGTGGTGTTCTCGGATGGGCGGCGCGTCGGCGGGATTTTGGTTGGAGCCGCCGACGCGACGCTAGAAATCCGCCGGCTCTCTGGCAACATTCGGTCAGTTGGTGCCGGTGAGAAAGCGAGCACAGCTTAGCGTGGCATTGTTCCGTCGGACCATGCATGTGCGACTCGAAGGACTCGAAGGACTCGAAGCATCCATGTTTGTGGGCCGAGGAATGCGACAGTCAAGTCGCCGTGAAAGTCGCCGTCGCAGCCGGGCAGACGCCCCGCCGTGCCGCCTACCTAGCGAGCCAGTGCTTCCTTCGGCCGCCAAAGTAAAATTTGATCGCAACACCAGAACACTAGACCGCCAATCTCCCCGACACCTTCACCACCTTCACTGTCCGGCGCGATATACCGCGAAAGCTGACCAGCAATAGAACTCCTCCTACCCAGCACACCAAGTTTTCCCGTTCAACGGCATCACCGCGCGCAATGGCCTCATCATCGTCCCAGGTTGACGGCGGAGTCATGCTCGAGGAGCAGCAGCAGCAGCAGCAGCAGCAGCAGCAGCAAATGGAGCAGCAAGAACAACAACAGGACCAGCAGCAGCCGAGCCCGCGCCTGGCGAAGCGCGGCACGAAGAGGATCAGTAAGTGCCCGACCCTGCGGCCTACCGGCCGCTGTAAATATACGCCGCTTCCGATCCATACTTGTTGAGCCAGTGTTTCGCTCTCACTCGCTCTCACTCGCTCTCACTGATTTCGCACTTGTCGGGACACCATTCGCTGATCATCATCATGGATGTTTTCACAGGAACTCAGTCGCTTCCGCCTCCTGATCTGCCGAAGCTTGTTGCAGAACAAGCCCAGCCCATCCCCCACAGCGACAAGGACACCCAGCGCCTCATTGTCGTGCTCTCAAATGCCAGTCTCGAGACGTACAAGGCTTCGCACGGCGGACGCGCCGGTGTCGGCAAGGAAGACAAGTATTCGCTTCTCAACAGCGACGAGCATATCGGTATCATGAGGAAGATGGGCCGCGACATCAGTGATGCGCGTCCGGACATCACCCATCAGGTCTGCTGCAGGCCCACCTCGCTATTCAACATAGCGCAGCCACTAACCGCTTCCTAGTGCTTGCTTACTCTTCTCGACTCGCCGATCAACAAGGCTGGAAGGCTCCAGATCTACATCCACACAGCCAAGGGTGTCCTCATTGAGGTTAGCCCTACCGTCCGCATCCCCCGTACCTTCAAGCGGTTCGCTGGTTTGATGGTGCAACTGTTGCACCGCCTGTCCATCCGGTCCACCACGTCGCAGGAAAAGCTCCTCAAGGTTATCAAGAACCCCATCACCGATCACCTCCCGCCGAACTGCCGCAAGGTCACGCTCAGTTTCGACGCGCCAGTTGTCAAGGTGCGCGAGTACATTGAGGATTTGGATCCCAACCAAAGCGTCTGCGTCTTCATTGGAGCCATGGCCAAGGGCAAGGATGACTTCGCCGACGACTTCAAGGACGACTCCATCTCGATCAGCAACTACAGTCTTAGTGCTAGTGTAGCATGCTCCAAATTCTGCCACGGTGCCGAGGAAGTTTGGAACGTCATCTAATCCGAAGGATATCCTAGCTTGCAACAGAGCCATGCCGGGCAGGAGACGAAGCGTTGCTTCGCGGGGAAGGGAACAACGGGAATGCATTGGAAGCCGCGATCACAACATCCAGGCTCCAGTCCAGTGCCCGTCTCGATGAGGATCTGTAGAGTGGTCTCTGTTTTTGCAACCAAAACACCAGGCTCTTTCAACAGACTCACAAGCGCATCTTCTTCGCAAAGCACTTCAACTTGCTCTGCGGCTTTCCTTTGTAGTCTAGGGTTCTGCCCTATCTCTTCTCATTTCTATATTAATGTCTGATTGATCCGAAAAAACATAGCATACCTAGGCAGGCGTTCGGCAGGGAGTTTGTGCAGGAGGAAGCACCGATTCGTTATGTCATAGCATCTTGAATGCCGCGCGGTGGCACGTCCACGTCCGCGTAATAGTTTACCACTTTCTCTTTTCCGACTGTCATCACGTGAGGACGGAATGTGCCAGCTCTACGTAGTATCTCGCACGACAAGTGTCTGGGCGCCGCATGCGAGCTGCACACGTGGAAAGGTGTTCACCGGGACGGCAGGGACGGTCCGTCACGACTGGCCCGGAGAAGGACAGCGATGCCTGGACAAGGCGAGACAAGGCTCTAGAACGCATTCGTCTGCCGGCGGCCTTGGACATGTTCCATGTGTTGCAACGAGAAGAAATCGCCCTATCTTTTTCGCCCGATCGAATCCTAAATAAACAACATGCTGTGCGACTTGGACTCAAAAGCCAATCTTGCACGAGCAAGGCAACGTAGGGCGGGCCGGCTTGGGGCTTGGGCCGCGTCGATATATCGCAGACGAGGCTAGATCATGCTGGCAGGCGAAGCACCAGCGCACGCATCAGTAGAAGGCTGTTGGCCGGGTCGCCATCCCATTCGGCGCGCGGGGGCAGTCGCGGTAGCCGCCACGCCTCCACCCCCGGAAAGTTACACGACTGACATGCATGACTTGTGCTGATGTGACGATGCATGTAGGTGCTGCAGCATCTGACGCCGAATCGACGTAGAGGTGGCCGCTCTCCCGCGCGGCTTCCCCAGATCCTGCTCGCCGAGGGGTTGCTAGATGGCTCGAACGTGGTACAAAGTGGCGATCCTCGCTGTTGGATCGCCTCGAATCGCCAGCACGTCCCTCTCACCGGCGCCGCCGTTACTCGCGCCGTTCTGCACGGGTGGGGGGGGCTTGGGTCCTGGGCCCGCCCTGGCTTCGCTTCGTCAATCTGCATGCGACGGCGCATGTAGGCACACGACAGAGGCAGTGCCTCTGGCACAAGCTGAGAGATGTCTCGTGGCAGCGTCCACGAGGCGTGGGAGCGGATTTCGAGTCGGCGCTGTACATGTGGCCGGGGCCAGAACGGGAAGGCGAGCAATGTCACGAAGCCATTGTCATGCTCGTCATCGAGGCGCGGCGGGCGTCGGGCGTCGGGCTGGGTGCTGGGTGCCGGGCGCTGAGAGCTGGGTGCTGGGGGCCAGACTGAGAAGGCCCCATCGAAGGCGCTGCTCTGCAAATCGGCCTTCTGCTCGGGCGTGGTGGACGTCGTGGGCCAGGTTGGGCCTTGGGCGGAAGCGGCTAGCACAATGGGGACGGCCGCCTCCCGCAGGCCAATGGCGTTCGCCCCACGGCTGCAGACAGGGTTTCCGCTGCGACGTGGCAGCCTGCAACGCCGCGAAACTTCCACACGCGGTGGGTATGCCGCCGTGAGCTCCCGGCAGCAGCGCGGCCCTTGCGGAAGGCGATCCCCCCGGCCGTAGAGAATCGCGCGTTTGATGCACCATGCGGCTAATGCGCCTGCCCGCGCCATTGGCAGCTTCTCGCCGGCTTCCGCGGCGCTATATAGACGGACCTGGCGCGCTCTCCTGCCTGCTGCATGATGTCGCTTGCGACTAGACAACGGCGCGGATCCTTTCCAGCCTCCTAGCAATTACACCGCAACTCTGAGTAATCCCTTTTTGCTCTGGATATAAGCAGAAATCCGCTGCGCGTCGACTTCTGCCGAAGCTTCCAGCCGTCCCTTCTTTCTTGCAGCCACCCCATTCTGCACCCCGTACTCCACCATCATGATCAGCCATATAGGCCTCACCGTCTCTCACCTCCCAACCTCCTGCTCGTTCTTCCTGGCCGCGCTCCAGCCGCTCGGCTACCGCTACATCGGACAGCAGGGGAACCAAGTGGGCTTTGGACTCAAAGACGAAGCCGACTTCTTCCTCTGCCAGGAGACTCCTGGGTAGGTCAACCTCCAACCTTATCCGTGTTCAATGCTCACCCTGTCGGTAGAATCAAGGCTGGCGCCGCTCACATTGCGTTTTCCGCGCCTGACCGCATCGCCGTGAGGAATTTCTACACAGCAGCCCTCACCGCCGGCGCACGTCCTCATGGATCCCCAGCCACCCGAGATGCGGAAAACGGCGTCTTCAACGCCGCCGTGCTGGACTTCGACGGCAACAGCATCGAAGTCATGTTCAGGGAAAGCGTCGACCCCATGGACGACTCGCAATCCGTCGGCGGCTTCAGCCGGGTTCTGACTTGGCGGAAGTCGGTCAACGGAAGCGTGCGTGACGACGAGTCCGTTGTCAGCGGCTCTACGGTGAGGACAGCCACCCGGACCGTCGTCCCGTACCAGGCACCCAAGAGTGCCGGACCTGGCTCCATGTATGCCCCGTCCGTCAAGGCCGAGTCGGTTGCGCCCAGCTTGCCGCGGACACAGTCTGCGCCTGTCGTGCCCAGGGCCTCGAAAGAGGAACTGAACCCGGAACTCATGGCGGATGCCGGTGCTCGAAAGATCATCGGCACGCTCATCGGTGCCGCGGCTGGTGCGGCCGTGGCCTACGCCATGGTCAAGAGCGAGCGCGACAGCGCCAAGGAAGAGGCTGCCGCCATCGCTGCGTCTCAAGCCGGATCGCAGAGGGCGCAGTCTGTGAGGGAGCCTTCTCAGAAAGCGCCCAGTGCCGCGCCGCAGTCCGAGTACGGCTTCACACCGTCTCAGGTGCAGCAGATGATCCAGTACGAGCGTGCGCCCTCACAACGCAGCTGCAGCGAGACGGAATCCATGTACAGTGCTCCGCGCCAGCGCATGGCCATCGAGGCGGCACCCCCACGCAGCACGCATGCTCCCACGCTGGTGTCAGCCCTGCAGTCGGGCGCCACGACCATCAAGCAGGCCCACCGCAACTTCAGCGAGACCGAGTCCATGTACAGCTCGGCCGACAGCCGCGACCGCTATTCGCGTGCGCTGGAAAACGCGCCGCAGACGGCCAAGAACCTCAATCCTACGTGCGTGTCAGTGGCGCCAACGTCGGCGTCGAAGCGCAACGAGGACGTCGAGTATATACCCGCCTCGAGCGTCGGATCGCGCAGTACCTACTCGCGCAAGAGCAGCGCGCCTTCCGTCATCTCCGAGATGCCCAGGAGCAGCCGCGCCCCTTCGCAAGCCCCTTCCAAGTCTGGCTCCAAGGCTCCTTCTCTCATCTCCAGCTTCCGGCCCGACGACGATGACGACCGCAAGTCGCACGCCTCGGAGGCCCGCCGCAGCAGCGCTCCCAGCGCCCACAGCTCACGCTCCAGGGCCGACCGCCTCGACTCGGTGGACGAGAGCGCCGAGCGCCGCAGCACAGCGGGCAGCACGCGTTCGCACCACAGCTCCAAATCGAAGGCCAAGTCGCTCATCTCCAGCTTCGCCGCCGAGGACCGCGAAGACTACCCGCCGACGCCGCCAAAGTCAACGGCCCCCTCGGCCGTAGAGCGCCGCAGCTCGGCCGCCAGCGTGCATTCGACCAAGTCAAAGGCCTCGACCGCGAAGCCGCAGGAGAGCTCAAAGGCCCCCTCCCTGATCGGCAGCATCCTGGGCCGCAACAAGGCATCTGGGGACGACGACGACGGCCCCTCTGACCTCGACACCGTCGCGCCCTCCGACTCCATTTCCAACGCCGGCTCGTCTCGGTCGTCGCTGCGCCGCTCGTCGCGGAAGGAGGAGCGGGAGGACGGTGACGATGCGCGCAGTTCTCACAGCAGGCACTCTAGGCACAGCAAGCACAGCAGCCACTCGAGGCACTCGTCCAAATCCAAGCACCGTGACGACGATGACAAGAAGAGCCACGTTTCCTCGCGGTCCCACAAGAGCAGCTCGAGCCGCAGGAGCGAGCGCAAGGACGACGACGTCGTGCGCCCGTCGACCATCAGCGAGCCGAGCGAGGCTAGCACCATTAAGCCGTATAAGCCGCGTAAAGACAGTGTGGTGAGCCTGCCGACCAGGAAGCTGGAAGGCAGCATGGTCGAAGGCGGCAAGAATAGGAGTGTAGTGAGTTTTGCTGGCTGAAAAGGCAAAGACAACGACATCGCGGTGTTGCGCCCCTACCTGCACGATGACCTGCATTCGGGTATTGGTTTCCCCTGCTCATGCAGGCCGAGAAATGTCTAGATTTACATCTGCATCCGGATAGTTGCCTTGACTATCCGTGCAGGGAAGGTGTAACGTCATCCGCAAGGCCATGGCGGCGTGTTCTTCTTCTGCAATGAACTGCACAAGTATGTATCGGATGAGTAATGCCTTTCTTTTCTCCTTGATTGTTTTTACTATCATTTCTTTCCTTTGGGAAGGTACATATGCATGGCTTGGTACGTTGGGTAGGTGCCTTTTCTCTTCTTGGTTTTCCTTCGACTCCGCATATCGCAAGGCTCGATGTCTTGGGGTAGATGTGGACCGTTCTTCGATTCCTGTCTACAGATGCGATCATCTATGGCTGCTGTTTTTCTCTCTATTACTTCCCTCCTTTTTGCATCAGTGGTGCGTGGGGGGCTGGCTTCATTTTCGACAGAACCACGTAACTTGTGGATTGGAACGCAAGTCCAGCTATTGGGCAGGGCGTGCGGTTTAACAACTGCGACACCCCCGGCCTTTTAAATTCATTCTCTCGTACTAGTTGTTACTGGAGAGACATTATACAGACAGAAAGACGACCGAATGATATATACAGACTATTTTTAAACTATACTGTTTTCTCGCTTGATGTAGGTGACGAAACCGATAGAGCGTTGTCATTAAGTTACACAAACGACCACCACAGTGAGTTGCGAAAATCTTGCAAGTCCCTTATCTCGCGAAAGACGCCGGCTTTACCCCGTACGTTGTGGCAGTGGGAGTGGGTATTTGAATGTAGACGCCCCGCCTTTGGAGTCTTACAAGAACATGCGGACGTATTCTTCAACTCCCCCTCACCGATTACCTTTTCCATAGAATTGCATGTGCAATGCCTCCTCTCTTAGGCGGAGTGATGATTAATGTGTGGCAACCAACCAAACCACGCATGCAGCCACGCATGCTTCGGTGTCGGCCAGCAATGGACATCCATCTCGTCAGGATATGCGGGCACCTTCTTGCATGCATGCATCCATCCAGCTAGCGTCGGTGAAGAAGCCTCACTTGAACCATCCAATCGATTCCATGCTAATTGCTATCTTAAGCAGCGAATACTCTATCGGTGTCTGTTTATACACCACACAGCAGCCTGCTTACCCCATATCCTTCTCCATTCTTGCCGCCGCGCGTATCGGGGAAGGAACCGCATCGGTTCAGGCCAGGCCAGGCCCATCCATCCATCCGAACCTCTACCAGCAGATGGCTGTCTCCGAAGCCTCCCATTCACCCATCTACCACACCCACGTAAGGCTGAACCCCGCATATGTTCGAATCGGGGGAGACAGAAAAAAGACAACAACAACGATCAAGCAAAGAAGCCCTCACTGACCACGACCGCGCCGGCGAACCACGCCGGCCACCACACCAACCACACGACCACCTGCGTCCACAAGCCCCACACGTGCCACCCGAACGCCGCCTGCATCAGCACCTGCCTGACGGCCTCCAAGCCGCCGACGCCGCCACCGCCGCCGCCGCCACCACCACCGCCCACCATCCACTCGCCCACGTTCAGCAACCATTTACCCTCCAACTCCTGGCTCGCGAGGGCCACGACCGTCACCGGGCTGAACAGGACGAGGAGGGCGTACTGGGCGCCTGCGAGCAGGAGTTTGCGGTTGCGTGACGACGAGGAGGAAGAAGGCGGGCGGACGAAGGTGAGGGGAGCGGCGCAGAGGCCGACGAGGAAGGAGAGGGAGAAGTTGAGGGTGGCGAGGGCGGAGAAGAACATGCCCAGGAGGAGGAGCGAGAAGCACTGCAGGAGGCACGTCTCCTGGGTCGTGAGGGCGCGGTGGAGTTGGCGGGTGAGGAGGAAGGACGTCAGCGGCGGGGCGGCGAGGGTGATGACGGTGACGAGGATGAAGGCATTGCCGAGGTGCTTTTTTTGGGGGCAGAGTCAGTTGAGCATTGGTTCCGCTAAGGGGAGAGGATGGTGGTGGGGTTTGGGGGAAACTTACGTCGCTCGAGGTATGGTTGAAAATGGTTAGGGGGATGAGACCGAGGAAGTGGACACCGCTGACGAGAGCGAGAGGGAGGATCAGATTGCGCTCCACGGTCTTGAAGAGGACGGATGGGACGATGGCGACGTCGCTTCCTTCCCTGACGACAGTCATGTCTGGCTTCTTCTCATCTTTGGTCTCGGTTGAAGCGGGCTTCTCGTCGGGGATTGGAGGACGTCCGCTCTGAACCCAAAGTGCGATGGCCGTTATGGTGAAGTTGACGGCAATGAGCATGGCACTCGGGAGATAGGTTCCAATGCTGACGAAGCGGTTGGCCTGCATCAGGAGGTAGAAGAAGAAACTCTGGTGCAAGTGCTCGAGAAGGTTGTTCAGACTGCGAAATAAGCTTTCGACCGTTCTGCCCAGAGACATCTCGTCGTTCCAGCCACTGCCCGTGGTCTGGATCGTTATGGCATCGACGTGATAGGGAATAAAGGCACTGTGGGGCCCGGAGGCATGGCCGAGACCCTGACTGATCATGCCGCGGAGCATCGTCTGGAGGCGTTCTTCATAGGTATCCTGGTGGTTCCACATGCGCTGGAGCGTGCATCCGATTCCCATTTGACCGCTGGCAATAGAAACGGCAGTGTTGAAAAGGTCCAGGTTGGGTAGCTGGCCATTGACGCCGTCGTAGAGCAAGTGGAGCTTGTCGAAGCGGTGGCCCCAAGGGCCGGCTGGGTACTCAATAGCAACAGCTCCCTGAAGCGCTCCGCTCTTGAGCGGAAGCGCTTCAACTCTGCTGGGGTCGTGGGTGTTGTGGTAGGCATCGACCCAGGCCTGAGAGCCGGCGGTGGTGTCGCTGGTGATCAGTACGATTATGTCCTTGGACCAGAGCGACCACCCTACGCATCGGAATTAGAAAGGCGCTTCGATGGGTAGCTTGGAGGGCATACTCTTGAAATAGCGGGCCAGAGTGAGGGCCAGAGCAACACCGCTCTGGTTGATTTCGCCATCGACCGTCTCCCAGGATGCGACTAGCACGACGGCCTCGGTAGCATCGGCGCGAGGACCTTGGATGACGCCGTAGACGTTTTCGCCGACCACGTTCTTTCCGGGAACCTTGTAGGAATACTTCTGGCGAGCCGTCTTCAGGCCAGCGGACTTCAGGATCTCCTCCAGCGCCTGATTTCGCTCGTAGACATCCTTGTCGACCAGGGCATGGACCTCGTGCCTGAATGCGCGGAAGATGTTGTGCTCGCTGCCGCCGAAGTAGGTGTGGACCTGGCCGGGCAGCAGGGCGTTCTCGGAGATGTACGTCTGGCGCGAGTAGTCGTTCAATGGCAGCAGGAACAGCCAGATGACGCCGACGACGATGCACAGAGCGGACAGGTAGGGCGGAATCTTCAGGATGCGGGCATCGCGGCGGAGGCCAAGGATGGCGGGAGCTTCGGGGGAGGCAGAGGGTCAGCGGGGCTCGCGGGCAGCGGGCAGCGGGCAGCGGGCGGAGGGGCGCCTACTGAGCAGAGCCATTCCGAGGGCGAGCGGCGACGTCGGGGCTACAGCAGCCTCATTCGGGTTGTGGATGTGGAGCGGGAGTGAACTGGAGTGAGCTGGAGCTCGACCGGCGAGTCGGCGATCTGGGGCGCGTGTCCGGCGCGTCGTCGTCTCGGCCGCGGCGGGCCAACTGTTCCTGCCTGCAACACCATGCCTCTCGCCGTCCCCAATCTCAACCCGGTGCGCTTGCGCTCCTATGTCTTGCGTCTGCCGCTGTGCACCCGCATCGTTCTGCTCATCATTGTCGCTCTGAGCGTCGCCACCACCATCTCGCCCGCCCTGCGTCAGAAAACTGCCCTGATTCCCGACCAGGTCTCCATAACCGCCGGTAAGTCCGCCGTCGATCCGATGCAGATCCATCTTATCCAACAACCTGCACAGCGTTTCGTCTGAACACCTTCCCGGTGACCCACGTCGGCATCATCCACACTCTCTTCAATCTACTCGCCATCACGCCGCTGCTCGAACGATTTGAAGCCGAACATGGCACCCTCGTGTCTCTTGCCCTGTTTTCCGGCCGTACGTCCACTCTGCTAGCCAGCCTCCCAATCGCTGCTTACCCGACTAGCCTTTGCGACTCTGCCCGGCATAATATACATAATCATTGAGCGAGGCATCTTGAGAGGAAATACGCCGGTCCAAGGCGCGAGGTACGCAGTCCATTTTCTTGTGAGGCGCTTTCCGTGGTGACGTCTGGCAGTGTCTGGGTCTTTCTTCTCCTCGCCGCCGAGGCGATGAAAACACACAGGGCGAACCCCTTTTTCAGGTACGACACGCGCCAGCCCGGCCACATCCGGCGCTAACATGTAGAAGCCTTGGGCCGTACAAGATTCCCACGTGGACCACGCCTCTTATCTTTATCCTTCTGACCAGCTTCCTGGTTCCCAACACGAGCCTGGTCGGCCATCTCTGCGGCGCCTTGATCGGCTACCTCTGGGGTCTGAACTACATCAAGTTCCTGGCACCGCCGGAGAAGATCCTCCGGTGGATCGAGAACAAACTCAACTTGCTGGTGCGACTACCGCACTACGTTTCGGTCGACCGGTCCACTTTCGGGCGCTACGGCGTTCTGCCTTCGACCACTCCGTTGGCGACACTGCCCACGGGTGTGGCTGCTCCCTGAATGGAAAATGCCTCTTTTTATATTTGGCGTTGGATCACTGGCGCAGCATGGTCTGTTCGGTCTCTGCGCGGCAATGGAAAAGGGTATGAGGGCCACAGTGTAAGAATACGACAGCATGAAGAGACACATGGCAACATGATGGAAAGACTCTTGTAGAGTATTGGCTTAGTCACACTGTAGAAAGTGCTGCTTATTCGTGTCTCCAGTCGGGGCTATCGTGGTGTTTGTACTATTTTGCACAAGACTACTCCGAAGAGTTCAATCTACACCAGCAGCCTCTGCATAGACAACAATCAAGCCAAAAAAAAAGGAAAAAAAAAAGACGGTTCTAGCCGCATTGAAATGTCTTGTGCATCAGCGTTGTGGGATCTCTTGCAAGAGCGGCCTTTGTTGCAGTGATGGCGGGATGAGCTGCTCCCATGCCGGTCTATCATACTGGTGGCGCTCGTTAATCGCTATAGTTCCAGAAATTTGCTGCAGACTCTTTCCCCTCGACATTCGCAACAGATGCCGCTCTCTCTCTCTCTCTCTCCAGATACCATTGTTAGTTTGTCCGTCCAAATGATGGTGTTGTGTTGTATAGAACTTTTGCAATCCACCCCAAAATCTAATTGCGGCATAGTGCCAGAGTGGTTAATGGGTCAGACTTGAATGCAGTCGCATTTAGTCATCTGATGGCTTCGGCCTCGCAAGTTCGAATCTTGTCTATGTCGTACATGTCTCTGGCAGTTCTTTTTGCTCTTTTTGAGAACAGTCCTCCAATAAATCATGGTAACTAACATGTAGCCCAATGGATGCTTTAACGTTACATTTTGGATGTACAGGACACGGGGCAATGCAAGTTCATTTTCCGCGAAGTAGACGACCCCACCAACTTGAAATCTAACATCGTTGTCCCACCACGTCCTAATTTTGTCTGTGTCGTGTATACTTGTCGTCTGTTTTGATCTTTTTGGTCTATGTGTGTGTGTGTGTGTGTGTGTGTGTGTACTCGTCAGATGGTGCGTTTTGCCGTTTTCTGCAATATTCGAATCGTATGTCCGTATGTATTCGTATGATGCCAGTGGCCTCAGCTACCCATGTAGGGAAAGCGAAATGCGGGGCACAGAGTAAGGCCGGAGCTGCCACAACCTACTTTGAGAGGCACGGGGGGTCAATGAAAGAGACAGGTCTGTGTGATGTGCAGTGGTATTTGCTGGCGAGGCGACTAGATATATTTCCCATTGCCTCAGTGGCCGGATTAGCCGTTTACGGAGCGCAAAAAAACAACTGTGATGCAATGTTTTGTTGCACAATCAATCCTCAATGGTAGGGAAGAATTCCATCTTGAAAATGGACGTTGCTAAGTTGGTGGCATTCAACGGCGAGAGAAACGGACGACGCAGCGACCCTTCTAACCGCCGTTGCTTTCATGAAAACGTATTCGCTTTAATTCATCATCCTCACCAATATGGAAGCTTCGGCTCCGCATGGCTATCATACCAACACTCATACGTAGGAAGCTAAAGGGACAGTGAAGTCGTAGATGATCGAATTGCATCTACGGCCCTCCTTCGCAAGTCTACTACCGCATAGGCTGCCTCCGGACATCGGATAAAGCAAGGATTCTCACCGGGCACGGCAGTCTCGCGAGAACCGGAATATGAGAATAAGCCCGGACATCTCATCTCGCGTACACGTCCAACCGGACAGACGCCCTCAACCGAGAAATCTCATCAGCGGCCGGATCGTTTCCCTGCACTGTCAGAGATCTGGCCAGTCCATCGGTGCCGCAAGGCAGTCTTCGCGCAGCATGTTCCAGCAAGTCTTGCAACAAGACTGACCACGCGCAGGATGCATTGCATCAACGAAGAAGCCGACAGGATAAGGCGGAGCGTCCAATCAAAAATGGCGCATCGTCACTAAAACTCAGCCCCTATCTTTCGAGAGTAGTCATCTCGGCGGTGATTGGCTGGGTATCGCAGAAAATAGAAGAGGGGGTGAGAGGAAGGATGATAGGTTTCTTGCTCGGATCTCGCGTCAGCCACCACAGCCCGACCGCCCGACGTTGGAGATGATGCACGTCAGATGAAAGCCATTGCGCGGGGTGCGTGGCTGACAGGGCTGACGGGCATAATCGAACCAGTCACTGTGTGGCAGTGTGCGCAAGCTTTAGGTGTCGGCAGCATCCGCGTTGTGTGGAGGAGCTATGGTACACGGATATATATAGAAAACTATCAGTTGCTCTGCGTTGTACCTGATTCCCATTTTATCGTGTACGTACCAACCACAGAATCCGGCTCCACCTGCATGCTGTCGGAATGTATGTGAGCATGCAAGTGATCCAACAGGCTGGCCGTATGCAACACGGAGCTCAATACGCAGTGAGGCTGAAAGGACCGGCAAGTCATTGGCGACATACCTGAAGAGCATGAGGGATCTCAAAAGGCAGTCCATCCGACACACAATCCACGTATGATTAAAATGTAAATTCTCTTGAATCGTCATCCATTTCCCATTCGCTATGATATTGCGCCGTCCACTCTTTGACGTGCGCAGAATGATGAAAGACTATGTCTAGGCGTCAAGGTCCAAAATGACAGGGGACATGCTAGTACGAGCCAACGCCTTCAAACCGCAAAAGACAAACAAATCCCAACGCAATGCTGGCACTGGGAAGACCCCGCGCAAATTCCGAGAGCAGAGTCTCCATCAGCTCTGCATTAAGCTATAGCAGCCTCCTTACATGCAAGCGGCGCCGTCAATGCCCTGAGTTGCCAATGGTGGTTAGCGGCCGCATTTGAAGGGGAAAGAGAAGGGGAGTGACTTACAATGACCTTGCCGTTGACCCACTCGCCGTCCTGGGAGGCGAGGAAGGCAACAACACGAGCAATGTCGATGGGCTGGCCGACACGGTTGTGGGGGGACCAGGTAGCGGCGTACTCATCCACCTGGTCGTTGGTGAGGCTGTCGCCGTTGGGGATGTACTCTTTGCAGACGGCGTGGTACATGTCGGTCTTGATGCCGCCGGGAGCGACGCAGTTGACCGTGACCTTCTTCTCGCCGGCATCGATGGCCATGCAGCGGACGAAGGTCTCAATGGCACCCTTGCTGCCCGAGTAGACGGCGTGCTTGGGGACACCCTTGGCCTGGCCGGTGATGGAGCCCATCAGGATGATGCGGCCGCCCTCGGCCATGTGCTTGTAGGCCTCGCGGGCGACGAAAAACTGGCCGCGGGTGTTGATGGACATGACGCGGTCATACTCCTCCTCGGTGACATCCTTGAAGTGGCCGAAGGAGACAACTCCGGAGTTGGAGCAGCAGATGTCGACCTTGCCGTAGTGCTCAACGGCCTTGTCGAAGAGTTGAGTAGTCTCGGCGACGTTGGCGACGTTAGCCTTGATGGCAATGGCATCGGAGCCAATCTCGTTCTTGATCTGCGCAACAACCTTCTCGGCGGCGTCGATGCTGTTGGCGTAGTTGACGACAACCTTGGCACCGCGGCGGGCGAGCTCAAGGGCCATCTCCTTGCCGATACCGCGGCCTGCAATGCTAGTGGTCAGAGAAGCGGGGATGGATGCACGAGTCAGCACTACTCACCAGAGCCAGTGACGACGGCGACCTTGCCCTCCAAGCTCCAGCTGGGGGTCGAGCCGTTGGATGCAGTGCCGACAGCCATTGTGATTGGATTGGTGGTCAGTTGGGATTTGTTTTGTCGGGAGAGTGTTGGCTGAGGTGAAGAGCTAAGATGAAGAGCTGAGATGATTGATTGCTGTCTGGGTGGGCTGGTCTGGCACAGCTGAGGCATCTATATAGGGATCTCTGAGGTGGACGTCGGGCCGGAAGGGTGGCAGCCAGGAGAGCTCATAGTCGGGATTGCAGCCCCCATCCGGATGGTGTTTACCCTCTGGCAGCCGGGCTGACAATAGAAGCGGGCGCTAGCAAGGCTCGCCTCAGACTTTGGCGCAGGGGCTGGAGGTGAGATGCTTCGGACTCGCGGGGCCGACGCTGTCTGGATCAATCAGAGACGTCATGCGGGTGGCCCATGCGCCGGGGTTCGAGGTGGGAGTCGAGCTGCAGCGCTCGGCGCGCGGTCCAGCGGCGCGTTCGGCCTTGACTAGAGCGCGAGCGCGAAGTCGCCGGCGGGCACATGTTTGCTGAGAGCGGTGTTGGAGTGTCGGGAAGCGGGACCGGACAGGCACCAGGCAGGCACCGGCAGGCGCTGGCAGGCACTGGCTCCCGGCAGGAGATTAGCGAGCGATAAGCGCCGGCGCGGAAAAAGGGCCTCCGACCGGGGCAGCCCGCCCGGGCCCGCGCCGTGACTTGGTGACCTACTCTGCCAGCCGGCGAGCGACGCCTGGCTCACGCCGCCTGCCTGGCTCACGCCGCCTGCCTGGCTCACGCCGCCTGCCTGGCTCACGCTGCCTGCACTGGCCCACGCATCGCTCATCACGCATCGCCCACTCGGGCCTTTTCTCTGACGTCGGGGACCCAACTTCACCCACTGCGCCTGTTCCACACAGCTCCAACTGGCCTGCCGGCAACCCCAACATATGCCAATTAGCCCGCCCACCGCAGGAACCCTGTGCTCGGCGCATCTTTGAGACGGTAGGCGCTGGTGCGCTGGTGCACTGATGCCTGTGTTTCGCTAGTTTGTGCGGTCATTGACTTCGGACTTCAACCACTTTCCCCCCGCTCTCCGCCCGGATTCGCCCACGCGGACTTCGCAGAATGCATTCCGGACTTCGCCCTCACCAGTCCGCCAAGCACCCCAGCCTCCAGCCTCGATCCCCTCCATCGCCGATGCGCCCCCGCCTCCGTTTCCTCCAGCTCTGGCCTGCCCCGTGCTGCTCGGTCCGCTACCCGCTCACGTGACATCCCACCTCGCCCGCCTTGCCCCAGACACATCTCTGTCTTCCGTGCCGCGCCTCGTCGCTGCTGGAGAGCCGTTGCAATGGACTGCGGCTCTGACTGGCACCGCGTCAGCCTATTCCCCTGATCCCCGCAGCAACCGCCACGACATGGGCCTGCAAGCAGCAACGCTTCAGGAACACGATGCTCACGCAGTCCCGTCCCTCTGCGGTCCGCCCATGATCAGCGCTCACCCTCATCTAAAACAGACACTTCCGCCGCACAGATCTTGCAGCTTCGGCTCGGAATCCAGTAAATTGCCGCCTGCATCAGGCCTGGCCCGTTGTCCTGACGGCTGTATTGCCTACACGGACACGTTTGAACCGCGCCCGGACTTCCTCCCCATGTCCACCGTCCGGCCTGCTGCCACCGCCTGTCTCGACGAGCGGGAACACAGACCACGCGGGTATGCGTCGTCCGCCAGACCGTCAGCGATTTCCATCCTGCGCCCGTGCCTTGGCCCACACATGGCCCTCTGGCCCGCTGCGACTCACTGAAGCTGGTTAGCCAGCGGAAGATCAGCGCCTTGCTGCATGCTGCCTGTCCTGCTTACATCAAACGGTCCTCCACCCGGCCCTCTGTCGAGCAGTGGATCCGGGGAAGCGTGAACCAGGTCGCGTGTCCGTTAGCTCCCGCTCCGGCAATGCTGGCCTCTACTCTGCATTCTCTCATTGAGCCGGGTCATGGTCTAAGAATGGCTGCTGCGTCTAGTTGCTGCCAGCCTCCTGTTCCCCTCCGGCTGCCGTCCACCTCGTATCTGAGCCCGGCGCGGACATTCTCCTCACGGTAAGTGATGGGCGGTGCGGAGAGCTAACGCCATTGATCCTCTCTCGGAGCGTGATGCCTATTCTTGAGCCTTCCTTGTTCGGACATGGTTGCAGAATCCCGGCACTTGACAGGATGAGGTCATCGTGATAGGCCCAGTGCGACGTCTGGTGCTTCTGGGGTTCATCTGCTCAAACCCATCTGCCGGCGCCGTTTCACAGCCAACAAAGCAAATAAAAACGGGTACGTCGGTAGCAGCGGGCGCGCCAGAGTGTGCATCTAGCGTCTTGCGTTTCTGCAGTAAGGCGTGGGTGTGCATCATTGATGTGAAGGAACGGCTCCTGCATGCGCCGCCGAGCCCTAGAGCTCGGCCGAGCCTACGTAACTGCCTGCCTGGCTTGAAATGGAGGCCATCTCCGGGCCGCATGGTGTTGATCGTCAATAGGTACGGCCAGCCTCCGGTTGGCCCATGGGCGCAAATGAGGAGAGCCTTGACGGACTTCTGCCATCAGCGGTGGGATCGAGAGGTGGTTAGCCTGCGTCAACCTCCCCCCGGTTGTCCGGCCGGGGTGATATGACAAGGTCTCTAGCGTGGGCGGCTACGCCGCACGCGTTGCCTGAGACAGCCCAAGAGGGAGGGCGGAGGTGCAATTAAAGTATGGTATGGATTGACGTGAGCAGTGCGTGCGCAAGTCAATGCAAGTAAGGATATTAGAGGCGCCCGGACCCCCGCCCGTTCAGGTCGTGTAGCAACGCCCACTATAAGGCTGACCATTCTCTACCCTACCCATCCCTCCCTTTCGGAAGAGATGCTGCTACCAGCATCCGTTCTCTTCTCTTGTGCCACACCATCCCCTATGACAACATACGCATGCCACATTCGCCCTTCATCCAGCCATGCCATTGTGTAGCAACACAGCCAGTTGGGATTCCAAGGTGAAGAAAGAAAGGAAAGAGGCAGACAGACCATGAATGATGGGAGGCACAAGGGAAAGGTTGGAAGCTTGGCTGACCGGCAATGTCCTACTCCTGCTCGACAATCGACCTTCTTCTCCTTCCGGGCTCGACCGTCCCTACTTTTTCCATGAATTGCCGAGACCAACACATATATCTACCGGACGCACTTCACCTCGCCGTACACAAGACGGATACCAGGATGGGAGGACGCAGACTCCCAGGGAGAGCATAGCCATACGGCAGTCGAGGCAAGGAAAAGGGGCATACACCGCTCCGTAAATGGTCCCTACCCATGTCGGCGCCGGTATCCCGAACCCTCACCATTGGCTGGGGCCAACAGCCACTGCCTGCCGACGGACCCATCAGCACTCACTCATTCGCGCACAAGGGAGCAAAGCGAAACACATTTTAGCGAACACTGTAGCCGCGTTCAGCCACAGCTGGAAAAGCCGGGAGACGAAGAGAGGCCAAACCCCTATCTCAGGCACAAGCAGCAATCGCCCCTTTCGTATGTATGCGCGCTGTGTCAAGATGAGATCATGATCCGGTCGGGCTGAACAAAAAGGTGTGCGCCAGTCTGGTATACTTAAAGCAACCTGTAAAAGCCACCGCTAATCCTCGCTCTCGCCCCATTCTTCCGCCCACTTCCCCATCTGCTCGCATACCCCTCCTCGTTCCCTCTCCTCATTTCCTCCACCGTCACTTACCCAGTTCATTCCCGACTGTCATTTATCACGCTGTACACTACAAGCACGCACCAGCACATAATCGTACTTGACCATCTAACAATCGACAGTAATAGTCAATGGAACGGACTAGCAGAAGATTCGGTCCGAGTCGGCATTCAGGTCACGTTACTTGGTCGTTCCCGTCTCCAACCCCGCCACCACACCTGAAGTCCATCCTGCTACTATCTACCTCCCCGCTCCACACCGACCCCGCATCATCTCAAGTCACCCGTCATCCATCAACCAATCACCCCCCTCCTTCGCACTCGGTCGATCATCATCATCATGCCAGGTGTGCGATGAACAAGGGTCACAGGATCAACTGTCACCACTCAAGAGCAGCACTTCCTCTTATGGATGAAACGTCTTCGGATTTCTCATTACAACTGATGCGACTCGACTCCTATCAACCGTATCGACGACGATAAACCATTAACCCGACATCCTATCATTGCTTCGTCTATCCTCCGGTAACCATCGTTTCCCGATCGCGACTGAAACAGGGAATCCCCAAACGACAAGACGGACAACACCAACATAACTCCAGGATGAGAGCAGCGTGCTAGGCAGGATACGCAAACGCGACAAACCAAAGGGCGAAGCGGAGTCTGATGACCATGACAAAACCAAGTGACGAAGCAGTCGGATCAACGTATCTTTGATGGAGAAAAAGGGACGAGCAGAAACGAGTTACAACTTCGACCATCGATACTCATGGCCGGGAATACACATTACTCATTCGAGCAGTATTATATCCCTCCCCATTTCCTTGTTCGTCGCCAGCAAACCATCCAGGCTTCCTTCCCAAAGGAGGCTGGAGATGCGATATGGCGACGATGTGGACGAACCATGCAGCGGCGAGTTTGATCTCTCTAGGATTTTGCCGTTCTTCTCGCCTGCCTATCGAGGCAAAACGGAAATGAGCCTTTCATGCGAACAACAAAAACGCGTGCGATGCGTAGCGCTTTGTTCGCGGGCTCGACTGCTCCGACCGCGACTCGCGACCGACTGAATGATGTCGCCATCATCTGGACAACGAGATCGGGCAGTTGCGTTTGCTGGACGTTATCTCAACGATTTGGTTGCATGCCAACACTTGGCTGGATGCTTGACGTATTCAACCCCTCGCCAACCTCTCAAGCTTACCGCGGATGCCGTCGGAGAACCTCGTGGCGTAACCCTCGTCGACGACATCAATACAGTGAGTAAGGACTGTGAAGGCGTTGTCCATGCTCAACTGGGAGCCATCCCGCTTCGTCAGTGTTGGTACGCCCTCGCGCTTGGTGAGGTAACGGCTGATCAACGGGTGCTCAGCAGGCAGGTTGTCTACCGCGAAGCTCGGCCCAGGCACGGGGAACATGCCGTTGCTAGGAGAGATCCCCTCGTTGTGGGTGAGTGCGTCAGTCCACAAGATGAGAGCGGTGCGGTAGATGGCGCCAGCCCACCATGGCGGACGCACGGCGCGAGGCATGCCGCGGATCAGGCGGAGCACCTGACCGCAGTGGAAGATGGCTTCTTCCACATCGGAGATGCAGCGTTTGTGCAGCCACATCAGCTGCTGGTAGCTACCATCGAAGTTCTCCCGGCGCGCAAGGCGCTCGATCTCCGGGAAGTTGGTCACGGCATTGAGGCTGATGAGGTGGAACAGTACCAAGTTGGCCTGCATGAGAGCACAAGGGGCGTTGTTCTTCATGTACCGGTCCGCAAGGTCGTACCAGCGCTGCAGCAACGACTGCACTTCCTCGAGACGCACCCGAGTTGATGCTGCTGTGACCGCCCGAGTGCGTTGCCGCGACGCCGAGTTATCGGAGAAGCAGCTCAGCAGCTGGCAATACTGGCACACGAGCGTCTGCAGCGGGTGCAGCAGCAAGCGCAGGTGCAGTGGCGTGAGCTCGATGCCCTGCGCCGAGATCTCATCATCCAGGAAATGGCGGAACAGGTCGCGTAGCGACAGAGGACGAGCCCCCGAACCGACAGAAGAGTACCCTCCTGCAAATTCATGCACTTGGTTGAACATGTCCGACCACTCGACCGCCGTCTTAGCCGTCCACAGGCAGTCGGCATCAGGCATGGGAGCGCCGAACTCGGTGACTGAGAAGAGCGGGGCTGTATCGTGGAAGAGGGACAGTTCCTGATCGACCATCGCCCACGAGTAGATGAGCCTGGATTGTGTTAGTCACGAAAAATACCGGAGCGATGACTGGAGGGGGGGAAGACAACGACTTACCTGCTTCGGCTCTCATGCTGGATCCAATCCTCCCACAACCCATCTGGCCCCGCATGGTCCATCCTCGGCGTTGGCACATGCCTCGGTTCCAGAATTCCCGAATGCCGCAGCATGGCAAAATACATGCCGCGCTGGCCCATGGCGATATCCATCTGCCACTTGTCGCCACTCCACGCCGCCTGAACGGTGAAGAGAAGAGCAGAGTGCAGAACGATAGGATCGCCGCTCATGATGATGTTCTTCTCAATCAAGTCGAACAGTGAGATTCGGCAGGCCTCTGTGAGACCACCGGTAAGCCAGCGTGCCTCGACTGACGGAATCACCATAGCGCCCTGTGCGATCATCATCAGGACCAGCAGGCTGGCTGCTTTGTCATTGTATGAAGAGAGCAGATTGTTGGCATCGAGAACCCCGCGAGCCGTCATTGGAAAGTATGCCTCGAAACTATTCGCATAGGATCGAAGGAAATACTCCAAGACGCGCGCTGGGGGGAGGAGAACGAAGTTGGATCCGCCGTTCGAAAGGGGAGATCCGCCACTCGCTGGCGAGCTGCTCATGCCTTCCTTGTGGATGTCAAGAGCCTTGTGCAGGAATGACTGGGTAATGGCGAGCAGCTTGTCGCGACTACTCTCCTGAAGCTGCATCACCGCTATGCGCTCGTTTCCGGTGGGGAAGTCACCGTCTTCCCACTGCGGTCTCCAACTGCTCCAGATTTCGTGGTTTTTCAGACTCTGCTCCAACCGTTCCAGGTTCAGCTTTGCCGTCCGCGGACACGAGGTTGAGGGAATGGGGGGCGTGCAGCGGAAAGCGCTCCAGCCGTCTTGGGCCGCAATGATGGCACCAAGATCGGGGACGCCTGTTGCCGGGTTGCTACTTATTGACGCTTGCCGTGTAGGATACAGCATAGAAGCAGAGCTGCCGAGCTCGAGGTCCGAAAGAGCGCGGTCCATCTGGGGAGTGGTGATGGGTGTTTGGACGGGCGGGAGTGCGTGCGAGAAATCGGGCATCATGGAGAACATGTTGTCACCCTGAGGACCAGCCGGCATACTACCGAAATCCATGCTCATATCCGGGGCCATCATCGCCATGTCGAACCCGCTTGCCATCGGCATGTGTTGCCAGTCCATGGTGAACTGTGGGCTGGCACTCTGCTCAGAGCTGCGTCCAGTAGCGAACTGTTCGTAGCCGGACATGGGAGTGTGCTGGACGAAGTCGTTCATGGGAGTCGGGATAGGCGATATTACGTTGGCGGCGGGGACGACAGCAGGAGGTCCGTTGGGAGGAGATGCATGCTCAAAGAAGGGGGGAGGGCCATCCACCATGGGCTTTTCGTTCTCGGGGCTGGCGTGGTGAGAGGCATGCGAGGCAAGGGAGGCAACAGACTGTTGGGAGACCGACGACGATGAGTGGTGGTGGCTATGGGTGGCCTGGGGCGAGTGTTGCTGCTGAGGAAGAGGTTGCTGCTGCTGGACCGGTTGCTGCCCGTCTTGCAGCTGAGCTGGGGGAGAGTTGCTCGCCGGAGACCTGCTCGATGCGTTTTCGCCACTGCCGTCCGAGGGACCCGAGCTAACGGCGCCAACCACGCCATTCTCACCCGGCTGCACGGGACCTCCCAGGCGGTTCATCTGCTTCGACACTCTACGGGTGGGGCGGAGCGTGCACTTCAGGTTCCGGCCGGCGCAGCGGCTGCAAGGGAACTTCTTGTCGCATTTCGTCTTAGTCTTCGCACAATTGCTGCAGGCAATCGGAGTCCGTCCGGCAGATTTGGGGATGATGCCGTTGCTGGGGGGAAGGCCTTCCTGGTTGTTCTGGTCCCGACCGTGGACGGTATAGTGACGCTGAAGGAGATCCCTGGTTGGCACCACAACGGTTAGCTTGGCGGCTTCTAGCGTACCCTCGAAACGCGATTGCCATTTTAAGCAATCATGGGAAAACCAGCGGAAGTCCCCGAGATGGGAAAGAGTGACTATCGAAAGAGGGGGCGCAGTGGGGGAGCTGGATGGATCGGAGCTTCACTCACCGACGGGCGAAAGACATGTGGCATGTGAAGCACTTGAAGGGCTTCACATTGGTGTCTGTGGGCGTCCAAAGTCAGCGACGTGGGGAAAGCGGGCGTTCGGATGGGACTGGGGCCTTACGGGTGAGGATGTGCCTCTCGAGGTGCTCGTCCCGGGTAAAAGACTGGCCGCAGTAGGTGCAGAACACCATTGTTGCGGCGGCGAAGGGGGGGCTGCGTTTGGAGAAGGAAAAAAAAAAGAGAGGGGGCAGCGAGGAGTGGGCAGGCCGGAAGCGGACGGGACTGGCTGGCCTGGCGCTGGACGGGGTGGCGGCAAGCGGTGCTGGCGAGGGTGGAAGAGAAAGATGGAAGCCTGGAGAGTGGAGTGGGGATAGCAGAAGAGGGAAGGGTAGGTGGAGGAAGCGAGAGAAAAGATGTGTGGACGACGAGGGCTGAGGCTGATATTATGGAAGGCGCGGAGCTACCTTGCGGGCTGGGGCTTACCTACGCACTGGAGCTGAGGCAGCAAGAGTTTTAGTTATTCATTACATCTACACTGTTCGAACCGGGAGGACGTGGATGTGGCCAGTAGGGCCTGTGCATGGCCCAAGGTGTCCCTTCTGCTGTTCCGTTACACGCGGAACGCCTAGCAGCAAAGTCGTGACATGGCTGTGATGGAGGCTTACCCTCGCACCGGCGCCAGGCTTGGGCCTAGCTGCTGCTGCGATAACGAAACACGGCAAGGGCAGATCGGCGGGCATCGAAGGCGTAGGCTGGGCCTCCCCCGGCCAAAGCGCGTCCGGGGAGCGCAGCGGTCAGCGCGGATCATGGCTGCCCAGGGCCCTGGGACCGCGACTGGCACCGGCCTGGCGCCGCCGCCGTCAGCGACGCTCAGCAGGCGCCGGCTGAGAGCCACCCGCCGCCCGCGCGCGCGGCGGGGCCTGTTACATCTGGCTGCGCGGCGGTCACTGGGTCGCCCTGGGCGAGAATGCGAGTCTTGGGTGGTGCGGAGCGCTCGCTCAAGCCTTTGCCTCGCGCCCATGCCTGTCTGTCTGCCCATGCCTGTCTGCCCATGCCTGTCCCACATCTTGCGCCATCCGGGTCCGCGCCCCCGAAAATAGCAGCCCTCGAAACACCGACAACTCTTCACGGGCCTCACTACTCAGCAGCGCTCGACGATGCCGCGGTGCATGTCGCGCAGCAGGCAGGGCTGACGACGCGCCCCAGAACGTACATTGCTCCGCGCTGCTGACGTGGGCGTCGACGCCGCGTTGATTTGCCAGCGCGAGGCTGCCTGGAGTGCTGTCGATCCGCAATCTCGCTCGCGAACGCGCGCGCAGCAGCGAGCTTAAGTCGAGCTCGCCGGCTGCTCTGGCAGAGTGCCACTGGCCCGGAGGATGCAGCGTCGACCGGATCGCCGCCCCGGCCGCAGATCCGCGGGCCTTGGTGACCGTTTCTGGTCGCTGCCATTACCGCCTTCAGCCAGCCATGTTTCGAGTCGCCGCATTGGGCCAGTGGTGGCTCGTAGGGCGCGCGCGAGCCACCGTGGACTCCGTTTATTGACCATGGCACTGGTTTGCGGGTGAGCGACATCATCATCAACTCTGTCTGTTATACACCATCTGTGCCAAGCCCAGACGCCCGCCCAGACGCCCGCCCAGACGCCGGGCACGGGAGCCAGCGCGGCCGGCTTGCCGTGGACGAGGGCCCGTGCAGCAGCCAGTGACGGCGCCCGCCCGTGTGTCACTTTCAAGACTCGACGGCCTGGGTCATCACGCCCGTCGCGGCAGGCATGGATGATGGCGCCGAGACGCTGGGGGGATCCGGCTGTTTTGGGGTTAAAAACAGATCTGTAGCCGTGACAACCGGCCCGCGTTGAGGGGCAAACAGCCGCGATGGGGGGTTGTCCTCGCAGTCCTCGCAGTCGACTGCCCCGCGTGGAGCTCGGGCCCGCGGGCATGGGCGTGGGCGGGCGGGCCGCCTTGAGCGTCAACTGCCTGTGCCGGCGTCGTTTCAAGCAGCGGGTCGATTGCGAAATCTGGCCGGGCGAGGGAGCGTGGGCGTCTGGGGCATGGGGCAATGGGGCTACACCGGGTTGAGGTTGATGGTCGGCGTCGGTGCGTCGGAAAAATCGGGCATGGCGCTGGTGAGAGTGCTCGCGTCGACGACACGCCGCTGCAGAAGTCTCGTCACCTCTCGACGCCTCCGTCTAGCCGCATCGCAACGTGCTCCCCACGCGCTGGAGCAGTGGGCGTTCCTCTCGCCCGCTGCTCGACCACGGTACGTACCCAGGATCAGATGCGCCGCCATTGGCTCCCACGCGCTGCAGCCCGCGTGTCTCAACACGAGCTCGCGCCTACACGAGCCTCTCGAACCCGCGAAACTCGCGCACTCAGCTCGTTGCTCTCGCGTTCCGCGCCGGCCGGTCCATCCATGTGCGCTGCCGCAGCTCAATACCGCCGCGTCGTGGCCGTTCGGTCCAGGACGGGAGGGCGTCACCGTCTCCAGCACGACGCCATGAGCTGCCGGTAGCCCCCCAAGCCGTCGCGCGGGCGGTGGCTCGTCGCGTATCTTTGATGTCGATCGCCGGATCGCCCGATCGAGCGCCGGCTTGCCAGGCACCGCCTCCACAGGCCTTTTGGCGGTGCTATGGCCAGGGCGGGCGGGCGGGCTCGCGGGCTTGCATGTCCAGCACTCGTATTAGGCAATGGTGGTTGCCGTTTCGGGTAGGCCAGTCTGCTTACCCACATGGGCGGGCGCGGTTTGCTGGCACTTGCTGGCACTGGCCCTATGGGCTCGGGCGGTCCGGGGATTCTCTATACGGCGCTCGATCAGCGCGCCGCTTCCCAACGCGGCGTCGGCCGCAGTGCATGGGCCCTGCTCGACCCATACGAGCGCTGTCCCGTGCTTCCCCGCTCCTCAGCAACCTACAGCGCGAGCAATAATACTACTTATCGCGCGCTGACGTTGGCCGCTGGGTGGGGAAGGATCGCAGCCAGAGGCAGCCAGAGGCAGCCAGCGGCAGCCAGAGGCAGCGGCGACCCAGCGCATCGGTTCCCCACCGCGGGCCCTACTGGCCGCGCCCTCGCGGTGCTCGCTTCGCTGTCTCCTTTCGGCGTGGTGATGCTGTCACTATCAGCGCCGCCGTCGAAGGAAGCTCTGCCCTACGAAGCACCCAAGACTTCTGCTCGCCGACCCGCGGACCCAGCAGAAACCTGCATGCACCCGCATGTAGCCTGCTCGTCGATTCTGCAAGGCTACTGTACAAGAGTATTGGTGGCTGGTGGCCCGCGCCGCCACGCCTGCGGTGTCTGTCTCTGCCCGCTGCCCGCCGCCCTTTCTGCACCTGCTCTCTCCCTCCGATTCTTCCGCCGCCGCCGCCGCCGCGAGCGCCGCCGCCTTCTTGATCGCCGCCAGCCTGCACCCGTGACAACGCCCCTATCGCCGCGTTGCTGTGTTGCGAAACCCACCCCCCATCCCGGCCGCCAGCAATTGGCCCGCCGCGCGAAGCCCGTGTCTTTCCTCAGTGCCGGGCGTGTGTGAGTTGCACCGCGTTGCGAAAGTTCCCGTCCGCTCGGGCGCTTGGAAGTAGTCACTTTGGAGCAGGGTCCTTGGATTACCCTTATGAGGCACGCAGCCTACGTCATGACGGCCGACGGGCGCGGTAGGTAAACAGGGCGCAGCCGTGTTGTACGCTGCCGCGCGCTACTAGAACGCCCAGGCCGGCAAGGCAGGAGGACCCTTGCACATCTATCTTCCTCTGCCTTGCGCCTTTCGGCTATGGCTGCACAAGACCGTTTGAGTGGCGGTCCTCCCCGCCCGCGTTGTGCACAGCCCGATGTGGTGAGCCAAGGGAAGAGCTAGAAAGACTAAAAGAAAGAAAGAAAAATAAAAAATACAATTCAAGGAGCGCCGCCATGATAGTGCAGCACCCGTCGTGGGACGATCTGCCTCTGCTTTGCAACACAAAGCCCACATAAGAATGGAGTCAGCTGGGCCGCGCGCGGAAAGGCATCTTATTATAATACAAAACGCCTCTTCCGGGGCTGTGGGAAATCTCCACATCGGAAAAAACGGCTGTCACAGACTCGATTGCTCCCGCATCCTGTGAGAGCGCCCCGGCCAGCCCTGTCTCAAGCCTCTGCCGTCAAGATGCTACATAGATTGCCCACCACACGCGCGCCTCTCGAGGTTTTGTTAAGCTAACACCTATTTTAGCGCACATCTCTTGCACCCTCCCCGCTCATGCTATACCGGTCGTCGGGAGCACGGCAGGCCGGGCCAAAACGCCAGTGGAAGAGCAACAACCAGTGGCAGCTGCAGCGCCCCTCTCGCATCATCGCCTCTGCCTCGATGGAGTCAGCGGGCGGGGACGCGCGCAGGATTCCGGGGGGGCAGGCCAGAACAGGAGCCAGGACAGGGCAAGATAAGGCAGGATAGGGCAAGGCGGATGGCGTTGCAATGAAAAGCAGGCATGTGTGCGCGTGTGGGTGTGCTGCTGGTGCTGCTGGTGTTGCTGCTCTCCTCTTTCTACGAACCACAAGAAAGATGCGGGAAGTGCGATGATAGAGACGACAAGTAGAGAAGCATGGCATCGGGCTCAAGATCGCAGGGATGGCGCAATGCCCGGCTGGCGCCGCCGCTGCCGCAAGCCGACCTGCCAGCCTGCTGGAGAAGCCCATTGCACACTTCTTACCCTGCTGCCTAGAACAGGTTCTATCTTTGCAAACTTCCCGCAACGCACTTCCTCCATTGCCCTTTTCTCCTCGCCACCACGGCTTTTGCGCGAGATATGCATGATTGGCTTTTTTGCTTCCAAATCGCCGCGTTTCCCTCGCACCCGCGCACCCTTTTCGGCGCTGGACCCTGGATCTTCCCGATTGGTGGTCGAGAAGAGGACTGGGACGGTGGGTGCCACGCCACAAGGTGAAAAGGGAACGGCCGCGTTGGGTTTCTTGGACAAGGGTGAGCATTCTCCTGTTTCTCGAAAAATCTCCGCTGCAGGGCATAAGCAGTAAGGCAAGGACGGAGAGAGAGAGGGGGGGAGGGGGACACAGTAAGAAGAAGCCGGGCGCTGTGCGGTGGGGGGCAGGTGTTGGGTTGGGCGGAGGTGTACGCACAAGGTACGGTAGGGCTGCGTATGTGCCGTTTCGACATGGGCAATGGAGATGGCGTCCAAAGGGAAAAAAACGAGCTTCCGGGATGGAATCCTGGAGGTTTGACTTCATCCTCTCGGCTCTCTACACATCTTCTTCGGCCCTGGATCGACTGCGCCCTGCCTTCGCTACCGAGGTTTGACGGAGAAGGAAGTGGCATGGTCAGAACGCCGCTTCGGTCATCTCATCCCCCCTGAAGCAAGGTTTGGGGCATTTTCGCCCGTTTCGTTGAGCGATACGGGGCAAGCGTGGCAGAGGGCGGGCTCGCTTCCGGCTTCGTTCCTTTCGGCCTGGGCTCGGCCACGAGCAGCAGCGAATGGGCATTGTCGAAGGCCCGGTCAGCCTTGTACAGCGCAGACGAGGAAAAGAAAGTGCTTATGTGAGATCTGCGTGGGCAGCGGGCTTGGAGAGGGGCTTGGGCTTATGGAAGCAGCGCGAGCAGGGGAAGGGCGCGGGAAGCACGCCAAGCTGGTTGGTACATGCGTACAAGGGCAACGACTTGTGTGCAGCATGCACCTAGGGTACCCTTTTCCCACCTACGCCCCGCGCGGCCATCCGGAGGGTGCCGCGCAGGCTGGAGTGGATCTGGTGGGGGCAAAAAGGAAGACGAGGAGCAAGAAGCGTTGAACACGAGCGTCCGATCAGCCGCGGGGTGTGGTGGGGGAAAGGATGCGCCTCCGGCTGAAGGAAGGCAGACAGGCAGGTTTGCTGTGGGGAGAGGAATAATCTTCACGTCAACGGCAGCGAGGGGCGGCGGGGGCAAAACAAGTATCGCGAGCGCGCGCGTGGACGGTAGCGCGGCCATGCCCGTCCTGTTTCGGCCAGCCAAGGCCAAGGTCGGTGGTCGTCGCTCTCTCAGTTGCTGCTTGGGATTCCGTGTTTCGTGCGCTGGTGAGCAGGCCGGGGACCTGGCTCCGTGTCGTCCATGTATTATCACGCGCGGGTTCCTTGCTCCGTGCCCCTTGCGCCTACCGCAATGGGGAGCGGAGCGGGCGTCGCGGGCGCCGCGAGCGCGCTCTTCGCGTCGTCTCTGTTTCATCGTCCTCGAGGGTAAGTAGGTGCATAGGCATAGGCATAGGCAGGTAGCCTCGCTCTCGTGTGGGTGCCGAGCCGTCAATGCACATAATCCGGGACAGCGGGTACTCGTTTGGTGATCCTGGGTCCAGGAGGGCAAGGCGCGGCGGGGATCAGCTGTCAGATTTCGATGGCTGCTGCTGCTGCGCTTCCCTCTCGCTAGGGGATACTCCGGCGGCCGCTCTGTGCCTTCCTCCCCTGCTGGCCGTCCAGACGAGCAGCAGCGCCAGCGGCGCAGGAAGCAGGAAGCAAGAAGCAGGAAGCAGGAGGCAGGAGGCAGGAAGCAGGCATGCGCGGCGCTGCATGTGAAGATGATGCGCGCAACAAAGAGGCAAAACGGCGGAAACGCGGTCAATTACTCATCCAGACGAAACGACAACGGGCACCGCAGGGGAGCCAAACACAAAACACGAGGTGAGCGGCTGCAGTGTCAGCAGGGCCAAGGCTGCACGCGAAAGTGTCGGCGTCGCCGCAACACTTCATTCATGCACTCGCTCGCCGTGCCTGCGACCCGGACGGACCTGCGAGACACGCGCGCTTGCCGCCGGCAGCTCCCCTCCCTGCTTCTTTCGCGTCTTTCGTTTTTCTTCGCGTATGTTTTCAGTCGTCGACATGGGCCGGCAGACTCGCACAGCGATCGACGCCAACAAAACGGAAATCGATAGATTCCTCCATCGCCGCTCTGCAGCACAAAAGGACGCTCCTGCCCGAACAATTGGCTGCGCCGCGTCGCCGCGTCGCCGGCGGCCCAACGGCAGAGCGCAAGCGCTCCCATCAGCACACGCTCGTCCTTCTCCACTCTTCAGAACCCCGGCCCATACTTGACCCGCAGCACTCGGCCCCAGGGGGTCCAGAACATCTGCTGCAAACGCAGCGAGCCGCAGCGAGCCGCAGCTGTCAATGCCAAAGAGCGTTGCGGGTCCGCGTGCAAGCCCGAGTGGTTGGTCGTCGTGGAAAGAGAGTGAGGGTCGAGCACGCGTTAGTGTCGACGCGGTTGTGGAGACGGATGTTCTGGACACGGCAAAGGAGAGAGCATGGCCAAGACAGCGCACCGACGCTCGCGATGAACGTATGGAATAGGAAATGCGCCCACATGGGACCGGCCCGGAGCTTAATCCACGTGTTCCTCGCCCGCGCTGTTTCTATTTGGGGCTCTCTGCCGACTTTGGGTGCCCCGTCGTGCCCCGTCGAGCCCCGTCGAGCCCCGGAGGGAGCGGAATCTCATGTCATCTGCCTCAACACCCTCTGTTGTCGTTGTTGCTTGCGAGGTAGGCAGGACAGCCTGGGAGCCGGCAGCTATGTTTCAACGTGAGACAGCAGCACCAAAGCGCCCCAGCTGGATCCGGGCGCCGCGAATCAACGCAGCTGCCCTGACTTTGCTCGGCCGCATCGGGAGAGCATATAGCAAAAGCGAGACCGAGGGCCTGCTGATTGCTGATGACGACCAAGTAGGCAGAGGTGAGATATGCAGGTGGACAGCCTTGTCTTATCGTCCAAGCAACAACACCGACAACCTTCGAGATCTTGTTGCGATATGCCGCAGGGCAGCACGGCATCCATGTTGGCTGTCAGATGGCCAGGGTGGGAAAACGCTGCCGAGCGTGGATCAGGGTTCGTCCGGCCGTGCAGCAGGGCTGACCACCTACAGCCAAACCATCAGCTGTCGACGATAGCTTTGCCCTCTTCGGACCTAGGCACGCCAACTAAACCCTCGTCGCCGTCGGCTGCCCCGTCCGGACCGACTGTCTAAGTAGTGACCAGCAGCACGCCGAGTCGGCTTGCACTGCCAGCGCCGTGTCCAGCTCCAAGCCGTCGCGACCAGCCGGCCAACGCCCGAGCATCAGACCTTGAGATGGAATGGTGTGAACAGGCCCGAGGAGCCGGGTTGGGTGTTGGAGGGGCTGCGTAAAAAGGTAGGGACGCACCCTACTTTGATCTCACCTTTGTCTCACCTCGCTCTAAACTTACGCCTACTTTCCCCTCCACCGACTGCCCGCGTGCCTGCACCGCCGCCGCCTCATCCACAGTTTGCTGTTGGAGGAGGGCAACAGGCTACTGTGGCTGGCCGACGAATTTAGACGACGCTAGGTGCAAGAGATGTGGCGAGCGCGTGGCCAGTGTCGCACAGCCTTTCCCGCTCTTGTGCTATTCGGCAATCCTTCCCGTCTGCTGTATCCTCCACCCACCTCTTATTCTTAGCCATCACTTGCAGCTTGACATGGCTTGCATCGAGGTGCGGCCGCTGGGTGCTGTCGGTTCAGTCAATCGGTCGTTTTCCAAAGCGGGAAGATCCCGCGAAAGGTCTGCGCGACAGAGCCACCCGCTCCCGTCCCTACGTAATGCACCCCGCAGGACGCGCAACGAAAAGACAAGCGCTGTTGCACGGAGCAGACAGCAACAGCTACTGAAACCTACGCCTCTTTGGTGGGCTGGAAGGCGTAGAAGGGCCGGTGGAGGGGCGAGACGATAATGGAAGCCTGGCAACGCGGGTCCCTTCCTTCGGCCGAATGCGGAGCTGAAGCAAAGAAAGATAGGCTTGCCGGCTTGGCTTGAGCAAGATAGGTCTGCGCAGATGGTGTTGGTTGGACGCGCTCCTGGTGCCTCGCATGCTCGCGCTCTCGCGTCTTGCAATGCCGACATAGCTCAGCAACTAGCGACAGCTCTTGGGTGGGACAGCGTACCCTGCGGGGCGGATCGCAGATCCTGTATGGCGGTCTCTGGTCTCGGTGCAAGGCAGAAACCAACCTGTGCTCGATGCGCGAAGGGAGGGGTGTTGATTGGCCTCACGTCCACCCGTGCCTACGTCTCCATTCAATGAGACCTGATCATTTGACGCTCGGACACGAGAGGCACACTCACATTCCTCGAGGAACCGCCATCTCATTCGTCTCGCTGCGAGGGACTGCGTCTTTCAGCTCCACCAGGACCCAGTAGGCCGACTTACCGAGATCTTATGGCCTCGTGCGAAAAGATGGAGGGCCGCACAAACTGCACAGCACGGAAATCCCGTTGGGTTGGTGAGCTTCGCTGACGAGCTTATTGGCGGGGCGTCGTTAGGTGCACAAGGAGCGCTTCTGGACATTGTTCGAGAAAGCAGTGTACTGGCCCCCGCATCGAAGAGTTGTTTACGGCCTCAGCCCCACGGCTATCGTGGCATCCTGCGAGTGAAAAACGTGGTGCAATAGCAAGCCGCTTACGTACGTTGAGTGAGATTTGAAAACCCGCCAGAGGAAGACAGTACATTAATCATCGAAGGAAGCGTCGATCAGATGCCGTGGCACGCGAAATAGAAAGAGGTCTGGGTCTTACCCTTTGGACGGCCACTGTGGGGTTGTGCTCCGGGCCGTTAGTGCAATGGGGCGGACTCGGCGGTGTGGATAAGATCAGGCGGCTGAGAGTTACCCCAGAGGGCTCCAAGTCTCGCCGTCATATCCGCATTAGGCCTTGTGGGGAACGTGAGCTCAGCGGCCAAGTCAATACTCTTGGCATTCATGCCTAGAACCACCGCTCTCCCATGAACGAGCACGTGCGACCTTCCAACGTCGAGGAGCTCGAGCAGCCGCAGCCAGGCAGAGAGGCAGACATACAGCTCGAGAGCCATGGAGCAGGGGCTCCTGATCCACAGCCGTGGGTGCAACAGAATCATAACCATGGTGCCAACACGGTACACAGCGTTCACCTCGCTTTCGCACGCTTCGCTACCGCGCCCGCCTCGCATGAACGTTGGTGCTGGACGTGTTGGCTTATTGCTCCGCTATAGAGGGGCACAGCATCCGTTTCTTCTCGCAAGGGCACTTTGGTACTGAGGCTTGCGTCGCGACTTGTTGGGCCGCGTCGTCCGAAAATGGAATAAGGTTAAGCGCAGCAGCTGTACAGGAAGTGATTGACGACACGAGACTCGCTCAGACTTACATGCACCCGCTTGATCCGCTTTCACCTCGGACAACGGCTCGCTCGTGCTGCCGAGCGAGACTCTCGGTCTCTGAAGCTCCATGTGAGGCGATCCCAGAAGCGTGTGGTCAATGATGTGAAGCTGATAGAGCGTATAAGTGGGCCTCCCTCGGGAAGGGCAGCGAGATGCGGGTTTCAAGCTCGCTTTCGCTGTGCGACTCTGATCCCGCTGTCAGATGGACGGTTGGTCCGCTCCGCTGCGAGGGTGGACCCGCAGCGGAAAGAGAAGTAGGGAACGCACCACGAGATCCGGGAGGTTGCTGCAGTGTGACGAAGCAAAGGCGCTGCAACGTGGTCAGCTGGGCACAAGAGCCCGGAGGGTCGGGAAGTTGATGTTGCGCGAGATTAGGTCTGTCTGCCAGCACGCCATGTGCCTTTGTGGACCTACGCATCCATCGGTGATGGACAGGCGACTTGGACCACGGAGACAGGGGGCGATCGACAGGGTCTTGTGTGGTTGTACGGCAGCCTTTGAAGCATACGAGTCCATTCAGAGCAAGCTGTACCACTCGCTCCCACACATCTTGGAAAGCTGAAACGCCTCCAAAGCGCCAAATACGCTGCTTTGGGCCGGTACTCCACTTGCTCTATCGTCCGTGAGACCGCATTGCTGGCCGTGGGAGATCTGTGTATCGGCAGTGTACAGCCTCCGGTGCGAGGCGCTTGCGGATGATTAACGCTGCGACCACGATGATGCTTACATTTCCTGCGGCAGGTTGAAGGTATGTACAATGACTCTGCCGAGCCCCGACCTGCTGAAGATTGTAGCAAGGCTGCTGGTGGATGGGAGGGTGTTTTCGTGGTGATGTCGGATGCTATGGAACCCGATCGTTTGCCGTGTGCGTCCACAGCGCGCGGTGCCTCGCCAGCATCTCCGCTAGATATTCTCTCGTTCCATGTACTGGCTAACGGACATGGCAAGCACCCCGGCCCGTCGCAATAATGGACGCGTACCTAATAGACACACTCGGGCTCGGGCTTCACTCACCCCTCTGCCGCCAGTGGGAGAGGCGTTTTCTCCAGCAACGACCAGCACAGCTCGGTCAAAGTCTTCAAGACCGCTAAGTCCGGGATGCAGGTTGCGGCGTGTCCTGCCGTGAACGCAAAGCCAGACTCAGAATGGACACGACCCAGCTCATGCGGGTACGAGGCATGTCCAAGGCTCCCCTGCACCCGCTGCTCGTGCTCTACGCGGCGCATCCGAGCGGGCGGGATTGGAAACTAGAGGGCATTAGCAAGGGCGGAGCGGCACGCTTCTGAGCAAAGTCACATGTTTCTCGCAGATGCAGACTGCTGGATGACTCCTTCCGGGCTGCCGGGGGACGAACCAAGATCTAGCGGCTGCGCGCTGGGCGTACTGCGCTTGCTGTAGGGCGCTCAGTAAGCGTGCTCAGTAGCCAGCTGCATGGCGCCGGCATGGCAGTGTCCTGTCGCAAGACGCAGAGCGCGTGTCTGGCTGTACCTCTGCTTCTGGCCCGCGGAAAGGGCTTTCTTTTTCTTCGCGGCGTCTCGCCTCCCCACCATTGCGGCTAGGTGCTGAAGCAATGACGTCGTGACGGAGACCGCAAGCGGGGGGCTGGTGATGCTTGGACGCACTCGACATGGCAAGGGAGTCGCTGACACTGGCTGCGGGTGAAGGCCAGAAACGGTGCAGGCCGGGCACAAGACATAACTCCAAGGCATTCCCGCCCAGGACAGAGCCCAGAGGGCCTCGGGCTCCGGGCGGCGGGACTGAAGCGCAGGCGGCCGAACGAAGGGCGGCTCGGGTGGGATTGTTGATTGACACGGCAATAGTCAGAGGCTGGGTGCGCCGCAGGACTGACGACGGGAGCTAACAGTGGTGACAGAGGCCAGTCCGCGAAGTCCAGGTGGTGATGTCGACGGCAGGACCGCCCAGGCAGCGTCTTCGAATCGAGCGGCAGCCTGCCTTCTTCGCGCCAGCCAGAGGCCAGAGCGAGCCTTCGCGCCAGACACGCCCGCGCCAGCAGCGCACCGCGACCGACACCTGCCGAGCGCGCGCGCGCGCGTCCGTCCCATGCCGCTGCTGCGCCCGCACGACAGCATTGCGGTGTTGTTGCTGGAGTCGAGCAGCGCAGTGGGAAAAGCAGCCGAGGACGACGACGTCGACGTGGGACGCTACTTAGCCCGACCGTCAGCCGGGGGCGACGCTGTCGACGAGCCGCGGGCATCGCAACTCTGGCTCTCCATACCACTGATGGTGCCAGGGCCTCGCCATGCCGCCATGCCGCCGCTCCTTTTGGAATTGAGCATGTCTCATCATGCAAGCTCCGTCTAATCCCCTAGTTCCCCGCCGCCAGCTCAACAATCCCTCTTCTCAGCACTTGCTGCAGCCACTATTAATGTGCCTGGGGGAGGATCCTGCCAACGGGGCGGTAAGCCAGAGGAGCGGGAAAATTAGTGTGGCGGAGTGCTGACCGTCGATGGGCACGCGCCAGCGGAAGGCCGGTCATCGCGACTCCACATCTCCACGCTCCGCACTCCGTCTCCCATGGAACCCAAACCACCGCGTGGGCGCACGCCGACACAGCGACACACCGGCCACGGCCAGCCATCTCCTCCCCGTCCAATTCGGTCGCGCCAGCCGGGGCTTCCCAGATTTGCGAGAGCGGGAGATCGCGGCCGTATGCAAGATACGTTGCCGCCCGCGCCCAAGATGTCGCCGATCGGCGCACAATCGACGACGGGCTACCCGCAACGGTGCTTGGTTGTCGGATTGCTCCTTCTACTGGCCTGATACGCTGGCAGTCGCCGCCTGCTGTCCCTGCATCTTCCCACACTGCCTCCGATAAAAATGGCGCCGTGTCGACGGCCTCTCGTTCTTCGCCCATGGTCGTTCCTCCGCTGCCTTGGTGGTAAAATGACGCTTGACCCCGGCCTCGCGCATTCTTACTGTATCCGCCACCGCTATTCCAATTAACTTGAGACAGCCAGCCGCCCTAGTCACCCTAAAATTGGCTTTCCGGCAATACTGGCCCCACTGTTGCGGACTGCGGAACGACTTCGAATGCGAAATGTTTTCGGCCCACCGCCCGAGATGCAACACGCCCCATGCGTTACATCTAATGTAGAGCCCGCAGTAACTTTGAGTCCGGTGCTGAATCAATCATGTTAGCAACTCGATGTTGAGCCGGCCAGGATTCCTTCTGTGCCAAAGCCTAGCATAGGCACTCTGAGCCTTTTCACCGCTGCGTCTCTTTTCCCTCGCGGGGAACAGCTGGCGCTCTTCCAGTCTATCCATCTGCTTTGGCTACTAAGCATAGTTGCTAGGCCCGGGCATCTCTCAGTGAAATGACTCTTGTAACAGCGAAAGATACATCGTTCGTTGTTGACGTCACCCATATGCACGTCGCGGGACACAAGCGCTGCGGCTCTCTGAATATGTCGTAGAACCAACTGAGAATCCTGCTCTCCTGCCTTTGATGAGCCTCTCAGAGACTTGGAGTCGTGAACAATGTTGTGCGTAGCCTCATAGGTGGGTGTTGTGATTGGAAACCTGCTCCCACACCGGCCCTGTTCCCCAAGAGGCTAAAGGCTGGCCAGCTCTCCCACGCTTCCGCGGACAACCCTGTTAAGCACGGGAATGACGGAATCCCCGTCTTACCGGACAAAAACCAGCGGTAGTAGTGGAGGGGTACCACGCACGCCTGATGACTTCGCCTGCTTGTCTCTCGACGCCTTTTGAAAGCCTTTTCGGGCGTTTCGTGGGGCGCTCTCGGGAGTTCCTGAGGGGTTGCCGTGCTCCACACATTTTTCAGTCGAAAAAGTGCTTGTTCCGTTGGCGGACTTGTCCCAGCAGATGACTGGTTGATAAATCACCAGGGGATGCCGTTGCCTCGTGGAAGAGCGAGTTGGATAGCCAGTCTAGTGGAACCCAGCAGCACCAAGGATGACAGCGGGGACGACCGTCCAGGGTGACGCATTTGGCAATAGTGTCGGATGTCGCGCGGCGGAGCCGGTTAGCCAAGGGGCAGCGCACGCCAGCAAATGCTCCCTTGTACTAATCGGACCACGTCGACTTGCTTTTGTGGATCAACTTGAGTAATTAGGCAGCGGGCTGAACATACAGGTGGGCGTCTGCTTTGCTTTTCCTGCCAAGATTCCGCTGATCCTGTCCCGGGACAATTGCAAGCCGAAACGAGTAACGACGGCGTGTAAGCGAGTTACCGCCCACCTGGATCGACGGGCATCACGGTTAGTAGGTTTGTGCCTATAGCCAACGACGACGGAAGAAGTATGATGATGTGCTCAAGCATCGGCGTATTGACTCTTTCTGACTTGACTCGCAGTCATTGCAGCCTTGTTCTCCGTGAAGACTGGGCATCGTCAGTATACGCGTCTCAGTGATGCTGTATAAGCATATGCGGTGAGCCCCCTCAGCAAGACGAACCTCGAGTGTTCTACGACTGTAGTCTGATGGCAAATGAACTATCGGGACCGACTGAAGCTTGCGAGGAGAATCACGATTGAATAGGCTGGGGGCCGCTGGTTGGCTTCGATAGGTCATTTGTCGCCCGTTACCCGCATTTTCGGCCAACCTGTAGAGGCTCGACTTTCTTGACGTGGCTCAATCCGGATCCCCGACTCCGCAAACAAGTGTGACTGAAATGGCCTTGCTCGCACACCACACGAGGGGCTTGCCGCATCGTGCAGGAGCGGAAACTCCGGAAGTGACGATAACGCTGATTTTCGTGAACTTCCACGCTCAAGAACGGCCTGGCCCAACGGCACTAGAGTCGCGAAGGGCCAGGGGTAAAACTCATCATTCCGGAGCTCGTTGGCATGTGCGGGGACGGCTTTCAGTGTGCCTTACTGCAAGAGGAGGCACTACTTCCGTGAGGTGGAGTTGCCTTTCAGCTGCTGCAAGGTACCTTATGCCCCGATCCGCAGCCGCTCCTGGGAAGAACGAGCGGAATCTCCACTGAGATCAAGAGGAACCTCAAGAAGATCAACTTTGGAGTGGAACGGACTGTCGACAGTATTGCAAATTAGCTTTTAGAAGAATTTCAGTGCACGGCTTTAAGACACAGAGCGATGGAAGCGTGGGCGTTACTCATGGCGCAGGTGGTTTAGGCGATACTTTACTCCGTTTGTCCGCAAGCCCTCCATCAGCTGCAAGTAGTCCCTAACTCGTATCGCCAACAAGGGTTAGGTGGTGGCGGCCTTGCTGTGTGCCGCTACGAAACAAAAATATTACGTCCGCCTCACTAAGCAGGACCTGAGTGACTTTGGCGGGCCAATCCCTTTCATGATCGACGTGGTCAGCACAGCCCAACAGCGGAATTGATAACGATATGTACGGATGCCGTGGACTGATCTCATCGCCCGGAGTCCTGATGGGCTGAAGGTGTTTGCCATGTCAGAAACCCCTCGATGGTTCTTGTGGCGTAAATGGGCTGCTTCAACTGGCGGGCTCTTCCACCACACCATAGCCTCCGTCAGCTTGCTGCTATGCGACTGCGGACCTCGTGTGATCCCATGTTCTTATCGTCGAAACCGGAACGTTCCTGAGATTGGCGTTATTATGGAGCCGGTGAGTGTCCGAGACAGAAGAAACCGTTAGGTAGCCCTGGTGCAGGGCGAATCCTACGGCGCTCCAGCATGTCGGTGTGGCGTCTGCGCATTTACAGCAGGCAGGCAGGCACGCTAGCAAAGGCCGTCAGCTTCCGGGATCATGGCTCTGGTCACTTTCGGCCCGCTGTAGGTAAGCTGATTAGTGGTGTATTTCAGGAATGTGTTGCGATTTTCAGGCGCACTGGAAGCCTGTCTCAGCCCTTGCATAGCTACCGTAGAGTATGCCAGGGCCAGCACATTCTTGGGTCGATGCGAAAGCGAACGGTGTAGCCTGAGATTTCGGTGGCACAACTGTACAAATGCTCAGCATAGGCTGCCTCAATACTTCACGTGCGCTCAGCAACATTTACCGGCAGATTGATCGGCTCGGCTTTCATCCAGTGACACCAAACGTCTAGATGCTGTGATTCAGGATGAGGTCATTTCGAAAACGCAGCCATGCACCCACGGGATCCTGCCCACAAGGGGTAATTGAGTTTCACGGTCTTCGCAACGGCCGTGTCGGAGGCACGTCAGATCTCCGAGGCGGAGGGCTTTGGAGTCGTGTTACGTCCGGGCACGTGGAGGATTCAAACAACAGGCCGGAAGCAGGTGCATTCTGCCGTACACTGCCAAGGTCCGGTGGTCTTTGTGAGTTGGAGGTTGCCGAAACGTGGAGGGTCCAGTACAAAAATGCTGCATGTAGGTGCAGCTGTGCGGTCATCTGAAACGCATTGACTTCTTCGCAGAGGTAGTCCTACGGGGCAGCTGAGGTCCACACAGACACAACCTGCGGGGGAGTCGTGGAAGCCACGGCTCAGTTGGGATAAAGATCAGGTAATCAATATCGGGGAGTATTCTGCAAGTTCCACTGTCTGACTGGACTAACGTCAAAGTGGGCTGTGGCACGTCCCGCTAGCCAGCGGAATGGAGGGTACCGTGCGACACGTGAAAATAGAGGCATTGTCCCACGGTCCGGCAATGGGATACAGATACCAGGTTCTGGGCGAAGTATGATGGCAGAGGGAAAGCCGTAGCGCGTATCGGACGGAAGACGCCGCAGAGGTGTTCAGGCTTGCAAAAACGAGAGCTGCAGATGGCAATCCCGAGAGCAGCAATGCTCGAAGCCGAAAGTACGTGATGGCTCCAGAGGACCAGACTGCTGACAAACAAGCACGCAACGGATATTGAAGACCGGAATTTGGTCCGCGCTGCTCGGGATGCGCGATAAAGTCGCAGATCTCTCGACAGCGGCTAGCTGGACAGGGCCAGACGATAGCCGGCCAGAGATACGGAGGCCAGAATTGGAGGCTCATGGCCTTAATGGAGTCCGGCGGAGCGGCGACAGGCTGGTGCCTACAGATGCGGTCAGCTTGGCGCAAGCGGATACGCCGATCCGTCAGCGCTTGGGCCGCTGCCTGTTTCGGGCTTGGCCCACACAGCACGGAGGGGAATCTTCACGGCGGCCGGATGCTGTACCGCAGGCGCTTTTCCTGGGGGGCGGGGAGGGCCGGGACGGTGTCACTGGCGGTGTCGCGCGCGGCGGACGCTAAGCGAGTGCTGTCGAGGGCTGGCTGTCATCACGAGGCTGGCGGGGGTTGCAGCGAGGTGCGGCAGACGCGGTTTTGGTGGAGTGGAGGCTGTGAGGAGCATGCGGGACGGACAATGGGGTTCCGCCGCTCGCTAAGACTGCCGCATTGGGAGTGCGCTGGACAACAACACCGCTGATCGCCGGCCAACGCGCTGCTTCGCCGCCAGACTCGACTGCCTGCAAAGCCTCCCGCAACGCTGCTCGAAACGGACCGCGGGTGGCGACGAAACACTGGCTCCCGCGTGGGGACTAGTCCGGAGTCGCGCGCGACAGCTGGACCCTTCGTATTCGCCGTGCGGTCTAGAAACGGCCCTCCGTCTGCCTACTGCGTAGTCGCCCCGTCGCCCATGTCGCGCGCCCTGCTCCCCTTGGAGCGAGCGAGTCGGTCTGCGTCCTAACCCTCAAGCGGCCGGCTCTGGCTGCCAGCGCAACCGTTTCAGAGCGCGGGCGTGTGTCACTGCCAGCCCAGGGCCGCCGCAGCCCATATCGCGTTTATATGCTGCCGCATTGATCGCCATGGCGCGGGCTGCCGGCGCCCGGCTGTCTAGCGCGAGGGTTGTCGCAGCGATCACAGGCAGGCGCTGGAGACGCAGTCTGGAGAGGTGCGCTGGCGATCTCCCCAATGCCGGAGGATGGGCGGCCAGGGGTCGGGGTCTGAGGACTGCCAAACTGCAGGCCGGGATGGCTATGACGCCGTGAGCAGCCGTGCAGCCGCCGCCAGTGTCTCGCTTAATCCTGTGCTCCGCGCAAACCGCCCGCCAGCCTTCCGACATTCCCAGCCAGCGGCCCGGGGCTATGTCGATTCGGGCACCTCACCTCACCCATTCGGCGCGCATCCGCCCAAGCGACCAGCCCGCGACCAGCCCGCGACCAGCCCGCGACCAGCCTGCGACCAGCCTGCGGCTCTGGGCGGCCAGCGACTCCGCCGGGGCGCGCGCCGCGAGATCTCGCTCCATCCGCTCGAGGCCTCGACTCGACCTCCACCGCGTGGCTATCGCCGCAAGCCTTCCCGGCGCGGCGGATAGCCTGCGCCCTCCCGGCTGGTGCGCCTGCGGCCACCGCTGCACGAGCGTGCGCGACACGACCGCTAAATCGTCAGGCGCGGAGTAGGCTGCTGCCCTGCGACCGCCCCGTACCGCTCGCCGTCAGCCGTTGACGTCGCGGCGAGTGCCATTGCACGTGTGACGGCATGGCTCTGTGTACGAAAACACCGTCCTGCGAGGCAGCTTGGCGCCGCAAGCACATGAACCGCTCGACGGAGCTCGATCTTGGATATTGCCATGCATCCAATGCCTGCAAGAGCTGGGATGGAGCTGCAACCGAAGACTTCTGTCTGTTTTGGAACGCTGGCTGACAGCACAGACGGTGGGACGTTGTTAGGACCCGGGTTGAGGAGACCCGTACCCCCTGTCAATGTCCGAAAGGTCGTGACGGCAACTACACCTCCAGCCTCTACCAGTCTGATCTCAGGGTGCTAACAATAGTGACATTGCTTACCAGCAATGCACGCCACCATCCTAGCTTCGCACCAACCAGGTGGGTGCTGCGGCAGGCCTACCGTTCCTCACGTCAAGGTCCTGACTGTGCGTCTCCGGCATCCTTGATGCCACCGGCCGCCGGACAGACTAGTCGTGTCATCGCCACAGCTCACAGCCCAAGCTCGCCTCTTAGTGATCAAGATCAGGATTCACCCGCCGGCAGATATTAAACCCAAGGCCTCCCAATGCCCCATACTTAAGAACAAGCTCAAACGCCCTTGACTGGCTCCATAGACATCGAATCTCCATTTACTCCCCACTTTCGCCCTTAATACCCTCCACTGTAGAGGTCCAGTCTCTTCTTCCTATGACTGACTGATCAACCAACCTTCTTCTTCTATCCACTCGACGCTGCAGGGCTCGCTTCTACCAACCGCCAGGTCACCATCTAATACCGGGACTTCTTTTCCTCATCTCCGACCTAATCCCAATCCGAAGTCCATCACCATGAACGTCCTCATCTTTGGCGACCAGACTGCCGACCAGTACCCGCTTCTGCGGAAAGCCTCTCTCCGGAAAGACAATGCGCTGCTCACCACCCTGTTGGAGCGCGCAAGCGTCGCCCTCAGAAATGAGATCAAGCGCTTGCCTCGTTCGCAGCGCGATAGCATACCGGACTTTGGCTCCATCACCTCATTGGTCGAAGCCTACTACGAGAAGGGCTTGAAGATCCCCCCGATCGAGAGCTCTCTCGTTACTCTTGCGCAGCTCTCGCACTACCTGGGGTAGGGAACACCTCGCTCCCGCCATTGGCAATATACTGACTTTTCCAGGTACTTTGGCGAGAACCCTACCGAGCTTCCCTCTCTTGCGAACACACGCGCTCTTGGTCTCTGCACTGGTCTTCTCGCTGCCTCTGCTGTTGCATCAGCAAAGACGCTCAGTGACCTCCTGCCTCTTGCAGTCGAAGCCGTTCGCATTGCATTCAGGGCTGGCGCTGTCGTTGGAAATGCCAGGGATGTCTTGGAGCGCGTCCAAGAAGAGCCTCAAAGTTGGTCTACTATCGTGGCGGGTATTTCGGAAGAGTCAGCCAAGACGGCTCTTGCCGACTTCCACCAGGAGAAGGGCATCGCGCTGTCGAATCAGGCTTGGGTCAGCGCCGTCAGCGTGATGGCCATCACCATCAGCGGACCCCCGGCCATCACTCAGCGATTCTTCACTGAGACTGAGGCTGTGAAGGACAAGACGCGCGTGCCTATTCCGGTCTACGCACCATACCACGCCGCCCACCTCCACAGCCAGGCCGACATCGACAGCATTCTCGACAGCTCGGCGCGCGAGCTCCTCTCGCAGTATCGCCCGCAGTGCCTCGTCCACTCATCCGTGACTGGGCAGTGCCACAGCGCCACGTCTACACTGGAGCTGTTCCAGCTGGCGCTGAGCGAGATCCTGCAGGAACCCGTGCGGTGGGACCGGTTGCTGGAAGAGGTGGTGTCGCAAGTAACTGAGTTCAGCAAATCGGAGTGCTCGGTTACCGCCGTTGGTGCAACGAATGTTGCCAACAGCCTTGTGTCCGCGCTTAGGGCTGGCGGCCAGACCGCCATCACTGGCAGGGACCATTCGTCTTGGGCACGGCCCGTTGAGACCGGCACGGGCCGCACACAGAACGACAAGATCGCCATCGTCGGCATGTCGGGTAGGTTCCCTGGTGCTGCCACCGCCGAGAAGCTCTGGGAGCTGCTGGAGGCCGGCCTGGACGTCCACCGCGAGATCCCGGCCGACCGCTTCGATGCGAAGGCCCACTGCGATCCCTCTGGAAAGGGCAAGAACAAGAGCCACACGCCCTACGGCTGCTTCATCGACGAGCCCGGTCTTTTCGACCCTCGGTTCTTCAACATGTCTCCGCGTGAAGCCGCCCAGACTGATCCTATGGGCCGTCTGGCGCTGACAACCGCATACGAGGCTCTGGAAATGTCCGGATACGTGCCCAACCGCACCCCATCGACCAAGCTGCACCGCATTGGTACCTTCTACGGTCAGACTTCGGACGATTGGCGTGAGATTAATGCGTCTGAGAATGTGGACACCTACTTCATCACCGGTGGTGTCCGTGCGTTCGCTCCCGGACGCATTAATTATTATTTCAAGTTCTCTGGTCCGTCATACAGCATCGATACCGCCTGCTCTTCCAGTTTGGCGGCCATTCAGCTGGCCTGCACTTCGCTGTGGGCTGGTGACTGCGATACTGCGTGCGCTGGTGGCTTGAACGTGTTGACCAACCCGGACATTTTCGCCGGGTTGAGCAAGGGCCAGTTTCTCTCCAAGACGGGGTCTTGCAAGACCTACGACAACGACGCCGATGGGTACTGCCGTGGTGACGGCTGCGGCACCGTTGTCCTCAAGCGCTACGAGGACGCCATCGCCGACAAGGACAACATCCTGGGCTGCATCCTCGGCGCTGCGACCAACCACTCTGCCGAGGCTGTCTCCATCACTCACCCCCATGCCGGCGCCCAGGAGTTCCTCTACAAGAGAGTCCTTGCCAACGCTGGCGTCGATGCTCATGATGTGAGCTATGTTGAGATGCACGGCACGGGGACCCAGGCTGGCGACGGTATCGAGATGACTTCCGTCACCAACGTTTTCGCGCCCCGCCACCGCCAGCGCAAGCCCGACCAGACCCTCCACCTCGGCGCTGTCAAGGCTAACATTGGACACGGAGAGGCTGCGTCTGGCATCAACTCGCTGATCAAGGTCATGATGATGTTGAAGAAGAGTGCCATTCCAGCCAACGTCGGAATCAAGGGGGTCATGAACAAGACATTCCCCAAGGATCTGCTTCAGCGCAATGTCCACATTGAGCAGAAGCAAGTTGCTTGGCCGAGGAAGGGTGCGGAGCCAAGGAAGGTCTTCCTCAACAACTTCAGCGCTGCTGGCGGTAACACTGCCATCATCATGGAGGACGGCCCTCTGAAAGAGGCTCCGACGGTTCAGGACCCGCGTAGCTCGCACGTTGTGACTGTCTCGGCACGGTCTATTGCGTCGCTCAAGAGGAACATCCAGAACTTGATTGACTTCATCGGCGAGAACCCTGAAGCTACTCTGACCAGCTTGGCCTACACGACCTCCGCTCGCCGCATCCAGCACAACTACCGCGTGGCTGTCGCCGTCTCGGAGATTTCGAAGACCAAGGATGCTCTGCAGGCTCAGCTCAAGGACTCCTACAGTCCCATCGCCATGGTGGCCACCAACACCGCCTTCGCTTTCACCGGCCAGGGCTCTCAGTACACTGCTCTCGCACAGAAGCTATACCACGACCTGCCCTCGTTCAAGGCTGACATCGACCAGCTGGACAGCCTTGCCCGCATCCAGGGACTGCCATCGTTCATCCCTCTGCTGGATGGTACCGAAGTCACCACGCTTTCTCCCGTGGTCGTCCAACTTGGCATGTCTTGCATTCAGGTTGCTTTGGCCCGCATGTGGGGCGCTTGGGGTGTCAAGCCCTCTGCTGTCATCGGCCACAGTCTTGGGGAGTACGCTGCTCTGCATGTTGCGGGCGTTCTCTCTGCTGCAGACATGGTCCTCCTCGTCGGCCGCAGGGCGCAGCTCCTTGTTGCTGATTGTACCGAGTACACTCACGGCATGCTTGCTGTCAAGGGCAGTGCCGAGTCCATCTCCAATGTTCTTGGTGCCAAGATGACGGAGATTGCTTGCATGAACGGGCCAGAAGAGACCGTCCTTTGTGGCACAACCGAAGTCGTCGATGCTGCCAACGAAGCGCTCGGTGCCCAAGGTTTCAAGGCCACGAAGCTGAAGGTCCCCTTCGCCTTCCACTCCGCTCAGGTCGAGCCCATTCTTGAGTCCTTCAAGGCTGTAGCATCCGCTGTCACCTTCCACAAGCCTACTGTCCCCATCCTGTCGCCACTTACGGGTGAAATCATCCGCGAGAGTGGCACTATTGGGCCCGAGTATCTTGCAAGGCATGCCCGCGAGACCGTCAACTTCTGGTCTGCGCTCTCCACTGGCGAGGACGAGAAGGTCTTCGACGAGAAGACGGTGTGGCTCGAGATTGGTGCGCACCCGGTTTGTTCCGGTATGGTCAAGTCCTCGCTCAATGGCACACCGATCACCGCATCCTCCCTCCGCAGGAACGAGGATCCATGGAAGACTTTGACCACCAGCCTGTGCACTCTCTACACTGCAGGTGTTCCCATCGACTTCAACGAGTACCACCGCGAGTTCAACGATGCTCAGGATCTTTTGACTCTGCCGACATACAGCTTCGACAACAAGCGTTACTGGCTCGACTACCACAACAACTGGACCCTCACGAAGGGAGAGGCTCCTGCTGCCATCGAGGCACCAAAGTCTGCTGCCCCGATCAAGTCCAAGTTCTCGACCACATCCTGCCAGCGCATAGTCAAGGAGGAGCTCCATGCCAACTCCGGAACGGTCGTCTTCGAGTCTGATCTCACGGAGCCTACGCTTCACAAGTGTGTCACCGGCCACTTGGTCAATGAAGCTCCTCTGTGCCCGTCGTCTCTGTATGCCGATATGGGCATGACTGCCGCGGATTACCTCTACAAGCAACTGCGCCCTGGTGCAGCTCCTGTCGGTTACAATTTCTGCAAGATGGAGGTTCCCAAGCCTTTGATCGCCAAACTTCCCCCTCCTCCTGAGGGTCAGTTGATCCGGATCGTCGCTGAGGCTGATCTGGAGCAGAATGAGGTCTCGGTCAAGTTCATCAGTGTCACTCCCGAGGGCAAGACCATCCAGGAGCATGCCACTGGCTGTGTCATCTACGAGGATCTCGATGCTTGGAAAGAGGAATGGCAGCGCACTTCATTCATGGTCCAGACTCAGATCGACATCCTCCAGGAGAAGCTTCAGACCGGACGCGCGCACAAGGTGCTCCGTGGCATGGCCTACAAGCTGTTCAAGGCCCTGGTTGATTATGCTCCTGCATACAGGGCGATGGAAGAGGTTATCCTAGACGGCAAGACGACCGAGGCTACTGCTTCCCTCCAATTCCCAACGAAGCCCGAGGATGGAAACTTCTTCATGGCTCCTTACTGGATTGACGGCTGCTGCCACATCTCCGGATTTATTGTCAACGCCTCTGACCTCGTTGACTCGGAGAACAGTGTGTACATCTCCCACGGTTGGAAATCCGTCAAGTTCTCCAAGCAGCTCTCGCCCGACAAGAAGTATCGCAACTACGTCCGCATGCAGCCCGCCCCTGGAAACATCTCTCAGGGTGATGTCTACATCTTCGACGGCGATGAGGTTGTCGGCCTTGTCACCGGCCTCAAGTTCCAGAACATCCCTCGCCGGGCACTGAACGTCATGCTCCCCCCTCCGAAGAAGGCTGGTGCTGGAAACGCGAGGCCTGCCATTGCAGCTGCTCCTGCGAAGGCCCCGGCTTCTGTTGCTCCCAAGTCTGCTTCCAAGTCTGTGTCCAAGTCTGTCGTCGAGACCAAGACCAAGAAGACTGTCAAGGTTGCTTCACCCAAGTCGTCAGGCAATGTTATTACCAGCCGCGTCATGAAGATCATTGCCGAGGAGTGTGAGCTTGACATGTCCGAGCTTGTCGATGAAGCCGCCTTCGAGAACATGGGTGTCGATTCTTTGATGTCTCTCACCATATCCGCCAAGTTCCGCGAAGACCTAGATCTCGACATCTCCTCGACGCTCTTCACCGACTACCCTACGGTCGGTCAGATGAAGAAGTTCTTCGCGCAGTACGACGGGGGTGCTCCGCTTGTCGAGTCGGAGGACTCGACAGAGTCGGAAGCGTCTGACCCTCGCACTCCCGAAGATGATGACTCGGACACCGATCCCAGTTCCGCCCCGAGCTCCGCCCCGAGCGTGAGCGGCAAGGACGAGTACGTCGAGGTGAAGGTCAAGGAGACTCGTGAAGTCACTAGCGAGGTCAGTTTGGCTCGCCAGATCATCTCGGATGAGATGGGGGTGCCGACTTCTGAGATCGGAGACCAAGCCGACCTATCCGAGCTTGGCATGGACTCCCTTATGAGTCTTACCATCCTCGGTGCGCTGCGTGAGCAGACTGGAGTGGATCTTCCGTCGACCTTCCTGGTGACCAATGCCACCATCGAGGACGTTGAAAACGCCCTCGGCATGAGGCCCAAGACCCAAGAGAAGGTCAAGACCGAGACCACGGTCGAGCAGAGGACTGCGCCGAAGCCCAAGCCCAAGCCGACCAAGGCGCCGCAGCTTTCGGAGGTGAACAAGAAGCTGAGCTCGACCATTGACGTGTCCAAGCTTCCGCCCGCCAACTCGGTCCTGCTCCAGGGAAATGCTAAGATCGCGACGAAGAAGCTCTTCTTCTTGCCTGACGGGTCTGGCTCTGCGACGTCGTACATCTCCATTCCCAATCTCTCGCCCGACCTCGCCGTGTACGGCTTGAACTGCCCGTTCATGAAGTGCCCGGAGAAGTTTGATTGCGGCATTGAGGCAGTCAGCAGACTCTATCTCAACGAGATGAAGCGCCGCCAGCCCGAGGGTCCATACTACATCGGTGGTTGGTCTGCGGGAGGTGTCATTGCCTACGAGGTCTGCCAGCAGCTCCTCGCCGATGGTGACAAGGTCGAGAGGCTCCTCTTGCTCGACTCGCCGTGTCCCGTCAGGCTCGACCCGCTTCCCGCGCGTCTCCACCACTTCTTCGATTCGATCGGACTGCTTGGAACAGGCAAGCCCGGAGGCACTCCCGGCTGGCTCCTGCCTCACTTCGCGGCTTCGATCAAGGCGCTGAAGGAGTATGAGCCTGTCCCGATGCCTCAAGACAAGGCACCCGAGACGTATGCCATCTGGTGCACAGATGGAGTTTGCCCCAACCCCGACGACCCCCGCCCGCCGCCCGGTGAGGAGGAGGATCCGGCACCGATGACATGGCTCCTGAACAACCGAACCGAGTTTGATGACAACGGTTGGGGCCAGATCATCCCCAAGGACAGGATGAAGTTTGGCGTCATGGGTGGCAACCACTTCACGATGATGAAGGATCCTTATGTAAGTTGAACCTTGACTAGTATTCACAGATGGCAAAGACTAATATTATTCTGTAGGCCGACAAGCTTGGCGAGTTGATCAGAGAAGGCATGAGTCTGGAGCTATAGAAATTGGCGGTGCTTTTTTGTCGTTGACGCGAGCAAAGTGTTCTTTAGAGTTCTGATCCTGCTTGAGTGGCATACGGAGTTTGGCGCACGCATAGTTTTCTCCGGGCTGATGACCTGATGATTGTCTTCGATGTTTTGGAGTAAGGGGATTGGTTCGTATAGATGGTTTTTGGGCACCTGGGCAGGCAAATTGTGCGAGATGAGAATTTTCCATCTCCTCCCTCTCTTTTTTCTTCTTTCGATCCAACAATATTAGCATACGCAGCTTTCACATTCCATTACTACTGTAAATAATGACAAAAAAAATTCAACCCGTAAAGAAAAGAGATCGAGCCATGGATCCTGACATGTGTTCATCGCATCAGCCCCCCCTGTGAAGAGCAGTGGAAACCGGCACGGGAGAAGGCAGGAGTTAGTTGCGTGGGAACCTTGCTACTGTCACATGTTTTGTGGCACGACGCGTCTCTGGGCTGGATGGGGCAAATGAACGACATCGATTCGTGTTTCGGACTTCCTCCTCACCGGAGTCCGATGGTCAAAGGTCATGAGTGGCCGACTGTCTCGGGAGGAGGGGCTGGGAGGTGCGGGCTGGCGTGGCAGCGACGTCAGGCAGCAGCGTGCGCGTCGACCATGGGATGCGCGTGGCGCTGGTCACCGCCGTCTGCTTCCTGGTGATGCACGCGTGCCGTCTCCAACCACGGGCGCGTGCGCGGCTTGCATCTACTTTTGGAATGGCGATGGAGTGCTGCGGCACGGCGCAGCAGGAACTGGGGGGAGGGGAGGGGTGAGAGCTGCGCACGGCCTCGGAGAGGCGGGGAGTGGGATGATGTGCGACGGCGATGCGTAAGCGGAGGCGGCGATGGGAGCGAAAAAGCGCAGGGCAGGTGGCAGCAGGGCGTGGCGCTGGTGGTCGGTAGGGCTGATGCAAGGCTGATGATGAGAGGCCAAGGGTTGGGGTGAGACGGTGATCTGCGCCTGGCGGGGCTGGAGGCACCCGTCAGCGGCACAGCGGCACAGCGGCTGCCGGTCTTGGCCCGCCGCTGCCCGCCGCCCCGCCCGCCCGCCGCCCTCGACCGTGACGGCTGCTTTGCCCGAGAAGCGCTGCTGCGGAAAAGCGACCACCGCCGCCGCCCCTCGCCCACGCAGCCATGGCCACGCCCGCCCCGGGAGCAAGGTACCTCCCGCCCCTCTGCTGAGATGCCATGCACCCCCGGCTGACACGTCCGCAGCAAAGATGCTCCCACCAACCCGCGAGGCATTCCCTATGCGCCCTTCGTCGACAAGGTCGAGGACTATGCCACCACCCGCGCTGACGTTGAGCCGACCCTCAAGAGCTTCCAGGAGATGATCTCGTGCGTCCCCGCCCCTCCCTTCTTCCTGCGCCCTGCGCCCTGCGCCCTGCGCCCTGGCTCGCACTCACAAGCATGGCCTGTGGCAGCAAGTACCAGTTCATGCAGGTCAACACCGAGCGCCGCGCCGCTGGCCTGAAGGACAAGATCCCCGACATCCAGAAGACGCTGGACACGGTGCGCTTCTTGAAGACGAAGAAGGTCCGCTCGCCCCATCAAGCGCTACGACAAGTGTGCCCAGGCTAAGGTCAACCGCGTTCAGCCCGGATCCGACCCCATTGAGACGACGTTCGAGCTCAACGACACGCTCTACGCGAAGGCCCAGATTCCGCCTACCGAAGAGGTCTATCTATGGCTTGGGGTATGTGCATGTGGCCAGTAGAAGGAATAACGGTAATGTTGACCGTCGGTCGCAGGCGAACGTCATGCTGGCGTACCCCATCCCAGAGGCCGAGGACTTGCTTGACAACAAGCTCAAGACGGCGCAGGTCAGCCTCTCAAACTGCGAGGAGGATTTGGATTTCCTGCGCGAGCAGATCACGGTGCGTATCTACCCCTCTGGCCTACACTAGCGGGGCTGACTGATTCTCTGCAGACGTTGGAGGTCGCTACCGCTCGTGTGTACAACTGGGATGTTGCCCAGCGCCGCAAAGAGAGGCTCGAGGCCGAGGAAGCCGAGGGCAAAAAGTCAAAGGACTGAAAGCGTGTCGAGACGGGATTGGCCAGGAGGCCATCGTCCCAGCTACACCATCATCTCCAGTGTTATCTGAGCTACGCTACAGATGATACGCGGGTGCTCCCCGTTAAGCAAGCTGCGCAAGATTACCTTCAGTCAGAGGAAAATAGTACGAGGGTTTCGTGTAAATAATGCCACATGACCCCGAGAAAAACGAGACGAATGCAAAAGTACCCCACCGTTCATCAGCTATCCCCCCCTTGCTTGGTCCCCTGCATCAAGGCCTCTTTGGACGCTGGGATGTCTGGTTTTCGCTCACCACAGTAGCGTCAGAACTGCCGATGCCGATGGGAGACTTGATGTGCCCTTGGGCCCAGCACGCTACGTGGCGTCAAGCTTTAGCCCGATGTACTACACCATCTCCACTCTATACCCGCCCGACTGTTTGCGCAATCGCAAGACTTACCCGCATAGGCCAAGGCCACGGCACATGCGTTTTCGCCATTGATCCAAGACGACCCACTTTTCCCATCCGCCCATCAACCCTAGGAACTTCTTTCCGGGAAGGAGATCCCCTCCATGGCACGTATGTACATACGCGCCCTCGGCAAACAGGGAAGATATTTCCCCGGTTGTGGCTTTCTCTGTACCCTTCCTCTGAAACAGGGGCTTCGGCACCGCACTTGTTTTCTTTTTTCTCTCTACCCACGGGTCATCCCTGCACCCAATGCAGCAGTGCTTCCGTTCACACTCCTCCACACTCCTCCCCCCCATGTCTATTCAGAACCGCATGCAATATTGGCCGCCAGGTGTCAGCAAAGAAGCTCGAGCAGTGGGTCTATCGATGACAAGCCTCCCCCGGAGAACTTGTGAATGGCGCTTAACGGAACCTGGGGGGGCCCGGCTGGGATATGGTTGCTTCTCGTTCGTGTTTCCCTTCGTTGCCCGTTTTCGCGCGGCCCTCTCTCTTTCTTATGGCTATCGGCATCGCTCCTTGTCGAGAAGAGGTCAGTGCTGCTTGGAAATCCGACTCTGGCGTGCTGGCCGATCTTTGCCTTTCCCTTCTCGGCGGGCCGGCGGAGGCGCTCGATGAAGGTCTTTGCGGTAGATAGTAGTACTCGAGGCCACTTTTGAGGTTGGCTGAGGGAAGTAGCCCTGGATCGTATCTGATTTTGGTGTGTGGGCGACGGTGCTGGGGAAAGTAATTGAGACAGCCTAGTCCAAAGGTGTTTAGGAGGGGAGACAGTGGTTATAGTAGTGTTTACAGGCATCTCCTGAGTTGAAAACTTAATGTGAGCGGGATTGTACTATGTTGGCTTGAGTCAAGCCATGGGTGTTTCTACAAAATGAAAGAAAAATAAAAGGCAAGAAAGAAATAAAGGACGCTTGTATTGTTACATGCTGCAATCCTCGCTGGTCTTACGCTTTTCGAGTTGGTAGAACTCTTGATGCGTACTTTATCAGCGCATTCGTGATCCTCATCCGCGTGGCAATTTTCGAACCCTTTGATTATTCAGTATCTACCATTCTGTGGAGCCCCTGGTAGATTCCATCGTTTTCATAGCAGTTTCCAATGTCCCATGTTCCAGGATTAGGCGGCCCCGATTTCATTCATGATCTCAACGCTACAGAACTACGGTGATCACTCCGGGCCGCTCGTTGGTGTTTATGTTTGGATAACCCCACAGTGTATTTCCCAAACACGATCTTCATAATGATCATCCACTTCATCGACGGTGAGTTGGTGCCAACCACACAGATCGCACGGTGGTTCATCGCCGCTGACAGCGGCTTCCACCTTTGTTCAGATATCTCAAGATGGGTCTCTCCAGTCCTTGTCGCGTCGTCATTGCTACCCACGGAAATTCGGATTCATGGTCGCAGGTAGCCAAGCAGCTAAATCGACGCTTTCCGGGGCAATGGCGATGAGCAGAAATGGCTGTGCCTGCTAATGGTTGGGCTGTTTTGTCTTTCACAAGCTTCTATCTTACACTTCATGCGATTTCGGAAAATGACACCGCTGTCCTTTCATAACACGCTGTAGCTGGTATCCGCGCATCCGACCACCCGCTCCGAGAACCCCCCGGGAAACTCACGCCTAAGGAAAGATCAAGCCTTTGAAGTTGAACCGAGAACCTGACGCCATATATGCCTCGAAACCGCCAGTCTACTGGTATGCTTCTCTCAGCCGCGTTCTAGAGGAACGCAACTAGTAGGGATAGCCTCCATCATCGTAGCCGACCCCGCCCGGTCCCTTATCGCTCATGTCGTCAAGACTTTTGTAGTGGCTTTGACCGGGACGAGCTCTGCCACCTCTGCCGACATTATAGCCTCCACGACCGCCCCTTCCACCACGACCACCATAGGGACCACCCCGACCCCTGCCTTGATAACCGCCACGAAATTGCTGGGACCCGTTTCCAGGAGGTCGCTTGTTTTCGTCGCGATTGTAGGCGGCGTATGCAGATTGAGTGTGTTGACCTCCGGAATGGTTGTAGTTATTGTACGCAGCAGGCTGGGAAGGCGGTTGCGGACGAGGGCCATTGCCCAAAGCCGGGAAAGCGTTTTTGTCTTGGGTGTCGGGCGCTATGCCATCATCGCGCGGTCTGGCGCGCTTGCGATTCCCTGGGAAATACGACTCGTACTCGCTTTCGCCGCGGCGTTCGTCTTCCAGTCTTAAGAGAACCTTCTCGCCAACAGTGCTGTCAAACTCCAATGCCCTATCATCCGACACAGGTTGCCAGTTCTGGATGCGGCCAGCATCCACTGGCTTCGCACCACGGCCCAAGGCGAGCACGATGGTGGGCGTAGGATTCTCCGTGTAAATTCGAGAGTTGGCAGGAACGGGGGCCACGCGGGCAGCCCACAATCGGTTTTCAAAGAGTGCAAAGCCGTTGACACGCCAACGCTGGACCTTGCCAATACCACCAACCTTATCGAGAATGCTCTTTGGCGCAGGACGAGGGGTAATCAAGATACTGTTGGCCAGAATTCGGACGTCCCCGTCGGGCTTGTTCGGTATGCCGTCAAGAAGAGCAGCAGTGAGCTGCTCCGTGACGGGAGGTTCGAGCAGATATCCAGTGAAGAAAACGGTCCGCTTGATTTGATATGGCTTTATGCCATTCGGTGCCTGACGGGATTTGACCAGGGTATTATGCGCGTTGATTAAACGTTGAACTTCGGCCACCTCGGTGACGGGATTGAGCGATGTTGTGTTTTCAGCAACCTGGATGACCTCTGCCGTAATGGTCTTACGTGCAACAGGCGAATCTGGGGAGAGCAGAGTCTTGTTGAAAGTGGTAAAGAAGTCGCGAAAGGCTTTGGTGTGCTTGGGCCGGTCCTCATAGACGCGAATTTCGTCAGCATCCTTGTACGTGTGGACGAGGTCCCCGAGGAACTCCTGCTTGAACGCCATAGTGCTTGCGAACTTTTGGTTTAGCGGACCAACGGCAGGCTTGAGGCAAACCATATCGAAGTCCAACTTCTTGGCCTTCAGAATGCGCTTGATCAGGTCGGCAAAGGGCGCCTCTGAACGGCCGGTTAGTAGGACGGTAAGAGCGTCCTTCTGTTCCATGGAGAGCTCGACCAGGGTGGCGATCTGCTCGTTCCACCACCCTTCCCAAGCCCTCGGCTCCTCCTTCTCTACGCCGTCGCCCGTAGCGGCCAGGATGCTGGCGTCGTGCCACCACCCGCCATTCACGAAGACATCAGGCGACTGAAGCTGGCCGATGGTCGGGCCATTCCACACTTGCTTATTCGGGAGGGGGCTCGCAAAGACTAGCAGAAGTAAGAAACCGCGGGGGAGCGCGCGCGCCACAAAGGAAGGACGTACGGGTGTTGTCGAAGTCGTAGACGTGGATGCTCTTGATTTGCTGAACGCCTGGACGGCTGTTAGTGGCAGCTCGGCTGAAGCGAGAATGGGCGGCGTATCGTACTGGGCAGCTCTTTGTCCTGGCAAGACCATCGCTTCAGCATCGTGACGGTGTGGGTGCTGGCTGGGCCGGTGATGGCGCTGTTTGCAAGGCCATTGGGAACGGGTTGCAACATGCTGAGTCGGCGGCGCAGTCCTGGCGAGGATTTGCGGGCGAGGCGGAGCATCCACAAGAGAGGCGGCGACAGAGTGTGGAGAGGACGGAGCGGACGAGTTCAGCGGGGCATGGCGGGGGGTGAGGCTGGGGAAATGGAAGACGCAGGTCTGGCGGCGGCCAAAATCGCAACCGTAAACCGCGCCGGCGCGCGCGCGTCATCGTCACTTCCGCACTCGCCTCCGCCCCTCCGCCTCCTCCGCCCAAACAACCTCCATCTGGCCCACCGTGCATGGACACGCTCCCAGCGCCCCCTCAGACCATCAGCTCGCAACCGGCCGCGGTCCAGCAAAAGGGCAAGGCAAAGGATGTCGCGCCCGAGAGCTGCGTCATTTGCCTCGATGCCATCTCCGAGCGCGCCATAACCGTTCCCTGCAACCACTGCAGCTTCGACTTCCTGTGTCTTGCCAGCTGGCTTCAACAACGCTCCACTTGTCCGCTTTGCAAGGCCGATGTCTCCCAAGTCCAGTATGACTGGCGCTCGCCCGAGGACTTCAAGACCTACAACGTCCAGTCAACCGCGCCCGCCGCCTCCGCAGCCCGTAGCCATGCTCGGCCATTCGTCCCGCGCCGCAACAGACGGCGTCCTCCTCGCCGCAGTCCATCTCCAAGTCCGGACATAGCCCTGATACGCCGTCGCCATGTCTATCGCAACGAGCTCTTCTCCATGCACGTTGGCACCAATCGCATCTCCCGTTATGCCAACTTCACCCCCCACATGGTCGCCGCTTCTCCAGATCTGCAGTCCCGTGCCCGCGCTTTCATCCGCAGGGAGCTTCGAGTCTTCAGCTTCCTCTACCCCGAGGCTGCCGATGACTCGGAAACCGCAAGCCGTCGTGTCGGGAACGCCGAGTTCCTCCTTGAGTATATGCTGGCCATACTGAAGAAGATGGATATCAAGGGCCCAACCGGTCAGGCAGAGGATATGCTGCAGGAGTTTATCGGCAGAAACCACGCTCGGCTTTTCCTACATGAGCTGGGCGCTTGGTTGCGGAGTCCTTACACGAGGCTCGAGGACTGGGACAGGCATGTCCAGTACCGCGAACCCTTGCCCACATGCATAGAAGATACTGAAGATCGGCGCAACACGCCAGCGACGGCTAAGCCGCCCTCGGAAGGTACCCATGCAGGTCCGTCACGGCCATATTCCCGAGCGCGATCCTATCGGTCGTCACCGTATCAGCGCCGGGGCGCTGCATCCCCGCAAGATGGGAATTTTCGTCGATATGATCCCGACTGAGATGAGCTTGCTTGATGTCTGTTAAACAAAGCTCCACGCCAACAGACCTTGCGGGACCGAACTGGTGCAAGTGGAAAGATAAGGTTGGAAAGCGGCTAGAGCATGCTGCCACCACCGCAATATCCCTGTCACTTGCGACTTCAAGCGGTTCATTAGCTTGATGTATGCGCTGCTAAGAACGTTGCTGCTGGCTCTTACTGCCGTGGTTGCTCTTCTGCAAGCCCCCCATATCGTGGCCTTATCGCCGCATACACCTTTGAGGAATGCACGGAGCTTGTCTGGAAGAGGAAGAGACTCGCACAACGATTAACCGTGCGCCTCTATGGAAACTTTGGAGGACGTCGATACTTTCCACTCCCTTGGAAAACGATCAAATCACCTGGGTTCTGGCGATGTGGAGTTTCAATAGAATTCTCGATGGTTTCTGGGGTAGACCAGCCTGTAGGCTATCAAGATCATATTGGGGGCAGATATTGAACGAACAATCGAACAACTGATGCCTATGAATCAATGTGGCGAGGCTGCATTGGCCGCTGTCTCTTCTATACAAATTATAAATCTGCCTCCAAAAACATCAGTATTGATATCGCTAACAATAGCAATACAACAAAGGCGCTTCAATTCTCTTCCGATTCCAACATAGCAATTCAACTTATGACCTCAACTTTAGCCTCCCGCTAACATCATCTAATACATCCCGAGATTACGTCAACCTGAGCCATCCAAAATAGAGAAAGACCTGGTCCGACTAATCAGAACGGGGGGGCAAAAAAAACCGGGTACCGACCAAACGTAAGACCTGCGTTCCGCCTGGTTGCGCGCATGACACCCTGTACCTTCGTCCAAAGCTTGGGGGCTCATCAAATCGTCGTTTCTCTTTTTTACATAACAGATGGCGTTTCTGCGAAGGGAGGGGTAATGGAAAAAGTTTGATGAAGACATATAAGGATGAAGAATACCTAAGACCAATTGGGCAAGCGGAAAGACGGAAGACTCACATAGATGAGTGAGAAAGGAGAGTGAGTGAGGGTTGGATGTTCCGTCCTCCCTCCATCTCTTTCTCTCGTACCTTGCTCTTCCTTAGCAAATAGTAAGCAACATTAATAGCCAACCCCTGGGATGATTTTCGCCGCCCGCGGAAGAGAAGCCAGTGCAAGCAAACCATCCAATTGAAAAATCCGATCGACCACCCAAGAACCCACTGACACCACCCTCCTGATCCAAATCCATTTGTTCATTTCCACGTTGTACCAGCTGCCTGCACATCGACCACGACTCATCCCTTCAATTCAGCAAAGGAGCACAGCTTTTTAAGCGCCACGCCGTCCATGCTTTGCATGCAAAGAGCGCCAAGTAAAACCTCATCCTTTGGCAAAGAGTCGACAGAGAGACGCTTCTCACGGGCTTCGTCCTCACTCTGTGCCTTTTCGCCCAACTTTCGCAGCATTGCCAGTGCTCGATGGGTGATGAGCCCGAAGCCAACGTCTAACTGGTCAAGTGGAGGTCTTGGCATGCCCCTACCCGGTGGAGGTGGTGGCGGGGGTTGCCGCTCCATTGCCAGAATCCCCGACAGCCACACCAACGTTTTCGCCCATCCGTCTTCAGCCTCCAGCCACGAGCGTGCAACTCCAGATTCTGGGCCAGGGCACAGGCCTGCGAGTATGTCCGCCGCTAGCATGCCCTGTGTGAGATAGGGTTTGCGTGCTTCAGCGATACGCGACTCGGCTCCGCGTCCACGCTCAGGAACAACCGATATTGCAAGCCCAAATGAACGGGTCAGCAGATCGTAAGGCGGCGTCGAGGCCGCATCAGCCAGGAATAGTTGCCGGTAAAAGGCGCGGTTCGGGTCGTCTCGTGCCAGAAGTTTTGCCAAAAAATCGACTGCTGGTGGGAGATACCGATGGATTGCGGGGTTGTACGGCGCGAATCGGATGGTCTCTCCATTGTTGGGAGCAGGGGAGGGGGCAAAGGCGAGAATAAAGCAAAGAATGTTGTATGCGTCATCTCGAGATGGCAGCTCTATTTTGTCTGAGGTGTTGGAGAGGAAAGTTACTATGTCTTTCATGAAATCGACAGTGTTGATATTGTTCCGAAGCAGCATGATTCGAGTGCCAAGCAAACGAATGGTGTTCGAGAGGAACTTGATAACTGTTGGACTGGAAAGGAGGGCATGGTTAGACTCGAAAAACGAGAGGTTTCTGAGGATGGTGGTGATAGCGATGAGACGGTCAGCAGAGCGGTCAAGCTCATAGGCTTGACTTCCACATTCGGGCGACTCTTGCAGCGACTCCAACTCCATACGGGAATTCCGCATTGCGTCTTCGTATGACATGAGATCAAGGTTGTCAGAGACCTCGGCTGAATCTTCTGCAAGTGCATCGACCTGATCTTCGGCGCAATCTATTATCGCATCCATCAAATCCTCGCACTTCTCCAGCTCTAGATGTAGCCGAGGATCGTGAGACAACTGAACGAGCATGTCCAATGCAAAACGGACTTCCGGGCTGATTCCAGACTGGAGGGACAAGCTTATTGCGCGCATGTCAATGACTCCCATCTCTTCCACCCCAGGGACGTCAGGCTTCAATTTCGCAAGCTTCTCGCCCACACTGCCGTGCCCGTCCACTAGAATCCCGCCGTGAGTATCCAACAGCGAGCGAACCTTGGGCTTGTAATCCGAACTCAAGACGACCTTTGTCTCGGCCGGTGTTGCGGTCCCGTTCACAGCCGACGCCTCGGTGGATGCTCGTTTGGGCACGGATTCAAGTGGCTTTTCGCCGGGTCCGGGCGAGGGAGTTATTATTGAGCCTGCCGGTTGCGCTTGTGGTGTAGCCTCCAAAAGACGACTCATGCTTTTTCTGTGTTGTTCTTGCTGAGAAGCCGCATTGGGATCGGGCTGAGGGGTCGCCCATCCATTCGCCTGAGGCATCGAGTTATTTCGCATCGGTGTGCCCTGATCCATAGGCTGCTGCTGTTGCTGTTGAGCTTGCATCTGGGTGCTGCGGAGCCTTTGAAGGTACTGTTGCTGTTGAGCCCCAAGATCCTGCGCACCGCCGGGCATCGATTTGACCGGCGAAGCCTGCGGCGCGCCTCCCATTCCCGGCATCTGACCCTGCTGACCCTGCTTATTCCGCTGCTTCGCCAGCCATGCTTGTTCGTATGCTCCCAGATTTTGCTCGTACACCATTCGGATTTCTTGCCCTGCGGTCGGAAATTGCTGCGGCGGGAACCCCATGATGTGCGCTAATTGCGACCATCCGTTACTGTTTGAAACATTCCTAGATCCTCTGTGCTTCATAACGGTGGCGTACAGCTGCATCAAGTTCACGGGGCGCATGCAGACCATCGGCTGAGGGTTGAATGGCATGCCCTGCGCCTGCATCAGAGCTTGAACGTTATTGAGGAACGCCGCCTCCTGTTGCTTTGGTGGATTGTTCATGGCCATGCCTCCTTGATTCGGGCGCATGCCGCCAGCCATAGCCATGGCAGAGTTCATCTGCTGCCCAGAAGATCCAAGCATGTTCATGCCGCCCGCCTGCTGTTGCCTTTGCGCCAAATTGTTGGCCGCGATCTGTTGTTGCTGCTGTTGGAGGCGCATCTGGTATAGGCGCTGCGCGTCTGCTTGGCGTTGTTGGAGATTCTGGGACAGCGCGACTCCCTGCACGGGCATTGCGCCGTTGAAGCCTGCAGCCGACATGCCCGGGTTCATGCCAAAGTTCTGGTTGAAGCCCTGGCCCGTTGGCGAGCCTTGCATCATGTTCATGTTGTTCATGCTATTCATGCTGTTCATGTTCATCGCGGCCATCTGCGTCATGGCGGGATTTTGCGGCGTGTTGACGCGACTGTTTTGGTCGGGCGCGGGCGACATGCCCATGTTCTGGCCCTGAGGGAACGGGTTTGGGGACATGGTGTTCATGCGATGAGCTTGTTGCGGGGGTCGGAACTGCTGGCTCTGCATTGTGGGCGAGGGAGTCGCGTTGGACGAGCCCTGGTGCTGGAGGTGCTGGTAGGGATTGGGGGCTTGGAGGCCCTGCTGATTGCCCTGGAAGGCGCCGGGCGCGAAGGTCATCTGCTGGGGCGTCTGCGATCGCGACAGGCTCATGTTGCCGGGAGCAGGGCGCGGCGAGGCGCTGGACGCGTCCTCGGACGGGCGCGGGCGCTTGGAGGGGACGATGGGGTTGACGTTGTAGGCCGGGTTCTGAAAGGCAGCGGGCGAGGCATTGCGCACGTTGCCGTTCTGGAGGCGCTGCTGCTGGAGCTGGGGATTCTGAAAGGCGTTCAGGTCGATGTTGTTGTTGCTGAACATGGACGGGTCGATGAGCGAGTTCTGGGAGTCGAGGTAGCCATTATTTGCTTGGAGGGCGTCGAAGTTCATTGCGCGGACGCGTCCATCAGTCTTCCTGGACAGGGCAACTCGGCATCAGCTCAGGGCCATCACCACCATCAACGTCGACGCGAGGGAGGCCCGGGGGGCTTGGGAGCGAAATGACAAACCGCGCAGGCTCCACGAGCCGCTCGCGCGCGTCAAATAAGCCGATCGGGATGCGGTGAGCGCATTCGCGTCCGGCAGGGCGGGCGGGGGTGGCAGCGCGGCGCGTTGTCTGGGCTTGAGCGCGCAGGCGAGCGGTGCAGAGGCAGCGGGAGCGATGGAGGTCCGACTTACTAAGTCTCAGCGCGGAGGAGATAACTTCTTGATTGGGGGGCGTGCTTGTGGTCGTGACTTGATGGGAGAGTGAGAAGGCCAGCCAGCCAAGCACGGGCGCAGCCCCCGACCCGAAATCAACATGGGCTGCCGGCTTAGCGAGCGCGGCCGAGGGCTACTCAGGACGGCCACGACGACGGCGCGGGGAGCAGCAGCGACAGCAGCAGCGAGCAGAGCGACACCGAGAGGACCGCAGGCGTGCGAGGCATTTGTCCCGGTCACGAGCAGCACAATGGCAGCCGCCCGAAAGGGATTGGTGCCCCCGGAGCCTAAGTGACAAGCAGGGATGCGTGGGCAGCCATAAGATATCGCAGGCCGAGCTGATGGCTGCCGCCGCTGGAACAAGTAGCACAAGCCTGCCTGCGCCGGCCTGCGAATCGCCAGGCGCTGCTTTCCCAGAGCCCGCCGTGACCTCATCCCGCCGGCGCTGTGTGCCTGTGCCTGTGCCTGCGCCTGTGCCTATGCCTGCGCCTGCGCCTGCGCCTGCGCCTGCCAGCGGGTGGGCCGACCCCTCGGCGCTGATGTTGAGCATTTCGTAAAGACCTCCTTCCATCACCCCTGCGACGCCGCCCGCTGGCCGGCCCTCGTCGTCCGCTTGCCTGGCCCGTTGTGTCCCTGATCGGTGCCCCCACTGCATCCCACGGCTTTGGGAGCCTCTTGGCTACATCCACGCCTGTTGAGGCCGATGATTCGCGTGAAACATGCTACCGCCAGGCCAGGGCCATCAGCTCCCATGGTTGCTCAAAGGTTGGCACGCTGCGTGCCAGACGTGCACTCTGTCTTTATTGGCCCCGGAACGATTGCGCCGCGCCCGATGAGACGAAGCTGATCTGATCGTCCAGCTGGGCGTGGCGGCTCTCCGGAAGGCGAGCCACTATTCCACACGCCGCCTGAGGATTCGCTGCTGCCCTGCGCAGAGCCGAGAGCAGAGGCCGGATTGCGCGCTGCAGTGCGAGCTCGCCCGGGATACACTGCCACGGGCGCCCGACGGCGGTCGAGACAGACGATGAGCCTGTGCTGAAGGCTGATCCGGAAGATCGCCATCGCCGGCCGTAAACGGAACTCCGTCGCGATGTTGTTCCGTTCCGTTACATCAGAGCAGCTGTGCTGGGGTGCTGGGAGCTCCATCGCGAACGACCGTCATCACCTTCCACCTCCGCGTCCCTACCACCGTCTTCGCCCGCGCTCTGCATCCGCCCACCCACTCTCCGGCACCACGAACTCGTTAAACACCACCCACCCTTGACGCAGCCCAAAATGGCCGACGCCGCCGTCGAGAACCCGGCTAACCAGGTGGCACCTCACAAGAAGCAGCTTGCCTCGTCCATACCCTTTGTCGACTCGCTGGAGGGCGTCGCATCTGAAAGCAGTGACCAATACTCGACCTTCAAGAAGCTGCAAAGACAACTTGAGTACGTGACGATAGGAATAAAGCGAGTGCCAGACATGCTGATTGCGGGACAGATACATTCACTTGCAGGAGGAGTACATCAAGGATGAGCAGAGGTATGTTCGGCTATGAGCGTCTCGAATGTCGGCTTGGTGTCTAATTCTCTCATAGGAGTCTGAAGAGGGAGCTTGTCCGAGCACAGGAGGAGATCAAGCGCATCCAGAGCGTACCGCTCGTCATCGGCCAGTTCATGGAGGCCATAGACCAGAAGTGAGCGATGATTCCTCGATGCACATAGTGCTTGTACTCACACCTTCGCAGCACCGGCATCGTTCAGTCCTCAACCGGCTCCAACTACGTCGTTCGGATCCTGTCCACGCTCGACCGCGAACTTCTCAAGCCCTCATCCTCCGTCGCCCTTCACAGACACTCGAATGCCTTGGTCGACATTCTGCCACCGGAGGCCGACTCTTCGATCGCTATGCTGGGCCAGGACGAGAAACCAGACGTGACATACGCTGATGTTGGTGGTCTGGATATGCAGAAGCAGGAGATCCGTGAAGCCGTCGAGCTTCCCCTGACACACTTCGATCTCTACAAGCAGATTGGTAGGCGGAACAGACGCACCTTATCGTCGGTGGCTCTGGCTAACAGATTGGGACAGGTATCGACCCTCCGCGTGGTGTCCTTCTCTATGGGCCCCCGGGAACTGGTAAGACCATGCTTGTCAAGGCTGTTGCCAATAGTACTACTGCGTCCTTCATCCGTGTCGTCGGTTCGGAGTTCGTTCAGAAATACCTTGGCGAAGGTCCGCGCATGGTTCGTGACGTTTTTCGCATGGCCCGCGAGAACTCGCCCTCTATCATCTTCATTGATGAAATCGACGCCATTGCCACAAAGCGTTTCGATGCTCAGACCGGTGCGGACAGAGAGGTGCAGCGCATTCTTCTGGAGTTGCTCAACCAGATGGATGGCTTCGACCAAACCAGCAATGTGAAGGTCATAATGGCTACCAACCGTGCGGATACCCTGGATCCGGCTCTGCTTCGTCCTGGACGTCTAGACCGCAAGATCGAGTTTCCCTCGCTTCGGGACCGTCGCGAGAGGCGCCTCATTTTCACCACGATCGCTTCGAAGATGTCGTTATCGCCTGAGGTTGACCTCGACTCTCTTATCGTCCGCAATGACCCGCTCTCTGGTGCCATCATTGCCGCAATCATGCAAGAGGCTGGTCTGCGTGCTGTGAGGAAGAACAGATACCATATCATCCAGTCTGACTTGGAAGATGCATACTCCGCCCAAGTCAAGGGACAAGGCAACGAGAGTGACAAGTTCGACTTCTACAAATAAACTCAGCTTGGTCTGGCACTGGTCACGGGATGGTCTGGCGTCTTGCGGCGCAACGGAATTAGAACCCTTGTAGTATATGGGATTCAAGAGTATGGCAGGACGAAAGGACGGCGAGCAAAGCGTACAGAGCTTACGAGATAATACAATACTGCAAGACGATGAGTAAAGGCCTGATTTAACTCGTGGAACAAGCAAAACAGTGTGTAAAAGTGCCATCTGCGGGTCGTAACTTTTACTACAAAGAAAGGAGCAACGAGCGGGTTCAATCTACGCACACCACTTCTTCATCAACTGTACCCTCATCGTATGGCCACTCCATCATGCTCCTGCAATTCGAGTGCCAGTCATCTCTATGGAACCAGCCTGTCGAATTCCCTTCTTTGACTGCTACATTCCTAGCCCTTGCAGACCACTCTCACCACTGACTTGTTGAACTCGATTTGTTAATAAGAGAGATCGAGGCCTAGCCCTGCTTATTCCCTACAGAGGATCGGCGACTAGAGCAGCTTGGCATTATTGTGACGGAGAGGGCAGGCAGTTGAAGCAACAGTCTGGACGTGAATGCACAATTGACCTGAGAGCAAGAGCCTCCGAGTGATAGCCCCAAGCACCTCACTCTGTTACGATACTAAGTGAGCCGATCTTACGGTCGGATGCGAAAGAGAGTGGCCTACGACGATCGTTTTGCTGGGCAGTCGAAGCAGATATCCTGACGGAGATGTAAGCTTGACAACCTTACTTCGTGGGCAGATGAGAAAGACATCCGGACGTAGATGCGAGTGTTGAAGCTATACAGTTGCACCTAGATAGGATTCCGCTACCTAGGTGGAGTGAACGTGCGCCAAGGTGTGTAAATCCAGAGGTAAGGAGCGAGCGCCGCGGGGAACAAGTTGGCTGGTGCACCGCCGAACACCAACCTGGCCCCAACTTCAACCAACCGAAGAGGCGACGGTGAACGGAGCTGCGAATGCCGCCGTACAAGAACAATGGCAGACGACGAGCCATCTTACATTGACTACGAGGCCTTCCTCGACCCGTCTTTCTCGACGACAGGGTTCGCCAACAATCTCGTGCTCGCGACAAACAATCCCTCCGACACACCGCTGGACCTCTCCACCCCGCTCTCGCGTGTCCTCTTCGATGTGCAGGAGATTGATACACATATTGACACGCTAACTACCAAGTCGGCTCTGCCACTGCTCGAATATACGAAGGACCATGCGGAGTCGGGAGAACGGATACTAGGGGAGGTAGAGGTGCAGGTTGCGAGCTTGACGGAAGGATACAAGACGCTGGAGAAAGAGGTCATTGAGCGCTATGAAGCTGCGGAGCAGGTGCGCCTTGCAGCGGAGCGGCTCTGTCAGACAGTCAAGATCGGACGTGCTGTCGCACGCTGTCTGATGTTGGGTCGTCAGCTAGAGGCCCAGCTGGTCGAGATTGGCGGACCTGGCGCCATTCTGGGGAAGAAGGAGGATCACAGAGCAATGGTCCGGTCGTCCAACACACTCGTTGCACTGCGGCAAGTGTTGCTAGCGTCCAGGCCAGGTGAGGAGGGCGAAGGGCTTGAGCGTGTCAATGTCATCACCACGCTAAAGAGCGACCTGCTGGGCCCGGCAGAGCGTACGCTAGTCTCCCGCTCGCAACAAATAATCAGGGAGTTTTCCATGTCCTCGCTCCTTGCGTCCAATGGCAGTTCGCAGCAGCCCAGCGCTGCGTCGACATATGCGCAAACCGAAGACACCAAGTCCCGTACTACATCGGCCCTCCTGACCCTCTACCTTTTGTCACCAGCATTGAGAAACGCAACTACAGCTACGTTTGAGCCGGCCCTCCTGGTCAGCGCTTTGCAAGAGTACCTGCAAACAGCCCTCAAGTCGTCTCTTGCGGCGCTTGCGCGGGCACTGGCAACGCTGCCGACGCTTGAACGGACGCTGCTAGAGATATCGGCGAGGTGTCAGAACATTGTTGCTTTGGAGACGCTCTTGGAATCCGTCAAGCCTCCGGCCCATCCGCTGGTCAGTAGTCCGGGGCCAGAGAAGACGGCAAGGCCGAGAAGCGCGTCACGGCTCCCTCCACACAACTTTTTGCAGCCATTGCTGTACTCGCTGGACACGTCCTCGCTGGCGTCGTACTTCTGGCGATCTCTTGCGTCTGCACTGTCACCGCGGGTTCAGGAGATCCTGAACCGCGGCGGTGTGTCAGCCAGGACGCTGCGCAGCAACAGGGACAGGGTCAGGGACGCGATCCGAGAGTGCGTAAACCGCGGCTCCCAGCTCCCGGCAAGCGCGTTGAGTCGGAGCAAGGGGACGGCAACAGGCAATTGGGAGCGCGAGGCAGCGGTCATGGTCGGGTCTGTTATTGGAGTTTTGGGGAGGTGAACGGACGCGACTTGCCCGACGCGTCTCGTGCGTGCGTGGGCATGGCCGGCTTGATGGGGGGCAGATACAGAAGCGAGGGCGAAAGAAGCAACATACTACGTAGTAGCAACGACCCCGGCAATGCGTGCCGCAATATACGTGTGTGTATGACGTTCGGATGTCCCAGAAGATGCATCATCCCATCCATGCGCACGTGCAGCCCTACCATGCCGCTGTCTTGCGGCTCGGCTTCTGCGTACGTCCACTCTGGGTCGGTATGATGCCACCGGGGCTAGGGGCACACGAACCGCGCCTCGCCTCAGGGGAGCTCCGGCGCTGTGCTGCGGACGCGCTGGGGTGCACGGAGGGGCGGGCGCGAGGAGAGAGTGAATGCTGGTGCAGGCGCAGGGCGGGCGTTGCTGGCCGTTGGTCTACTACGCACAGCGATCCTTGTGGAATAGAAGCCCGCGCCCGCACAGGCCGCACGGATCCGGCTCGAGGACCCAGTGATAGTCATGGCAGCGCTGCACATCACTTGGGGAGGGCGCGGCGGGCAGCTGCTTGTGCTCGCGCTGAGCTCCATCCGCTCTGGCAAGCGGCGAGTCGCTACGGCTGTCGCCCAGTGCTGGAAGCAAAGGCGCCGGTTCGGATTTACCTCTGTAGCGAGCCGCCTCGGTCCTGCCCTGTCGCCATTGTGTGTCCCTTGGTGCCACCTCCATCCGGCCAGCCAACGCTCTCTTGCACGCCGCTTCCGCCGCGCCCTCCCCTTCTTTCGCTCTGCCCCCAACCTTGCCTTTTCTTCTTGTACCTTGCTCTTCCCGCGCTCTGAGTCCGCCCCCCCGTCTGCGAGGCGTCACCCGCCGCCTCCCGCATCCGCCGCCGGCTGAGAAAGACGCACCCTTCCGCCAACTCTCCTGACGCCGCCTTCGAAGCTCCCTTGAGGCCAGTTGATCTGCGGGCGTTTTCGACGGCGACCGACGCGCTTCCTCTCGTTGCCTCATTGTGCGTGCACTCGCCTCCCCGCACCACCACTACTGCCCACAGGAGCCGCTGATACCTGCGACTTCAGATTTCTCATCCCTTCGCGCCCTGCCGCTGATCCCCTCACCCAACAACCACCGGTGACCCTCCGACCGCTGCCCATCATGTCTGTCAGCCAGATTGCCGGTAACCGGAACAGCACGCCCGAGGCCTCGAGCTCGTCGCTGCGCCCACCTTCATCGAGGGCCATTGGCGCCAACCACCACCTCCGCGCTTCGGCCGACATGGGCGTGTTTGCCTCGTCGCCTTTGTCTAACCGCGGAATTCGCCCCTCCTCCGAGGTCTACTTCAACAAACAGGGCATTCAGGACGATGACGCCATGGACAATGCTGCCCAGCAGTGGATCGCGGACATCGATCAGTACGAGATCACGTTGGAGGAGATGGCCGCTGCGACGCTGGACCAGGATTTCAAGGACGAGCTCAGTGCCATCGAGCAGTGGTTCCGTGTTCTCAGCGAACCTGAGAGAACCGCCGCACTTTACCAGCTGCTCCAGCAGACAACGGGCGTGCAGCAGCGCTTCTTCATTCAGGTCCTTCAGCAGATGGCCAAGAGCCACCCCATGTCTAGCGTTCTGTCGCCCGCCAATTTCGGCGAAAAAGGTGCGCATGATGATGGCTTGCGGGCTTGAAACAATCAGGAGTATTGCTAACTCATCGAAGATCCCATGTCCCAGAAGCTGAACGATGCCATGAACAGGCTCAGCGTCGAGGGCTCCCGCAACTCGGTTGGGCTCGGTCGCCCTCCGCCATCTCCTGGCGCGAAGCGCAACTCTGGTCTCGACACTAACACAATCAACTCCATGTTCCCCGATGCAGCAGCCGCGATCGCAAAGCAGAAGGCCGAGTTCACCCAGCATACCGGGGCTGCCCCCACTTCAAACCGCAACAGCGCTATTGGCGATCGCTCATCGATGGTCGCTCCTACAATCTCAGCGCCGGATGATGGCAAGAGGGACAATGCGCCACAGCCACCGTCATCCCCGTGGGGCCCTCGCAGTACTGAGAACCAGCCACCGCAGCGTCCCAAGTCTTCCTCGAGCCACCACCAGCCGATGGGTCAGTTTGTTCAGCCTCCACCCTCTGCCGGCGGACTCCGCTCCCCTCGTCCCATGACGCTCTCCGGAGACCAAAACATCCAGAGTACCACACTCAATGCTCCGGACGGCTCTGGAGCCGGCATGCCTATGCTCTCTCCATATGGAGCCAGCGGAAGCTGGGCGTCAATGGTGAACACTCCTATGATGCCCAACTTCCAGCAGCAGGCGAACCAGGCGGATATGGTGGCGAACGCAACGGCGATGAAGCTGGCCGCTCTTTCCACGGTCAACAACCGGATACAGCTGGACGATGTGCGGAAGTACCGCCGGGCTCGTTCTTCGGAGGGACAGGGCTCTGGCCACAACAATAATAACAATGGACAGCAGAACGTTCCCGCCAGCGTTGTCATGACGAATGAATTCGGGCAGGTGCTCACACCTCAGCAGGCAGCCGCTCTACAGGCTCAGCAACTCGCAGCAATGAACGGTCGCCGTTCGCGTCCCAGCTCCCCAGGCATGGCGATGCAGGGTGGTAATCTCAGTGCAATGAACTTTGCGTCTCCGCAGAACAATGGGTTCCTTTCTGCTTACGATAACAATATGGCTGCAATGAACCTTGGACAGTTTGGAATTGGCATGGGCGGTGGCCACGAGGGCTATCTCTCGGATCATTCTGAGATCAATCGAGGCCGGTCCCCCAGGGGAAGGAGGGGCAGCTCGAAGCCGCCGGAGGATCCGACCAACCCGGATCTCCTCCAGGACATTCCGGCATGGCTCAGGAGCCTACGTCTGCACAAGTACACGGACAACCTGAAGGATCTGAAGTGGACGGACCTGGTTGAACTGGATGACGAGGGTCTGGAGAAGCGTGGCGTGAACGCTCTGGGAGCTCGGAGAAAGATGCTGAAGGTGAGGTTTTCCGGAGTTGGCTTGAAGGCCATGAATCGAATTTGCTAACGTGTGGACAGGTGTTCGAGCAGGTCAGAGAGGCCAAGGCTGAGGGAAAGATAAGCCCGAGTTGAGAGCAAGGTGCTGATGTGGTGCTGGACGTCTGACTTTGGATGACTTGACAGCCTCGAATGAAGCAGTGGTGTTTGGGAAGACGAATTTGCAAGCACCGAGGGGTAGAAGGCGCATTGCCTCAAAGTTGCTTGAGCGCCGCGTTTTGGGGGCTTGAGTGGGCATGGCGCCTGAGGCATTTCCTTAGTTTGGTGGATGGGCGTTGTTTCTTCTCATCCTGCTGCACACAAGGCCAACGAAACATAAACGACGCAGACGGACGGCGCTCAGATTTTCCATGACGCTTGTTTGCACTTGTCACCTGCGAAACATAGCCCTTTTACACGGCGGTACGGCCGTGGGTAATTTCAGGGAAGTAATTGTAGAATTTGGGATGCCAGCTGGAATGGAGGGTGATGGGGAGGCCTGTCTGTGTCATATCTGCAACGACGCCAAGCAAGTAATAGGTACATGAAGCAGTGCAAGCAGTGCAAGCAGCTTGATCAGGTGCTCGTGCGCTGTCTGCTCGGGTTGGCGGCCCGAGGTCGAACAGGTGCAACGTGACATGAGACTCAAGTCAAGACCACGTGCAGAATGGCGATCTCCCGCGGGAGTGTTGGCGGGTGGAGCAAGAGGAGCGCGGGACCGTTGGTGCCGTTCGGCGGCAAAAGGGGTGGGGGAGCGTGCGGCGAAAGCGGAGATGTCCCCGCCAACTCAACAACATACACAGTACATCAACGACGACGGCGGGTGCTTCGACTGCGCTCGGCGTCGGCACGTCAACAGTGCCGTCTCACCCGCCCTCCAGGAAGTAGCCTCCCGTGCGCACCAACGGCCGGCGCTCCTTCGCGCTGCGGGGAGGAGCGAAGCGGCTGTGGCAGTCACGCTGGAGCTTCGCACCGGTCAACAACAATCTTCGTGCGGGTCCCAGCCACGAATACGAAGAGAGAACCACACAGTACAGGCCATGAGCGGTGAAGCTGGAGCGAGAGCGTGAAGCAACGGATGCCGACTGATGACTGGTAGTCTACCGGGCGACGTGCGCCAAGACGGCTTTTTGATCGAACGCCCGGCGACCGGAGAAGAGGGAAAAAAAGAAAGAAAAAACAAGAAAACCAAGATGCGTGGCTGTCTCACGAGCGGCAGGCAGAGAAACAGTCAGAGCGGAGTGGGCCATGCGGCAGGGCGAGCCAAGACCAGCATGAGGGACGGTTCAGCTTCACACGTTGCGAGCTAAAGGCCGACAAAGAACCGATGGAGCACGGGCCCAGGGCTCGTCCAGTGGTCCAGCGGTCCAGTCGTCCAAGTGCAGCAGTCGACGCCGCCGTTGCTGCCGCCGTTGCTGCCGCCGTTGCTGCCGCGCGACTGCCCCGGGTGCCGCGCTGGCCTGTCTCCCCTGAATGCGCGGCGCACCTGCAGGCGGCAGGCGGCGGGTGCTGGCGCGCATGCCCGGCAATCACCCCGTCATTTCTCTGAGCAGCGCCCCCCCCCGGCCGGACTGCAATGTGCTGGCGCTCAAACAACCCACTTTGGCCGTTTGGTCCGCTTTGTGGGTCCTCCCAGCCCAGCGCCTGCCTGCTCCACGATTGGATCCCGCTGCTCAATCTGCGCCTTGGCTGTTTGACATAGTCTCTTCAGGCTAGCGCCCTCGAGAGATCTCCCCTTGCACACTGGCCTCGACCTTCTACAAGTCGCCGCCACCGCCGTGCCTCTGAGGCCCGTCTCTCGTTCTGCCCGTCTCCACAAGGCCATTGTGCGTCTGTCTATAATCTTGCCATGTGCAAGCCGTGTCCCCCAGATGTCCCCCCAGTCCTTCCCTATTTCAATCCACACACTGCCGTCCTTTCCTTGCAACAGCACCCGGCCCCCGTCCATTCCCTCGCACCATGCCGCGCCTGGCCAGCCTTCTGGCCGCCTCACTCCTTGCTCACGGCTCGTCCGCTGCGTACACGTTAGTCCGCGACTACGCCCCGCAGCACTTCTTCAACAACTTTGGATTCTACGACGGCGACGACCCGACCCACGGCACCGTCGCTTACCAGTCCCGCCAGGATGCCGCGAGCAAGGGCCTTATCAGCACCACCGACTCCACCGTCCGCATTGGCGTCGACTCCACCAACAAGGTCGATGACGTGCGCCCGTCGGTCCGCATCTTCAGCAACGACACGTACAACCACGGCATCCTGCTCGTCGACGTCATGCACATGCCCGCCGGCTGCGGCACATGGCCTGCCTTGTGGATGCTGGGCGACGGCGACTGGCCCGCCAACGGCGAGATCGACATCCTCGAGGGCGCCAACGACCAGGCAGGCAACTACATGACCTTGCACACCAGCAGCGTCGAGGCCAACGCCTGCTCCATTGACGCCGTTCCCGCCTCGGGCGACGACGGATCCGGCGCTCTGGGCTACTCCAAGACCGACTACACGGGCACCGTCTTCTCCAGCAACTGCGCGTACGACGCCGACACGGGCGACAACACCGGCTGCCAGATCCAGGCCCCGACTGGCACCAGCGCCGTCTACGCAGGCTCGGGAAAGACGACCAATGCCGACGTCCCCACTTTCGGCCAGTCCTTGAACAGCGCCGCTGGCGGCACCGTCGCCATGCAATGGACTGACGACGGCATCAAGGTCTGGTTCTTCGGCCGCACCCAGGCCAAGCCCGCCGACGTCGCTGCCGCAATCAATTTGGGCGCTGATCCGCCAACCCTGGCTCCGAGCAACGATGCCTGGGGCAAGCCCCTGGCCCACTTCTCCGGTCCCGACTGCGATTGGGCGAAGCGCTTCAACGATATGCGCATTGTCGTCAACATCGACTTGTGCGGCGACTGGGGCGCCGCCACTTGGCCGAGCGGCTCGTGCCCGACGACCACGGGCTATGACAGCTGCGAAAACTACGTCAAAGAGAATCCGCAGGCCTTCACCGAGGCCTACTGGGAATTCGGCGCTTTCCGTTGGTTTGAGTGGCGCGATCCGGCCCCGCCTGCGACTACTACTACCGCCGCCACCAGCTCGAGCAGCAGCAGCAGTGGCGCCGTTGTTACCATCAAGACCACCAAGACCGAGACTTTCATTTCGAGCAGTAGCAGCACCAGCTCCGTTGCAAAGTCCAGCACTTCAAGCGCCCCACCCGCCGCTCCCACCGTCATTTACTCAACCATCTCCGCACCCTCGACCACCTCCCGCCCGTTCACGTACGCACCGACTACCGAAGCCGCACCGACTGTCGCAGCGACAGCATCGACTACTAGCTCCAACGCCGCCGCCTCGACGAGTTCGAGTGGTTCGTGGCCGGCCAATGAATCGGCAAAAGGCGACGCCCAGTACATGGTCAACGGCAAGTTGCCCCTTGGTGGCGCCGAAACCGTGACCGTGTCGTGGTCAATTATGACTGGCGGAGCAGTAATTTTGGCCGCAATCCTTTTATGATGAAAATAACGACTTTCTCTTCATGGATTTCTTTTTTCTCTTTCAAGTTCTTGATCCTAGCACCGTTTAGATTAGATACCCGGGGACTTACCCATTTGGCTTGTAATGGGCCTTGTATATATGTACATATCTCTGACAGTAGACATATTTGCGGTGCACCGGAAAGGCAAGGCACCGTGCAGAGTCTAGACGCCCCGGACAGCATCTCGCAAATCTAGCGATTGCGCTGTGCCGAATGGCGGAAACAAAAAGCAGCATTGAAACAGACGCAGCAGACGAGACGAGTAAAGCTCATGTATGGTGATTGACGTGATGGACCGTTCAGAGAGGTTAATTTAAGAATGGACGCCCTAACGTACAGATCGCCTAGCTAGTCATGCGTGGCGCCGCCGGGTAAAATGCAGGACGCCCCCTCCCCCATCCACAATTATCTCGTATAGGGGACTTCGGATAAAAGCTTCGCACCATCGTTCACGGCGCGCAGGAAGCCATTTCGCACATGCCAGCAACAGGGCCTCGGGCCTTCGGCGTGCGATCTGGGGTGTGGTATTGAAAACAAGATTGAGGGATCAATGCTTCAGGTTTGAGATGGGACGACACCTCGACTGCTCTGCATGGGTGCTGGGTGCACGGGCAGTGTGTTCGGCAGATGAAAGGCAGGCCTGGATGAAGATCGCCAAGCGTGCGGCGGCTTCTTACTGGTACAATGAGTGGCAGCGGAGGTCGCCCTTCCGTGACCTCGATAGACTCCGCGTACGTTTTTCAAGCAAATATCCGAACGTAGACCTCGGTCTTTCATGTCTCAATTCTTCGAGGCAGCAACAAGTAGCGCTCTTTGCACATGAAAACAGGGGCTGCTAAACAACTGTCAAGGTAACCCTTGTCGAAGCATGGGAAGCTTTTCACTCTTCATCCAGACCCTGAGCTGTGATACTTATCTCAACATAACCATCTGTTTTGACAATCCTGGTATCCTATTCCGTTCCACTTACCACCAGCCTCGACCTACCGTCGCAATGGCAGGCCCCAATCTCTAATTTCCCCGCGGAAAAGCGTAAGACCAACCGTTCTTCCAGATTCGACTCGTACCTTCTCATGACACACCCAGACTCGATATCTCACCCTGTTCCTCCTTGCGCTCTGAGCCGAGAATGTAGCTGGCCCTCCAGCGCATCTTGACAGCCGCACCCTGTCCGCGTTGGACGCCATGCAGATGGATGTTCTGCGTGATGCCATTCTGCTGGTTGGGCTGCAATAGCCTGCCAGACTGGGGCTCCAGCTTCAAAGTATAGCCCTGTATGTGTGTCAGTCTCTGGACGCTCGGTTCCTCTATTGAGCGACGCGCTTACCCTTGTGACGGCTAGCTGCATTGTAAGCTCAGAAACGGGTGTGGGCATGTTATTTGATATGGCCGCATGGATGTGGATGACATCATCACTTTGACGCGACACGGTGAAATCAGTTCTTATGCTGGTGTTAATAACGGTTTGCGTCGACGGTTGGTCCGGCAATGCCGAGGCAAAGTTCCACTCGTCGTCATCATTAACTGCGGGTGCTGGTGCCGGAGCAGCGGGAGGTGGGGTTGAAGTGCCTCCGAGGCCGACGAGAGCACTGGACGGGGATGCTGCGGGCTTAACGGATTGCTGGAACTGGAAGGGGGATGCAGTCCGGGGGGATGCGAGAGCAGCAAAAGGGTCTGCAGCTTTCTGCGGCGGTTGCTGAGGGGGCGGCGAAAACATCGAAGTTTGCTGGGGCGGAGTCGGTTGTGGAGCCAAGGAAGGACCGCCGAGTCCGGCAAAGGCGTTGTAATTCGGCTGTGGGGAAGTCGGTTGGGACGCTGGAGGGCCGCCTCCGAGGAGGTTTTGCACAGGAGTCTGTGAGGTCGGCTGCAGCTGGAAGGCTGGTGATCACCGTTAGCATACCCATAAAAATGCAAGCTGAGGCTTGCGTACCAGCCCCGTTTGTGGCGCCGAGAGAAATGCCTCCACCTTGGAAGCTGTCGTTGCCGCCCAGGTTCAGGCCAAGTAGGTCATCCTCCAACGCGTTCCCCTTTGGTGCGGCAGCGCTCGAACTGGCACTCGGTTGGCCGGCGGGAGCTGTTGCTTCGTCGGGGCCGCCAAAGTCGATCAGAGACAGTTCGTTGTCCGGGCCCTTCTTGACACCGGCCCCGCTCACGCCCAGCGTACCCTTGGGGATCTTGGCGGCGCCCTCGACGTCGCCCTTCTTGATGAGTTTGTATCGCTCCAGAGTCCGGTGTATGCTGTCGTTGATTTCCAGCAGCTTGGCCACAGCCTCGTGATCGTCCGACTCTTCCTCGCACATTTTTTGAATTTTCGGGTGGGCGCTTGCCAAAGCATTGGCGAGCTCCTGCATGCGGTCAGCTTTCACAACCGCCTCCCAAGAGAGCGGCCCGCCCGGGCGTACCTCGAAAACGTCGCCCTCTTTGATCTGGTCCCCGGCCTGGTGCTTCTGGAGCATGTCCTCGAGCAGCTTGGCCTTCTGCTGTATCTTGCCAACCTCTTCCGCCGCTTTCGCTCTGTAATCCGTCTTGTTCCGGGTGTCGAAGCCAGCCATGACCTTCATCAGCCGGTTGGCTTCCTGCAAATCGTGGGGGGTGCCGCGCCTGATGAGTTCCTGGAGCTTGGCGGACTGGGCCTCGCGCTCCTCCTGTTCCATCTCTTCGGCGGACCTCAGGTTCTGCAGGCCGGGTCAGTGGGGCGCTCTTACGGACAGCGCAGCCAGATACGTACATCGCTGGGGTTCAAGACCGCAGCATCCTCGCGCCTGATGGCAGGGAAAGTGTAGCCCTTGTAGCTGAGCAGACGGTGCATGTCGCGGATGAAGCCTAGGTCCTCCTTGTAGCGCGAGGTCATGCAAATTGTAGAGCGCCATTCCTCGATCAGCTCGAGGATGCGGTTCTGGACGCGCGACGAGTGGACGGGGGGTCGCTCGGGGAAGCGGCGGACAAGCTCGTTGAGGAACTCTTTGGTGCTGATCTGCAGGTGGAAGGGATAGCCGCAGTTCTTGACGCAGATGTCCAGCAGATTGAGGGCAAGCAGCGAGACGTTCGGGTTGCGCGAGTTGACGAATTTGACGATTTCCATGGCGGCCTCGCGCGGGGCGCTGCCCTTTTTCTGGTTGACCAGCTCGGCGATCTCGATATTGAGGGCCAGGTTGGGCTCGAAGTTCTGCGGGTCGCAGGCGTTCATGATGTAGCGTTGCAATGGGGTCATGGTCGGCTCAGCGAAGCCGCCGAAGCGGTCGCGGGCCGCCATCCGGGCTGAGGTAGCCTCCACGGTGGGCAGGGTGCGAGAGCGCGAGAGCGCGGAGAGAGCGGAGGGAGCGGAGGGAGCGGAGGGAGCGGAATTGAGCGTCGGTCGTGAGAGCGGAGGCGCGCGGGGCGTGGAAGGCGAGGCAGGAGCGGTGATGTTATTAGCCAGAAGCTGGGCGAGTTCAGGCCACGCTCCGGGATGACGGCTTCCAGCACAGTGGGGGTTGGGGCAACAGGGGTGTCCGAGCTCGCCTTTTTGAATCCCGCGTCATCTCACTTTTTGCCCGCAACAAGCAACCGCACAGCTGCTGCCCACGCCCCGCCCGCACAGCCCTGCATCATCCGCCGGTGCACACACGCACCAGTCCCTGGGTCCGACCGACATTGCGAGCATGGTGCGCCACAAGAAGGACGGCTTTGGAGGCCGCGGAGGTCGCGGCGGCCGCGGTGGCGGCAAGAAATACAGCAACCCGCCTCGCCAACGGGGCCCACGCGACACCGAGGACGGCGGCGAAGAGGAGGGCGAGCGCGTGGCCAAGAGACCGTCCTTCAAGGCTGCCGCATGGGATCTGGGGCACTGCGACGCCAAGCGGTGCTCCGGCAAGCGCCTCATGCGTCTCGGCATGATGCGCGAGCTGCACATCGGCCAGAAGTTTGCCGGCGTCGTCGTGTCGCCAAAGGCCAAGAAGACCGTTTCCCCCCAAGACCGCGAGCTGTGCGAGCAGTACGGTGCCGCAGTCGTCGAGGCCTCGTGGAACAGGATCGACGAAGTGCCCTTCTCGCGCATTGGCGGCAAGTGCGAGCGCCTACTACCATACCTAGTCGCTGCGAACCCCACCAACTATGGACGGCCGTGGCGACTGAACTGTGTCGAGGCACTTGCCGCTTGCTACGCTATCTGTGGGCACCTCGAATGGGCTGAGGAAATACTCGCATCCTTCTCCTACGGCGACGCTTTTCTTGAAATGAATGCCGCATTGTTGAAGCGCTACGCTGCCTGCTCAACCGAAGAGGAGGTTTTGAAGGCCGAGCAGGCTTGGCTGGATAAGATCGAGAGGGAATACAACACAAGCAGAGACGACAAAGCAGCGCTAGGAGAGGGTGATGCTTGGGAGGGTGGCAACATGAACAGACGCGTCCCGGACGACTCGGATGACGAAGACGAAGAAAAAGAGGCTGGGGACGAGGACGAGGACGAGGACGAGGAGGAACGTGACCCGTACGGCTTACCACCCGAGGAGTCTGATGACGAAGAGGAAATGGCAGAGCTACGCCGGCGCGTGCTGGCCTCGAAACCCTTCGCCAATCCCGAACCGGAGGCGAAGAAGGAGGCTGAGACGAGATCCGAAGTCCCACCAGTGTTGCAAGAAGACTCCGATGCAGAATCAGGGTCAGACATCGCGGGTATGGACGATGAGTTCGACAACATCATCAACGCCACACCTGTTACGGATAGGACTGGTATAACGGCGAAGCAGAGACTCAAGTCTCAGGACACCACCGTAGTAAGTGCGAGCTTCTCAAGGGCCAGCCTTAGCGCCCCGAAAAAGTGGTAGGACGAAGTGGTATTGCTTCGTATGAGGTTAAATGAAAAGGGTATCTCGCCCACCCAGAGTGCTTGGGCCCGCTTCCTAGAACTATAAAACGTGTGCGCTCGTGATATGGTTGCATGCCCGCTTCTACATGCGCAAGCAACTAGTCTCATCGTGAGCTCTCTTGCATTCGAGCCCACAAACCCTTGCAGCGCACTTGAAGCATTTTATGCGGCCCCAATAGCCACATATCTCACAAAATTGCCGGCGTGGGGGGCCTTCAGGGTTGGGTGGCGCTGCTCTCGCAGCACCATACGGCAACGGAGGGTGCGCAAGCAGAGCTTGGATCTCCTGGACTGAGGGAGCCGCAGGCGCCACTGAGCAAAGCAACGGAGCATCCTCCTCCATCGGCGGTGCATCTGTGAGCTCGGCTTCTGCTGCCGATTGGGCGGCTGGAGACTGGGCGGCAACGCTGCCAGTCGAAAGGGCGGATTGTGCAGTTGGAGTGGCGGGACTCGAAGAGACAGCAGTGGATCCGCTACGTTTCGTTCGTGATGCCAGTGTCTTCTTCGAGCGACTGCTCTGCGTGCCCGAGGGAGCTGCTGAGGAGCTGGGCGCCGGGCTTGCCGCCGCCGTCTGTACAGCCGACGACTGTCCAGCAGCATGGCGCTGGGCACTCAACGCCTCTTCATCCGCCAGCCAATGCGCAAATGTACGGCCGCTCTGCAGGATCTTGCGGACGGCAGGCGTCATCTTCCGGCCGGCCTTTTCTCGCGGAGTAGAGGCTCGCTCCTTGGTTCTCGCTGGCAGCGCCACCTCCTTCTGATTCTCCCGGTCGAGCTCGGCAATGCGCTTATGTAGCTGCGTTTGCTGGCGGCCGGTAAGGTCGGGTGCGCCAGCGAGGTCCTGGCGAGCAGTGCGTTTGCGGGCGGTCGGGTTGATGGCAACTTTGCTCGGGTCGTAGCCAGTATCGGGCACATATGCCCAGCCGGGTGCCGGTGCGGCACCGCTGGTGATGGGGATGACTTCGATGTGTGGCATCTTGGCGGGAGGGAGCTGTTGGCCAACGGTGCAGGTTGTTGTTCGGCATGAATCGAAGACTCGCAGTCGGCTCGCTTACTTACTTGGTTTTTTAGCATCCGCAACTCCCGTTTCGACCGCGCCCGCCTCAGCCCCGGTTTGGGCCGATTGGCAAGAGCTTCAAGCACAGTGGATGCAGAAAAGGATTGGGCTACGTTGATGCTTCGTGTGGGCAGTCGAAGCAGACATCCCGACGTAAATGTAGGTTTAATAATTAGCAGCACTGCTTCACGGGCAGTCGAAGCAAACATCCCGACGTAAATGTAGGTTTAAGCCAATGAAATATCTCGAGCATGGGAAGTTGCAGGCACGAGCGTCATCTTGTCATGTGGCTAGGTACCTAGACCCAGTCGCCCGCGTGCGTGGAAATTCGCTGCGAATTGCGCCAACGGAAAGCGCTCGCTACCCGTTTCGGAAGGCGGCATTGCCCGATCCTGCCAGGTCGTTGGTACACAGGGTCCAGCATGTGCCGTCTTCGTCAGGTCGTATGCAGGGTCCAGCACATGCCATCTTCGCCTTCAGATTTCTTCTGTGCCCATAAAAACACCACCACTCCTCTTCCTCCGCGCGCTCACGCACACTACGGGCGATTCTTACACGAAATATCGTGTAAAATACACGATATTTCGTGTATTTTGTCGTTTTACACGATATATCGTGTATTTTACACGAAAACGTGTGGATAGGGTCGGGCAATTTTAGCGAGACACGATATATCGTGTATTTTACACGATATTTTTCTATACACGATATATCGTGTAAAATACACGATATTTAGTGTAAAAAATATATCTTCTAAAATACACGATATATCGTGTAAAATACACGTAGAAGACCTTTTAAAAAAATTTAAAAATTTCTAAGGTTTTTTCGAAAATTTTTTAAAAGTATACTAAATATTATTAGTTAGCGAATACTTGCGCGTGTACTAAAATACCTAATAGATAGTTTAGATAGCCGTGTTATAAAATTAATTATTATTCTTCTCTTATGTAAGTGTCTATGTTCGAATCTCGCTACGAGATTTCTACCTAAAATCGTCTCATTTTTTTTCTCTAAAATATCGTGTATTTTACACGATATATCGTGTATTTTACAATTGCTGGAGTGTAAAATACACGCTCAGACACAGCGAAACGACAGTGTAAAATACACGATATATCGTGTAAATTTACACGATATATCGTGTAAGGATCGCCCGTAGTGGCACAGTCTGCACGCTCACCCAGATCCCGCGCTCTCACCCAAATCCCGCGCTCTCACCCAGATCCCGCGCTCTCACCCAAATCCTGCGCTCTCACCCAAATCCCACGCTCTCACCCAGGTGTAGCAAAAGAAGTGAACCGTCAGTGAGTAGAGACCCATTGCAAACATGTCTGAAGGACCATTCCACTGAAACCTGAACCAGGTATGCCGCCGAAGAAAGCCGGCGACGTCGAAAGAAAAAAGACGGCCTCGGGACAAGCGGAGAATGACGTGATCGAGGACATCACAAACACGTTTGAAGATGGAGATGGAGAGAGGCTACCAAGTACCGCCGAAGAGAGAGCCCAGGCCCAAGTCAAGGCCTTCCTCTCTGGGGCCTCAGGCCTCTCAGCCCTCCGCAAATTCTCCATGCCAGCAGACCTGTTCCCCCCGGGCTCCAAGAGAGCCGCCATGCTCAAGGAATACAACAGTCAAGACGTCTACAGCGCCGAAGGTCTGCTAGAATGGCAAATCGACACCATTGACCATGTCCTGACGCTCGACGACAGCCTCCCGGTGCAATGCAACGCCAGTGGTCGTCCGGGGTCTCGTCTGGTCATTTCTAAGAAAGACAAGAAGAAGGGTACGCCCAGAAAGACCTTGACGCTGTCAGAGCAACTACGGGATGAAATTGCAGCTGCTGAACGCAAGACAAGCGCAGCAATGCTGCTATCCGACGTAAGTACTTTCCCGCAGTCTCATCTTTCTTTTCTTGTTTCCCATACCTGCTCTGTTCCGAAACATAACATCAGCCGCTGACTCTGGGATTTTCAGGATGATGAGTTTGATGTTCAGCGTCATTTTCAGGTCGCAGCAGCATTCGCAGGTTCCGACTCACAAACAGGGTTGAACATCGAAGACAGTAGGCTCCTGCTGGGCATGACATCTACCGCCAAACACAGCCATGACGCGTCGCTCGACATGTGTTCGACAACAACCCTCGACATCCCCAGCTGGAAGTTCCTGGACCTTCAGGTCACGGGTGCAGCTTGGATGCTGCAACATTCGTTGGGGTACGTACCTAACTATGTCCTTCCCAGTCAGGAGGCTGCAGCAAAGGAGGTCTACGACAGTCTTCGGTCGCTCCCAAGCTACGGGGGCGTCCTCGCGGATGTGACGGGAACTGGGAAGACCTCTACGGCTGGCCTTTTCATGACAGCTTTCGCCAAGCACATGGCGGAAACAACCGATGGTAACCACCGACCCATTCTATTACTCACGATGGGGAGTTATTTGTTCGACCAATGGTCTAGCTTTCTCTACCAATACTTCCCGGGCCTCGACCTCATCCTAGGTCATGGCGATAAGCCAGGGCCTGGTCCTCTCCGAGGACAATGGGTATCCAAAGCAGCTATGCAAGCCGCGCCGCTTGAGCTCTCGGAATGGCCCCCAAATCTGAGGCATGTTTTCGACCAGTCGGACCCTCGAGCATCACGTACCGTACTTCTTGTCCCTTATGACACGTGGGCGGTACGAAGCCTGGATAAGGAGTGGGTACCAGTGACCGACGACAACAAGCACAAAGCTGTGTTCGTACCCAAGTTCGAAGAAGAACGCGTGGCCGTTTATGAGAGCCGATACACTGGCGTTTTCTCTGCCGTTATTGCGGATGAAGGTCACAAACTCAGGCACGAGGATACTCTCGTACACCGCTCTGTCAAGTTCCTGGAATCGCCGATCCATTGGTTCTTGACAGCCACGCCGCAGCTCAATGATGCATCCGTGGGTTACCCATCCCCTCCATTCAAACAAGTTTGAAGAGTAGAAACACTGACATCTACCACAGGATATCGTAGGCTTGTTGGCTCTCCTCTGGCCGAAGGTCAAGAAAACCATCAGTCAAGATGCCACAGGTGGGTGATCACCTTTCCCATCTTCTTCTCCTATTGTCCGCCAATTTCTGCGTCTTTCTGACTGACCCGTGTCGCGTAGATGAGCAAGCGAAATGGCTGGATGCCCAAGAAGATGCGCAGAGACCATGGGAGATTTTCGACGCTGTGCAAGAGCTTGAGCCTTCCAATAAGCTCCGCAACATCGTCATGGACCCCAACAGGTGCGTCGCATTGCGAGCAGCTGGCCTTTGAGCCATCGAGACTATTGCAGTGATTCGAATCTGCAGTACTGACACTGGACCAGGGTTTGGCCGTTGCTGCGCCAGGATACCGCGACAATAAGTCGCTACTTTACCTACATCCGCGAGAGGATATTTTGTCAGCGCTCTACGGCCTCAAGTATACCATGGACGAGGGAAGAGGGCTCCCGCATGCAATCCTTAGGCGGACTCATGCCCGAGCACAAGGTGACGACCGTTGAAGTTTCCTACAACAGCAGCGAAGCCGGTGAAGCACAGTATCTACACCGTCTCTTCGCTCGGTAAGGTTCCCATGAAAATTCACAAATAAGTTTGAAGCTGACCGAGTCCATGTAGCGAGTATGCTGAGGCCCTCGAAACGCCAGTGCTTAACAAAACCAAGAAGTCTAGAGCAAGAGACAGCGACAATCGCTTTCCTCCAATTGTTCGCGCAGTCCGCCGATTGAATATTGTGGCATCTTCTACTCTGGTAAGCCGTTTGGACCTCTCAATGAGCAACAAGGGTTTCGATACGCTGGTCGAAGATATGCGAGGGTATCGGTCAAAAGATCACGACATAGACTGGTTCATTCGGGAGACGAGGAGACCTGGGGATATTACCCCCATCACCACCCGCAGAGAGCGCCTCAAATACCTTTGTTGGGGGTCCCCAAAGCTTCGCTTGCTGCTTCGCCAGGTACGCGACGTGGTATTGCACCAAAAATCGAAGTTGCTGGTTACCGAAGATACGCCAATCGTGGCGTGGTTTTTCGAGCTCGTCCTTCAGTTCTTCCACGTCAAGACATATGTCTTGCATTCAGACCTGTCTAGCAATGACAGGAGAGAGTTGATACAGAATTTCAACTCCAAGGAGAGCGACCTATCATGCCTTATCATAATGTACGGCGTGCCGAGCCTTGGAATAAACATGCACGGCGCTGCACACCATGCCTTCGTCGCCACTGGGGCCATCAATGCCGGCATGGAGATGCAGGCCTGGGGCCGACTTGTCCGAGTAAGTAGAAAGCCTCACTCACTCTACAGCAGCTTCACCGCCCCTTCGCCCCCAACAAAGCAGCAGATAAATACCTTCAAACGAGATTGAAACTTACCGTACCCTAGATTTCCCAGAAACATCAAGTCAACATCGTGAGGTGCCAAACAGCAAACAGCCATGACCAGTACCGCGATTCGCAGCAGCTGTACAACCAAAAGCTAATCCTCGCTACGGCTTCATACTCTACAGAAATGCGGGAGCTATTGGTAACGCTACTGAACGAGGGAAATGCGGAGGTCAAAGCATTGCACAAGTCACCCATCGCAGAGCTCTTGCGTCGCGGGGAGGAACAGCTGCGCCTTTTCGGCGAGGAAGATCAGACTACCTCGAATGATATGGAGTGTGAAGAGAGTGGCCAGCTGCTGGCAAAAACCGCCAAGGACAATTTCGACGTGGCTCCCAACCGAATGGGTGGTAAGACGGTCGCATCGTTCCGCCAAGAGATCAGAAAGATGAACAGCACGGAGAGGGAAAAACTCGACCAAAGAATCATGAAATTCGAGCTCATGCTGCGTCTTGACCCAGACAGGGTCTACCACCCCGTTGACCTGGAAGACATGGATATCCACGATAGGGCCCTCGTCTTACTTCATAGAGCCAGATTCGGGCAAGCCCACGAAAACGTGCGGCTTACGCCGCATATTCACTATGACGCACTTCACCCGAACCTGGCGGGTGTGATTGAGGGCCGCGTCTTGGATTTCGAGCACGGCCTTCTAGAGGCGCAGAGGCAGCGCAGGTGAGCTTACAAACGAGTTTGACGCAGGAGCATCATACTAATTAGTTATTCAGGCCGAGTAGAGCCGAGGCTTCCGCCAGCCGAGTCCCTCCTACCCCACGGCCATCGGGCTCTGCCGAAAAGTAAGAGCGATTTCCACCCTGCTCAATCCCCTACCCAGGACAGACTATCACTGACATGAGAAACGCCCGCAGACGGCCCGCGGATGACTCTCAACCCGTCTCCGGCTTTTCTAGCCCTTCTGGTGCAAAGAAAGCCCGTACGTAACCGCCTTCGCAAGTGAAGCTAGCGTTCAAGACGCCGTTACCCAGGCTTGGGTCAAGAGGAGATCTCGAATCGTGTACCAAGAAACAGATAATCAATGCCATTCACGCCATCGGGATCACCAACCCGGACCCTGCCGGCGTGCGCCCGACGAAAGGTAGCCTGATCGACCGAGTCATCTTGAGAATATGATGAGGTTCTATGACGAGAGCACTTCGAAGTCGTTTCTATAAACGATTCTCTTCCAACTCAGGATAGTTCACTCCAAAACCGCACCAAGGCTACCCTCTTGGTGCTTTGGAAGGCCTACACTGAACTGGTGGAATACCCATGAGTGATTACAAACTCGTTGGGAAGTTCATGGCGGTGGATTGCGACCTGGTAGAGGTTTAGCAAGGTGGAGTGCTGCTTCCTCACACAGCCCTGGGAGCCAATTGACTTTCAGTTAAAAAGTGCTTTTTGATTCAGGTGTTCGGAAAAGGTCTTGCCGGGTACTTTTTCTGGCTTAGAAGGATGATTGAGCCATGGGTACGTAGCTTGCTTAAACATTCGATACTCCTTTCTCTCTCTCTCTCTCTCTCTCTCTCTCTCTCTCTCTTGTGTAGAAGCCATTTCCACAACGGCTTGGCTGGAGTTTCCGACTCTGCCCGCTTGCCCTTCAGCATCGCCTTGCCGGGCTCCTCCATCTGCTTGTTGGAGTCACGCTTAGCCTGCAATATGGCCTTGATCATGCTTAAAACCTTAGAGTTTGTCATTCTATGCCCATTAATGCTCGCCATATGCGCCGACATCAAATCCTATTTATAACATATGCTTTTGCACCCTTTAGCTGGACAAGGCCCCTTGGCGAACTTTTGTTGCTCAGGACGTTAAGAGATGAAGCAGACATCCGGATGTAAATGTAAGGATTAATAGTACACAAATGCAACTAGATACCGGATTTTCCTACCTATGTAGATAAATTTAAACAGTATTACTTTATAAGGAGGTGAAGCAAACATCCGGATGTAAATGTAAGGATTAAAACTGTACAAATGCATCTAGATACCGGATTCCGCTGCCCATATGGTTGTATTAGTTTCTTTCGAACTTTGTACATGCAGTCGTCACGGATGATTACTTCACTCTTGCATGCACATAGAGAAGCTTCATTAGAAACCCTTCATTCAACTGCCATGATATACCAGTAAAGTGAAACTACTGTTCCGAATCGCCTATGGTTCAACATACACAAATGTTACAACCGCGAAAAAAAAAATCCACCACACGCTACCCTCAACTATTGATCTATACCTCGGGAGACTTGGCCATGGTGTTTAGCGCGCTGCCGGTCTTGAACCATTCGATCTTACCATCGTTCAAACTGTGCGACAACTCAATGTCGATGGTCTTGTCGCACATGATTCACTCTTGCACGCATGGAAAATTTGTTACGACATTGTCATTCGGCCGCCATGATATACCAGTAAATGAAAATACCGATTCCCTTAAAGTACACTGAAACTCTGCAAAGAAACATCATCGAACTTCCATCATATACCAGTGAAGTCAAAGAACCACTACTACTACTCTATGCCTTGGAAGACTTGGCCATGGTGTTCAGCGCGCTACCGTTCTTGAACCACTCAATCTGACCCTCGTTGAAAGTGTGCGACAGCTCAACGTCAAAGGTCTTGTCGCCGTTGGCCGGGTGAACACGGAGAGTCATGGGCTTGCCGACGGCAAGCTGAGTGCACAGAAGGTCGACCTTGTCATCGGGCTGGATCTTGTCGTAATCCTCGGGGTTGGAGAAGGTAAGAGGGAGCATTCCCTGCTTCTTCAAGTTGGTCTCGTGCTGCGCAAACTTGGTTAGCATGCATTTCCAACAGGGGGAAGGGCAACGAGGAATGCGTACAATACGGGCGAAGGACTTGGTGATGATGGCAAGACCACCAAGGTGCCTGGGCTCGAGAGCGGCGTGCTCGCGGGAAGAGCCCTCGCCGTAGTTCCAGTCGCCGATAACGACCCACTTGATGCCCTTCTTCTTGTAGTCGCGGGCAACGTCGGGAACGGCGCCGAAGGAGCTGTCAGTCTGGTTCTTGATGTTGTTCGCCTTGCCGTTCGCAGAGTTGACGGCGCCGATAAGCATGTTGTTCGAGATGTTGTCCAGATGTCCGCGGTACTTCAGCCAGGGGCCGGCCATAGAGATGTGGTCAGTAGTAGTCTTGCCTTGAGCCTTGATAAGAATCGGGAGGTTCTCCGCATCCTTGCCGTCCCAGGGCTGGAACGGCTCGAGAATCTGCAAGCGGTCGCTGGTCGGAGAAACCGCAACGCTCACGCTCGAGCGGTCGGCCGGCGGAGCCTGGTAAGTGTTGCGACCGGGGTCAAAACCTTGAGTGGGCAGACCGTCGCCGTGGGGCTCCTTCAGCTTGAACTCCTTGCCGTCCGCGCCCTTCAGAGTGTCGGTGAGGGGGTTGAAGTTGAGAGTACCGGCGATCGTGAGCGCGACGACAAGGTCGGGCGACGTGACGAAGGCGTGCGTTGCCGGATTGGCGTCGTTGCGGCCCGTGAAGTTACGGTTGTACGACGAGATAATGCTGTTACGTTCGCCCTTGACGGTGTCTTTCCTGTCCCATTGCCCTTCATTCAAAAAAGTCAGCAGATGTAATCGGGGACAGGATGAGTATCTAGGTTCTTCTTGGACGACTCGCAAGCTCTGGTGTGGTACACCTCGGAAGCCTTCTCTGGACCTGCAGTCCTCTTGGGGAGTGGAAGGCTTCAAGGTCCTCGGGCCTTTGCTTTGCCTCGTATGCCCGCTGCCTTTCAAGTCGCTTGTTGCGGACGGCCTCGGCATCTGCGAGTTGCTGCTTCTGCATCTTGACGCGCTGCTTCTCGAGCTCTTCGGCCTTGCGCTTGCGCTTGTTCTCCTCGGCAGCTTGCTCTCGCTTTTGACGCCTCGCACGCGTGGCTTCGGGTGGCGGCGGGTGAAAGTGGGGGATGGGGGAAGGGGAAGGTGCAATCAAGGAAAATGGAAGGTATTACCCTGCGCACACCAATGTTAGCTCTAAGTCACGTGTGCAGGATTCAAGCAATTTTGAAGGCTCAGTAAGATAGCGCTCATGAGCAGGCTTCAAACAGATTGAAAGTTCAGGAAAGCAGAGGTAGAGCTGTACTCACAATGCATGGCCCACAGGCGTTGGCTGGTACCGACTTCGTTAGCGACAAACCCATGCAAGATTTTCATCCGGGACTCACCCAAAACCATTCCTCCAAACTCCTCAAAGGTCTTCAGCTGTCCATCGCGCTCTATAGTAGCGCGGATCTGTTCCGAACCGGGAGTGATCGTGAACAGGGCCTTGGCCTTGACGCCGTGCGCCATGGCATCACGGGCAATGTTCGCGGCTCGGCTCATGTCCTGCAAAGGTTAGCTCAAGCTAGGCTCGTAGCATTGTGTGGGACTTTACCTCATAGGACGAGTTCGTGCAGGAACCGATCAGACCGACCTTGAGGTCATCCGGCCAGCCGTTCTCCTTGACGGCATCCTTGAACTTGCTGATAGGAGTCGCCAGATCGGGAGTGAAGGGGCCGTTGATGTGGGGCTCCAGCTCGGAGAGGTTGATCTCGATGAGCTGGTCGTACTCGGCACCCTCGTCCTCGCGCAGATCCTTGGCATACGTTCTCGCGAAGTCACCGATGTCCTTGCGCTTAGTAGCAGCCAGGTAGTCGTACATGCGGTCGTTGAAGGGGAAAATAGACGTGGTGGCACCAATCTCAGCACCCATGTTGCAGATGGTACCCATACCAGTGCAAGAGAGTGAGTCGGTTCCGGGACCGTGGTACTCAATGATGGCACCAGTACCACCCTTGACGGTAAGGATGCCAGCGACCTTCAAGATGATGTCTGCGAGTCGTCAGCTCATTCTTGGTCGTCAATTGGAGCACCGAGAGGTGCCTGCAAGTCCTGCCCTCCCGTGCGGGGCCGGTCGAGACGTGTGGGGCAAGGACGGTTGCAAAACAAAGGGGAGTGGAGATCAATTGACTTACCCTTGGGAGAAGTCCAGCCAGACATCTGGCCGGTGAGCTTGACACCAATGACCTTGGGGGCCTTGAGCTCCCAGGGGAGGTTGGCCATGACGTCGACGGCATCAGCACCACCAACACCAATGGCGGCCATTCCCAGACCACCCGCGTTGGGGGTGTGCGAGTCGGTGCCAATCATCAAACCACCGGGGAACGCGTAGTTCTCAAGGACAATCTGGTGAATGATACCAGAGCCGGGCCTCCAGAAGCCAATGTTGTACTTGGCGCACGAAGTCGACAGGAAGTCGTAGACCTCTTTGTTGATGTCCGTGGCGCGCTCAAGATCCTTCTCGCCGCCAACCTGCGCCTCAATCAAGTGGTCGCAGTGGACGGTGGTGGGCGTGGCCACAGAGGGCATGCCGGCGGACATGAACTGCAGAATGGCCATCTGGGCGGTGGCATCCTGGCAAGCAACACGATCCGGCCTCAGCTTCAGGTATGACTTTCCACGCTCGATCTCCTGGTTATGGGGATCGTCGAGATGAGAGTAGATGATCTTTTCGGCGTAGGTGAGGGGCTTGTTCAGGCGGCCGCGCACGATGGACAGGTTCTCCGCCATCTTGGCGTAGTTGATGAAGTTGCCATCCTCGTGGATGTTCTGGCGGACCTTGCGGCTGAGGGGAGCTTCGCTGACGGTGGCCAGGCCGCGGCGGGCCAGCCGCGAGAAGCGCTGCATGCTGGGCGGCGATGAAGAAGAGAGTGAGGGGAGAGGGATGGTGGTGGAGAGGAAGAAGTGTAGAAGTGGGCGGTGATGGAGGACAGCTCTTTGAGATCGCTCCGCCCCGGCGAGGAGAAGGCCGGCCAATCAGCCGCGCGCATTTTTAACAGCAGCCAACGTCCATGCCCGGCCGCTCTGCCGAGGGATTGAGGTCATCCTTTCGTTCCATTGGTCCGCACGTGCAGCCCGCACTCGACCCGACGACCGCGCCGAAGGAGCTTTGACACCGAGAAAAAATCTGCGAGGTCTGCAGGTCTGCGCTTCGACAAGCGTGCCGCATGTGGCAGGTCCACCGGGCCGCACCCTCGCTGGCCCGGCGAATGCAACCTGGGCTCGCATCGCCCGCCCGGGGTAGGAGTGGGAGCACATCGCTGCGCCTGCGAGCGCGCTGCCACTGTGCCACCGCCACAGGCCAGCGTCGCGCTGCATGGGCGGCTGTGACGGCCTGCCGTTCCGCGCTGGCGGCATTTGCACATGACGCGGCGCGGCCCAGCTCGGAGGACCGGCCACACCGCCCGGGCGCGGTGCCCAAATTTTGTACCTACCGGCCGGCGTTCTTGTCTTGCTCGCGATAACGCAAGCACTGCAACGCCAGACGCAGCTCACACCCGCGCTGATATCTGCCGCCGCCGCTATCCGCACGTCTGCATCCATCGCCATGCCCGCCATCCGGGGAGCGCAGTCCAAGAAGAAGACGCGCCGCTACACGCGCGACGTCGACCAGGTCTACGCCGACCTACGCTCTGAGCGCCACCTCCAACTCTACAAGGAAACAAAGGCGGAGGAGGACCTGCCTGCCCTTGGCCAGTTCTACTGCAAGGAATGCGCGAAATGGTTTGAGAGCAACGACAATCTCACCTCGCACCAGCGTGGCAAGCCTCACAAGCGGAGGTGAGTTCTTGCAGCACACCCGGGGTTTGGGCGGTTGAACCCAGTCGCCTGCACAGCGTGCCGGAAGAAGCAGCTGGACTCGTCTGCAGGAGAGGAGCATTTCTTTCCGAGGGCTTCAGCTCCGACGCAGTTGATCTCGCAGCAAAAGCCTTTATTTTTCCTTGGTCAATTCCGAACTTGCGACGGATCGAAGTGTCGGCTCTTCCGCAACGCTTGAGTCATTCGTCTCCGCCCTCCTGTACACTCTTCTCTGGCAAGCGTGGTTGCAGTGTTCCAATTTCTCCAGAGCAAGGCTGCCCGGAGTAGGCGTTGGCACTAGCACTGACATATATTCGCCATTCTAGGTTGCGGCAGCTGCGCGAGGAGCCACACACTTCGAAGGAGTCCGAAGCAGCCGTGGGGCTACGTACGGACAATGGGACAAGGAGCAACGGGACAGACAGGACTGGCTTGACGGGCGCTGTTGAGGGCATGATGGTGGAGGAGACGGTTGCTTGAGGCAGTGTACAAAAGTCGGGCTACGAGAAGCGGGTCATTGGAGTGGCAGGCATTCAGTCGGCGTTCATTCGGTTATGCTCGGGGAAACGAGAGCGCCCATGGCTACGGGCTCAGGGGAATGTGGAGTTGCGGGAAACGGGATCTGTCGGCGCGTTGTCGTGTTCGCTGGCCGAGAAGTTTGTGATATTCGCGCTGTCCGATTGGACGCGGAAGCCGTATGACGGCGTGGCTGCGTAGCTGGTTGCGGTGTGGGTAGTGATGTGCCCGCAAGGGTCCGCAAGAGTCCGCAAGGGTCCGTTACATGTCTTGAGCGGCGCAGGATCGAGATGCAGTGTCTATGAGGGAATATTCCACGGATGGACGGAAGCGCCTGGTGTTCCGGATGGCCACAGCGGGTTGCAAGTTGCAAGCCCTCTACACCTGTCTCACAAAACTATCGGGCCAACTCTCACAACGTACGTGGGCAGTGGAGTCCTACGTTTAGATGTGTTCGAAACTCGAGGCTTCATCCGGATGGTTGCTTCAACTGCCCACAGGACACAGAGTGCAGAATCCTCGGCGGAGCTTATCCGGTCCAGGTCACAGTGGGTGACGAAAGAATTTGGCCTTCGGCGATACTCGCTGTGGGCAGTTGAAGCAATTATACCGACATAGATGTAGGCTCCAACGAGCTTTCTTTCATAGGCAGATGGGAGTATTTTAACTCTATAAATCCAGATATATGGGTTCTGTTGCCCATGTAGATCGGTCAATTTCCTTCGTCACCCACTGTGCAGCCTTCTGCAACCTGTATTACGGCAAATGTGATCTCTATTACCTTGGCATCGTGTCCAGTCCAACGTCAATCTACCCGTCGCCTATATGCAGAACTGACGTCGGTCCTCGGCTCCTGAGATTCAGTGTTTGAGTCATGAAGCAGCGACGATGCACAAAACCTGACATAGCTAGCCACCGACTACGCACATAGTATTGCTACCAAAACACCATTTTGGAGGCTGCTGAGGGAAATGGGCAGGTTGCCAGCATGTAGGGCACTCTAAACGCTCGTGCACTATGCACTGTGCCCCAGGCACGTCGACGCACTAGCGCCGGTGATGCAGCCCTGCTTGCTGCCTACACCGTGGAACACAAAGACAGCCGCGCAACAACCTGCGGCCCAAACACAACCTCTGCAGCCCTTGCCTAAAAAGCGCAAGAGTCATGGCTGGCTTCGTTCCTGCTCAACTCTATGGCGGTGCCATCACCGTCGAGCTTCCGTCTGTCTTTGGCGACGTCAGGTATGTCCCAAGTTTTCGGTGTTGCAGCATAACAGAGTCTGACAGCGCCAGCCTTATTCGTGAGGTGCCCGACACTCAAGAAGTCTGGCTCGACAGAGACGGCTTCACCAGCGTTATCTTTGACCTGACCGAGCGGGTCGACGAGTCCCAGGCGTCCAGCGACGAAGAAGCCCTGAAGTACCATTTACAGGACATGGTCGACGATAGCAACGACGCAACACACTGCTGGCAGACCAGCGCTGCAGTGCTTGCGCGCATGCCGTAAGTCAGCCTGCACAGGTCTTTGGCGGGAAGGGTTCCCAGGATCGCATCGCGGGACAAGGTTGGCTCCGCATTACTGACACGCCCGCCAGCAACGTCCCCGCATATGCTCTGGTCGCGACTCAACACCCAGCTGCAGGCCCGGGGGGCCGCAAGCCGCAAGCGGATTTTACGGCACTCCTGCTGGTTCTCATTCGCCTGGTCGAGCAGAAGACGGACATTATCATCACAGTCAACGTCCCGCACGTGCCCGGAGAATATCCCAAGGAAGAGGTCGATTTTGCCGCAGCGAAGCAGGGCCCGCTTGTGGACGCTGCCGCAACAATCAAGCAGCGCATCCTCGAGACGTTTGAAATCAAGGATTTCGGTCTTTTTGTCTCTGAATAGACCGCTGCACAAGAAACATGCTGGAAATACAATGACGCTGCCTGGCACAAAAGCGTCGGGCCAGCTCCTTTGATCAAACTGTGCAAAGAAATCGACCCATTCCCTCGTGACGTTCCTCCATCTCGACTGCGGTGCACATTATTATTCTGGAAGCATTCCACAACATGCACAATACGGGCATAGCGCCGGAAGATCTGCGGCCGACAGCTCCTATGACGCGTTTGACGTGAGCTTATGGAAGCTGCAACAAGCCCACTCTCACTTCCTATGCTCGCGCAACTCCACGCCACTCCCTCGTCATGAGCAGTCCGGCAAAACGACGCAAGAAGTACGATACCAAGGCTTCCGACAGACCCGTGCGCAGCCTCGACTACTTTTTTGCCAAGCAGAAAGACAACTCCCAGACTGCGCCCCCCTCGGCGCCGAAGCACGACACGGCGAACAGCTCACAGAACGGCACGGCAGAAGCCCAGTTAACGGATGAAGAGCTTGCGAGAAAACTCCAGGAAGAATGGAATAGGGAAGATGGCAACCGTAGCACCCAAGAGCCTCCGCAGCAGGAGGTTGCTCCTCGTGGCGAGAGTAGCGACCGCGAACAAGTAGTCGAAGGTGAAAGGCTCGGATCAAATGCCACAGCTGCCACCAACACCCTCCGGTTACAATCCACCGCAACCGCCGAAGACACAATTGCCTCGAACATACCATTCGATCAGAGCCCTCTGACGTTCCGACCTTCCGACTATGTCTCAGACCTAAAAACACACTGGGCTACGGACGGAGGGCACGCGACGTATGCGTTGTTGACGAGGTGTTTTGTCTTGGTCAACAGCACACAGAGTAGGATCAAGATCGTGGACACGTTGGTCAACCTCTTACGAACCATCATTGAAAGCGACCCGCACAGTGTGTTGCCTGCTGTGGGTGCACTATCATCTGACACCATCCATATCTGCTTACATTTCGGCAGGTCTGGCTCGCCACAAATTCTATTTCACCTCCCTACGTCGATCTCGAGCTGGGTCTAGGAGGATCAGCTATCTCGAAGGCCTTGATCAAAGTATGTGGGTTAAATAATGCTGGCCTCAAGAGCCTGTACAACAAATATGGGGACGCCGGCGACGTAGCCTTTGAAGCGAAGAAACGTCAGAGCTTTACCTTGCGGAAGCCGAAGCCATTGACCATCAAAATGGTATACGATTCTCTGGTCAAAATCGCGAACAGCAAAGGCCAGGGAAGCCAGCAAGTCAAGCAGCGCATCGTGGAGCGACTCTTGCAGGACTCAAGGGGTGCCGAAGAGTCACGTTACATTGTTAGGACCTTGGTCCAGCATCTCCGCATTGGTGCTGTCAAGACGACCATGCTTATAGCCTTGTCTCGAGCATTCCTCATGTCACATCCTCCCGGAGCCGGTTTTCCTATCCAACCAACCTCAACACTGGCCAGTTTGAAGAAAGAGCAGCTCTCGGAGATCTACTCGCACAACGAAGAGATCGTCAAAGCATGCTTCGCCCGCCGGCCAAATTACAACGACCTTGTGCCTACACTCCTCCAAATTGGAGTCTGCGACGAGTTGCTCCTACGCTGCGGACTTTCAATGCACATTCCTCTCCGTCCCATGCTTGGCAGCATAACCCGCGATCTGGGCGAAATGTTGACGAAACTTCAAGGTCGGGACTTTAGCTGCGAGTTCAAGTATGACGGCCAGCGCGCACAAGTGCATTGCGACGCACATGGCAAGGTTACCATTTTCTCTCGCCACCTAGAAATCATGACTGACAAATATCCTGACCTTGTTGCCTTGGTACCCCAGATCCGTGGAGAAGGCGTCAGTAGCTTCATCCTCGAAGGCGAAGTTGTCGCAATTGATCGCGACACTGGTGATCTTAAGCCCTTCCAGGTGCTTTCCAATCGAGCACGCAAGGACGTGGTAATCCATAGCATAAAGATTGACGTATGTTTGTTTGCGTTTGATTTGATGTACTTGAACGGCGAGGAGTTACTGGACCGACCACTTCGAGAACGGCGGTCTTTGCTCAGAAGTCTTTTTACGGAGATACCAAACCACTTCACGTGGGTCGAGAGCTTCGATGCGTCATCAGTGGATCAAGAAGCCGTGAGCGAGTTCTTCAGGAAGGCGACCGAACACAAGTGCGAAGGTATCATGGTAAAGGTATTGGACAATCTACCCAATCCAGATTTCGCTGCAGACCCGACGGACAAAAAGGCGCCTCCCACACCAGGGAAGCAACCGAAAGCCCAAAACATCACAAAGAACACAAAATACAACGATTTTGGCAGTGGGGAGGCAAAAGACGAGAAGAAGACAAGTGGCCGTCGTAAAGCCCTGCTCGCCACGTACGAGCCCGACAAACGTCTGGACTCCTGGCTTAAAGTTAAGAAGGATTACAACACATCAGCTGACACGATTGATCTCATCCCTATCGGCGCTTGGCATGGCAACGGGCGCAAGTGCAAATGGTGGTCACCCATCTTGCTGGCCGTGCGCAATCCTGAAACCGGCTGTCTTGAGGCTGTTACCAAGTGCATGTCCGGCTTTACTGACAAATTCTATGCCACAAATCGAGCCAAATACGATCCTGACATAGGAAGCATTACCGCGTCGGATGATGACGGCGAGGATGGCGATGAGCAGGAGAGAAATGGCAAGGTCAGGCTTTCCAACGTCCGTTCGAGAAAGCCAGCCTTTGTGGAATACAACGGCGAGCCGGCCGTCTGGTTCGAGCCCCAGGAAGTCTGGGAATGTGCCTTCGCCGATATCACGCTCAGTCCGACTTACACTGCAGCCATTGGCCTTATCAGTGAAGAGCGTGGCCTCAGCCTCCGCTTTCCGCGGTTCCTACGGGTCAGAGAGGACAAAAGCATCGAGGAAGCGAGCACAAATGATTTCTTGGCCGATCTGTACCGGAAACAGGAGGCCAAGACGTCCTCGACAAGCACGCAGGAGCCGGTAGCCAACGATGAGGCTGATGGGGATGACGAGGCCGGGTGACCAGACTTGGTGGAAGTGAGTGGAGGGAGGCGAGTGAAGGGCTTCACCGTATCGACCCGCGCTCGAAACGACTATCAGATATGTACATACACGACTTCAGTAGGCGACGGCGGGTTGGCAGTCAAGGTGTCAGCGTGCCATAGCCTGCAATGAGAGTCGGCTCACAATGTCCCATCATGAAGATCTCGATTAACTGCATGGCTGGATCAGCTTTGCCTCTCCGTGATGAAATGGCGAGATCGGAAGGGCGGAATCCCGTTCCTGCTGCTTTCTGCCATGCTCCCGGTGTCGGGCGCTAATCCCGCAGACAGTTGAAGTTGAGAGATCAGCCTTATGGCGGGTTTTGCGGCTAGCTCGGATTCGGGATGCTCGCCGCTGGTGCCTCTGGTGCCCGGTGGCGGTGGCCAGTCGCTTCCTGGTTCGGATTCGGGATGCTCGCCGTTGGTGCCTCTGATGTTTGCGGGACGCCACCGTCGACGATTCGATGGAAGCGGTACTTAGGTATTCGTCCTCGTGTCGGAGTCGATCGCCGCAGACGTTCGAGGTTGCGGCACAGAGGCCGCTCCGTTCAGGGTATGTGCGCGTGGGATCGAACGCAGTCGCTGTTGACAGGGCTACGCGTTGCGAAGTGACTCCAAACGAAAGGCGCAGCCGCAGGACGCAGGTCTGACTGGCAACCGACGGTTGGCTGTGGCGCGGTTCGGTCTCTCTCAGCCTCTCTCAGTCGAAGAAAAGGAAGAGGCGAGAAGAGGAACCGCCCTCATGTAGAGGGCCGGCACTTGCTTGCCGGCGATGTGACGCGGCCTCGCTCTGTGCCAGGCCGCTAGACAGGAGCCAGTAGCGAGCTCCGGCAAGCTGCTTTGCTATTGCGCGTCTGCTTTACCGGCAGCCGGCCAATGGGGGTGCGGGCGATACGGCTTATGCCAGCCCAGGCGTTTCGTTCAGACTAGAAGCCGGCTGTTTAGGCATCGCGGTTTCCCTGGGCGCCTCTGCCAAGCATTTGCCAAGAGCGCTGACGACGACTTCTTGCGCCTCCCACTTCCGCATCCGGCTAGCTCGACCACGCCGTTTTCTCAGCCTCCTCTGGAGCCGAAGCCATCCGCGTCAGCCAGACGGCCTTCTGCTGCAGCCCTGTCCAATCACGCCGCCGCCTTTTGCGATGCCGTCTACTCTGTAGTGTACTCCTGTTCAACACCACACGCCCCGGCCCTAGCGCCCGCCACGCGGACAGATCCTCGCGACTTCAGCCTCCCTTTGCGTCATCCGTGACCTTGCTGGCCTCCTCGAATCTTCCGCCGAAACACCCTCCGCTGGACTGACTCCTCCACAGTGCCTGTGCTCTCTTCCCGCTCCATGCTTCACCAGCGCCCAGGCTTACGTGTCGTCCATCTGTTACCTTCCCATTGGCGACGTCCAGCAATGGGGGTTCGGAGCAGCATCGCTGCCGTGCGCGGCTAGACCTTACTTTCATCTGCAATAATAAAAGACCTTCGAGACTGCCATCCTTCTCATTCCATCACCAAGCCAATCCTTCGCTCTTACCACTCCTCCACTCGCCGGTCCCTCGATCCACCTTCGTCTACCTTCACAATGGTCAACATGAAGTCCCTCGGCGCTGTTGCGCTCTCGCTCCTTGCTGCCACCGATGTTGCCGCCCACCCACATCATGACCACAAGGCCGAGGCTCTCGAGCGCCGTACCAACATGGCCAGGATGGGCAAGCGCTCTCTTTCCCACTGCGCCGAGAAGATCCAGGCTCGCGGCATCGAGGCTAAGAACGCCGCCCGCCGCCAAGCTATGCACGACCAGCTCTCCAAGCGTGCTTCTCTGGCCAAGCGCGACCTCGACACCGTCCTCAACTCCTCGCACCACTCTGATCTTACCGGAGTCACCCCCAACTCCGACCCCAGCCTCCTCTTCACCGGCAACAACTCCTGCATTCTTGCTCCGGAGACTACCCAAGGCCCCTACGTAAGAACCCTCATCTCACAGTGCGGGCTGAATATGCCGTGAATGCTAATAGATTACGGGAACAGTATGTCGTTGGCGAACTGTTTCGCCAGAACATCACCGAGACGCAGGAGGGCGTTCCTCTCTACTTAGACATCCAAGTCCTCGACACCAACACCTGCGAGCCCATAAAGGATGTGGCTATGGACTTCTGGCACTGTAACGCAACTGGCGTCTACTCCGGAATCGCTGCTAGCGGCAACGGCGACTCTTCTGACACCGCCAACCTCAACAAGACCTTCCTTCGCGGCATCCAGTCCACCGACGAGGACGGAGTGCTCCAGTTCGTCTCCATCGTCCCTGGCCACTATGTTTCGCGTGCAAACCACATCCACGTTCTTGCACACAGCCCTGGCGCTTGGTCCCACCTGCCTAACGGCACCATCTCAGGCGGCGGCAACACTGCTCATGTTGGCCAGCTCTTCTTCGACCAGGACCTGCTCTATGAAGTCGAGGCCTTCGAGCCTTACAGCACCAACACCCAGGACTGGACCCTTAACGACGAGGACAGCATCCTTTCCGGCGAGGCTGACGACATTGACCCCGTTGTCGAGTACGTCCTTCTCGGCGACTCCGTTGCCGACGGAGTCTTCTCCTGGATCACTGTCGGCATCGATTCGACCGCCAACTACACCGTCACCCCTGCTGCCTACTATTCTGCCGAGGGTGGCTACGAGAACGCCGAGTCTGGCTCCGGCGGGGGCGGTGGCTCTGCTCCTTCTGGCACTCCCCCTTCGTCCTAAGCGAGTGACTGCTTTACATGACGATGAGCGAATATGATGAGAGTGATGGCGCCAATGGTGGAAGGGCATTCATTTTTCTGTCAATGTTATATAGCGCTACTGAATAATGAAATTCAATCCCAGTTCTCCGTAAGGCTCGACTGTTTCTAAACTCTCATTCGGCAGGGGTCAAATACTGCGTAGGAGAGAGAGAATGGAGCCCACTGCGTTTGGCCGTGGAGATCAACTCACGCACGCATCGACCAATGTTCCACCGCCAATGAGATGAGTCACTAGGCGAAGGCTGCTGCTGTACACCCATGGAGCTTCAAGTCCGCAGTGATCACGAACATTTAGTATCCTGGCTTACAGCGTCCAAAACTTCGCGAATGATGGCCAAATCTCGGTCTTGATCAACTTGCCAGTTCGAGACAGCAAAGCGACAAGCGGGAGCACCCTCCCAAGATGTGCCAGACACATAAATCTTCGAAGTAGCGTTGATACGGCTGACGAGCTGCCGGTTGAGGTTCTCGTCTCGAGCACGGAATAGTACGATGACATAGATGTGTTGCAAGATCTCGCCCCGCGAAGCACTTGAGTGAGGTAGAAGTTCGTATGCAGCATGGTCGAGTATGAGGCCGGCGATGGCACGAGACAACCGTATTTGCCTCTCTAACATTTCGCGGTAGCCTTCTCTCCCGTAAGCGACAAGACTGGCATAGACTGGCAGAGCGCGAAATCTGCGGGAGTTTTCGATGCCGATGTTGAGCGGCGAAGGGACGGAAGCTGCATCGCCAGCTCCACCGGCATTCAAGTACGCGGCGTTTGCGTTTTGGAAAGTCTCTTGTGCAGCTTGCAGATGGCGACTGAAGAAGAAGCCGCAATCGTAGGGCTTGACGTTGGAGGTCAGATTGCGCCACCATTGAAGACGAGAGAGCGTGACAAACCACATTGAGCAACTTGTGACCGTCTCCGGTGATTGAGTCAACAAGTTCCATTCCATCCGTGGCCGCGATGATCTTCGAGAATTCGTCTTTCGCCAACGTCCTCGCCAGAAGGCCGAATGCTGGGAAAGTCAGGAATGATCACGTCCACTTTACGGGACGTGGAACTCACCGGCATCTACATGGAGCCATGCGCCGTACTTGTCGCTTAACTTCCTTAATTCTGCCAGGTCTGCATACCCACTCGTTGCGAAACGCCCAGTGTTGACTTCGGAGCAGGAGATGGCCACGATAGACGCCGTCCTGTCCGCTGCCAATGCATCTTCCAGCCTCTCAAGGTCAAAGCGATGTGGCGCATCAGCAAGACCGACAGCCTTGACTGCAGCGCGGCCGATGCCAACAATGCTAGCAGCTTTAGCCAGGGAAGAGTGAGGGACGGTGGTGAGAACTTGGAAACTATCTACTCTGGCTTCCCGCATAGCTTGCGCGAGACCGAGCTCGCCGACGCTGATGGCCAGGCCCGAATGCCTGGAAGCAGCGGAGCGGAGGACATGCTCCCTCGCACATGCAAGGCCCAGGACGTTGCTTGCAGTAGCCCCGGTGGTGAAGGTGCGGTGGGGCCACTCGCGGGGATCCAGCTCGAGCAGCTGGCACAGGAGCCGGAGCGCTTGATCCTCCACGTCCGTGGCAACCGTTTCCATGGGGAGATGGACTTGGACGTTCTGATCGTAGGCTGTTACGAGATTATCGGCCAGGGCAGCAGCAGGAGTGGCGCCGCCGGTGACAAAGCCATAGTAGTTGGCAGACCTGCTGTTGGCGTTCAATGCGGGGACAATGTCATGGATGAGATGGCTGCTCGCCCTCTGGTAGCCGACACCCTTCTCGGGCAGAGCCTTGACCAGAGCGCCCCGGGCTTGGTGGAGCACCTGCGGGGAAGGCAGAATGGGGTCGGACAGATGCTCGGTTGATGGCGGGTAGGCGAAAGGCAGGGGCGCGCCCTCAGCCGCACCATGTTCAATGAGCATTGCTGGTCGTCACTCGGTGGAGCGTTGGTGGTCGGCTGGTTTCCATTCTGGCGACTTCTTATGGTCGCGTCGACATGCAGCGCTGGACGGTGACAGCGCTGCCTTAGTCATGTTCCGGCGGAGGAGTCGGAGTCATCGCGGGCTGCGCCGATAAGCCAGGCACCAGCGCCCCACGTGACTTTCGTGTTTACGCGATCCCGTCCCGCCGCCCGGCAACCGCGTCGCCTGACGCGCCTCCTTCGAGCTGCAATTGCCGCCACGCTTCTCCAACAACACGCCCCCGCTCCTTCGCCCCTCAGCCTGCCGCTCACCGGAACGCCATGAGCCTGGCTTTCTCTCGCGGCGCTTCGCCCAAATGACCAAGAACAACCTGAAACCCCACCTTTCTTGGTTGCTGAACGCGAAGCCATTCGTGCCGCCCGCAGGCCCGCCCATCGTTCACCCTATTTCCGATTCTCTACCCAGCTCTGCCGCTGCACCGACTTTGGATTCCCATAGCGAAGTGTCCACCCCTCTCGCAGGACATGCGCCTCTCCGCGAACCGCCCCGCTCACAATCTGTTGTTCCCGAGTTCTGTTCCTATGTCCCCGAGCCTCGTCGAGACAACATAACGAGCGCCATTACTCTCGACCCTGGCAATACGAAACCGCACTCGCACGCTCTTCCCACAGATATGGCCAAGCTTCGGGCCGCCCCGGGCTCAACCTCAAAGCCGCGCCTCATATCGCAAGCACATCCGGACCTGACGCCTTTGGCGGGTGCCATCGATCGCTTCAAGAGCAAGCTTGCGAGCGCGTCCTCGGGCACATCAAGACAATGCGCTGGCAAAGAACCTTCCGCACATGCGTCCCAATCAAAAGGCAAAGGTCATGCAGTGCAAGAAAACATGCAGTTCGAGGATTGGGACATGGACGACGTCGATGCCATTGATTTGACCGGAGATTCCGAGACCCGGACTGCTTCCAGCCCCAGCATACACGTGCCCTCCTCGACATCGCGGAAGAGGAAGAGCGACCAGTTCGAGCCTCCCTCAGAAGATAGTCCAGCTCCGCGGAGGCCAAGAGTTCAGGCTAGACGTGCTGGAGTGCCAGCTGCGGATGGGTTTGCGCCCATCGAGGATTTCGAGGATCCCCCACCTCCATATTCCACGGTAGCGCACAGACCATATGCATCTTCATCCACCGTTAGGCCGGGCTTGAGCGAGGAATTTGAAGATCCGAACGAAACCTCCGCACTTGATGCCGATGACGAGGGCCAGCAACGCGTTTCAGAGAGCCCCTTCAAACCCGTCCCCAAGAAAAGAAAACCCCTCAGCCGTGTCCCCTCTGAAAACACTGAGCTTCCCTTGGGAGCCGTTACTCTCCGCAAAGCATCTCGTTCTCCAAATAAAGTCAATTGGAGCATCCGAGACCAGCTGTCCGAAGAGCCGAAACCGAGTCCGACCAAGCGATCTCATCAAAAAAAGCGGCGTATTGTAGCCGACTCAGAAGACGAGGACGACTTTGACGTTGACGACCGACCTGTGCAACTGAACCTTCGCATTTCACCGTCCAAGATCAGCCACCCAGAACTGCAGAGCCCTGCTAAACCGTCTGGCTTGAAGCCGACAACGATAGACAAATCCAAAGATTTTCGGTGGCATGAGTGCAAGGATAACCAGTCGTTACTCGCCCGTCCACGGCAGCAACCACAAAAGTCTGTGGGAAAGGATGCCTCTCCAATCTTGTCCAAGATGTATAGCGCAAGTGCTGTAATTGAAGATGCCCTGGCAACGCCGAGCTCGGGTCAGGCCTCTCCAGCTCTCCACTCGAAAAAGGAGCGCTTGATAGTCTCAAGCTTCGGGGCCTGGCCTGAGGAGTACCTGCAAAATGTATGCAGAGGACTGGAGACCGAGGTACTACGTCTCAAGAGGGCGCAGACTGAGTATTTGGAAACGTACGAGATTCCATCCAGGGATCTAATCGAGCAATCAAAGAGTGCTCTCAAACGCAAAGGGGTCATCGAAAGTCTCATCGAGAATCGGCACCAGCTCGAAAGGGCCAACACGAGAAAAAAAGAGCTCTCAGATAGGATACTAAGTCTCATGGACACCGAATACAGCACAGACCTGACGGAGTTTGACGAGACCACGGCTGCAATCAAACTTACTGGCGAGCAAATCAAGAACATCGAAGTTGAGATGATCCGACTGATGAAAGCCGCCGGTTTTGTTGATGGAGAAGGCGAATCAGCTCGGTTGCACGACCGCCCACAGTTTGCGTCCGCTAACGTAGTGGTTCGCTCCACGCAAGCCGATCCTGGAAAGCATCAATTGCAAGAAGCTACTAGTGCAATGCCGACGCAGAGAGTTCAACAGACCCAGATTCCATGCAAAAGTCCGGCGACAAAGTCGACACGGGAAACACGACATCTTGTCCCACGCGATGCCATCCCTCGAAGAGACTCTGAGGAGTTAGACGATGCATATTCCGAATATGGGCTGAGCGATGCATCATTTGCCAACATAGCCACTGGAACCCCCGAGGAAAGAGTAGAAATGGACTTCGTTTCGGGGCCGTCATCTGCCAATCCCCAGCATGGCTCTTCTGGGCCAGCCCTTTTGGTAGACGAGCACGACTTCCAAGATGATGATAATCTTTTCAGCACAAATATGGGGACGCCGCCAGCGCAGGTGGTTGAAGAAAGGGTAGTAGAAGAGGAAGAAGAAGAAGAAGAAGAAGATTACGGAGACCTTGACGACCTCAACGACGAAGACATGTTGGATATAACCGAGGAAATTGGAAACAACAAAACAGCGTACGCCGTTGGCAGAAGTCATTCTTCGCGCGAGGCGTTCCAGGAGGCTTCTGGAAACCCGATCCGCCAGCAGCTGCCACGGGACAAAGCAGCGAAGAAACATAATGCGAAAGTCTCTGGTGTAATGGCTCCCCCAGCGAATCAGCCACAATTTTCTTGGACAAGCGATGTCAAGAGGACGCTGAAGGACAGGTTCCGTTTGCGGGGATTCCGCCCTCATCAGCTTGAAGCCATAAACGCAACTCTGGGCGGTAAAGACTGCTTCGTCCTCATGCCCACGGGTGGTGGAAAGAGCCTGTGTTACCAGTTGCCTGCTGTTATACAGACCGGCAAGACCCGGGGCGTGACGGTGGTCATCTCTCCTCTGCTCAGTTTGATGGAGGATCAGGTCAACCATTTGCGGAAACTTAACATTCAGGCCTTCCATATCAACGGCGAACTCAACCAGGAGGAACGTCAGTTCATTATGAATGCACTTCGGGAGTCTCAAGCGGAAAAGTTCATCCAGGTCTTGTACGTCACACCGGAGATGCTCAGTAAGAGTCAAGCCATGATCAACGTATTGAAGGATCTCCATCGCCGTCAACGCCTTGCACGAATTGTGATTGACGAAGCGCATTGCGTCAGTCAATGGGGTCATGACTTCCGACCTGATTACAAGACTCTAGGGGAAATTCGCCGACAGTTCCTTGGGGTGCCAGTCATGGCGTTGACGGCAACGGCGACAGAAAATGTCAAAGTCGATACCATTCACAATCTTGGAATCGAAGGATGCGAGGTATTCGCCCAAAGTTTCAACAGGCCTAACCTGTACTACGATGTCCGCACCAAAGGGAAACGCGAGGACATCCTTCAAAACATTGCCGACATTATCAAAACCCAGTACCGCGGAAAGTCCGGCATTGTGTACTGTTTAGCAAGAAAGAAATGCGAACTGATTGCCGAGCAACTGCGAGTCAAGCACGGCATTTCCGCGCAGCACTACCATGCTGGGATGGAGCCAGCGCAGAAGTCGGAGACACAGAAGGCATGGCAGGCTGGCACGTACAAAGTGATTGTCGCCACGATCGCCTTCGGAATGGGTATTGATAAGCCAGACGTTCGGTTCGTGATCCACCATAGCATACCCAAGAGCCTTGAGGGCTACTACCAAGAGACAGGCCGTGCTGGCCGCGACGGGAAAAGGTCCGGATGCCATCTGTTCTATGGATATCAAGACACGGCCATTCTCAAGAAGATGATCGATGAAGGCGAAGGGAGCCGTCAGCAGAAGGAAAGGCAGTATGCCATGCTCCGAAACGTTGTCCAATTCTGCGAGAACAAGGCGGATTGCAGACGAGTCCAGGTCCTCGCGTATTTCAACGAGGCGTTCAAAGCCGAGGAATGCGATGCCGAGTGCGATAACTGCAACTCGACCATCACTTTTGAATACCGCGATTTCACTGACCTCGCCGCAGCAGCCATAAACCTGGTCGGAAGGATTCAGACAGAGAAGGTGACGCTCTTGCATTGCGTCGATGTCTTTCGCGGCTCGTCATCCAAGAAGATCAAGGAACTAGGCCATGACTCCTTGACAGAATACGGTTCGGGTTCGGAACTAGATCGCGGAGATGCTGAACGTCTCTTCCAGCGTCTTGTCAGCGAGGATGCACTTGAAGAAGACAACCGTATGAACCGGGCCGGGTTTGCGTCACAGTACATCAAGGTAGGTCAACACGTGCAGTAAATGGCACGCGGCAGCTGACGCATCGCAGCTTGGCAGGAACTGTCGTATTTTTCAGGCTCGCAAGAAGCCGGTCCAGATTCACGTCCGAGTCTCACCGCGGCAAGTGAAGGGCCAAAAGACCAAGAACGCGGCCACCAAGCGCAAAGGCACCGGGGTCGCGGCTGCGCGAGACGATTACCCCTTCTCGACAAACGTCTCGTCTCCTCTCCAAATTGCATCACGCGTGAGCCGCAAAACGCGTGTGGTCGACATGGATGACGACCGTGACGGCTTTAACGAAGGTATCGATGCCGAGGCTGAAGACGAGTCGGAAGCTTTCGAGGCGCCGCCACAACCAAGAACCAGGATGATCGCGAAGAGTAGCAAGAACCCTCGTCAAAAGTTTGGTGCGCCCATCACGACGGATGAGAAGATGGCGGCGCTCGATGAGTTGCACCAGGACGTTGTCGAAGAATTCGTGCGGGAGGGTCGAAGCGAGTGCCAGAAGATTCTGATAGCACGGAACCTCCGTTCGCATCCGTTTACGGATACGGTGCTCCGAGAAATGGCCATCAGCTTCCCGGCCACGCAAAGAGAGCTCATGAGTCTACCCGGGGTCGATGCCCAGATGGTGACGCTCTACGGTGAGCGGTTCCTCAAACTGGTCAAGCGGTACAAGAACAATTTCGAGTCGATGACTGGACAACACTTGCAGCAAGCGGACAAGGTCAAGGACCCCAATCACGAGATCATTGAGATCAGTGATGAAGACGAAGAGGACGACGACGCACAATTTGAGGATGAGGTGGACCTGGATGCCGAGGAATCGTCAGAGGAATGCCGGAGCTCGTACTTCAGGAAGCCAGAAGTCGATCCCGAACTCGAGGCTTTCAACGTGCGGTACAGCCAGGCTCAAACGTCAACAAGATCCGCAGCGACACCAGCAGCCGGCCGGGCGGGGCGGTCTGCAGCAGGGGCGCGGCGGTACTCGTCTGGCCAAAAGGCATACCCTCGACGAAAAGGGTCGCGAAAGAGCTCGACGGGCTACGCGAAGAAGGTGACGGGCAGAAAGCGAGACAGTGGCGGCGGTGCAGGCGGGTCTTCGAAACCGTCGAGGAAGGGGGGTGGGGGAGGGTTTGGGATTGCAGCAATGCCCACGTGAGTTACGGCAGAATGTCCAGAGTTTCTTGTATGTACATACTTCAAGCAGATGACGGAGTTGCGGCGTTCAGTGGGTCAGAGGGTCAGAGGGAGCCTGCCCGGTGGGGTGTCTGTTATCTTTGCTGCGGCTCACGTCTGCCGGCCGGGGTAGGATTTGCTTATGCTCTCATATTCTTGTTTTTATTTTTCTGGAGCTTCAGGCGTTTGGTGTTGCATATGGAGGTGCCATTGGGAGCGGGGGCTTGCTAAGTTCGGCATGGCGTGGGCGGCTTCGACGTTGTTATCAAGCAGCACGACATGTGGCACATGATGGTAGTATCTGGAATGCACGATTTGGCTCGAGAAAACACGAGGGTTCGGGTTCGGGTCCGGGTCTCAGGATCTCGGCATGGCAGCGGAAATCGCCATGGATTATCTCACTAGTCAGACGCGATGCTGAAGGGCTTAATAAGCGAGTAAAACTACTCAAAACTACTCCACACTCCTCGGCCAATCAGAGGCACGCCAAGCATCTTAGCGTTAATTTAGCGTGAAACCCTTAGCATCGCGTCTAAGAGCAAACGGTCGCAATTTATATATAATCTAAAGCAGTGATTTTTTCGAATTATTATAACTTTATAATAACACCCTCTATCATCTTCGTTTCCATCTATAGCGATTCCGTTAACGGTAGGCTTTCGTTTCGTATATATTTTATAGCGATGTATGTACTAATTTATATCGAAGTATAGTCTTAAAGACGAAAAAAAACGCGTAAAACCTAAATAACTTTAACGCGTCCGCTCGATCGCTCGCATCTACTATATAATATACTATAAGTCCCTCTATTTATACGCTAGGGTTATTCGGCCGCCAAAGAAACCCCTCGCATATAAGATTTACGCGTAGGACGTAGTGGGCGTTAGTATAGAGTCTCATCCGAAGGAGTATTAAAACGCATTTTAACGCGCCCGCTCCGCTCTAGTAGTCGCCCCAGCAGTCGCCCTAGTAGTCGCCCTAGTAGTCGCCCTAGTAGTCGCCCTAGCAGCCGCCCTAGTAGTCGCCCTAGTAGCCGCGCAATAAGACCTTTATAATAACGGCCGGCTGCTAGGGCGGCTGCTGGGGCGGCTGCTAGGGCGACTACTAGAGCGGAGCGGGCGCGTCGAGCGACTACCGGGCCGACTACTAGGGCGACTACTAGAGCGAAGCGGCGTTTAAATTAACCTATAGAGGTAGATTAGCAGCTTCTCTATCATCTAAGCGTAATTATAGGGTGGTGGAACCTCGTTATGGATGTAAAGTATAGCGTCGAAGATAGGTGTTATGGTCGTTACGTAACGTAAATCGGCGCACTGCAAAGTTGCGACCGTTTGCTCTCAGACCCTCCGGCGGCGGAGGGTGCCCTGCGTTGTGATTGGCTGAGAAGATTGGAGTAGTATTAAGTAGTTTTGATTACGGAGCTAAACCTAATTGGGACGTGACTTGGCGGGTCCCACTGCCGCCTGGGAGGGTTTGACTTGTGAGATAAGCCATGGAGCAGAGGATGGAATGAATGCATCGGCAGAAACCGGCCAGCAGCAGCGCCGAGCGTGGGCCGACGGAGCGGGGCGGCCTGTGCGCGCGGTGCGCATCGGGCGCTGCAGCACGTGCGGCAGGGCGGCAGGGCGGCAGGGCGGTCGAGAACGACGCGGCCGCACGGCGTGCGCAGAGAAGCTTCTGGGTGTGTGATGAGCAGGTGAGCAGGTGAGGGCTGGCGGGCTGGGAGCTTGCGGGCGCACCCACCGCAGGGCGGCATCGGCTCTGCAAACAGTGCAAACGCTCCGCGCTCCTAGCGGCCGCGCAAAGGCCGAAGCTTCAAATTCGGCATTGTGTTTCCTCGCAACATGGTTTCCGAAAGCTGGAGAAACGCAGCGCCAGTCCCGCTACCGCGATTGGTAACGCGGGGTAATGCAGGGCTGAGCGCCCACGCGCGCGGATGACGTCTCTTGCGCCGCCTCTGCGCTCTCACGACGCCGGCTGGGCGTCGACATGCGAAGCTCCACCGCCGGGCGTCTTCCCGAAGCTTCTCCTTGCTGGGCGGCCGCAACGCCCTCCAACGCGGCTAGTGTCCGCCCGGCGCCCAGGTGCCGTCCACCGCCGTCGGCTGTGATAATTTAAAACCCGATCGTGTGCGGCGCTTGTCCCCTGCCGCCCTCCACGCCGCCGGGTCTGCTATAAAGCCTGCCCGCCTCCAGCCATGGCCGAGCTGACTGACAGCGACATCCAATCCCTTTCCGTCCACAGCACCAGCACCACCATGGACAAGGTCGACGCCGTCCCGAAGCTCGACGAGCCGCTGCAGGAGCCGCACCACGAGGTTGCTCCCACCCGCTCTGACCGGCCCATCGCCGAGACGCGCGAGCCCTACGGCCCGCCTGGTGAGTCTCCCTGCTGCCCCAGCCCGCGCTGTTGACTGTTTGCTGACCATTGGCCCCTGCCCAGGCTTCCGCGGTCTCTTCTTCTCCAGCTATGTCGCCCTCTGCGCCGCCTTCTCCGCCATGGGTGGCCTCCTCTTCGGCTACGAGTGCGTTTCCCGCCGTCCCTTACCCGACCTCGACATTTTGCTTTTTTTTTCCTTTTGCGCGCGTTACTGACGTGCCGTCTGTGCTGCAGCCAGGGCGTGGTCTCGGTGATCCTGGTGATGCCGCAGTTCCTCGATCAATTCCCGCGCGTGTCAGACGCCGCGTCGGGCGCCGGCTTTTGGAAGGGCCTGCTGACGGCCATGATCGAGCTCGGTGCGCTGCTGGGTAAGTCTTTTTCCTTTCCCCGTGGGGAACTGCGTCATTGCGGATTGCTGATGCTGTTTGCTCCACAGGCGCATTCAACCAGGGGTGGATTGCGGATAAGATATCCCGAAAGTACTCCATCGTTCTGGCCGTCTTCATCTTCACCATTGGATCGGCGCTCCAGACCGGCGCCGTCGATTACTCCATGCTTGTCGTCGCCCGTCTGATTGGCGGCGTCGGCATCGGCATGTCGGTGCCCCCCATAAAATCTGCTCCACAAAGGCGCTGTTGCTGATTTCTTCCAGGCTGTCAATGGTTGCGCCGTTGTTCATTTCCGAGATCTCGCCTCCCGAGATCCGCGGTTCGCTGCTCGTGCTCGAGGAGCTTAGCATCGTCATCGGCATCGTGGTTGCTTACTGGATCACTTACGGCACGCAGTACATCCCGACCGAATGGTCATGGCGCCTGCCTTTCCTCCTCCAGATCATTCCAGGTCTGGTCCTCGGAATCGGCATCGTCTTCCTGCCCTTCTCCCCTCGCTGGCTTGCGTCCAAGGGCCGGGACCAGGAAGCTCTTGAAAGCCTTGCCAAGCTCCGTCAACTGCCCAAGTCTGATACTCGCGTCATCCAGGAATGGTACGACATCCGTAGCGAGGTTGCCTTCCAAAAGGAAATTGCTCAGGAGAAGCACCCCAAGCTTTTTGGCAGCCGTGTGGCCATTGATCGCGCTAAGCTGGAGCTCGCTTCGTGGGCCGACTGCTTCAAGAAGGGTTGCTGGCGCCGCACCCACGTCGGCATGGGCCTCATGTTCTTCCAGCAATTTGTCGGCATCAACGCTCTCATCTACTACGCGCCGACCTTGTTCGAGACGATGGGTCAGGATTACGACATGCAGCTCGTGCTGGCCGGTGTCCTGAACGTTGCTCAGCTCGTCGGTGTCGCGTCCTCCCTTTGGTCCATGGATCGCTTCGGCCGGCGGCCTCTTCTACTCACTGGCGCAGCTGTCATGGGTATTGCGCACATCATCATCGCGGTCCTTGTGGGCAAGTTCGATAAGGACTGGCCCGCTCACAAACCTCAAGGATGGACCAGCGTTGCTTTCCTCTTCGTATACATGCTCGGTAAGCATCTGTTGGGGCGCCGTTCTTTTTCTTCTCCATGCTGACTTTCTGTAGCTTTTGGCGCTTCTTGGGGCCCCGTACCTTGGTATGTTCACTCCCTCTGTGTCCCCTCGTCAATCCCCACCATATCGACAGCACCGACCATACAAAGGCCGCCATGGCGAGTCTATCGCGCAGTGACTAACATAATCCAGGGCAATGCCGGCGGAACTTTTCCCTTCGTCTTTACGTGCCAAAGGTGTCGCTCTGTCGACATGTTCGAATGTGAGTTACACGGGAGAATAACATGTGTCCGTTGTAGTCCATGCGCTGACTAGTCCTAGTGGCTTAATAACTTCATTATCGGCCTTATTACGCCTCCGCTCGTGCAAAACACAGGCTTCGGCGCCTACACCTTTTTCGCTGTATTCTGTATTCTGGCATTTGTCTGGACGTTCTTCTTTGTGCCCGAGACCAACGGCAGATCACTGGAGCAGATGGACCAAGTCTTCAAGGACAGGAGTAGCGAGGGCGAAGAGGCTAGGAGGTTACGCATTGAGTCAGAGATTATGGGACGCAATATGGTGGGGTCAGACGTTGAGTCGGCGCACGCTGTCAAAGTATGAGTCCAGACGTACCCATGGACGGGGCAGCAAGTGTTTAAACAGAAATGAAAATGAATAATTTGACGCACACAAGCGAAGAGGCCTGCAGGGGTCCTGAGATAATGACGATGGCCATGACAAAGAGATCGTACACCAGTGCTCTATATCATTATGATGGTCTGGGTTCAGAAACAGGATCATCCATACCAAGTACAAGGCGTAATGCCTGTATGGCTGCCGCGACGGGCCCATGCGCTATGGCCATATTGGCGTCCAGACGAAAGATCCAACGCCACACCCAGCAGCAGCAGGAGCAGCAGCAGAAGCAGCAGCAGAAGCAGCAGCAGCGTCGTTCACGCCGCCGGAACGCAGACGTAGAGAGATGCTGCAACGGAGGACTTCCGGGTGGCGAGTGAGTCTGGAGCGCGCCAGAGCGGTGGGGCAAGAGCGCAGGCCGCAGGCAGCAGCCACACGCCACGGCACGTGAAGTCGCGGGGGAAAGGTGTGAGGATGGAGATGGAGGGACTTAAGTACCTGGCGGGGCGCGGCAGCCCCGCGAAAGGCCCGAGTCATTCGCGGCCGTGTGACATCGCCGCCCTGCCAACTGGCGTCGCGCAGGCAGCACTAACCACAAATACCACTCGCAGCGCCGTGACGAGGGTTGCCGGGCCAGGTCAAGCACGGCTCCAATCGTCCAACCCCTCCCACCAACGCCGCAACCCCTCCGCCTGCCTGCGCAAACCCAGAGGACCTCCCAGCGCACCACCCGCACCCCCGCCCGCCATGTCGCAGTTTTTCGAGAACCTCTGGAATTCCATCTTCACCCCGGGCCCCACTCCCACGCTACTTGTCGCCACCAACGCCAGCTTCGCCGCCCTGCAGCTCGTCCTGTTCACCCTCCTACTAGCCACCTACAGCATCCACTTTGTCGTCCTGTCCTTCCTTTGCGGCGGTCTGTGGTGGGCCATCAACTGGTTCGCAAGCGAGCTGCGTCAGGCGCAGGAGAAGGAGGAGGCTGCGAGGAAGATCCGAGAGCGACGCGACCGCGACCGCGAGAAGAGCAGAGAAGCCGACGACCTGGCCAGTGCGCGCGAGCCCGCCGTTGGCAGGGAGGGCGGCGAGGGCGAAGGCATGGATACCGGGGACGACACCGAGACTGAGACCGAGACCGAAGTCGACACCAAGAAGAACGCCAAAAGGGCACCCGCCGTCGCAACGACAACCGAGCCCGACGCTCGGCCTGCGGCCAGCTCGGCGACGGGCGCGCAGGCGACCCTCGCGCCGGCGGCGGACGACACGTTGAAGAAGCGGCGGAGCGTCGGCGAGGGGACGGAGAGCAGCACCGACAGCGAGTGGGAGAAGATTGAGCAGGAGAGATAGCCGGGGCGCTAGGGAACTTGCCTTTGGGTAGAACTCACTAAGCTTGGGGCACGGCGTATGGTCTTGTGCAGCCGAACATGGCATTATTCTACTATTTCAACGACATTATTGGCTTCACGTGCTTGCTCCGTGGTGACTGGCATGTGAGCCCAATACGCTTCGGGCTTCGGACTTGTGCTGCATTTTTGATAGGCTTTGGAATCCGTAGATACAGCACCCACGTACCACTGCTGGGCTCATCATGCCTCGTCTTTGCTTGTGGCGAAGCTTTCCCAAACAGAGGACGCGGAACAAGCGCTACGAGTACAAGGTGCGTTGTGCGGGATGTACGGCAGACATGCCACGCGCACTGCTGGAGCCAGCCGGCAACGACTAAGCCGGGGCAGAGGGTCCGAGCACGTCGCGCAGCGGCGGTATTGCTGAGTAAGCGTGACGAGTTCCAAAACGCACGCCGTTACCCGAGCGCGCCAAGCTGCGTTTCGCGCCGACAAAGTCGACATCACCTCCGGCCACAGCTTTCGCCGCTCCAGCGCCAAACTGCCCTCTGCATCCACCCAGAGTTCCGCGTGCCCTCGATCCGCCCGCGCACTCTCAGCCTCCGGCACAGCCACCTGCCCATCACCACATCGCCATCATGAAGCTCGTCAGGTAAGCCTCGTCCCCCTCAGTTTGCAAAGTGGAGCAAAGCTGAGCTTCTCGCGACTCAAGGCGCGCCGACTGCGGACCTGGCTGACGACTGCCCTGCAGGTTCTTGATGAAATGCCAAAATGAGACGGTCACCATCGAGCTCAAGAACGGTACGTCGCTCCCCCGGTTCGTTCCTGCTGTTGCCTACCGCTGTGCGTCGCTCGCTGCGGCCTCGCTGGGACTGCAAACCGCATGTGAGGCGGGCTTGAATCATTGGCTGCGATCGCCATGTTCTCTGCCCCGGGCCAGTTACGCTGACGAGAAGCAGGCACTGTTGTCAATGGTACCATTGCCTCCGTCTCGCCGACGATGAACACGGCGCTTCGCACGGTCAAGATGACGCCCAAGAACCGCGACACCCTGACTCTCGACACCATAAACATTCGCGGCTCCAACATTCGCTATTACATCCTCCCGGACAGCCTGCCGCTGGACACGCTCCTGATCGACGATGCGCCCAAGCCCAAGAACAAGGCCAGGAAGGAGCAGGCCGACCGCGGCGGCCGCGGCCGTGGTCGTGGCGGACGTGGTGGAAGGGGCCGTGGCCGTGGTCGCGGCGGTGGCCGTGGCTTCTAAGCCTCTCTCTCGCCCGGGCTGGGCTGAACCAACGGCAGCAGAGTGGATCATGAGCTGAGGAATGGCCAAAAAGACGGAGAGAAACATGTTAATTCAGCGACTGAAGGGGCGTTCACTTGGCTATGGGCACGTCCGACATCACAGGGTCTCGTAGTGAGAGCAAACATTGCATGTTATTTGCGGACGGGGTTGGTCAAGGGCGTTGCGATTCGGAAGAAGGCAACGAACCCGGAGCAAGAGTTACGGGAGAGACTATTGGCGTGTTTAGCATCTGAGTGAGCAGCCTCCCGGAACAAGTCACTCGAACGCGATATTCGTTGTACCACGAGATCTTGGTCCCTCATGCAAGTCCATTTCGCTGTTCGCCCTCTTGCCCATCCCCACTGATGTCGGCTGCGTTGATCAGAACGCCCGCAGGCCGCGCATCTGGACGCACACATGGCGTCAATCTCTGGGCCGCCGGTTGTTTGCGCCTGGACGGCGACGTTCGAAGGGGTGAAGCTGCCGGCAGAATTACCCGAACAGGCAACCCGTACGTGAACAGAAGGGCGGACGGGCGGACAAGCTCCGCAGCAGTGATTCGAGGAGCGCAGCGGAGCGGAAGCCTTGGCGCATGTGCAGGCGGGCGGACTGCGGGGTCCGGCTGCAACTGGCCAACGGCGATATCGTGCTCGACGGCTGCTATCACGCAAGACAGGCCCTGCAATGAGGAATGAGGCCGCGCTGCCCGCTATCGCGGCTTTGTCTCACGCAATCCCGCCGTCGTCATGCTACAATTGTACCACTGAAAATCCGATCTTCGCTCTCTGGCGTCCGTCTTCGTGCCGCTTAAATACTCCAGCCTCCTGCCCATCTCTCGCCTCACTTGCCACTCAATTGCGCCCTCCCACTCTTTCACAATGGCCCCCGGTCCCGTCGCAGACTCTGCCCCTCAGGCCCCACAATCGCACCCCTCCAAGGCCCAGCAGGCGCCTGTCGACACCAACGTCTTCCCTGACGGCCTTAAGACCTCTGGCCAGCACCCTCCCCTCTACGATCTCCTTCATCCTTACGAGCACTTCCCCAAGGAGATCGAGGGTCCGACTGTATGGCAGGCCGACGATTACAAGAACAACCCTGAGCGATGGACTCATCCTTTCAGCGACGACGAGATCGCCGAGCTTGACAGGGCCGCCGATGCCTTCCTCGCTGCCGGCCACCCCCTCACTGCCGTGTCCAAGGTACATCAGTCATTGCTCCAGGAAATGCCGCCACTTTTGCCGCTGACGAGTGCGTAGGAGCTTTTCCCTCTCCCCGAGCTCTCCAAGCGGATGACTGCTCTCCGTGCCGAGCTGCTCAATGGCAAGGGCTTCATCCTCTTCAAGGGCTTCCCCGTCCAACGCTGGGGTGTTCACAAGTCTGCCGTCGCGTACATGGGCCTTGGTACCTACCTCGGATACTTTGTCTCGCAAAACGGCCGCGGTCACGTTCTGGGCCACGTCAAGGACGTAGGTGACGACCCGACCCAGATCGATTCCGTCCGTATCTACAGGACAAACGCCCGGTATGTGCCCATTGCCCCCTGTGCTGATTGATGAATTTGGCCGAAGCTGACGGAGCGCTAGCCAATTCTTCCACGCCGACGACTCGGACATTGTCGGCTTGCTGTGCATTGCTCGTGCCCTGGAGGGCGGCGAGTCTGACATTGTTTCCTCGCACCACGTCTGGAACACGCTCCAGAAAGAGCGCCCCGACGTAGCGCGGACGCTTACCGAGCCCATCTGGTACTTCGACCGCAAGGGCGAGACAAGTGTTGGTGAGGACGAATGGATCCGGACAAGCATCTTCTACTTGGAAACCGGCGAGACTCCCAGAGTATACTCCAAGTACGTCTCTTTCAATGTCTTCAGAAGGGCCGTCGCTAATGTACCCAACAATAGGTGGGACCCTTATTACGTCCGCTCGCTCACCCGCTTCTCGGACAAGGGCATCATCCCGCCGCTTTCCGATGCGCAGCAGGAGGCCATACAGGTGCTCGAGGACACGTGCCTGCGCCTGTCGCTGCACATGATCCTCGAGATTGGCGACATACAGTTCCTGTCCAACGAGCATGTTCTGCACGCCCGCACTGCGTACAAGGACTATCCTCCGCCTGCGCCTCGCCGCCACCTCCTGCGCCTGTGGCTCAGCACCCCCGAGAGTGAGGGTGGGTGGCGCCTGCCCTTCCACGATTCGGATCACAAGAAGCGCGGTGGAATCCAGGTCAACGACACGGCTCCCAGAGCTCCCGACGATGCCGAGTAGATGAGGTGGAATGGGTTGAGGAAATTAGATGTACAGGATACAGACACTGTCTTCTTGTTTAAATGTACGCCCGCGCCTAGGGAGGGTTTTTTCTTTCAGTCTAAAACCATGGATACCAGAATTGAATTCGAATGCATTACGTTTCAACCGGCAGAAATCATGGCTGCGTCTCATGGGTCTGGTGCAAGACTCCATGGTTCATAGGTAATAATCCGAGGCTGATGGCGTTCTCAAACACGGTTGCTCCGCTTTTCCCATTCGTGTCTGAGCATGGAGAAGAGCAGCATGTCGTGGAAGCGGCCACGGAACCAGAGAGCTTCGCGTCTCCGGCCCTCGAGCGAAAAGCCCAGCCGTTGATACAGGCGGCCGGCGCCTTCGTTGTACGCAAAACTTGTGATGGACACGCGGTGCAGGCCAGCAACTTCAAAGGCCCAGTCCAGGATCCAGTTGATTGCCTCGCTGCCGTGACCCTGGCTCTGGAAAGAGGCGGCGATGCTGATGCCGATGGCTGCGCTCCGGTGGTGCGGATTGGAAGGGCCGAGCTCGTGTGACAAGCTGACGTAGCCGATGGGGGTTGCATTGCGCGAGCCGGCGGAAGAGCGGCCATTGCTCCTGCCGCTGCGTTGGCAGCGGTTGGTGAAGGCGACAGAGCTGGCTGGGTCAACGTCTGGAGAGGAGGATTCGGACCGGTCCGGGCACGGCTGCAGGCAGATGATGACGCCGAGGAGGGCAGTTTCTTGCATGAAGTGGACGAGGCCCTTTACGCTCCGTTTGCTCGCTGGTTTCAGAAGGTCGGCATTGGCGTTGCCGCTGATGTTTGGGTCCGACTCGACTGAAAGGATGAAGTCCTCATCCTGGTCTTCTACCGCCCGATAAAGGAGGCGCGCGGAACGGAAGGCGTTTGCCATTTTGGGAAAGTTTGGTACAGAAGGTGAACTGGCGTGTGTTTCCACTGGCGCAAACGGAGGATCAATCTGTCCAGGTACGCAGAGCGGTGGGGGGAGGGGGGGATTGCATATGGTTGCACCGGCACGTGGAGAGAAGCGAAGTGGACAGCAGGTAAGTGCTAAGCAGTGGCCCTTCCTTGTCGGCCCTGACTCAGGTTGCCGCGGCATCATCGCTCGCCACGGTCAGTATGAACCGAACGAACAGACCGAGTCAAAGCAACGCACTGCATTGCACTGCATTCAAATCAGTTACAACCTAGACATGCTTCTCTAGGCCGAACCCAAGGCCCATTATTGTCTAGCACTGCAAGCAAATGTAATGACGTCACCCGATGCACATGCCGGGTCCATCCAATGTCAACCGCTCTAATACAATGATCCGCACATCGTGGTCGTCACCATCTCTGGAACAGCCAGGCAGGGCGACGAGGACGGAGCTTAGTCTGTCAATGACCGAAGGAGTTGGCCAGCCCCATGGCGGTTTGTTTCTTCGACGGAGCCCTTGGCAGTTTGCGAGGATGGTTCAGAACTTGTGCCGGCGGCTGTGGGTATTCCCGTATTTCAATCTGCGGCACCTCGTTTGCAGAGACGGCGGTGAATCTTCACATGACGGCGCAAAGGCAGTCGCAACCAGCGTCCACGCGAGAAGGGCCGGCTCCGAACTTGATGCCGTGGTGGATGCCGTAGACCATCAGGGAAAGCTGGCGGTCATAGCGACTGCCGAGCATGCATTTGGGACAAAGGACGGCGACGAGCTTCCGGCGATGGGGAGGTAAGCGATTGACCCAGTTGACCGCGTCGGGCTGGTACTGGCAGCAGTTGGTGAGGTCGCGGTCGGCATGGCAGCGGCTGGCAAGCTGCAGCCAGCAATGGCCGCAGAGAGAGGATTGATAGAGGTGGGTGCGACACATGGCGGCGGTCGATTGAAGACAGGGCCGGTGGTTCAGGGGGGGGGAATCAGTGGCAGGGCAGCCGGCGTTATAATATGCTGGCACCAAGGCGAGCTTCGTTGGAGCAGCACGCGACCAAGACAGACAATGGGCACGGGGCGTTTGCTTGTGGGCACGACAGCGACTGTTGGCAGCGGTGGTTGCAAGGTGCGCATGAGACATTTCACTGATCGTCTTTGGGGCCATTTCCATCGGCATCCTGGCTGCGGATGGCCTGCATGAGCTCGTACAGCTGGGCGATTTGCTCGTCTTGGCCAGGGTCAGCATCAGCGCGCCGGAGCGGGGCAGCAATCGACGCACCACTCATCTTGTCCACCTTGGCCTTGTCCATTTTGGCGTCCCTCCAGGCGTCGCCCTCCAGCTGCTGCGCGTACATCTGCCACTCGGTCAGGAAGCCAATCTGGACGGGTCAGCATCAGCGCGGCGGCAGCGGCGGCGGCAGCGGCGGCAACGCACGATGTGGATGGGGTTGTCGACATCCTTGTGGGCGCGGAACTCGGCCTTGACGTACTCGTCGCCCAGCAGCCGCATCTGCGGATCCGAGAGCTTGTGACGATGGGCGCGGAGGACGCGGCGGTACAGCGGAATGGGTGGCAGCAGAGCCAGCGGAGCAGGGCGCAGCGGCTTGGCGGCGCCGGCAGCGGTGGCCTCGGCCATGGACAGGACGCGGGTGAGCCTCATGGTGGCGTGCGGGATGGTGGTGTCGTCGGAGGAGGGCAGCAGCAGCGCGGGCGAAGTTCTGGTTCTGAACAACAACAACTCCATCATCATCATCATCATCATCGCCGCCGTCGTCATCCACCACCACCGCCGCCGCAGATCCCCCGCCGCCATGCTGCCCACGCCGTCGACGTCGCACGTCGCCTTCGACCGCGTCTACGAGCCGGCCGAGGACTCGTTCCTGCTGCTGGACACGCTGTCGGCGCCGGGCGAGACGCAGTTCCTCACGCAGCGGTTCCGGCACAGCGCGACGCCGGCCGTGGTCGAGGTGGGCAGCGGGTCGGGCGTGGTGCTCGCCTTCGTCGTCCGCCACGCGGCCACCATCCTGGGCCGGGCGGACGCGCTGGCGCTGGCGGTCGACATCAGCCAGTTTGCCTGCCGGGCCACCTGCGACACGCTGGCCGCCGCGCGCGCCCCGGACGCCGCCGTCTTCCTCGACGCCGTCAACGCAGACCTGGGCCTCGCGCTGCGCCCCGCCTCGGCCGACGTGCTCATCTTCAACCCGCCCTACGTGCCGACGCCCGCCCTGCCCGACCGCGACAAGCACGACCGGTACAACCGCCCCTGCGCCCAGCCCTCGTTCGAGCAGGACTCGTACCTGCTGGAGCTGGCCTACGCCGGCGGCCGCGACGGCATGGAGACGACGGACCGCCTGCTGCTCCAGCTGCCCGACCTGCTGCATCCCGCCCGCGGCGTCGCCTACATTCTGCTGTGCGCCCAGAACAAGCCGCGCCAGGTGCAGCAGCGCGTGCGCGCCTGGGGCCCCGCCTGGTCCGCCGAGCTGGTGGGCAGCAGCGGCAAGCAGGCCGGCTGGGAGAGGCTGCAGGTCCTGCGCATCGCCCGCGTGCCGCAGCATCAAGAGCAATAGATCTGCTAGCCTGTGCCTCTGCCGTGCCTCTGCCGTGCCGTTGGTTGATGTGATGTGACCTGCCTGCCCGTTGCCCGGCCAACCCCGCCGCAAAAACAACCGCACCGCGAGCTGCTGCGGCGACGACACCCATGTATGTATGTACATACATACGACCAACACCAGCCTCGCCCAACCCTTCGCCACGCTATGCATGCCCACCCCGCCCCGAAGACGCCCCTTCCGCCGCCAGCCGACGCATCGATGCGCCCTCGGAGGCGCCGCGTCTCCGCCTTGCTCGCCGAGAGGCGCATCGCTTCGACCCACGGGCAGAGCGCCGAGCCGGATGTCGCCAGGAACCCTCGCCGGAGAACCATATACGTCCCGTCCGATGACACCACCGTCATGACCGTCCATCCAGGATATCCTCAGCACCCTGTCCGGCCCGCGTCGCCCAATCTTGGCCTAGATTTGGTCACCTTGTCCGAGGAGGACTCCCAGGCGCTGCCGCCAGCCATCAAGCAGACGCACCCTCCGAGGAAGCACCTGGCCGCTGCTCCCAACTGCCGACCCCTTCAAAAGTCGTCGCGGCCCCTGCAAGCGGTATCGTTTGCCGAGGATGTCGTGGGCAAGAGCCTGGGCAAGGAGAACATCCCGCCCGGCATGTCGCTGAAGTCCACCAAGCAGCCGCGCCCTGCCACGGGGAGGCCCACAGGCGTCAAGCCAGAATCTGTTCGCAAGACTAGACTCGGCACAGCCGCTCCCCCACACGTCTCGGCCCCGAGGGTGGCCGTGACCCGCAAACGAACCGGTTCCGACACTGTTGCTTCTCCTTCCAAGGCGCCCAAGACTACCAGGACCGCTACCTGTCCCAGGCAACCTCTCCAAGTCCCAGTCAACAAGCGCCAAACAAGGTCCTCCACATCCAATCAGCCGTCGCCCTTTCATGCCACGAGGTCACCTCCGCAGGCCTTGCGCCGCCATCGTGCTGCGAAACCTCCCTCCAAGCTGGCCGCGCCAAGGTTGCCTCAGGACCTGCAGAGTCAAGACAGGTACCCTGTGCTCTATGAAGATCTTGACAGACCCGAGCTGTACGAGGACAATTGGCTCAGCTACCAGGAAGTCGCCATAACTCAGCTGATCAACAAGCTGTTCGACTGCGTGCATCTACCTTCAAAGGGTCGATCCCGGGGAGATGGAGTCTTGCGAAAGAACCTGCTAGCCGTCTACCAAGACCCGGCGATTCCGCTTTTGCACAAGCGGCTACAAGCTTCCCTCATGTACGGTGCCCTCGCTATTCCTAAGCACCTCCTTGCCAAGACGCTTCGTCTTGAGGACGATGTTGGTCTTCGTCGCAAGTATCTCAGCCTGTTCGTCGACTCATACGAGCCATCCATCCTAAGAGCTGCAGCCGAGGTCATTGTTGGGCGTGAATGCCGAGCCCCAGCAGGGACCTCTTGTGGTGCAAGCGCTCCTGGCGGCGACCAGCGTCAAATACGTGCCGAGAAGAAGGCTATAGAGCGTTTTCTGGACACCTTTTTTATCCGCAATGAAGATGCGGTCCGTGTCGAGACTGGCTTTGGAAGCATTGCAAGTATTGCGCGTGGCCGCGACAAGGTCAACGACTTTGGTTCTCAAGATTGGTCGTGGCGCCGCACCACCCTACGCAGTCTCATGCTTATTCTTCTGCTGGATATGGCCGGAACTAAAGATGTTGTCAGCCATCCGCTTTTCCAAGTATCGTCCTCATTCAAATCCTCTCACGCCGTACTTCAAGAGCTTGCCGGCATGCTCTTACCGTCCCTTGGTGACCTCTCACGTCCATTGGGGCATTTGAATTATCATCTGCACTGCTTTCAGTACCCTTTACAGGAGTACAATTACCACGTCGGGAACTTGGCAACCGACCTACGTGATGGTGTGCTCCTTACCAGATTGGTCGAGCTCCTCCTCTACCCTCAAACCACAACGGCACCTCACCAGGATGTTACCGTCACCATGCCTACGGGAGACATCTTGACCAACCGCGCCAAGGTTGGTGATAAAGGGTCGTGGGTTCTGTCTCAGCACCTCAAGTTCCCATGCGTGAGCCGTACTCAGAAACTATACAATGCTCAGCTCGCGCTGAGTGCACTCGAAGGCACAAGAGGAGTCGCTGGACAGGCATTCAAGGAAGTCTCCGCAGAAGACATCGTCGACGGTCACCGCGAAAGGACTCTCGGGCTGCTCTGGAGCTTAGTCGGGAAGTGGGGACTGCAAGCACTGGTCGACTGGACTGAGCTTGAAAAGGAGATGCGGCGATATCGATCCCGCTATTACAGTAACCAGTCCGACGATGATCAAGACCCGGATACCGAGGATGAGTCCGAGCTGACTGGAGCCCACAGCTTGGAAAAGTATACAGCTCTCCTTCGTGGCTGGGCACACAGAATTGCGCGCTGTCGTGGGTTGCGTGCGGCCAATCTCACCACGTCCTTTGCTGACGGCCGCGTCCTTGAAGCGATTGTCGACGAATATGTAGCCTATTTCCCCAGTCCCACCGTGGATACCGCACCTTCCACCAAGTCTCTCCCAGAGAAACTGCGGTCGGTCGGCTGCAGCAGTGCATTCGTCTCTCTTTTCACATCTGCCTTGGAAAAGTCCAACCGCCCGATCCCTTCCAAGGATTTCACCCTCACAACTCTCGCTTTTCTGGCCTCCCGCCTCCTTCCTGCCAGTCGTGCTCACCACGCCGCCAGCACTGTACAGCGCTGGTTCCGTAAGTGCGTCTTACGCCGTGAAGTGTCTAAGCGCGTTACTCTCATGCGCCTAGCTTCCCACTGTGCCACTGTAGTGCAGACGCGCGAGCGTGTTGTCGGTGCAGCCGTTGTACTCCAGAGAGCATGGAGGAACGTGCTGGATTCGCGCATCGTGAAACTTATGGACGACATCACCGCGTTCCAAGCATTGGCGAGAGCTTGGGCTGTCAGGTGCAGAATGCCTGCTGCCAACAAGAAGAAAGGCCGAGCAACAAGGAAAGTTGAAAGAATAAGGGGTGGCTGGTGATTGGGTTGCCTCTGTGATACATTAAGATCATTCCCCTTCTGTCTCAGACGCTCAAATGTTTTTTCCTTACGCGTCGACATACGGGACTTGCTCTTGATGGGCTCTGCTGGCATTGCGCTTCACGTCAAACTGGATGCTCTATTTATCTTTCTCGTATTCCCTCTCTGTTTGACCTAATTCTTTTCCCTTGAGAGCCTCGATAGGTAGTAAGGCTATAGCATCATGATGAAATTTAATGCCCACGCCCAAAGAAAAGTAGCGTACAGCTCACTCATCTCAAAATTGCTTGACATATTCCTAGTATGCGACTTCTGGAAACATGCATAACTTGCCTATGCTTATGCACTACGCGACGACACCTTCAAGCACACCTGGTCGTCCCCATGTCACTATTGACAGCTTTCGGTTCGAGCCAATCAGACGAATCGCAAACTGTTGAATGCACACGTGCACCGGCTGATCAGCCCCCTCGCTCCCCAAACTCTTTCGCCCAGTCCTCGTATTCCTTGAGACCCTGTCTGCTTACGCTTGGTCGGATATTTGCCAAGCTTGCTTGGAAATCGACGACCTGCATTGGTCGAATCTCGTCCATTGTCATGTGGAGAAGCTTCTCGCCCAGGCTTCGCAATGGCCCCATAGCTGCGTCTTTGGCAAGAGCTGTAATATCGGATCCGGAGAACCCTAAGTCTCTTGGTCAACATCCAGGATCCTTTTGAGCACGTTCACGGTTCATCCTTACCTTCGGTCCACTCCACCAACCTGTCCAGGTCCTCATCCGTGATGTTGTGCTTTTGGTGGCTCAAAAGCGTTTGCAGCTGCAACTTTCTGACACGGTCTTCCGGAAGAGGAATGTACTGTCGTCTGACAAACCGCCTCCTTGCAGCTTCATCAATGGTCCATGGCAGATTCGTGGCTGCAAGCACAAGGACTCTGCTGGCGTCGCCCTTTTCTTTTTCCTTCTCGTTTTGCTCTCGCCCTGCGGCTGCCTTGGCTAGATCAGACCACTGGATCAAGAATTCCGTCTTGATCCTCCGAGTTGCCTCGTGTTCACTGGAGCCGGAACGGGAAGAAAGAAGCGAGTCGATCTCGTCGACAAAGATGATAGACGGTGCCAGTGCCTTTGCCAACTGGAACAAGGCACGAACAAGTTTTTCCGATTCGCCCAGATACTTGCTGGTCAGGCTGCTTGCGGAGATGGCGAAAAATGTCGATTTTGATTCTGTTGCCACAGCGCGCGCTAGCATCGTCTTGCCGGTGCCAGGCGGGCCGAACAAAAGCATCCCCCGTGCTGGTTCACGGAGCCCCATGAAAAGATCCGGTCGGAGGAAGGGATATACTACAGTTTCCTTGAGCGCTGATTTAGCGACTTCAAGTCCGGCAACATCATCCCAGTGTACCTCATCCCCATGGATAACAATCTCATTGAATATCTGTTTCGCGGCAGCCTCGTCAACTCCCTTGGGTAGTCGTTTCAAACAGCGTTCCATTCGCTCTTTCCAAACTTTGTCCTCTGGTGATGTCTCCGACGCCGTGTCGTCCAAATCTTCCGATGAAGAGTCTGACGTGGGCGTTGGTCGAGAATTTCCAGACGCAAAACGTGCTTTCCCTTTTACTTGCCGCCTTCGAGGACGAGTTTCCCGCTCCAGCTCACTGCTCATGCTGTCGTCACCACTTGTTGGTGAGGCTGTGTGCCCGGCGGATTCCTGGGATGCGTCGCTTGTGAGGGCCTTGCGATGAACAGCGCTAGGCGGTCCTGCGCAGGAGGACGGCTTTGACTTGGTAGGAAGCTTGCCGCCCCGAGCTGATATGGGTTCGTGGATCTTGGGCACAGACACGAGCTTCTTCGAGTTGACTGGGGCTGAAGGGTACTCGCTCCTATAAGAAGGAAAGCCGGGCGTCGCTTTTGCCCGAGGTTCAGAGGTCCTCTGTCTGGCTGGAAGCGGTCTATGCAAATGTTTATGAGGGGGAGGAGTAGGTGGCTTCTTTTTCTCTTGACTCTCTGCCGCCTGTGACAGGACCTTCGCAGCTGCAGCAGAACTGTCGCTCTCAGGTACGGAGAAGTGAAAAGCCCTACGGTCTCCTTGATCGTCATCCATGGCTGGGTATTTGAAATAAAACGGGCTTGCAGACCGTTCCGCACCGCTCCCATTCGGGTGTTGGGCCCCGTCGAAGGACGGACGGGCGCTGGCTTCCTTCGACATAGAAAGCGCTTCCTTGCTGCTGTTTTCAGCTGTCAGTGCTGGGCCTTTGCTTGGGCCAGAAATAGAGCCCCAGGCCTGTGTTGCCGCCTTTGCCGCTGCCGGAGGCTTTCCCTTCGAGGCGGATGGACGCGACGATGACGACGCCTTTCTCCCGTCCTTCGGCGTTGGTCTCAACGTCTTCAACATCCCCCCTTTCTTTTCTGGGCTCATATTTCGTGTGGTCTTTTTGAAAGACGGTATGGGAAATGGCTGGGCTGGCAAGCTCTGCGCCCGTCCACCATCGCTGCTTCTGGATTTGGGAAACGAGGGGCGTTTAGGCAACGGCGGTGGTCTCGTAAGGTCAGGATAGTTGACCGGCGGGACGGTACCCTGGCCAAGCCAGGCACCTCCGTCGGGAGCGCCTGAGGCTTGCACGTCGCCAGTGAACGCGGGGTCCTTTTCTTTCTTTGCATCCTTGCGGCTCTCCTTCAAGGCCTCGAAAAGGTCAACGCGCTCCTTGCACTGCAGCTCCAGCTCTCGTAGCGAGGCCTGCAGGGCCTTTTCGGTCTCGGTCTTGGGGGCCCAGTTGGCAGGGCGGCGATAGGCATTGAAGTAGTAGATCTGATCCAGGGCGTTGCGCCACGATCTCAGTGCCTCGGCCTCGTTGCCCTGAATGCAGAGGCTGGTCAGCCGAAGCAGGGTTGAGCAGAGGAGCTTGTCAGGCGGGCCGTACCTGGGATTCGAAGTAGACTGCGGTCGAGCAGACCAGGTAGCAGTCGTCGTAGGTCTTCTGCATGGCCGCAGAGGGCTTCTGGCGGATCATGGGGGGCTGGCGGGCAGGGCGGCGGCCCTGTGGAGGATGGGAGAGAAGGTGACGGGGTGGAGGCGCTGCGCTGCGGTTGGCGTCTGACGTAGGGCTGTGGCTAGTGGGCGGCAGCAGGCGCGCGGCGGCGCTACTAGCGGCAGCAGTAGCTTAGGCATCATCGCACGCAGTACACGCAGCACACGCAGCACACGACACGCAGCACACAGCAGCGAGCCTCAGGCGCCGTCTCACGGCCTGTTTCGGTTGCCGCACGCTTGTCGCCAATCGCGGGCTCGCCCACCGTCGGCATTGACACCGTCGATCCTGGCCGCTGAGCCCGCTATGGCCGGAGCGCCTGGCGTATCGCTGTCCGCTGTCCGCCGCATTACTCGCATCCCTGCCGCAAATCGCTCGCTACGCCGCAGTCAAACGCTGCACCTTCGTGTCCGCCCATCGCGCCGAGGCCGGCCCCGCCCCGCCCCAGCTATCCAGCAGTCTTTTCAAATCGTACATATGCTACAGATTTTGGTGCCCCTGTGCCGCGGAGAAGAGCTCAAGAACGCCCCGATGAACACCCGGCCTGGCCTGGCCCGCTCTATCGCCCATCAAGAGCAAGGAAAAAAGGGCTGCCTGCCTCTCTGGCAGTCCCTTGAGCAAAGTATACAAACAGAACCCCCGGCCTGTCTTGCCGAGAGAAACCACCAAGTCCTGATGCTTTACCTCCGTCCCAAGCCGCCGCCTACTCCGTGCTCTGTGCGATGAAGAAGGCCTTTGCCATTTCGTATGCAGTCCTGGACAAGCGTCAGCACTTCGCCACGTCGGGCGCTGGCCGCGGCGACTTACCAGCAGATGGCCGTGCTCGGCATCGTAGTCACTATCCTGGGCTTCAGACCCTTGAAGAAGCCACGCAGGCCCTCGCGCCGCTTGATGACGGTTGCCGCGTGCCACAGCCCCCTGACGTTCCGAAGTTCGGGGTCGGTTGCGGAGCCGCGAGTCTGCAACAACGTCTTGATCACGTCGAGCGGCGTCGTGACGCCGGCCGCCAGACCGCCTGCCAGGCCGCCTGCCGTGCAGTGTGTGTACGGGTCCCATTGGGCCGTCGGGTTCATCGTTTTCGACAGTGACTCGTAAGCGACAAACTGCAGCGCCGTGAAAGGCACCGTCATGCACAGCGTGGTCGGGTAGGAGACGTAGAAGGCCCCCATTCCTTCGTGCCGCAGCAACGATCGCGCACAGTGCGATAGCGACTTGTACGTCGAGCCCTGGAGCTGCATACGCTGCTTGATGACTGCGGCGGTCAGCATTGCTTGTCCTGCTGGATATATGCTGCCCTGTTCCCGGCATTCTTACCGTCAAACGGGTTCATCAAGGCATCGCTAGCAATAGTCGCACATGCGCCGCTGAGAGCTGGGGGAAGTCGGTCAGCACGCTTGGCGCGTTCCAAGACTGCGATGTCGGCATACCAGCAGCAAAAGGATGATGCTCGTGCTTCCCACCATCGTTTCCACCAGCCGCGTGCTTGACGGCCTCGTATGTCGCAAAGTACACGGCGTGTGCGGGTCCTGCAAATTGTGAGCCGTCCACCGCTGACGCATCCGGGCGAACTGCAACCCACCAGCCCCCAAAACCACACTTGAAACGCCACGCCACAGCGTCCGGAAGCCTTCCAGCCTCGTTATTGTGATCATGGCATTGGAGATGCCCGTGTACACCGCCGTCGGCGAAGGGTTGGCGACTTGCATGCGAGTCTGATCAACGCACCGGTTAGCCGCTGGCTCAGAGCTGCGCAGGGGCTGTAACGCACCTTCAACAAGTCGATAGGATACATCACCGAGTGCTCCTAAGTCAATTCAGCATTTGCGCGCACACTCGTGGCTGCGTGGGCGCGGCGGCGTACGGCGATGCCGGCGAACGCGCCCGCAAGCATGTTCGCCGAGAGAGAGTAATTGGGCGGCAACGATTCATAGCTGGACAGTGTCAGCGGAGCCATCGCTGGAGAGCGTAGGGCCAGGGAAACACACTCGTATTCAACTTCTTCTACGGGAGCGGGTACCCTGTCGTGAGCGGCCATATAAGCCACCACGCCCGGCGTCCGTTCGGTAGCTATGGTTGCGGTGGTTGCGGTGGTTGCGGTGGTCGGCGAGCTGGACGGAGCGTGCGGACAACGGCGTTCGAGGAGCGATCAGACGGAGGAACAGCACCGGAGCTGTTTGCGCGGAAGAGTTGGGCGGGATTGGTTGTTGGCAGCGTCACTCGGCGGGTAGGGTACTTTTGTTTAAGCTGGCGCTGCCGGAGGGAAAGCGAAAGCTACCATCGACGCTAGCCTCGTTTAATGGCATGCTAGATTCCAGACCCCCCGGCCTCACAAATCACCGCCCGCAACTACTCTGCTCGCACGGCAAAGGCGCCGGCGAAGCGAGCTGCAGGCGTCGCCGAGCAACCGTGAGGCTCCGCCGCCCGCGGACATACGACCAGCGCCCGAACCGTCTCCCGAGTGAGCGCATAATGCGAGGCTGAGCACGTCTGAGGCGCCGCCGCGACGCGCGCTCCCTCGTCACAGGGTTTAGCTCATCGGTACAACCTATACAATGGGTAAATGCTCTGGCTATCCGTCTGTTCGCGCGTTTCGCTCAGTGTTGCACATACTGCAAAACTTCAGTCAGCCATGAAAGAAGCAGCACATCGGAGTCCATCCACTCGCCATAGTCCTTCTTGGGCGACCGAGTCCTTGCGTGCAGCCATGGAAACATTGCTTCAATCGGTGCCGGAGTGGCAAAATCAATGGTAAATGAAGATCTCACGCAGGAAACGAAACCCAAGCGAATTACCCTTGAGGAAAGAAGTGCTCAGGACATCCTCCATTCTCCCTTCGCGCTTGTCAATAGCTGTTCTATGCTGGCCCGCCGCACGGGGTGCTGCTTCTGAAAGGACCTAGCTTGATGCCTCGGAGGCGACTTCGGATTTTCGCCGCACGATTCCAAAAGACAGGGATTCAGTTTAGGCGAAAAGTTCTCCCTTCCTATTAATGTATCCATCTCTTATGCCAAATTCGCTTGCGAAGACAGCAAAGTCGCCGTTCCGACTAGAGCAGGCATTTGGAAAACACCATCTGTCGGGCTATCCGACTTCGGGGTGGGAGTTGTGAAAACATTTGATGCACAACCAAGCCACAGCCGACTTCTTGTGCGAGCAGAGGCAAATCAAGGATTCTGCGTTACATGGAAATGGTCAATTCATCTTCAGGTCAACCATTGTAGTGCTAGATGGGAGGAGGAGGCTGAGCAGTAGGTTGAAAAAGATCTTGTCCTGTGGAGGATGCTACACTTTCGTATTTGAGCAGTCGAAGCTGATATCCAGGCGTGGATGCGAGTTTTCAAACTTGTATGAGTACACCCGAACATAGGCTTCTAATGCCGACGTAAGTACAGTCCTATATCTCTGTGAGATATTTTTACTTTGCGGCCCGCTGTGGATGTGACGCGACCCAGAGTGAGGCCTTTCGAGGCTAGCACAGCTTAGCTCATGCTGCGTCCCTCAGCACAAGTGGGGTTGCCTTAACAATCGCAACGCTGGTACCATCTGGGGAATCCGACCACATCCCGGATGTTGGAAACACCAGATAAGTATAACAAAAGCCTGTCGAACCCAATGCCAAATCCACCATGAGGCACACTACCGAATCTGCGTAGATCTGTATACCACTGCAGATTGCTAGGTTCTTTCGCGGCTGCTGGATCGACCTTGGCGTTTGCTTTCTTGGAACCCTCAGAGCTAGCTGCGGGGCTATGCTGGTCTGGCCGTGGCAGGCCATGAGCATCCATGGCAGCCAGCAACTCCGGTAGACGGTGCTCGCGCATTGAGCCGCCTACCAGCTCACATACCTCGGGCACCAAGAGATCGAAGCAGGAAACCAGATCACTTCCGGGAGCCTGGGTAGAGGGTGCCATATAAAAAGGTTTCACGGCGCGGGGATAATCCGTGACGAACACCGGACCGCCCTGCCCGATATTTTCGGCCAGGAATCTCTCGTGCTCAGCACGCAGCCCGTTTTCGAATGAGGGATTGAACTCGAAGCCCACTGTGCCTCGAGACTCGGCATCCTCAAGGATTGATATAGCCTTTGCGTAAGTTATTCGGGGCCATGGTCCCTTACACAGGCCCTCCCACCTTTGCAACAGCGCCTGCGGCGTAATGTTCGAGGCATCCTCGTCCTTCGTCCTTTCGGCTGACCTAGCGAGTAGGAGCTCTCTGCCAACAGTCGAATTTGTCAAATTCGTGGCAATCTCGCGCAGCAGGCTCTCAAGCACGTCCATGACGTCGTCCAGCTTTTCGACAAAGCAGACTTCAGCCTCGAGCATATAGAACTCGCTCAGATGACGCGTCGTATCACTCTTTTCAGCCCGGAAGGTGGGTGACAGCGTCCATACCTTTCCGACGGACTGCGCCAGGGCCTCTAGGTGCAGCTGGGACGACACAGTGAGATACTTGGGCGAGCGGAAGAAGTCTGCGGAGTTAGAGCGATTGGAGGCGGCATCACCTTGACGCAGGTCAGATCGGGGGGAAACGGCAAAGACGTCGCCGGCGCCCTCGCAGTCGGAAGAGGTGATGATGGGCGGGTGCGTCTGGACAAAGTCATGCTTGGCAAAGAAGCTGGTGACGTGGGCGATCAACTGCGAGCGGAGTCGCAGCAGCAAGGAATTGAAGGGGGTCCGTGTGCGCAGATGCGGCAGAGTCCTCAGGAAGTCCGCGCTGTGATACTTCTTCTGCAAAGGATAGGCCTGCAGTGACGCAGCGATCAGCAGGCGGACAGGCACAGCGGCATCTCCGTTACTCACAGCCGAGTCGTTCTGGCCCAGAACGCGGATGCCGTGGGCATGCAGCTCGTGCGACTGCTGCTTGCCGGGGGGGCATTCGTGCCATACGCCTTCGATCGAGACGGCGGTGCCGGTGGAGAGGCTGGACGGCGGGTCAGCGGGCGGCGGCAAAGGATGCGTCTGGCGGAGCTCACGCTCTGGCCTGCTCCGGGTCGTCGAAGACAACCTGCAGAGGAGCCAGTGACGAGCCGTCGCCCACGGCTGCAAAAGCAATGCGCTTCTGCTTGCGGACGGAACGCACCCAGCCGTCGACGCAAACGCGCTCGCCGTGGCGCGGGCGGGCGAGCAGTCGCGAGATGGACGAGGCGAGTCGTACGGGAGCGCGAGATGTCGGGCGCAACAGGCGGACGGGCGCCAGCGGAGGCACCATCTGGGCAGCGAGGGCTGGAGCTGGGGCTGGGCTGGCGAGTAGGTGCTGATGCTGGTGGGTGGATTCTCAAGTCGCCCGGCTGCAGGAACGCCGAGCGAGCCCGAAACGCGGCCACGGCAGCAGGGGTCCGGCTGCCAGCAGCACCACACCCGCCCAAACAACGTGTTCGTTCCTGCGTACGACGTCGCCGCTCTGCTGTCGCCATGTTTCGCGTTTCGCTGCGTCGCACAGCTACAGACCGGCGCGCGCCAGGCCGCGCTGCCCGCTTGGCCGCCCTGGCGCGTCGCCGCTGAGGTTGGCCGCCCAGCCAGCGCCCCGGGCCGAGCGACAGGGCCGACGGCAGGGCTGTTGTGGCGCCGGCTCCTGCTGTGGCCACGCCTTGCGCGGCGTACATAGACGTGTCGCTACCGCATGCATGATCGGACCTGCAAAAGTCCTCGTGTATCTCCTGCTCATTAGCCCCCGCCCGCGTTCCCGCGCGGCCAGTTGCACCGCCTGGTTCAGATCTATGATGGCTGACCGGGATCCCAGGATCGTCTTGTCCCCCTCGGGCCCTGGTCTGCACGCCGCAACTTCATTGACACACGTTGACGACGACGGCTTCCGGTGACGCTCCCGCCTCGCCACGCCGCTACGAACCGGCTCCTGCCTGCGCCCAGCCACGGCTTCCGCGCCGGCAAGCTTCCACGCTGATGGCTGTTGTGCAGCCACTGGGACACAGGCACAGTATCAGGCCCAGATGCGCGGTCCTGTGTTGTCAGCCGCACAAGCATCCGACGCACCCATCCATCGTGAGTCGGGCGGTGCGCGTTGACTTCCCATTCGCTGCTCTCTCCTGCTATACCACCTTGCTGGAGTTGGCCTACCATAATCCCACATCTGCTCCTTGCCTTTGGCTTCCTGCGACACCATCCACCAAGACATATAGCTGCCTCCCGAGATGCTGATGCTCTTTGCTCCCAACCCCCGTCCTCCCCACCGCTCCCATCTTCTGCCTCCTGGCCCCCTGCTCTAGTAAACTCAAACTCAGCATGCCTCAAGCAAAGCCCAAGCCCTCTGAGATTGCCGCAGAGGCCAAGAAAACTTACATCCCCTACATCGAGAAACGCATGCCCGAACATCCCGCACGCTCGATCCTCATTTCTGACAGTGCCGAGATCCCCATCAGACAGGATTGCAAGTCGAAGCAGAGACTCCGCGTTGCCGTCATCGACGGCGATCCTGTAGACGTGGCTCTCGACTGGTACCAATACGGCCGTCAGAACGGCACCATCACCTCCTCAGCTCAGCGAGTGCCTGTCGTCAACATGGCCAACGAGAAGCGTGCAGGCGGCGATTGGGAGTCCGGCTTGCTTGCCCCCGAGGAGTGCTTCGCTCGGAGGAGTAATCTCGTCCATTCGCTCGTTACCCCTTGGTCGGGATATGCGACGGCCGCACACGGACATTATCCGATCCCGCAAAGAGGTGGTGTATACTCGCCTTCAGTTGGTAAGAGATGTACATACGTAGAACCTCGCAGGTTGTTCCGACTGACGCTTTCGCAGTTGTCTACCGCGACGGGCCAGAGTCGTATCAGCTCTGGAGGGAGTTCAGAGCTCTGCCTGTCATCTCTGTCGCGCCGGTGCGGCGCCCGAAGCTTGACGAGTCGGGCACGCAGTATTCGTTTGAGCAGGAGCGTGAGCTCATGCTGGACAAGATGCGGGCCGTCCTGCGCATCGCTGCCGCATGGGGCCATAAAGACATCTGCCTGGGTGCGTTTGGCGTGGGCCCCATTTTCCGCAACCCTGCTGCAGAGGTGGCAAGAATGTGGAAAAGCCTCTTGTTTCACGAGAAGGAGTTTCAGGGTGCTTTCGTCAACGTCGTCTTTGCCATAGAGACAAACCAGCCGGGAAACGCAAAGGGCGGTGCTTCGGAACACGAGATTTTCAGACGGGAGTTTGACCCCTCGAATGTCTTCAGAACAACGTACCGGTAGGTAAGGCACACGTCAGGGGGCTTCCACCGGCCAAGATCATGCATGTGGGATGGGTCGTGGTTAGTGTCATGCCAAGGCCTCGACGTTCAGGCGCTGGCGCTCCGTCTTCGGTCGTGGTCCGGATGCTGCAGTCAGCAGGGTCCTAGAGGGAAGTAGGGCAGGCATTTGATAGTGAAATGGAACTCCAAGCTTTTGACTTCACGTCATGCGGCGTCTGCTCGGCGGCGGAGGGAGTTTAGCGCGACGCAAGGGAAGACGTCCGGTCTGAAGTAGTGGCGTCGGCACTGCAGACGAGGGACGCAGATGATCTTGTCCCACCGGCAGGCGGATCGCAAGCCTATTCCCCGGGAGCAATCCCAGCAGCCCCGCTCCTGATGCCGCCACGCCCTGTACCAGCGTCTGGGGAGTCGTTTTGCCGGAAGGCGCGGCGGGCCGGCGAGCAAAGATCCCGGGCAGAGGAGGATGCTTGTGGCGGCGTGTCATCAACCGCAAAGTGTATGAGAGCCCGGCAGCTGGGCCATCAGACGCAGGATCTCGGGTGGCTTCCTTCAGCCATGTGTACGTCTCGCCCAACTCACGTAGGCCGCGCATCCGCGGATGCGACTCCGCCATACCGGAGGCTGTGCATGCGCCGGACCGTGATACTGCGTCAAGCCGTGGATCGATCCAGCCAACACGCCGCCGTTGGGGGTTGCAAGCACAGAAGACATGCAGCCCAGCGGCGGGTCTGCGCCGACGAGTGACAAGTCACTGGCGCCACGTCCGCCGCAGCCGCAGCGTACATGAGTTTCAGACATCAGACTCGACAAGCAGCTTCCCGCATCTACGCAGTCACCCTTTGCCACATAATAAAGATGCTACAATCCCACACCGACTCTACCCAGCCAGACCCGCGGAGAGGAAATTCCTTACTGATTGCTTGCTGCACTCTGTACTCGTACAATGCGCCCCACCACCCTCACGCTTGGCTTTGCGACAGCGGCCTGGCGCCCTCGGCCTGGAGCTGTTTCAGCGTCTGCTCCTTCTTGTGCTCGACGACTCGTCGCTTCTTGAAGTATTGCACCTGCGCGCCGTCAGCATCCGCCGCCTGCAACCCATCTGCCGGGTAATGCTCACCCAGCTGCTGGCGCAATTCTGCGCGAATGCCTTGTCCTCGCGGGCGCAGTGCGCCGCGGCCTCGTCCTTGTTGGTGACGCTGTCGATGATGTTGTGTTGGTCGAGACACTGGAAAAAGGCGTCGCGCGCCTCCCAGCATTGCGCGCGGCTGGATCGGTCGGGCGCTTCGAAAGCACCGTCCGACGACGGCTTGGGGCCGGCGGGCGTCGACGAGGAAAACCAGCCCATGGCGTGCGTTGAGTGGATGGCGGGCAGTGGTGGAGCGCGAGTCGCTGTCGCTGGAGGTGGGAGTGCGGTAGCAGTAACACTAGCATGACGGAGCGCGCCAAGACGTGGTCCTGCTGGCTGGCCGCTAAGTCAGCAGGCAGAGCGTCGCTCGGAGGTGCTGCGTGGCCGCCGCTTCATTGTCGCAAGCCAGCGGCCGCCTCACGCCTCTCTCCCCTCGCCCAGTCTCCCGGCAGATGAGCCCCGGGTAGCAGCAGCGTACGCATGGCTCGCCGCCGTCGACCCCCAAGGCCTGGCGCGCTCGCGGATGTCGCCCCGTTGCGCATCTTGACCCAGATCGTCCTCCTCCAGCTCGCCTACTACCTGTCCGCCGCCGTCCTGATCGCCTTCACCGCCCTGGTCGCCGGCCGCGACGTCAGCCTCGACCTGCTGCTCAGCTGGCGCAGCCTGCGCGGTGACGTGACGGTCGGCTGGATGCTGGGGCTCGTGTGGATGCTCAACAGCTTGATATGGTATGCTCCCCTGACGCGCCTCTCTGCCGCCCGCCTCACGCTAACGTGGCTCCGCTCCCCAGCGTCATATACCTCCTCCTCTTGGTTGCGCGCTCGAAACTGATACCCGACTTCGCCCTCACCATCCACTTTCTCCACCTCATCGTCACCTCGCTGTATTCACACTCGATACCATCCCACTGGCTGTGGTGGACCGTCCAGCTCGCAAGCGCTGCCTTGATGACTTTTCTGGGCATATGGAGCTGTCAGTGGAGAGAGTTGCAGCCCATCAACTTCGGCGGAGGCGGCGGTCCCAGTCGCCAGTCAAAACGTGTCGACGCTCCCGTCGATGACTCGCAGGAGGGCGAGGGCGCAAGCTACGGACGTGGCCGGGGCCGCGGAAGAGGGCAGTATGAAATGGTACCCATCAAGGAAGCGGATGAGAACGTGTAGGATTACTTCGTTTTTGAGCATTTGGACGGCGTTTTGGTGATAGAGATACCAGGTACCTGGTCCCGGTAGACGCGCATTTGAAAGACCATCGGCCACAAAATCCGGCTGCCTCCTAGCAGGAGCAAAGGAAAGGGGGCCCATCATTACGGCACTCCCTCTATCTTCGGGTCCAAAAGTCCATTGTGCCCATGCGAAGCTTTCATCAAGGCTAGATAGAAGTCCAAGTGAGACAGACATGTTGGAACGCGAGGCTTTGCGGTCAGGGACAGTTGCCCGCGCGCCCATGAAGTCATCATCAGGTCAATGGAATCCAAGTGATGTCCTGCTATGTCTTGCAAAGCTAGCTGAAGCCCAGTCGAGTACCTACGGATTTACGGATGCCTCTGTTGCTTCGTCGCCTGAGGAAATGGGTGCAACTGGCTGCAGCGGAGCATGACTCGCGCGGGACGCCCGCCTAACTCGCGAACGCCGTGGCTGCTGCTTCTTCTTTTGGCTCTGCCGCCGCCCTCTTCTGCTCCTCACCCGCCTCCGCCACACCTGCGCGCGTCTGACCCATGCGCCTCCGCCGCAAGAAAAGGACACTTTCTGAACTCTGTGCGGCAGGCTGACCGCAACCTGTCCGCCATGGATGATTACAATCAGGACTTCTTCGCCGGCCCACCTGAGCATTATGCTCACCAGGACCTGCAGCACAATCCTTTTGCCGCCATGCTGCCACCCGACTATGCCTACCCTCCGCATGCTTCTGATCCTCAGTACGCATCTGAGCATGGCTACTATGGCCAGGGCCCCATCGTCCACGAGGGTTTCATCCCGGCCATGGAAGACGTTCAGTACCAAGACGAGCAGGTCAACTCCAGCTATCCCTCACCGTGGACTGCGCACCAGGAGGAAGACATGCTGGACACTGATGACGACATGATGATGAATGAAGAACTTGTTCTCAATGGCGACATTCCCGGCCTCCGTGGCCCCACCCTTGATCCCGATTTCTCTGGTTCCGAAGAAAGTGTGAATCCCGGCGGCATCTCTGATGAGGACCCGGACTCTGATTTCGATCTCGACGACGCCCCGAAAAGCCGGGGCCGCGGACGAGGCCGAGGCCGCGGCAGAGGCCGTGCTGCCAGAGGATCTCGCGGTCGCGGCCGTGGTCGAGGCCGAGGCCGAGGTCGAGGTCGATCTGGTGCTGATGACGGCGACGGCAGACCGCGCGGCGTCCCAAGGGCCAGGAGAAGGCATCGCGAGGCGAAGGATCCAGGTCCGGAGTTCAAGGATACGCTCGCGAAAGCAACCCAAGCCTGGCTCAGAGAGGACCTTGAAACCGCCATGAAGCATGCCGGCAATGCCATAAAGATAAATCCAGAGGTATTTGCCTCTTACAACCTTCTTTCTGAGATTCTGTACGCCAAGGAACAGTACGAAGAGTCCGTACACGTGCTCTCCATGGGTGCGGTCCTCCAGCGAGATGTCAGCTTGTGGCACAGAATCGCCACCAGGGTTCTCGATCTTGAAGGTGATGAGAGGGCTCGCCTGGAATGGGCTCATCGGTGCTACAGCCAAGCCATTCGCATCGACCCGAACGACTGGGAGTCTCGTTGTCGGAGGCTTGACTTCCAGCTCAGATTCGACCACAAGGGCCAGGCCAAGTCGGAGTTGGAAATGATGCTGAAGATCGAAGGCCACGAATATGAGCTGGACCGTATTCAGCAACTTGCTGAATTGTGCGCCGTCACTCAAGAGCCTGAGCGGGCTGTAGAACCTTTCGAGAAAGCCATCGAGTATCACATGAGATTCCAGAAGGACGACTACAGCCAGCTTGACTGGCAAATTCTCAACAGCTACCTGGAACTGATGCAAACGCTGAAGAGGTACGATAGTGCCATACCTCGACTGCGCTCTGGGGCAAGGTGGATCCTTGGTCGGCAGAACGAGAGCTTTTGGGACGACCAAGCGGATGATCGTGAGTGGGATCTGGACGACGAACCCCGAAGGATCCAAGTTGAAGAGTTTGTGCCCGGCAAACATGATAAGTCTGCCTATGGTGCTGGTCTACCACTTGAGATCAGAGTTAAGTTGGGCATGTTCCGCCTACATAACGGTCCGACGTATCTCAGTGAGGCTATTGTGAGTTTTACTTCCAGAGCTGTCTAGAATGTGTTCACTTATGGTTTGTTCCAGGCGCATTTCGAACACCTTGAGCCCGAAGACGGTTCGGAGATGGCTGCTGTATTTGACTTCGATGATTTATTCAGAGAAGTCGCAGATGCATTAACCATGTCAGGGAATCATGAGCAAGCATTGCGCTACTACAACGCTCTACGGAGGGTACCAGATGTCCCACAGACAGCGCTCTTCATCTCAATTTCGGCGTGCCACTGGGCACTCAGGAATGACGTGGAAGCCGAACGATTCATCGATGCCGCCCTCAATGCAGCCGGCACAGATCTCTCGGCCCGTGTCCAAGTCGCACGCTTCTTCCAAGAGTGGGGCATGATGCAAAGATGCAATGAAGTTGCCCAGGATGTCATTGCAAAAGGTGGAGTTGACCTCGTCAGGAAAGCCAAGCTGAACGTGCAACTGCCCACACAGAGGCCCACACAAGCAAGAGATCATGTGAAGAGGCCGGTTTCAGCCAAAGTCTCAAGGGCCCCAAGGCCAACCGTTCTGCGTGAGCTTGCACCGAAGCCGACTACTCTCGAATCCCTCGAATCCAGAAGGTCACCGACTAGGCCGAAGGAGGCAAAGGAGGTCAAGGCGCACAAGTCGAGACGCCGGCTTCGCGGGCTTCTGGATTCGGAGAAGGAGAAGCTTGAAGGAGCCCAGCAGCGCGACAAAGCAATCCGTGAGATGTACCAGGAACTGAAAGCCATCGAGGATCTCGTGGATGAGGGCGACGAAGAATCAACGGAGACGTACATGGAGTTTGCCGGGCAGATGGTGGACGAATTTCGTAGAATGGAGGCCTTTTACCCAAGAAGGGACAAGCATGTCAAGTTCGTGGGATATATTGGCCGAAAGGGCAGTCATTTCCGGATGAAAGAGTCGGCACTCGCGTATCTGGCTACGGTTTCTAACCGCGAAGGTGCTTCAGAAGGTAAGTACTATGCCGGCTAATCGAAGTCCTTGCACTAACGCGCCGCAGGAGACCCCAGCACACATCTCAATGTCGGAGAACAGGCGCCTGAAGACTTCCATGACATCCCATTCGATGCGTGGCTCGACATCTTCTGCCGCTACGCTCTACTGGTTGCGAAATACGGCAAAAACAACCGCTGTTGGACAGTCATTCAAGCCGCTGCCAATGCGAACATTTTTCACCACAGCAGTCAACGGGAACATCACATCTACGTTTGCTGGCTAGGTAGGCTCCTCTCCAAGCCACACGGGGGCCGTGGACTAACGTGTGATAGCATGCGCTCTGATTCTGCGAGATGAGGAACACCTTTGCAACGCCTGTCGCTACCTCATCAAGCAGCATCCATATTCCAACGATGCCTATCGACTCTTTGGTCTGATGAACCGCCTCTATTCCGGCCATCGGTCCTGGTACAATGGTGGGCCGTCTCAGAAGTTCGTTCTCCGCCTCATCAAGGCAATGGATTTCGCGCTTCTTGACAAAGAAGCTCGTCTCCTGTACAAGTTTGGTGATCAAGAGCGCTCTGGCTACACCAAAGGCGGCCAGAACGACGGCAACCCGGAAGGGATCACGGATGTCAATGTTGCTCTCCTGTCCATGTATGGACACGTACTCGCAAGCGGCGGGGCGTATCTCAACGCGCTGAACTACTTCTTCAGGGCGTATAGCGTGGAGCCAAACGACGCGGTGCTCAATTTCTCCATTGCGATAGCATACATGCAGCATGCGATGAAGCGACAATCGGAGAATCGGCAATATCAGATTCAGCAAGGACTGGGCTTTCTGCACCGCTACTACGAGTTGCGGAGCAAGTCGGGTGTTGACTTGCAACTACAGGAAGCGGAGTTCAACGTGGGGCGCGTCTGGCACATGCTCGGTCTGTATCATTTGGCTCTGCCGGCATACGAGCGCGTGCTGGCTCTGGGACGGCGAATAAGCGCCGAGCACGCCAAGGAAGGGCCGGATGGACTGCTCAGGGTGGAGGATTTTGCAAATGATGCAGCATATGCGATCCAGCTGATCTTGGCTTTGACGGAGGATTTCCAGGGAGCCAGAAACGTTACCAGAGAATGGCTCGTCATATAGACTGCCTCAACGTGAAAACAAACGCAGGTAGACAGGTGATTGAGCAGCTCGGCGTGGTAGACTACTATATAGTCTGGCGTGTGCAACGGCATTACAGACCGCGGCTACTGTAGAAAACACGAAGCACCTTATCCAAAACAGCCTTTACCTTCTCTGCACTGAGCTTCTCCTTGCGATCGAACGAGTAAAGACCGTTGGTCTCTTGTTCAATATCGGCCCTGCGGCACGCGTTAGCGGAATCCTCAGGCGCGTTTGGTTGGTGCTCACAGCTGCGTGTACACGAAGCCGCTGGAGTGGCCTGGCTGAACGACGCCCATCATCAGACGCTCGATCCTCTGCAGCAGATCGTCTGGGTCGCTGGCGGTGGTGTAGCCCCACTCGTCGGCGGCGTCGGCGGCGGCAGCGGCAATGTTGACACCCCCGAACTCGGTGTTCAGAGTGACGGCGCCAGGACGGTGCTCTGCACCCGGGTCCAGGCCGGGAATGGGGGCGACGAACATGGGCCTGCCGGCCTTGGGGCGGAGAATGCCATCCAAGGTGGCGCAGGTCTCTGCCAGGGCAGGAGCATCGCTGTAGTCATGGAAAGTGGTGAGATCGGTACACACGTGCTCCCACCCGCAGTTGTCGTTGATGGGCCTGGTGGGATCGAGGGTCCCGCGGGAGGGTCAGTGCCTGAGCGGGACGAGGGGCGCGGCAGTCGACTCACTTGGTCATGTAGTACAGAGCGCGGATGTGGTTCCGCTGCTCGACGCTGTCCTTGAGCGACGTGTACGCCCAGCTTTCATTGACGGGGGTCCAGGTGATGATGGAGGGGTGGTTGATGTCGCGCTTGACGGCCTCGGTCCACTCCTGGTTGAAGCGGTCGACATACTGCTGGCTGAACTGGTAGGCGTTGGCCATCTCGCCCCACACAATGTACCCCAGGCGGTCCGCCCAGTACAGGAACACGGGATCCTCGACTTTCTGGTGCTTGCGGCAGCCGTTGAAGCCCATCCTCTTGCACAGCTCGATGTCGGCGCGCAGGCTGTCGGGCGACGGCGGCGTCATGAAGGTGTCGGGCCAGTAGCCCTGGTCGAGCGTCAGGGCCTGGAACAGCGGGCGGCCGTTCAGGTGGAGCGCGCCGTCGCCCTTGGTCCAGTCGAGCGAGCGCATGCCCGTCGTCGTCTTGACCTCGTCCACCAGCGCCTCGGACGAGTCGAAGAGCCGCAGCGTCAGGTCGTACAGCAGCGGGTGCTCGGGCGACCACAGCGCCAGGCCCTGTCGCCAGCAACGCTCGCTCTCCACCGGCGCCTCTTGGTGCACCGCCGCCGGCAGGCTGGCCAGCTGCTGCTGCGACAGGCGCAGTCCGAGGGCCAGCGTCACGTGGTCCTTCTCCTTGGGGAGCTCCTTCTTGGGCGACGTGGCCACCGGGATGCCGGCAAAGCTGGCCTCGAGCTCGACGCTGTACCGGTGCCCGGCCTTGCGGCCCAGCACGGCGATCTGGGCGTGGACGTCGCCGGACTCGATGTCGTTGGCGCGCAGCACCGTCCCGGAGCTGCTGTCGGCAATCCTCGCCGCCGGCACCGCCTCGAGCCAGACCGACTGCCAGATGCCGCCCGACGGCGTGTAGAAGATGCTTTCCGGCTTGGCGCCCCAGTACTGCTTGCCTCGCGGCTGGGTGAGGTCGTAGGCCGAATCGTAGGCCCGGACGGTGAGCCTCAGCGGGCCAGCCGGCCCCGAGTCCAGCGCGTCCGTGACATCAATCTCAAAGGGCACGTGTCCGCCGCGGTGGCCGCCCACGAGCTGGCCGTTCAGCCAGACGCTGGCTTCGTAGTCGACGGCACCGAACCGCAGCAGCGCTCTGTCCCCGCGCTGCTTCTCCTCGGCCGTGCGGATGTCCTCGACGAGGCGCTCGTACCACAGGACCTCGTGGTCCCCGCGCTCGTTGATGCCGGAAGCGGGCGATTGGAACACGAAGGGCACTTGGATTGGCCGCTTCTGGTGGGTTGTGGCCGTCAGGCCCCGGAAAGCCAGGTTGTCTCTGAGCAGGTTCTGCGTGCCTGCGGCAATCTTCTGCGTGATGCTCTCGCTCTCCGACTCGTGCGCCGGCCTGGACGACCCGGCTCCAGTGGCAACCACCTGCTCCGGGAGGCCCTTGAGCTGCCACCCCTCGGACAATCCGGCATCGTCATCGTCAAAGAGGAAGTCCCACGGGCCGTTGAGCGACTTCCAGTGCACACGCGCGCGCTCGAAGTCGGGGCGAGGGTACATTTGAGCTGCCATTTGGAGAGAACAACGATTGGATCCAATTGACTGCGCAGGGAGTATGGAACATCAGCTGAAGGGTGCAATGAAGACGTTAGCTTTGTGTACACATATCCTTAGTGGAGGACGTGGGGTACTTATGACGTAGCTCCCCCTCTTCAGGTGGCCTTAAGGTTGGGCGGCGAAGAAGGCAGGGATCCACGACAGCACCACCACCAGTGGCATTGATTGTTGCTTTTCCTGATTCAAGGCAATATCGGTTGCCGACGCCCGAGACGATTGTCAGGGGTTGGCTGGCCATGTCTCTCGGTGGAGGACGTGGGAATTGGCGACGTCGGGATGGGCCATGGCCATGTGTGATGTTGGTAGGACTGGAGACGGCCGAAACTATCTGAAGACACACCACCCTATCTATAATCCCTTGGAAGCTGCCATGTTGGGTCGTCCTTTAACATTTACGATAGGTCGGATGGCGCTAACGGCGGCCTCATAATGTAAGTCAGCTAGCTATATTTTCTCCACTTCGCTCTCCTCCCGCGACCTCGACGTTACACCCACAAAGTATGGAGAGGCCTCACAGGAGGATTAACTGTCCGACGTGTCGTTAAAGGTGCTCTGTATTCTCCGCGCCGGCCCAAACATATGTATCGCTAAGACACTACTGACACGGCCAATAGAAAGAAGAAATATAACATTGTGTATCCAGTGTGCATCTACTGCCGCTTCTTCTATCTCGTATGCGCCCACGAAAAGCCACGTACTAATATATCAATCCGTTAACCCACGTCCGCCACACCCAGTCTTTTATTATGAAATCACCCATTCCTATAATAGCCCGACTTTACGATAAGATACCGATGTTAAATTACTAAGATACCTCGTTTAAAATTATATTTTTCTTAAAATACCTAGGTCTAAATATTAATATTTTACTAAATACTAAGATATCTAGTCAGATAAATTACCAAAATACCTAGTTTTTTAGAAATAATTTTTAAAATACCTATATCCTTACTAAAATACCTAGATAGATATTTAGATAAATAGTAAACCTTATATAAAATATAAAGTTCGTAATTTATAAAAAACTAGATATTTAGATAAATATAATATAAAGTAGGGTATTTCGATAAATTATATTTATTAAAATACCTAGTTTCTCTTAAAAGGTTACTATAATCTTTTTAGTCTATAAAAAGCTCTAAGATATAATAAAGTAGAGTATTTTAGTAAATTTTATTTACTAAAATACCTAGTTCTTTTTTAGAAAAAAGATTACTATAAACTTAATTCTAAATAGAAAGTTTTAGAATATAAGTAGGGTGTTTTAAGAAATTAGTTTTACCGAAATACCTAGTTTTTTAGATTTATAATTAAACTTTATTAAAATATATAGTTTAGTTTATTTAAACTAATTACGTATTTTAATATTTTTTAGCCTCTATTTAGCCTCTATTAGGTCTTTTTAGTTTCTACTCTAATTTTAAGTTTTATATAGATAAAAGTAGTATAGTTTTACTATTATAGTAGACTTTTAACTATTAAAAGCTAATATAGTTTA